GTGACCGCATCACGTGAAAACCACCAAAGCTGGTTATCTGGGTTAACATATAGGATACATTTTACTGCGGAAAATATCTCATCTCTGAGGAATAAATACTAAATTTTAAAACGTAAGTAGGGACAAACCCGAGCGGAGCGAGGGTGAGTCGCTAGTTAATTATATAATCCCATCCCATACATATTATAAATGCAAAAGTTTGGATGGATGTTTGTTACTCAATCACGCCAGAACGGCTGAAGGATCTGGATGAAATTTGGCACAAAGATAGATTATAGTCTGGAATAGCACATAGGTTACTCTTTATCTCGGAAACATACCTATAAAATTCCTGTGTGATAGACTTGTTTTGCTTTTTCACTAGTAAAAATGACTACTTTTACGAAATCTAAAAAAATATATTAGGTGCACTTTATATTACTTAGAGCTCATCCAGTATATGTATATTTGGAATATATACGTACTGAAATATACAAGACCACACGAACCTTTGTTTCATTTTTCATTTCGATTATTACTTGTACAATATTGAAAATCTCATTCAAATATTTCCACGTAGTCCGACTAACGTACGATTATAATGACAAACTCTATATTTGGCTTCTAAGTATTACTTTCCATGCACAATTTTTTTTCATGTACAACTTTAACCTCATTAGTCGAATCAATTTTACTATATAGCTAATTGATAAATGAATAATTTTAAATTTAACCTATCGCTTTTCACTCTTAAGTACTACATCCAAGATAAAACACCATGCTGACTGCACTTCTGTCCGCCACTACGTCGATCCCGATCACTATGGTCGATCTAGCATACCAGTGTCCTACATTACGCTTATTTAGAGACAGTCTCCACTATAGTATGTGCCATAATAATTTATCCTGAAAACATGACCATTAAGCCAAAGTAGGATGCGCCTCCAACGATTAACTATATTATTAATTTTTATAATTAACATTATATAAAGTAAAAGATAACAAGTCAATATTAGTCCCGCTGAGTTTCTTTCGTCAGTTCTTCTCAGGTCTGAGGCTTCTTCTTCCCGAACTGGTAGTAGACTCATGACGTTCAGTAAAAAAATGTAGTAATTTAATACTAAATAAAATACTTTGAATTTTGTTTTTTTTTTTAATTTTGAATTAGTGGATAATAAGGATGCACTGGTTAAGCAAAATACCTTCTCTCTTTAAGACTGTTTGATCGATGACGACAAAAATTTAATGTAGCTTCCCAAATCTTACTCAGCCCAAACGGATTTTACCATATCGTCTCTTACCCAAAATTGTCAAATAATGTGCAACAAAAGGTAGTGCCGTATGCGACTTTACGAGCTCCTCTTAGCATGATTAATGACGACAAGAATATAGACAAGAATATACGACATATTCTTCACAGTAATTAATTATGAGTTTGGTCTCATCAGGGTTCATCCCTAGAGCCTTCTGTTTTGTAGAATTGTTTAGGTAATTATGTATGCCGCTTTGAGTTCTTACATAAAATATCAGACGTAAGAGGTTGGCACATATTTTCTAATCAAACTTTAAGGAATCGGTAAATAGTTTTGGAGGTTTTACATCTTCGTGCATTTTCTTCTGAGAAAACACGATTCGTCTAAAGCGGTGAATAAATTTCAAAATACAATAATTTATATTTTGTGAACCATATTTTTAGAGCATCTTACAATAAATTTATGAAACTATAAGGATTAATTTTGTAATATATAATATTTATGATTTACTTATACCTAATAAGGTTATTATTATTGTACTGTGCTATTGCTTGATACCTACTTTAATATTAGTAATTACGGGTACAGTTAGATTGGTCCTATTTTATAAGAATCGCTACATTACATGTCCGGGCCGTCATATCATGCGCTATATACCAGAGTCCAGACATGACATTAATATGTGATGAGAACCAATCACACAATACTAATTTTGGATGTTTAAATATATATTTAATAATAAAAATAAATATATATTTATATTCATTTTACACAAAGATATCTTATGAAAAATGGTGTTCTTTTAAAAATAACGTTTCAAAGAGCAAATTATTGCTTTAATTAAAACTAGAAAAGTGGGCAGAATATTCTTGTGCAGCTAAGAGATTAACAAAGTAAATTCGTGAATATATAATATATATATATATATATATATATATATATAATACGTAAATATTATCATGGATACAAGCAAAAGCAGACACGACGCGCATATCATGAACGTACGCTGTCTACATATATTCTGCGCTAATCAATTTAAAACATTCAGATTGCTTGCTTTCGTAAGGATACGTGTTGACCCTTAGACATATTCAAGGAATCATGTCACGATAAAATATTTCCAAAAATAAAGCTCTGGAACCGGGTAAATGCATAATATATAAACTGTATATACAAGTCATCTCCCTGGGAATACTGAATAGTGCGTATTCCCCTACTTATAAGGTGTACGATTGTTGTGTATATGTAATTAAGTATAATCTTAATTCAATTTTATTTTTTCTTGTAAATAAAGTAAAGCAGTATCAATTTGTAAAACCGTTGTTTAGGATATGAAGTCAAAATTACCGTTTTATTTACGGATTCTGTGTATGTGCAGTCTGTCTACTATTTGTGTTGAACCTTAACAATATTTTAATCTTTTAAAAAGAACAAATGATACGTATAGTGTAGGATAGTTATCATATGTGCTGGGCTTCCAAAGCAGAGTTCGAAATTGACTTGGTAACAGATGCACGTGGATCTAACTTTAAGTTATCTTATCAACCGACTTCAAAAAGGAGGAGGTTCTCAATTCGACTGTATTTTTTTTTCGTTTTTTTTTTATGTTTGTTACCTCAGAACTCCGTCATTTATTAACCGATTTGGACAATTTTTGTTTTGTTTGAAAGGGTATACTTCCAGATTGGTCCCATTTAAATTTCAAAAAAAAATACCACCCCTAAGGGTGGAAAAATAGCTAATGATGGATTTAACCTACTTCTAATTGTCATATTAACTTGAAACTTTGCAAGTGTTTCTATTTCCGTTGATAGTACAGTGGTTCGGTATTGTTGACCTGATCTGATGGTAAGGCCAGAAGGTGGATAGGTGGAACTCTTCAACGGCTAATAGTAGATACTTTGAGTTTGGGCTTATTTTGTTTGATTCGACAAGCCTAACACGTTAGAATTCTTACTTTGCTACTACTGTCTACACTAAAAAGGGAAAATAAAAACTTTTTAACAAAAAAATAAAAACCGACTTCAAACAATAGCACTAAAAAGTAAAAAATAACTGATTGGTAGTTTTCATTTACTATACATACCTAATCAAATATTTTCGAAGTCGGTATGCTTTGGCTAAGTGTTTAAAGCCTACCTATTAAATACAAACCTAATCAAATATTTTCGAAATCGGTGCCAGCCCATACAAAGCAAAGCACACCGACTTCGAAAATATTTGATTAGGTATGTATAGTAAATGAAAACTACCAATCAGTTATTTTTTACTTTTTAGTGCTTTTGTTTGAAGTCGGTTTTTATTTTTTTGTTAAAAAGTTTTTATTTTACGTACAGTAAATATTAATTCAATTATATCGAATTATATCGAAAATAATATTTCAGTATCCTTTATGTAAAAGAATAATATAATGCACATATTGTAAGAACTAGAACTGTAAATAGAATACAACACACGGGTTTGACTCACAAAGAAATAAATAATAATAATAAATAGCGTAAATTGACCTTTTATTTTATTATTGATTATATTTTTATGTTTAACATAATAGCAACACACTTACATGTATAGTTGGATACAAAGTTAAAGGACTATAAAAAGTATATAATTACTGAAAGTAACTTAAAAGAAACTACGATACAAAAATAGGTAAGTTAATATAGTTCATAATCGATTGAAATTATTTTATTCCTTTATATGAAAAAAAAACCATTTCAATCGACTATATTAAGAGTAATATTTAAAATACAAATAGGAAATACTTAATATCATTTAAAAAGTGTACGGGTCCAAAAATATGATTTTCATTACGTGATGTATGTATGTAAAATGTAAAATTAGCGAATTTTCAATGAAAAGTACAAAAATATTGTTTAAAATACATTTTATTGAGTATAATTTGAAGAGTAATAAAAAAAACATAATGATACTTAAATTAAAAGTAAGCTATACACATTTGTTTACAACAGAATCAATATCATAGATACGACTAAACAAGTTGTTATTTCGTCGGTGGATTCGAGCATTTTTCTTATAATATAAAATAGATTCGTTAGATTGTTCAAAAAATTATAATAAGTTAGTTGTGACTAAAACAAAGTAGGATACAATAATGTATATGAAGAAAACAATCGACTTAGCGCATAACAATGGCAAGAAACTTCACCAATATATTTATAATTGCATATTAAATAACTTGAACATTTGTTAACTGTGAATTACTAATATAGAGTATATATATATATATATATATAAGCATGTGCTGCGGAACCATCGTAATTTAAATTGAATATTTACAATATAGGATATCAGATCACGCGTTACGATACATATATATGTAAAAGATTATTGCATACTTTGAGAGAACACAGAATCATAGCCTATAATACCCGATTAGCAATAAATGGGGGCTAAAATTCTGCCGTGCACCAATTAAAGCGCCATTTTCATTCCGTAATTTAAAAAAAAAAACAATAGTATTACAATTACAAAAACAACACAAATGGTTTTACACAAATTTTCTACATATGAAACATAAAAGTAGATTTTAAAAGTCTTTTAAGCAGTTAAAAATTAGCCGCCGTGAATGTCATTATGAAATGAAAATTGTATGTAAAGGTAAACGACAACGGTTAGCCCCCATAGCAAAACTAACTATGCGATAAGAACGTTAAAATTTTATAGATATCACGATACATGCATGTCGACAACACTTGTAAAACATCAATCAGATCACTTGATACGTACATTCGTCAGATTCGTTGATTATTCGAAGGACATGAGATTGGCAGGAAGCGGCTTTACCATTTTGATTGTTACATCATTTATCGTTGTCACCCATTGCTTCGCCGTCGATTCGCTTCCAGTCCTGAAATAAATCTATGTATAAATATCATACAGGTACCTATAGTAAATTAATAATCTATTTTTTTTTTCATCCTCTATAAAATATACGAGTTTTATCTGAAATTGGCAAATCGTTTTATGTAAGAAACAGGGAAATTGATATCAACAATCTTTAAAGGATGTAAGGATATGATTTTTTAATCGTTTATACAATAGCTTACATCGTTACATAATTGTAAAAAAAAATATCCAGCTCCAAAAAAACTAAAATTTAGTTTTTTTTTAAATATCATACGGTTACGGATACTTTACAGTTAAACGCCATTTCGTATATTATACGTCATCGTATCGTATACGTCACAGTATATTGTACACAGAGAAATGACGACTCAATTTGTAAGCGACAAAATCGCTAATCGCTCTGTTATGTTATACTCTACCGTCATGTTCGTTCTGACCAATACGTGTGTTTTAACTACTTTGAATTTCCCACATATATTTGTACTTTTTAATAATTATTTTCTTAAACAAAAAGAAATTACATTAAAAAATTAATATCTAAATAAATATATACGAAAATAAGTAATATTTAATATTAGCGTTGTCTAGGTACGTATTATAAATACAAAAGGCACCTACGGGTGCAACCACGAAACGTGAATAAGTCGGCAGTATGTATTAAAATATTTGTAAGCATTTGCATAAACGGCCGCTGATGAAGACAAGTTCCTAAGTTATAATTTACTCATATAAGCCAGTATATTCGATATCGACGTCATGTGATCAATCAATAAATGCTATTTTAAGCTGTCATATAACATACATAAACAATGGTCATATACATAAACAATGGTCGCATTTGATAAATTTACAATAGAATAATAAGAGGGTGGTGAACATAAAACTTAGCATTCGCGTACATTTATAATATCATAACATTAGTTGTATGGTTTTGATTTCAGACTAAAGAATTATACAGACGGAGTCCGTCACAAAATATGAAAGTCAAAAATAGGAGTATACCTAATCTTGCTGTTTATGCTACTTACTATATCTGATTTCTCGATGTTGCCATAGAAATAGTATACTTTCTTTAGAAAATAAGAGAAATTTTAACATTAATATTTATTGTATAATTTATTTAAGCATTATTTACCTATCGTCTCTGCTTGAGGGAAATAATATACATTTTTCTTTATTACGTTAAAAATAATCTAGCGCATTTATTTGTTAAATTTAATTTACCAAAACATCATTTCACTTTGGTAAATAAATATACACAATACCTACTCATATATCAGAATAATGAGGTATGTATATATATTTTAATTTTAAAGTTACTGTTTTAATATTTTATAACCAATTATTGCAACGAATTATTAGAAAATAAACAGTAAAAACAATTATAAAGTCCATTTAAAAATGTTCAACTTTGAACACCAATTTGTATGCAATACACTATAAACTTTGCAGAATAGTAAACAGTAAAGTACATTAAAGAAATTCTAAGTGTGTTACGTGATTATTTATTCTATCGATTCTTCATCTTAGTGAAATATGTATTGCCTTTGAAGTTCAATGTTGATGCTAACAAGTAAGTCAATATTAACTACGTAGGAAATTGCCGTGTAAATATTAATAAAGGAGAATGTAAGTCGCTTTGAAGAACATACACAGATCGTCATTACTAAATTATTAAGTACTTACAAAATACATGAATGCAATAAATCGATTTTATTTTAAAAAATCAACAATAAATATAATTTTTTTTAAAACATGGTTTAATCGAATGTTATTAAAAAAAAATCTTCTTACAAATTACATGCTTATTGCTTCTAGGCACTAAAATGTAAAAAATAACTAAACGTTGGCTTTCATTTAGAATAGATATACCTAATCAGATATTTTCGAAGTCGGACAATACTTTAACATATGGATATCTAATAGGTAAATATTATGTATTTTACGTATCGAAATATATTAGATTTGCTTTGCATTAGCATTTTTATTCCGGAAATCATCCCTTAAGGGGATGAAAATGGGGATGAAAGTTTGTATGGGGAATCAACCTAGGGACAAACCCGAGCGAAGTAATTTATATATTCATCGCTTTTATATGATTTTACATATAAGCATACATTTAATTAGTTGAATGTTTGTTTATGGAGACTCATGTATAATTCTCTAAAAAACCAAATATATAAACAGACATATACGTATATAGCTTACTTGAACTTATATATTGTACTAGCGTGGTGGTCAATGAGTTGGAAGACATCGCACGCCTCACTCTCCATCCACACCGCCCGCCAGCCGTCATGCAACGGTAGCACCTTACAACGCTGCTTACTGAAGTCACTTCGGTTCGTCCTGTATCATTAAAATAATTACAGATTTATATGGCTAAAAAAACAAGCTTTTAAACTAGTTTAATATTTGCGACTCATCAAAACTAATCAAATCAGTCCAAATTCAAAGGTTTAATTAATGGCCTTCCGCTATTTTTAGATTCTATTTGTCTCGCTCACCCAGATCAACACGATAGAATCCAATTAGTGTATTGTCATCCGTATTTCACATTCTTATAATTTTAAATCAAGACAAGAAAATAATTAGAAGTAAAAAAACATCAACTACGGCGAATTATTTGAATCAAAACAAGTGAAATTTATAGAATAGTGCTAAAAACTAATTACTTGTCATCAAACGGACCCTTAAAGATATATTAGTACTATACGCATATATAATACTATTATTAATCGTTGCAAAATGATTAAAAAAATATATTGTCTTTACTCACCCTTTAAATGTTTTTGAACCATAGAATATAAGAATATTGCTAGATAACTGTAGCCAATACCGTTGCCATGAAGAAAGCGATATCTTTCTTCCCTCTTTCAATATCGTTTTTCGTCTAACAAAACTTTGGAAATCGCACTCCACTAAATCAATGACTGACAGTACATCGCTAAAAAAACATATAAAAAAACTGATTAATATTAATAATATGCATTAAAATACAAAAATACTAGTCTCAATTATGTACCTTTATTACGATTTTATTCTTCTGTGTTATTAATTTATGATATCTGCTAACTAATGTATATTTTAGTTCATGCCAACTACACATATTGTACTCCACCCTCTACCCTTCACCAAGTGTGACATTAATTGAAGAAAATGTACGAAATGAAGATTGAATTAATTGGACGAACGGATTTCTTTATAAAACCAGCTACCAAAACTTATCTAGCTATTGCGTGTTGGTCACGTGTGTGTGTGTGTGTGTGTGTGTGTGTCTGTGTGTGTGTGTGTGTGTGTGTGTGTGTGTGTGTGTGTGTGTGTGTGTGTGTGTGTGTGTGTGTGTGTGTGTGTGTGTGTGTGTGTGTGTGTGTGTGTGTGTGTGTGTGTGTGTGTGTGTGTGTGTGTGTGTGTGTGTGTGTGTGTGTGTCTGTCTGTGTGTGTGTGTGTGTGTGTGTGTGTGTGTTTGTGTGCAGGTTTTTTTTCGTGTAAAATTTCAAGTAAATAGTTTACCTATACGGCAAAGATTGTGTAATCTTATTGCCCGAAACAGAGCTGGGCGACTCTAGCAAGGTGTCATCCAGCAAATTGACCGACCCGCCAGGAGTCTTTTCATCTTTGTCCTCGCTATGGCTCTTACCGAATATACTACGAATACAATACATTATTCTCTTTATATTTTTGTATATTCACATGAAAATATATAATTAAAAGACACTTTAGCTACAACTAAATAACATATGTAAGCATCTTCTTAACCAAGAAGAAAGAAATGATACTATAAACTTAATCGATAAATTTTGCGATATATTTTTGTTATTAATTTAATGTCAACCGGAATTTATTATAGTTTGTACTTTATATTTGCATCAAAATAGAAAGCTTCACGTTGATAAACACAACTAAGAACAGAGATCGAATGATGAAGAATCAGTTCAGTAATTTTACTGCATGTGTATTCGCACATTATACTACAGACAGATTTTAAGCGAGATCTCTAAATTTACTTGACATTAAAGATAACTAATTATATATAATACAGTATTTTTCCTAGCAAACAACTGAAGCCAATATAAATAAAAAATCAAACATAACTTAAACTGAAATAAATAAATATGCTTCATTTACAGACGAAGGCAATGATAATATCAATACGGCTATTCAACAACATGCCGAGTACTGAAAGTATATAAATTAGTGTGACCAACTAGTATAAATAATTTAACTGCGATATAAACAAAGATATGTAAGGAACATGCAAAATTGAGTAAGCAGTGAAACATTCACACTAACGAAAAGCAACTAAAAGAGCTAGGCATTACGTGAAATAAAAACTTTTTAACAAAAAATAAAAACCGACTTCCAGGCACTAAAATGTAAAAATAACTAAACTGAGGTTTTCATTTAGAAAAGATATCTAATCAGATATTTTCGAAGTCGGTGCCAGCCGATGCAAAGCAAATGTAATATATTTCGATACGTAAAATACATAATATTTACCTATTAGATATTCATATCTTAAAATATTGTAGGCTGGCACCGATTACGAAAATATCTGATTAGGTATCTTTTCTAAATGAAAACCTCCGTTTAGTTATTTTTTACATTTTAGTGCCTGAAAGTCGGTTTTTATTTTTTGTTAAAAAGTTTTTATTTTTCCATTTTTAGTGTAGACATATCTAGCAGGTAATTTGTAAGAAGAAAGTTTTTTTAATAACATATTCGATTAAACAATTTATTTAAAAAATATATTTATTGTTGATTTTTTTAAAAACCGCTCAATCGATTTCGTAAAAATTTATATGGTGGTCCCATATAAATAGGGAAGTGTACCCTTTGAAACAAAAGAAAATGTCCAAATCGGTTCAGGCGTCTTCGAGTAATCGGTGAACATACATAAAAAAAAAGATTACGACGAATTGAGAACCTCCTCCTTTTTGGGATTGGAAGTCGGTTAACAATATAACAAGCATTATATGATAAAAGAATAATTAACAATATTTCGCCTAGAACATTTCTCTTGACCCTGACTATTTATCTAACGGTTTTTGAAAATTTTGTTTACATTTTCGGCAGATTTAGTTTCTCGTGTAGTTCGCATAAAGAACTATTTACAGCATGATGATCCCCAGCCTACTTGGGCATATTTAACTGTTTGCTACCATGCAGAATTCTCTCAACAAATACAAAAATTTCTGCAGATGCTTATGCCTTACACTGTCACCTCAAGTGAACTTGTTACCAAGAAACGTGAAAAAACTAGAAAACAATCAATTCCAAGTCTCGGTAAAGAGATGCGAGATTAGCAAACGAAGAGACCAACTCGCAGATATATATAGACGCAATTTCATAACATCGCGCCCTATACTTAAAATAACTTCAAATTAAGTTTGTGGACTATTTTATTTATCGTCAGTCTCCTGAGTTAAAGATAACCAAATGATAAGATGATGGAGGTGATCCCCGTATAAGAAAAGCAAAAATTTACGGTTGTATTGCTTATTGCATTAATTCATTGCTCCATTGCCAACATCTTCCCGCGTGATACCACTGACAACTCCTACTCGGTGTTATCACGACTGAAATATTTATCACGTTTATTTAATAATTATGATATTTCCCTTAAGTTCTATTATTCGAACCTAAGGGAAACAATTTAAATAAAAACTTGTACAAAATAATCAATCTGGCCAACCAGTTTCAGAAACAGTGGTAAAATTATTGGGATTGGAATTGAAAATATATATTAGTAGAATAAATTATCTCACAGGATGATCCTTATAGCATATATATTATAGCAGCTTTAAAATGAATCAGAAGAAAAATATAGTAGTCCTTAAAGCAGACACAAATTACCACTACATAGGATCATGATAGCCTCTGAAAGAATTAGTAAAACAACTGAAAGTTACATGACAGTTTAAAGTTTTAAAGCCTTCGTTAGTCATCCCAGTTCATGGATTGCTGCATAGGTGGCGAAATTCTTTGTACTTTTGATTGCCAATATAAAAAAAATGCCAATTTATTACATTCAACAGTCACACAGTATCATGCGCGAACAACAAATTGTATGGCAAGTGAACTTGACACCCCCATATACATAATGATACATGGTCAGGTACGAGATAACTCGAAACAAAACATATAATTTAGTCACGTGCGGTGATCGTTATACATTCATTGCAAAAGATAACAAGGTAGATCGAGTAAAGTAAGCAAGATCAGAAAGTATAAGACAACAAGCAAGCGAAGAACATGGTAATGGATTTCTTCACAAGACATAATCATTCTATATGTACACATCCGTAAGATTAATATCTTTGCCCGCTTTCAAATTGTAGGCTTTAATTATATGTACAAACACTCGAGCTACCAAAGCGTATACGACAGATAAATTACTCCTGTACGTGTAATTAAGAAATATCTACAATATTTTATTTATGTATTTAAATTATATTTATTACTTATATTCCAATTTTTTTCAAAACTAATCCAAATTAAGAAAATTTTAAATAAGCAATATGTTATTTTCTATAATTACAAATTAAAAACTCAAATAAACAAATCAATTTTGCACTTCGAAAAGCGCAAACAATATTAAGTAACTAATTTAATACAAAGTATGAACTTTAAAGTGGGCGTAGATTGAAAAACCTAAACTATATGGAATGACGCAAAATGCTTCAAGAACCAACGGCACAGATTTTGATAAAATCTATAAATAAAAATGATTTTTTTTTTAATAAATTGTAATAGTAGGCAGTGGTTACACAATGGTAATGCGCCCGCTTGCGATACCGAGTGAAGCGGGTTCTCGCACCTCTGGTATTTTGATGTGCGAATCATTTCCAATATGATTACCACTATCTTACGGTGAAGGATAACATCGTCAGAAAACCTGCATATCTGAGAACCTAGCAAGTTTTCAAAAGACATGTGAAGCCTTCTCTCTCTCTCTCTCTCTCTCTTGGCCAGCGTAGTGACCTTTGGCCTGATTCTTATATTAAAAGGGAGGTCTATGCCCAGCAGTGGAATGTAAAAAAAGACTGAATACATAATAGTACTTAATTTAAATATATTTATAATTATTGCATCCGATACTTAGTTAAAACTCAGTAAAGTGACGACAAACTAAAAGTAAGGCGTGAACAATTTTTGAGATTTTATTTAAATAACAGTTTAAATACTAATTGTATTTGTATGTGGTAGGAAAACATATTTTTCACAAGTCTACCAATGCAATGTCTGGTATAGTTTTTATCAAATCAATCCGTAACATCTTTCAGCATTTCTCGTTATTCGACATACTCAAATTTCTCCATCTACGCTCACTTGAAAGTTCAACTAAATAATCGTCATTAACTACACGTTTCAATCGCGAAGAAGGCATATTGCTAAAAAAATATATTAATTATTTATCAATTATCATCCGACTGAGCGAAAGAGCCGGTACAGACATGCGCTTAAAGTATTTGGTGAATTCTTCTTACAGTCTATTCATAATACCTAATTATGTACGATGCCAACTATACAATATTTTTAAATTCAGTAATATAATAATAAAATTAAGGAACTTAAACTATTTACTAACAGTTTCTTTTAAAGTTATAATTTATATATATATATATATATATATAATACATGCATTATGTATTTATATATACACTAGCGACTCACCCTCGCTTCGTTCGGGTTCATCCATAGGTACGTTTTAACGGTTAGTATGGAATAGATAGACTAAATATTATACATATATGTATATATATATGTACGTACAAAATAAACAGTTCTGAACTTTTCGATTTTCCAGCAGTTTTTTTCGATTTTCCTATATATTTTTTTATACTTTAACCATTCCAGACACATCCCCAGCAAAACAAAAAAAAGAATTATTCAAATCGGTCAGGCCGTTTTTGAGTTTTAGCAAGACTAACGACGAACTGCAATAGATTTTTATATATATATATATATATATATATATATATATATATATGATGTACCTTATGATGATGAGTACCTTAATTGCAAGAATATTACATGCATAACCGGCCCTTTCTTTCATAGTTTTAAATATGAATTTTCGTTTCCAACATGCAAGGGTTATACAAAGTATTGAAATCATTCAAGAATACCTTCCTCTTATCACGTGACGCTCGTTAAGCATGCAGTTACTATTTATATATTATCTACAAAAAAAACAACAAAATGCAAGCCGTTATTCATTTCACCGTTAGGAATTTAATAAACTCACCCCACACCGAAATTGACCTTGTGAAAATTTCTTGGTAAGCTCGCGCTTCGAAACCTATATTTCGATTGCATATGTGTGAAAATATCTATACATGTGTACGATTTTTGCGAACGAATGCCACCCCATTTGATATTATTAATCAAATTTATTATTGAATGATATTAAAGAATTTACAATTTAAATGTGTAATAGGATGGCATTTGTATGGTTATTTTGATCAAAAACGCACACACTATAAGCATTTAAAAATACGAGACGCTATGCGCTGTTAGTTATAATATCTTAATCCCTGCCACATTAGAACGCACAATCATGATTATGTCTCGGTCTCATGACCACTGAAAGACTGAACTCATGCGTTGACAAAAATAATTAGGGTCAAACTCAACCCATCGAGAACACCATGGGATACTCGAAAGGAGTAAAAATGATATGTACTTGTAATAATAAAAGCGGAAATTATACAGTCGACCGCTTGATAGGTTGCATTATGTTTTTCAGCTATTACATTTTCAAGGCAATCTTTTTCTAAAACATTTAATAATTGTTATGGAGTTTTATATTTAGATATACAATTTCAAAATTTAACTAGCTTAATTAAATGCTTGTCAAATATCAAGTAGTCCACTGTAAATAACATAATAATACCAATGTATACATTAGGTAACGTCGTCGACAAAGGTCACAAATGATAAAAAATAATATGACAGGAATTTTAAGTTTTAACAAAACTATTATATACATACATATGTGCACGTACTTAAATAAATTTGATTTAGAATACTTAAAAATAATATAAATTGTGACAATTGATAATTAAACCTAACAATAAAACATTTTATTTATGACTTTTGTCACAGACAGTAGGTATAGATAGGTAGGTATAGATATCGCTTCAAACTAGAACAGGGGCATTGAAGATAGCAAAAATCTAAACAAATTTGGTATGTAGGTAAACAACCACATGACGTATTGAAAGTTTAAGATGTACGAATATGGAATATTAATAAATTACTACATGTATATAAAATAATGAAACACTTATTTTCATTTACTAAATAATAACAAGTTGTTAAAATCAAAACATTAATCCTTAGCCTTAAACGATTTTACCACATTAAAAAAATTATAACACAGCTACTAAAACTTTTAGTGAATTGTTTTTTTAAAAATAAAATTATTTACTTTAAACATAACTAACATTATTAATAACATTGAATAAGATGTGTTATTACAACAATAAATAAATAACATTCCTCTCACTTGAAAGGCTGTTTGAATTGACCTAAACACACACAAAAAAAAACAACTTACTTGGAACCAAGCGACCTGCACTTTCTATGAGTCGGTATAAATTTAGCCTGAGTGTATGAGCCTTGTATCCTCAGTGATCCGGAACCCAGTCGGTGTGAGGGAGATAGAGAGAATGGGGTGGAAGTGCCTTGTATTTGCATTTCCTTTACAGACTCCTTAGAACCCTCACAGCTTACTACTGGCGATTGAGGCTCCAGTTTCTGTGACAATCTGAAAATAGAACATTAGCCTTTCCTTTAGTTGAGAATTTAATATTAACTCAAATCAAAACTATTTTTTTTACGATAATAAACCAATGAACGTAGTTGAATTTATGGAAAAATAGTGATGAAAATATAATGACTCCATTATTGTTAGCTTCTAAGGAAAATGCCAACTAACTTACTATTTAAAATTTCATTCTAAAAGCTTATGTGTCTATAACATTTTGCTGCATGTAAAATATCTATATTTCTGTCTAATGGATCATATATCTAACATATAACATTAATTAATTGAAAATGGAAACAAGATTCCTTAATAAATTAATATTAAAAAACATTTTTTAAAACAAGCTTTTATATCAAATAAATTTTGTAATGTAATAAATTGGTTTTGATAACGCAACTGTAAGCCATTATAGAAAGAAAAAGAAAAAAAAATGGGTTTGTTTTAAAGTTTATTTTTTATTTTTCAGGTATTAATTCGTATTCTTCCCAGCAAACCCTTTCATTTGATATCCATATCGGACTGCATAAAAAAATATAGTACGCCATCTTTAGAACGACGTCACTTATCTTACCATGCATTATCATCTAAACACAACATGTATGAAAAATTTCAGCTGATTTGGTTGAATTGAATGAAGCTGATTTCAGAATCGGTTGAGGATAACTGCTTTAAAATTCAATTGTAAGATTTGACCCGAACAAACATACAAATATTGCAAGTCAAATAAAAAAGTATAAAGAATTAAGTACTTGTATTGATCTTCTTCTAGAAATTTCTGGAGCTCTTCTATATATCGCACACTATTTAGATAATTAGCAACGTGAGGAAGAGGAGCGATATCGTATTCGGATTGTTGGTAGCATTCTAGGGCTTTCAATACTACCGCCATTTTAGCAACACGGTGTGGGGAGCTCGGTGCTATATTATTTAGGTACACCAGGTCTGTTAAAAATATACCTGGAATACGAAGACAGTAATTAGACTTAGAAGTTCAAAAATCTCACAATCAACCAAACTGCATTTGCAAGAAACACTTAGGCGTTCTAGTTTTTGCAAGTTTTTCAAAGCAGACGAGCCATGATAAAAATATTGATTAATGTTTAAGAGTTTATTCACATCTAAAAGTGATCTCCGCTTGTAATAGGAGTATAGAAAGCGGAGAGCTTAATCGTATTATCGAACGGCTGATTAAATGTTTAAAGCTAATTAAACTCTGCTAGATTTTAGTTCTAATTACTTCTTTAATAAGACCGGCCAAGTGCGAGTCAGACTCGCGCACGAAGGGTTCCGTACCATTATCTATAAAACGACAAAAAAATCATGTCTGTTGTATGGGAGCCCCACTTAAATATTTGTTTTATTTTAATTTAATTATTTATTTTTAAAATGAATGTATAACTAAATATTCTGTGAATATTTCAAGCGTCTACCTGTAGCCGTTATCAATATCGAGCAAAAACGAGAAAAAAATCACGCTTCTTGGGATGGAATAGGAGCTCCCTTAAATATTTATTTTATTCTGTGTTTTAGTATTTGTTGTTATAGCAGCAACCGAAATACATAATCTGTGAAAATTTCAACTGTCTAACATGATTCATGAGATACCTGCCGGGTAACAGACGGACAGAAAGACGGACGGACAGCGGAGTTTTAGTAATAGGGTCCCGTTTTACCCTTTGGGTACGGAACCCTAAAAGAGATCGTTTAACAGCGATCACTTCAACCGTTCTTGCTTGCTATTGCTCAGGAGACAAAGTATGCTGACGCATTATTGATATTTGGAAAGGTCTTCAAACAAAATATCTACTTAGTCAAAAATTATTAACTATAACAAGGATTGTTGGCAACAAGCTTGAAACTCATTAACAAGAAAATTGTATTGAAAGATTGTCGCAAAGCATTAAGTAATTTGTGTTCATTGCAATAAGACTTTAAATATCAAAGTTAGACCATTTCTTATATAAATGTTCGTCATTAAAACTGGATGTACTGGATATTTAATGAAACCGAGATATTTAACTATAGCACAACATTCGACGTTTGTTGTACTAATGTAATTTTGAAACATAAAACGAATCGGATATGCGTAAGTAAAAAGAATGCGATAAGAGGAACACAATAAATGATAATTGTTTTGTATGACAAGGAACAAAAGCGACACGATTACAATTATAACTACTTTGTTTATCGCTTCCGTCACTGATGATTGAAAATATTTATTTAGCGGTCTAACGATATATATAAACGGGAAGCAAAAATCATGTTCTTGTATTGTTATTGTTAAAGTTCATGCTCAATCACTGAACATAATGCAGATGAAAAATGTTAAAATATAACATAAAATATATATATATTTAAACAAAAATATGACAATAAATTAATATTAATAAATTAAATCAACACTATAATAACTAATTATAATAAAGCCAGTGATTGTTCATTATCTAAATTTTATTAGACACAGTTCAATCTTTTTCATTCAATTTTTTTATAAATTCGATCCATATTTATTATAAAGTCAGAAACAATTAATAAGTATGTATCTAGAAAATAAAAAAATATGTTCATATGAATTAATAATAGCTAGTTACCAAGGTGAGGAATGCACGGGAGCGAGATAGATCGCATATATTCACGTAGAGCTGTCCAATTATCTTTTTCGCCAAATAACTCTGCAAGTTTGTCAAATTGCTGTTTATCTTTCTTTGATAAGCAGCCCCAAGTCTTAGTCAACCTGAAATATATGTTTTTCTTTGTACTAATTCTTTAAGTTTAAACCTGTATTCTATAATTAGAATCTGAACCAATAAGTACCTACTATATAAGTTTCGAGATTTTTTTTTCTTCTAATTTAATTTAATAAGATTGTATTACAAATTAATAAAAGAAATATATTTAACAATAAAAGTTGACCAAATCAAAGTTATAGAAAATCAACATTTGATTATAATCTATAAATTAATATCATCACAAGTATTTTTTTACATATTTCACTAAATTACAAGGTTTTCTACTTACCTATATATACTAACACTATGCAAAGCAGAGATGACAGCAAAAAGAGAGTGAAGATTATTCAGGTCATATAATTTTTTAGCCACTTTTATAAAGTGAGCTAATATTTCAGCCCGAGCTTTTGGTGTTTGTCCATTGAGTATTTCTTGTACTGTCCAGAAACTAACCTAAAAATTGAATTGTTCATATATATACAAGAGGAAGAGTTGGTTAATTTTAAAGAATCATACTGTTGAATAAACCATTACCCTATTAAATCTTTTTGTAAAGGCCACTACATTTGGTGCCTCAGTCAATTTGTTTGCTTTCATCCAACCACATGAAGTAAGCTCTTCAGCTTTGATTGATTTAAAACAAGGTAAATCCAGAAGGGACAGTTGATTGGCAATATCTTCAGGGGCTATTTGCATTGCTGAACAAACTATATTGTCCCAGGACTGATTAATAGAAGCAGTAGCAGGGAGACTGCTAGTTTTGTACTGATAAATGGGATCAGTCTGACGATTTGTAGCACCTTCCCCAAGTCTACAATTAACAAATTTTGACATATCAAATAAAATATTATTACAATAGTTTTTACTAAGATATAAAAGAAACGTTGTGGTATTTTATGTTTCTTTTGTGATATGATGTATTCATGTACATTGTAAAAAAAATACCTATTGTCACTGCACTATTTCTGTGCAAAAATAAATATATTCATTGTTATCTATATAAAATAATAAAAAGAAATTAATAGTATTCCATTTTAGTTTCACTTAGGGATTTAAAAAAGTACTATTGAATTGGCAGATCTATCTGGCATAATTTCTGGACTATGTCCAATGCAAATTGGCAAGTGAGGATGAAAAATTTAAATAAAATATATTCACTCATTCCCTATTTTTTTATTATTAATAGTTTATTTACATAATATGTTATAATTGTTTAATGAAAGTAGGTAATAAAAAATACCAGATATTTTTAAATAAGAAAATGTATTAAAAAAAATCTATAAAATTAACTCAGTTTGTCACTTACGCATAGTTATAATAACATGCACAGTCATTCTTCGGATAGGCTCGGTCATTGTTTGTTAGAGCTCTGGAAACTTTTTTACTATTTTGTTTGAAGGATGTTTTATCTTCCAATGGCCAGTTTTCTTCATCTTCATGCTACAAATATTATTTTAGTTAGAAATTAATAATGCTACACAAATCAAGGTGGTAAGGTATATAAATCTATCTTGTTAATGTATTGGGTTGATAAGTGTTCTTTATATTAGGTGTTTTTTCAAAGAAATAATGCAGTATACATATGAATTTTGACGAAAGATTTTTTTACAATAATTGTCATAGTACCATAATTTAAAAGTCTTCAGAGAAGTTAAAAAATAATTGTAGTAGTTACTAATAAAAAAGTTAAGGAGCCACAAAATTTACTTACCTCTACAATTCCAAGGACAGCTAAGCTGTCGCTTAAAATATCCCGTGGCATTTCTGTCCAAGGTAATTGTGGTACATACTTTGAAGTGCAAAAAGTTAGAAATTCTAAATCTTTAACTATTTCATCTTTGCATTAAAACACTGTGACACTGAATATTTACGTTTTCACTTGTAGTAGGTTGTTTATCCTGTTCATAATAATAAATGTTATTAGGGATAATAAGATAAATGCTAAATAAATATTGAACTTAATGATATTAATTGTAATCACTAAAAATTATCAAATATTGTCAAATGTTATTTTATACATCATCATTGAATATTAAATTATAATTAGTAATGTTTTGACATTTCACATCGGCATATCGATATATTTTAATAATTCAATTAGTATCAAACAATAAAAATAATTAAGTACATGAGAATTAAATCTTGTACTTGATTAGATATTATACAATAGGAGATACAAAAAATTATAACACTACTAATTTTTAAATGAACTTAAGTATGAAAGTATTTTTTTTAAATATTTACAAGATTTAGGTTCAAGACGATTAATTAATTCAAATATATATAAATACATAAATATTAAATTATGTATATCAAATATTGGACCACAGATGAAAAAGCTAAATTGGAAGAAGTTGCGTTCTGAAATTAACAGAATATAACAGTTTATAAAACTTATTATATTGTCCTATTTTATTGAAACATTGAATATTATATTATATTGTGCATATAATATTGTCAGTATTGCTAAAGAACATTTTAACATTTAAGTAGAATTAGAAAATATATAATATTTGTTTCGTGATTATAAACAAAAGTGCACTATCACTAAAAATTAAACTGTTTATTGAAAAATATTTGTGAGTAGTCCGTTAAGTAATGTTTAATTTTTATTACCAAGCATAAACAACCAAAAATTATAAGAAATATATATTGCATTCGTAAGTATACAAATAATACAGTATACAAAAATAAATACAAACATAAATAAAACACTCATCTGTTTTTTTACATACTTATAGACAATAAGCATTGTTTACAGTTTTATTTATTTTGTTGTTGTATTTTATAGTTATTGTTAATTTTAATAGCTTATTTAGTTGTGCACTATAAAAAAAATACCTAATATAAATATGATTTGATATATTTTTATGATTAATTTATATCAAATATTTGTGTAAATGAATTTACAGCGCAACTTTTAAAATTGTATAGTATTGACGTTTTGGAGTAGTACCTAAAGCGCATGCACTTTCCATGCACTTATATGTATAACAGTTATATAGTTAGATCAGAAAATTTAATGCGAAGTATTCCATATTTTTGCTTCTAAATCCTATTAAAATACTTTAGTGCTAAATAACTAACAAGATTGTGTACTTTCAAGATTTAATTTAAACTGTATGTTACTTTTCAAGTATATTAACTATATTGTTTTAATATTATTGTTGGGACAAATAAATATGCTGGGACATTACATACAAATACATAAAAATCGATGTGTGTATGTATGTTCTCTATGGACTCTAAAATGGCTGGACTGATTTTGATGAATTTTTCGTAAAATCTTCAGATTAGCCTAACGGGTGATCCTGTTAAGTTTGATGGCGATTGGAAGTTTAACGCGGGCGAAGCCGCGAGTACTGCTAGCTAAGCAATAAAAATAATTACACTTAAAAAATTAATAATCTATGCATAAAAATCTATACATATAAAAATAAATAGAGCAATCCAATGGAAGTGATTAAAAAAAAGACGAACTGTATCTAAATAAGCTTCCGCTGAAAGGCGAGTCGTTTCCCTACTTTATTTATTAATTATTACAAAAATCATAATACAAAATTTTTTGCTCGAGGTTTTCTAGTTGACTAATAATTAAATAATTAAAATACTCATAAATTAAGAAAAAATACTGTGTAACAAAGCATATTATTTTCGTAAGTTGTTAACATGGATAATTAGTAAACTGTTATGGCGTTTGTGTTCTGATACACAACGCATATAAAAGTGTCTTTTCCTTTAAAATAAAAAGGAACTTCCGTAAATATAATAATTGTGTTTATTGGAAATATTTTAACATGGGTATATAATATTCCTTCAAATAAATTTGATTCTGTGAGAGTATACTTATTTAAGGTTATGTTTCCGTCTTATATAGATATTTTAGGTGTGTTTCAGTGAATCGGAAGATCAAGTAGGCGTTTTTCTCCAAGCCAGTATACATAAAAGTGATGTCTGAATGAATTTCTCACGGTTTTTAGACATTCAGTCATGGTGGGAAGTCCCAAGCATTGCATATTTTTGTTCTTTATTCAGGACTGCTTTCAATCTTTTGGATTTTGACATCGAAGTGAGTAAATGGACATTTTTCATTCAATGTCGGTTTTACATAAGACGAAGTGATTTTATATACGGTAATTTGTTAATTTCGTAGGAATTGGAGGAAGCACTCCTCACAGATGGCACAGAAGAGTCTGCTAGTTCTCTTTTGACCGAATTAATAGTACGCCTCTTGAATGGTTGTTTGGGCAACAATGACATCTCGGCTTTTAATTATCAGGTGAGTCATTATTAATATTGATATAATTGTTTGCATCAGGACCTTAGATCAAATATAATCTAACTGAATAATTTTATTATAGATGTATTTGAGGCGATTGTTCAGGCAAAAATGTCAGGAAACTGGACGCTACAACCCCTTCAATACTGACATTGATTTTCAATTCCTTCCTCTTCGAACTAAGGTTGAGATATTGTATGCATTATGTGATTTCCGGCTTGATGCTGAGGATGTGTATGATTTGTTCAAGAATCTTGAGGCAGAAAGCTTACGAGTGGAACCACTAGGGTAAGTGTTATGATATTACAAGCAAATAATTGTGGAATGTGTAGATGTAATAAATTTATATTATGAAGTCTGTCATTAAACATTACTTAGCTTATTGAATATATTATTATATAAATAGCACTATTTGTATAGAATTTCAAATATTATAAAAACAGGAATAACAAGTTGATGTTTAAATTATTGATTTTTTAGACATTAGAGCTTGCACATACTAAATTCATATGTTGAATTCTTATTAAAATAATATACTGAGTAAAAACTATTGAATATTGATAATATGTCAATACTCACAGCTCACTAGTTTTCAAGGTACATATGTACTTTACGTTTGGTTTCCATAACAAATGTATCTATTGAATTGAATAAATTTGATAATTATAGTAACAAAGGAGACTTTATAGCCATTGATGCTAGTATGTGTATAGTTACTATTACTGTAAGTATAATTAGCATTGGAAGAATGATTTTTTACTAATGATATTTGTGTTAATATAAACATTTATCTCTTACCTTTACATACTCTAGTTAATATAAGATATAATATAACAGATTCCATACACATATAATTTCAGATGGGATGACAACGACTCCGCCTATTGGTACTTTTATGGCACAAGATTATATAGGGAAGATGTGTTAAAAAAGAAGGGAAAAAGTAAGAGAAGAAAAAAAGAGAGTCGGAAAAGAGGTTGGTTCTATGGAGATGATTGGCTTGATGACGAAGAGTCCGAACGAGTGTGGCAAGTGGTGTGCTTTACAGAGGAAGATTGGACCCACTTGACAGAAAAGTTTAAAAAGGCCACCAGCAAGGTTGAAAGGGAACTCTACCGGTCCTTATCACAGAACTTCCTGCCGGAAATACCAAGACTATTTCAAGAAAAGGAGCGCTTGCAAAGAAAAAGGTTAATGTTTTATTTACACTATTGACTTTATTCATTTTTTAAATATATTTTATTTAGTATACTTTTCATAAAAATGAAGTTTAGCTTACAAAGCAAGTTTAAATGTTATAATATTTAATAATCAAAAATGTTTCTATATATGTCTAATGACCAGCATTGCCTTTATTAAGAGCTTATAAAATACTGATTAAATATTTTTGTAATTATAATAATTATTTATTAGTAATAGACATACATATAAAAAATTCTATATGATTCATGTTATCATATTAGTTTGGATATATCATGCAAATAGTATCTGCAAATTAAGCTATGCAAAACGAGATTAACTTATAGTTATGCAGCATATGTACACACACTTCATATTTGATCATATTTTAAAAATAAGAGGTGATATTGAGGACAATATACTAATTTCTTTTGTTATGCCTGTAAAATATAAATAATAAATATTATGTTTGAGTTAAGATTAATTAAACATGAGCAAGCGAATATTTATAATCAATGTATATATTGCAAAAATATCTGCGATTTTTTTTCTTTTTAATAAAATGTGCATTCTATAAAATTAACCACCTCATACAAATGCTGTTGCACAGTCTAATGCTTTAAATGTGACTATAAGAAAAAAAAACAGTTATAATTTACCATTAATTCTTTAAAAAAACAAAAAGAAATATGCCAATCTGATATGTCGATATATCTCTGATAAATGGAAGTTTTTATTTTTATATATTGACTAGATCTTAAGAGACAAACTCATGCTATTGTGGACTATTCTATAAATCTATTCAAGACTTACAATTTTCTAGTACATTGTTTGATGTATGTCTCAAAGTTTAGTCAGCTTTAGTCATGTACATTTCTAAGGATGACTTGACAGAACCAGTTATTATATTTCCCATGGGAATGAAAGATTTTCCTAAAGTAAAAGGTGTTCTAAATATTAACCCAAGTAATAAGTTAGCACCACACAAAATTTAGTTAAAAAGTTCCCTACTGTTTGCACAGACATACAAACAAACAAACACAAAAATTTTAATAACTATTGTTTTGGGGTCTGTATTATGTAAACAATATGTTACATTCATTGTTTTTAAAAAAATATTCCATTAACAGTATTCGCTCAGTGACTATCTTATTATATGCATTGATATATAATCTAAAACATATTGAAAATTGTAAGCTTACTAAGTAATAGGTAATATGCATATCATTCATATATTTATAATTTTTGGTTCTATTACTATTGTTAATATTAATAGATGGTATTTTATTATTGTTAAATTTTTAATTGCATTTTATTAATTAAATATATGCAGTGCGCTGAAAATTGTTTTGATAAAAATGTGATGACAAATTTCATTTGATTAATGCCTATTGGCACCTACGACAATGTAATAGCAGCGTCATTTCAAATGCGCGAACATGACTATTTACGATGTTATGACAAGTAAAAACCAATATTTAATCAAAATAAGAAGTACTTGTATATAAATGGAGTTATTTGGGCTTAGCGAAATTATTATAGAAAGGTACATAACATAAATAGGATATAATCAATAATGTTCATAAAGATAATGCCTACGTTGATAAATATTAATTCTATAGAACCTTAAACTACTACATTTATTAACTTACTTGCACTCATAACATAACCATAAAGGCTACTGTTTTTGTTAGAAATAACGTGTGTGTGTACTTATGTACGCTCGTAAGAAGTTATACTTTTTTGGTGTAACAGAACAAAAATAGCCAAAGATTTCATCCCGTATGTCATAACTCTCTGTTTGTAAAAGGAATGCAGCTAACTTCACCTTGTCGCTTTTTGGCTGCCGGTTTGCACTCGCATCGTAAAAATTTTACTTTCATATTTTTTCCCAAACATACCAAAACAAGTATAACTTCGAAAATCTTCATAATTAATCTATGCTTTGCTATAAACACTGGTGTATAACAATAAACAGATCTATTTTGAATAAAATGCATCACATTAGGGTTTGACAAATTATCCTTGCATTACAATATAATTACTGAAGTTACTTTTATTTTATACTTTTTTATATCATTAAAGGTTACTAGAGCTTGCGCCGCGTCGTACATCGAGCCGCGTCTTGCAGAAGATCAAGCAGAAGGAGGAAGAGATCAAGAACAGCGTATATGACTCTAAAGACGAGGATAGTAAAGAAACACCCACAGCCGCACGCGAGAGCCGGGCTCGGCGGAGGGAGCGCTTGAGACGGTATGTTGTCTTACATTTTGTCTTTAATTATTACTTAATGCTTAGCAGTTAACAGTTTCTCTACCGGCGAAAAAGAACAAGCTTGTGACAGGTAAGTAACTAGTGTTTGTTCAATTTAATACTTTGTTATGGTTACACTACCTTCTATACCACGTGGCTAAATACAGCTACGGAGGTATGCTACTACATAAGGCGGCAATATGCTTGGCGTACGGGCTCCTATATGCATGGTGGTTCAAGGACTATTTATTGGTCATTTCTGTTTCTAGTTTATGTAAATAGGATAGAATAAATAATTATTTCTTCTTTTGTTGTACAAGATATACATGTGAGTATTGTTTGCTGACACATCAATTTTTTGAAAGTGAAGTATATTCTATTAGCATAAAACGATTGTAAACAATGTCTAAGTTATAATAATCTATACTAATATTCTAAAGAGGTAAAGTTTGTGAGATTGTAGGGGGTAATCTCCGGATCTGCTGAAATGATTTAGATGAAATTTGGTAAGAAGATAGTTTAAGACCCTAGGAAGGAAATAGGATACTTTTTATACCGGAAATCATCCCTTAAGGGGGTGAAAATGGGGATGAAAGTCTGTATTGGGAAGGAAGCTAGGGACGAACCCGAGCTAAGCGAGGGTTAGTCGCTAGTTTATTATTAAAGTAACGATAAACCCTAGCTTCGCTTAACTGCGCTTCTACGTGCCAAATACGTAGTACTTCTACTGGTATCCCACGTATTACTCCAGGTCGTAATCTATCTGTGTACAAATTAAATCCGAATCCGTCGAGCCTTTTATTAATATTACCGTTGATACCTTATATTAATATTATTTAATTAAAAAAGTTAAAACCTGTAGAGCCTTATTATTTATATAGATTAAAAATTGCAATATATTTCCCATATTGTTTTGATGGTATTATCGGAACAGAGCCATTTTATTTCGAACTTCTGGTAAAGTTTTCGACATACTGACAGTGAATAAAGAACTTAGACTTTAACGAATAACATGCGTACGTTAAGTTGATTGTGACTTAAAAAGTATCTAAAATATCAGTTTATATTAAATTAAATGTACCATTTATATGTATATAATACATACATTAACACCTTACATATAAAGAATATTAGTTTTATACTACATCTGTGAAAGAGTTTAATGAGCTGGGCCTGATACATTGACAGTACGATCAAATTGTTCAGTTGACCCTATTCATGTGACGATGAAAGATGGACACTTTGATTAATGTCCACTTACATATCGATGTGCATTTGTATAGTGTGAGAGAAGAGCAAGCTTGTAAGAGATCTGCGTATATAATATCGTATTTCATGATTTAATTTTAATTAAAAGTAGAACACTATGTTTGTTAATTAGATATGTGGTTTGTATTTAATGTAAGACACACACACATATATATATATATATATATATATATATATATATATATATATATATATATATATCACATTTTTTAATGAATGCCATTGTTTTCGAAAATTCATATTGCTTGTCATGCAAATGATTTTTTTTTATTTTCTTGCTATTATCCTGTGTATTTTGTTTGACTTTATAAAGGTTATCTGTAATTTTAATTGCATATTATTTTCATTTGGTAGTTGAAAATAATGCTTCGTTTTTTTTTCATTTTGAAATTGGAAAACAAACGTTAATTTATTTTTAATTTAAAAATTGATTTAATGTGTATGTAGCTCCCATAATAGTATAAAATAGTTATTGAATATAATTAATAAATTAATATTATAACATCGATCATCATTTAAATCGATCTAATCTAATCGATCGATCGATCGTTCATTTAAATCGATCTAAGAGGTATTAAAAACAAACTTGTAAATGCAGACCTACGTAAAATTTATAATCTTTATCTTCGTGCGTGTCTTTGGTTCGTATGTATTTGTGTCTATCTGTGGCATCATAGCTCCTAAACGAATGGGCCCATTTTGATGCGGTTTTCTTGGTTAAAGGCTGAGATGATCGAGATGGTTGTTAGCTACAATTTGTGAAGTGAATCTGTTCAGGCGTTCGATAAGTAAATGAAATAAACCAGAATACAATTAAAAAGAAGATTATTATTGATAAAGTATTAGCGGTCCCCCGACGCGGCGGGGCTTATCAAAATATGAATATTTAAAGGCCAAGAGAGAAATTTATTTTTTTACTTCTTCGATTTTTTTTGTGTCGGGGTTACTCCAAATTTTTAATTTTATTAATTACTAGTAGAACCCGCAGCTTCGTCCGCGCTAAAACTACAGAAAAATTCTAAAAAAGTAGGTTTCATATAAACTTTCATCCCCTATTACGAGTATATGGGTTCTCTTCCTCTTAAAATAACGCAGCCGAATAACCTCTCACTGTGAAGTAACTCCTTCATTTTTTGCTATTTAAAAAAATGGATATGTCAAGCCTAAAAGTTGCTTCTCATAAGGAGGGGAGAGTGTCTCTCTTGAAGGTAATTTTAAAAATTATTCTTTAAAAATTATCCCGATCTGCTAAATTGTATTGAAGTTATTGTAATTATATTGAAAATTAATATATGTTTTTTACTTAATTTAATATAACAATTCTTTCATATCAAAGCTAGTGAGTCGAGAATAGAAATCGAGATAAAAGTAGGCACATACCTGCTTTAATGTGAATATTTAGGAAACATTTCTGCCTCTATGTTATAAGGAAGGGTTGAATGATATATAATTTCTAATATAATGTTAACAACTAAATATGTCGAATAAAAATTACACATATGTTGGATATTGACTGGTTTTAGTTTGGAAACTATAAATCATCTTGAATGATATTAATAATAGCTACTCAAATATTCTTAAATATATCATGAAAACAATTTGTTGAAATAGGTTTTGGACAGATTATGTCTTTCTCTAAGATATAAACTGTGTGTTTCTCGTAGTGTAAAATTCATCAATAGATTGTAGTGTCGAGGGATCATGAAAACTTAATTTTTTAAAGAACTTGAATGTTAATTACTTGAACAATAATTATATGTATTATTAAAAGCTGATAAATATCCAATCTTATGTTCCAGATCAAAATCAACATCGTCAGATTCTTCCTCGAACAGTTCAAGTGATCAGGAAGAGATGCCTCAAAAGGTAACTAGGAGGTCAAGGACAAAAGAAAAGAAATCAAAGAACTCTTCATCTACCCATAAAGGAGAGCCTCCACCGGAGCCCGTCGTAAGAACTGGACGCAAAACGAACAATTCACTGGCAGCTGCTACAGGGCAAATAGTTATACCAGACAATGATGAACCGGTTAATAGCACCCGAAAAAAGCTTAAAACATCTCAAATGTAAGTGATTTATTTTTAATTTATAAGTATATACTCAGCCTTTTTTATCGTCATAATGCTAAGCACGGATCCCCTTAATGCCCCTTGTTTTAATTAAAGTTAAGCGCATAGTCTTCCAAGCTGGCCAACTGCTAGTTTGCAGACGTTGAGCCGGGTACTCATAAGCGACCCCCCTAACGTGCGTTCACTTTGTCGTGGTGGGGGGGCTCAGTAGTGCCCGGCAACACAGCCGGGCGCGAAGCCAAGAAACGCACAGGGAGGTGGCCCGCTTCGGTGGGCGGTGGGAGGTGGCCCTCTTCGGAGGGCGGTGTACCATGTGGGTTGCTCCTGGTACTTCTCTGATAGCAGAGTGGACATTGGAGCAACCCCGTGGTTGTTGTGGTCTGCTTCGGCAGACCTGCCGTCGGGGCGTCGTAGTTGAATGCGTAAGCGATCCTGCGACGCCCCATTAAGACGGGGGAAGGTTTTGTTGGGTTTTAGTGGGTAGTACTGGCTTCGCCGGTGAGTCCCACACTTCGTGCGTAAATGCATTTCCCAATGTTAAAAAAAAAGAGTACTCATAAGCGAGCTGTGGATGTAATCGAACAGATACAGCGCCTTCACCGAGCGTACTTATTAAGCGAGCTGTGATTGAAACCGATAGTAACGAAACTCTAACAGTAAGGAAATTCTAGAGTGTACAAGAAGTCCATATCACTGTTACCTTAACGACAAGCCGGATCTTTCGCAGTATTGGTTTGTAACTCTACGACATCGGACGAAATGTCTATCACTTGTGCAGCATACATACTTATAAATGCATTACTCGATAATAATCAGCCACGAACATAGTAGATTCATCGAATGTGTCGTGAAATAAATGATCTACTCCTTATTTAAAAAAATCAACAAATCAGTGGTCAATACAAAAATTTCATTCCATAACATTCCAAGGTTCCATAGTACACTGCTTTCCTTATAGGCGTCTAACAGCAGAAGGCATTTATCCTCTGACCATTCACTCATCATGGTAAAGGAATAAAGAATAATAATCAAAGGAATAAACGCTCGAACGCAACGATCTTCACTCTCAACGTCCACGAACGCACAGCGAGCTCCCTTTGATTCGAAGTGCGAGCCGCACATGTTCCGCTTGTGGCAGGCTTGCGAACCAATTACTCACTATGTCTTTTGGTAACAGTAACGTGCAACGGTTCAATTACGGTTACGGTTACACAGTGAGTGGCAGGTTCGCGAACCACGTACAGTATTGTTTTTAGTAACGATAACGTGCAACGGTTACAGCTACAGCTCGCTACTGTGTATCCCGCTTTACATTTTTATCGAAAACTTGATAAATTCTCTCAGGCTTGTAGATTTCCTCATGATGTTTTCTTTCACCGTAAAGCTACTAGTAATCATGTTAAAAATGATTTGCACATGAGAATATCGATTCATCGATTTTTTTAAAAACACTTTGCCACTGTCTATTATAAGAATAAAACAGCTCATTTAACATTTACTGTAAACTTATTTTAAAATACAACGCATGATTGCATATCAAGCTAAATCTGTTGTATTCACATATGAAACTTTGACCTTATAATTGATTGCTTTATTAACCATCCATGAACTTCAAGCCGTCGACTCGCAATATATCGGTATCAACACTGCAAACATTACCAATTTTTCAACCGACTTCCTCAAAAAGGAGGAGGTTCTCAATTCGGCTGTTTGTTTTTTTTGTTACCTCAGAACTTCGTCATTTATTAACCGAATTAGACAATTTTTGTTTTGTTTAAAAGGGTATAAGGTATAGGGTGGACAAATAGCTAATGATTAATTTAACCTACTTCTAATTGTCATATTGACTTGAAACTTTGCAAGTGTATCTATTTCCGTTGACAGTGCAGTGTTTCGGTATCGTTGACCTGATCTAATGGTAAGACCAGAAGGTAGATAGGTGGAACTCTTCAACGGCTACTAGTAAATACTTTGAGTTTGGGCTTATTTTGTTTGATTTGACAAGCCTAACGCGTTAAAATCGGATTTTAGAGCCAGAATTTTTAGTGTTATTAATAAAAGCGAATTTTAGTTTGTAAGTCTTCCTATAAAAATTGGCATTAAAGTAACTTAAAAGGTTTAAGCGATTTTTTATTAAAATACTTTCTTCTTACTTTGCTACTACTATGTCTACACTAAAAAGGGAAAATAAAAACTTTTTACAAAAAAATAAAAACAGACTTCAAAAAAGCACTAGAAAGTAAAAAATAACTAATTGGTAGTTTTCATTTACTATACATACCTAATCAAATATTTTCGAAGTCGGTGCCATCCTATACAAAGCAAACCATACCGACATTTTTTTTATTGTTAAAAAGTTTTTATTTTTCTAGAAGAGTAAAATTATATGTACATATTAGTGTTATTATATTCAACGTACAACGGACCAAATGCGAGTCTAAGTGCGGAAAACGAGTCCAATATACAATAGTGTTATTATAGATGATTGGCTAATTTATTTTATTTATGAAATGTTAATTAACGAAATATCATATTTTTAGCTTTGGTCAAACCGAAGAAGATATACAAACTGATATGTACAAAGTGCTGGAACAACTCACTGCACACGAAGACGCGTGGCCGTTCATGGACCCAGTTGAAGAAGAGTATGCTCCTAACTATTACGCTGTCATCCGACGCCCGATGGACTTACGCAAAATGGAGGAACGCCTGGATAGTGGATACTACACGGACTTTGCAATGTTTAAAGCAGATTTTAAACTTATTGTGAACAACTGTCGATTGTACAACGGACAAGATAATGGTAAGTGTATAATATTTTATGAAATAACACAATAATTAAATACATATTACTATATGTATTTAACATGAACGAATTAACCACTGGACCAGACATATAAGCGGACGTACCTTTAACGGTCATGTCAGTAACCAGGGAATTTTAGCCTAGGTCGTTTGTTTCTTGTGTCAGTCTCAAGCACTTACTTGTCAACAAAACATCTCCCAAAAATGACTAAATGTTCTGTTAAATGGTGTAAAAACTATAACGGCGGAAGCAGCACTATTTCTTTTTACTTGTAAATACATTATTTTATTACATTGATTGTTATTTATCACAAAATTTAATTAAATGTAAAATAAAATGTCATATTATCCAACTATGTTAAATATAGTCGATATTTCTATGTATTGTTGACATCTGACAACCATCATAAACGGGCTGGATTATACCATTCAGAACAAATGACAAAACTGTCGAGTGAGTCCATTTGACATCGACTAGTGCTTGACAATGTCGAAAAATATATCGATATTTGACGAAATAACTGAACGAATTGTGTTATTTGTACAGTACAATAACATAAAATACTTTTATCACAGTATCCTACAATCTGATGACAATAAATTTATAAAAATATTTTCTAAATCAAATAAAAATATAAATGCAAAAATTATAATTAGTATGTGTACTTAATTTTTCATTTTATTTTATACCACATTTATATACTTTGGAATATTTTTCCATTGTAATAATAATAAAGATCATTTTATTTCAACACATAAATTACACAAAATCAAACAATAATGTTTTAGCACTAAACTTCTGGGTTGGCGATTTGTTATAAAACACTTTACCACTTGCACTAATTATTTTACTTTCACGATCCAACACTCACTTTTTCACAATTTGCAATCACTTTTTCTTTTTCCTAATTTCACAAATGTTTATTAATTACTGAGCAATATTAGGACAGTGTCACATTTTTATAACTACCCGAGACAATCAATTGCCAATTAAAATAGTTCAATAACAGAATCAACAAAATCACGTTATTTAATTAAATTAGCTTAATATTTTTTTAATCTGTACAAAATAATATTTAATATATATTAATGGAATATACACCCGATATTCATTTGTTTATTAACATTATTATAGGCCAACAGAATCTTGCCATCAATGCCATCGTATTTATATAAATCAAATTAAAAAATAATTATTATTTGACACATTATTATTGCCTCTTTAATTCATTTATTTTAATTTATTATAATAAATACAGATATTTTAAATTAAAAGATGTAAAATATGATGACTATGCTAACCAATGTCTAAAATGTCATTCATTGGTTCATCGATATATGTATTTTATCGATTACGTTCAAACACTAGAAATATTGTATTGTGTATCAGTGTTTATAATAATGTAATAAAATCTTTGTGTGCGTTATGCGTCACTTGGTTGAACTAGTTTTCATACATTTGTATTTTATGTCAGGTCCAGTCTCTAATTCGTCCATGGTATTTAATTATTGTGTTCTTTCATAAAATACTTTTTGTGCCCATTTTTTAAATAAATTACAAAAATAAATCATCTAGCTAAATTGTGACAAAGATTATTTATTTAACCTTTACCATAAACCAACTGGTGTCATTGATTTTAAGGAAAACTGTTAACAGGAATATAACAACGCTTAATTTGTGTATGCTCCCTAATCTATCTATCTATACATATAATAAAATTTGAACCAAGCCGAATCTGTACATTAAATATTTTTTTCTTATAATACTTTCTTAGATTTACGCGAATATTTGACATTTTAAATAAAACTATCTTTTCGGATTTTGTCGCGGATTTATTTGGATTTTTGTTTCCCGACGTTTCGAATGCTTTACAGCATCCATGGTCACGGGAGAGACTGTCTCTCCCGTGACCATGGATGATGGATGGATGGAGGATGAAAATCCGAAAAGATAGTTTTATTTAAAATATTTTTTTCTTATTGAAACAGACATTATTAGCGATACAGAGTCCGAATCTATAGTTTTTAGAATTTTTGTCTGTCTGTTACCGCATCACAGAAAAACCACTGGAGGGATTTTGATGAAATTTGATATGGTCATAGCTGGTTATCCGGGTCAACATATAGGATGTTTTTACAAACAACACATATATAGTATTTTAATATTACACATACAAAATTATAGTCAATGCTACTTTTAAATGGCTTTATAAAAGACATTTATTATTTTCAGAGTATACTATTATGGTGGATAGCTTACAAACTGCTTTCGATCGGCTTACCGAAAAATACATGCATCGACTTTCATCCTCTGATGAAGAAATTGCTGTAGAGTACCAACTGCCTACTCCTTCAAGAAAGCATAAATTAAAACCTACTGAATCACCTCCACGCCAGAGACAGAAAAAGCGTAAATCTAATTCTGAATCAGGTATGAGTCCAATCAACACATTAATTATTATATTATTTTTAGAGACCTAATAAAAAATCTAAATGAGTTTTATGTTTCGCTCGGGTGAGTGAGATTATCGGGTGCTTGTCTTCTTGCTTGACCGAAGCTTACGTTTTATTCCAGGTCATAGGCTATTTGTGTTCTTTTTATCCCAATCCCGATAGAAAATCTACACCCTGTGACGGTCTTTTCACTCCTGTTGCTACAAATCTTAGTTTTCTTAATTTTGATTTTTACTTTATAATCCTAAATGATGATTCTGTAAAATGTCTAAAATTTAAAGCCAAGTGCTCCAGCTTGGAAGAAATTGTCAATAAAGTACTTTAAAATAACTATTATTAATTTGTTGCTTACAGTTGAACCTAAATCCAGTACGTCAACTAGTAAACCTCCACAAGAAGAGATTGAGGAGGAGGAAAAAGAAGAAGAGCCAAAACAAGATGAACAGGCAGAAGATGAAGAGCCAAAAGACGATGGTAAATCTAAAGAGGTAGAAAAAAGCAAGGATTCTCACAAAAGCAAACATGACAAGGGAAAGAAAAAACGTAAAGGCCATCATCGGCATGGCAAACATTCCAAAAACCACAGGAAGAATTCTCATAAATCTCATGAGTCAAAGAAACATAGAAAACAAAGACATGGGAAGAATAAAGATAAAAAATCTAAAAAAAAGAAAAATAAACACCATGATGTTGAACCACCCGTAGAAATTAAAAGAAGCGAGTCACACGAATCTTTAGAAAGTTCAAATAGAAGTAGAAGTGCTAGCCCACTTCCCTCCATACACACTCCTTCGCCGTCACCCACCGAGCTAGATAGATCTGAATCCAATGATCAATTGCCCGATCCAGACTTTTTAAAAGACAAATATGACAAAATAAAGGAAAGACGACGTCATGCTGCAAAAGATGCTTGGGAGTCACTGTTTGATTATAAACAAAAAGTAGAAAAACAAAAAAATAGTTCCCAAGCACCGGAGAAAGAAAAGAATCACAAACTTCGAGAAACAATTGAAAAGTTAAAAGCTAAAAACGAAAAATACAAGGATTTTAATAGTCTTTTTACACCAGGACGATCAGATGCCACTCCTAATTACAAAAACAGGAAGCATTCAAGGAAAGATATTGAAGATGCTGGTAAAGACTCTTCTGATGATGAAAGCGTTGAAAGTGTCAAAGTAAAGCCCAAGAGACGCAAAAAGAGTACTGCCAAAAACGCTTCTGCTTCAGAAGCTTTGGAGCAAGCAGTCAAAGATATAAGTAAATGGCTCAGTGATGCTCCTAAAAGCTCTACTGTCATTTCCCCATGTGATAGCCCGGCTCAGACCATTTCTACAGAAGATGCAGACAATAGTCGCTTAGACGACGAGTCATCCCAAGGAGATAAGCCAATTCTATTAAGAAAAGATCTAACGCGCAAGAGGCCATCTTCTCGCGAACCGAAAATAGTAAAGAGAAGGGAAATACAAAGAACCATTGATAGATTACAACCTGGCAAAAGCAAAGGCAATCTGCTTACCAATATGAGCAACAAAAATACAGATAAAGCTGAAGAAGCGACCCCACTTGGACCTTCCAAAAGTACTCGTGACTCTAGTAAAGAAGAAGAATGTAAGCTCAGTTTGGGTTCAGTTTTACCTACTGTGGAATTTACTCTCGGAAATGACCACAATTTTAACAATGACAACAATAAAAGCGATAAGCTAAAAGGAACCAAAAAAGTTGGTGAACCAAAAGACAATAAGAAGGCCGAGCCAATAACTGAAAGTAAACCGGAAGAAAAAACAGTATATCCAACCAAAAAAGACGCGGAGGTGGAAACAGAACCACAGACAATTATAAAACCTAGCCAAGAAAAGGCCACCCCAAATCTGAGCGCCTGGTTTAAAGCTTTTGGAGCTCCCAAAACCACTAGTACTCCAAGTAACCCCAAAAAGAAGGTTGAAGAGACAGAAACTGAAGAGAAACCAGCAGAAATTACAAACAATGAAACTAAAACAAGCCCGAAGACTTCTGCTGTTAAATATGACTCTCCCAATGACCTCAACTCGCCAAATCCTGACGGCGGTGACAGTCCACTGCCGAGTGTGATCGCAACCCCGCGCCAAAGAAGAACTAGTACGGGCAGTTCGATTTCAGAGAGGTCATCTTTCAGCCAAGATTTAGACTCGCCAAGACATCAAATGTCATTAACGTCACCTCTCCTTCATTCGCCGGCTTCACCAAGGACAGACGACTTCCAAAAAATTACATATCCCATCATTAATGGTACAGTAAGAGCTGGATTCTACCAGGATACAACTTCGCTTAAAAGTAGCCCTGAAAAAAGTTGCAGCCCAAGAGACGCACCACAGTCTCCTTATTCGCCATACTCACAACATGTATACGCTTCTAACGGTGCCACAGGGTCGTCCACACCAAATTATTTCGTTGATCACAACAAAAGTCCTCTGCCGACGTATGGTCAAAATGCTCCGCCTTACTACGACACTTCAAAAGCTCCCGTTGTCAGCAAGCCTGCCCGAGTCCACGATGATTACACGGCTTTAGGTCCAGATTCATTCCAACAAAACCAATACAATGGCCCATTCTCACCAACGCCATCACAGTATTCTCCTGCGCAAACTAACTATTCGCAGCCACAAGTATCTCCTCAACGAGACGCCCCCGCATCACAACCAACGAGCGCTCCGCAAATATTACCAGACCCGAAAACTACACTATTTCCGGTCAAGAAACGAACTTACAACGAGCCTGAAAATCCTCTCCCTGCGAAGAAATCTGAAAATAATGAGGTTGTTACATCGCCGGCCAAAACTGAATACACAAAAACACCGCAACCTGTACATCCAGCTTCAACTCAATCTTCTACGTCAGTAGATAATATAGCCTTGGCTTTGAGCGAAAAATCAGAAGTACTTAAACTGAATACATTACGTGAGAAAAATGTCACTATTGATTATTCGGAAAGGCGTAATGCAGATACCAGAGACGGTATTCCATATGAAAATACTGAACTTGCTCATGATCACAAAAAAGAACCAATAAATCATGTAGATCTTACAAAGCCTGTGCCACCGAAAAGTGCCACCAAGAAAGACAATATTGATATGATTAATATGGGCTACTTAAATAACGAAGATAGGAAAGCAGCGAATGAATCGCATGACGTTGAATTTGTAAGCAGAGAAACAAGGCCCATCTTAAACCCACAGCAAAAAGGCTACGAGATTGAAGCTATAGCTATAAACCTTGGCATAAACAATCAACAATTGCCAAAACCATTAACTAAACCACCCATGATTACAAGTAACATGACACCAGCGCACAGTCACGCGCTCGACAGGCCTCACACTGATATCAGTATTAGTAACCAGAATATACCACACGCTCATCATAACCACTATGATGCTCTGCCAACAGGGCAACCTATGAACAGTTTTTCATTAAATGATATTGAGCTGGCAAATAAAAAGTTATATGCCTGCAACACTTCCGCTACGCCGACCGCGATCGACTACGGTAACTGGAAGATGAATTCTATGCGAAAATCTGACATTATGCCATCAGATTATTCTTCTACTGGCAGCTATAATAATACACCTACCAGTGAGAATAAATTAAAAGCAGTGGACGCTTCATCAGCTACTGCCATAAATTATAACAAAAATGTTCAACATCAGCAATATAACAACTTTAATACCGTACCTCGATCCAGCATTCCGAGAAGTCAAGAGATGCAACAAAATCTACCGGCCGAATTAAGGATACCTAATCCTCGTGGTATACTTAAAAGCGATCCAATTGGAACGAATACTTCGATAAGTAATTGCGAGACACTAACAAAAACTATTGATTCGATTTCAAAATCACAGAAAGAAAAACTTGCCCAAAATCACCCAATGGTATCATCATTGCCATACAAAACACCCTACAGTACGCACTCTAGTATTCCCATCGAAACTTTACGAAATTTACCTAATATCCCTCAAATGTTGGAGCGATATACTAATGACGAAAGATATTTGTCAACTTTTGCAAACACTACTTCCTCGTTGTACCATGACAAAACTTTCCAAATGTTCAATAAGACCATGTCTTCGGAGGCACATCCTACCAGCACATCGGTGAGTTCCTTATACTCTCAACCTTCGATTGCTTCAATGAGTAAAGATAATAATATTTACAAGAGCGCTGCAAGTATTGCGAGTACGCAAATGGATGTTAAGCGAAACAAAAGGAAAAGGACGTCGGACGCCAAACCGTCGTCTAGTCAAATCGGACAATCATATCATACTTCGACATGCACCAGCGACGTTTTGACATCTGTGAAGACTACTATGATTCCGGCGAGTCCGTTTAACTTCGGGACCGCCCCGAATATGACTCTGAGCGGGATGTACGGCGACAACGGAGGATTTACGATCGAGGACATCAGGAACAGCACGAATCAACTGATGGCCGCCAACTACATGGCGGCTGCGGTGGCGCACCAGCAGAGAAGTAATGATACAAATACAGAAAAGTTAGTGAAACCTGCGCATCAAAATTCAAATCACAGCACGAGCTCTTTTCCTTTTATAGGTCACTCGCAGGTCCGCGCGGGGTACCCGTTCGTGGGCGCGGAGCAGTCGTCGCCGCTGTACCAGCAGTACTGGCAGCGCTACCAGGAGGAGTTGCAGCGCCAGACCGGCGCGCAGATCATGGGCCTGTACCCCTCTGCCTACTCCGCGCCACTCGGCGTCCGCCAGCCGTACGACGCCATCAATAGACCTTCGTGGCTTTAATATTATCTACCACCTCTCTGTGACGTGAGGTCCCCATTTTATCATTATAATCGATGTGACAATTGTTATTAAAAATAAACATTTCTGTTGTTTGTAGAATTATAGCATCTATGTGAAAATATTTATCAATAATCATATTAATAAATATTCGCTAACGTGCGATATACTTGACATGACAAGTTTACTGTTAACCTATAATTATTATGTGTCTTGTACAGTTTTTATTCTTAGCCTGTGATTGACAGAACACAGAGCCACTTATGTTTAATCTTAATATTACTTATTATGGAAGAAAATAACTTCCTTTTAAAAATTCTACTTATGTAAGAAATTGATAAACTAAATGGCTATATGTGTTGCATTTTCATATTAACCTTTAACTAGATCATTTCTGTTTCTATTTTTATATAGATTTAATAAAAGGATATTTGTAACAATTTTTTTTATAAAATCAATCAACAGAGCAGGCCTTGCAATAAATTAAATTAGATTATTATTTAATTTTTATAAGTTACATATATTTAAAATTTTAAGCTTTATTTTACTGATTATATTGCTTATTATGGTCACATAAAATTGTATTGTTACTCTTTAATTTTTAATTTTATGTTCATATATCTTAAATGACATTGTTGTGTAAATACTTTGATACTTTGTTTTTAATTAATGTTTTAATAGAATGACCTAAGTACTTCTGCTAAATAAAATAATCGTAGATATGTTTAATTAAAATAGGATTATAAAATGATTACTGTAAGAAATATTGAAATCAATTCTTCATGTGTAAAAATGAAAATAAAGATTTTCAAAATAACCTTAACTTCTATTTTTTTGATAACATCCAGTCTTCCAACCAGCTTGTTAGATTAATGCATAGGAACTTGTTTCATAAAGATTGTCTCGGTAAATTATAGTTTTTGATGAGCAAGACTCTGCAAAGTTTTAATTATTGTCAAATAATTGAAATAATGAAGATATAGCTGGAAAAAAATGTACTTTTTATATAGATAACCCTCTCAGTTTGTTTAATAGTAAAATCTACGTAGAAGTAATTTATACATATATAAACTAGCAGAACCTGCGGCTTTGCTCGCGCTAAAACTACAAAAAAAAAAAGTAGGTTTCATACAAAATTTCATCTTTTTAACCTGTTTCTTTTTTCTTCTTAATTCTTCCCTATTTTAACCACTTCTAGGATGAATTTCGAAAATGCTTAAAACACATTTAATTGTATTGAAGAGCATTAATACCAAGTTTCAAGTAATTCTGATCATAATTTTTTTTTGGATTGTATTATGTGTTTTCTCATGGGAATGACAATTTCCTGCAGTAAAAAGGAGCCCATGTCACACTCCAGTCCTTCAACAATCTCCACACAAAAAATTAGTCCAATCCGTCACTCCGTTTCAACATGAAAGAAGGACAAACAAACACACTTCCACATTTATAATATTAGTATGGATATCAAATAAAATTGAGGTACATTGTCCAAGTCAAATTCAGATATGACAGCTTTAATTACTTAAATATTTTGTTTCAATAGTGAATATCTTATACACTCATTTAAATATAACAGGATTTTCATGACCAACAATATGTTTATCCATAGAATTCATGTTCCCTATTATAGAGATCGACAAAAGGAAATCAAAATAGATTTTACTAATTTTTTATACTATATTAGAAATACGAGAACACATAATATAATATTTTGTTCTTAAGAGTGTTTTATTTGTTTTCAATAACTATGAAAAGTTAGATAAAGTTTGTAAAAAGAAGAAAAAATATTAACCATATCTTAGTATAAAAAAAATACATTATTTATATTAAATTCAATTCTAAACACCTCCATTATATGAAGTTTTAACAGCATTAATTTATTAGCCAAACTTCATATTAATTAACTATATTGTAGTAAAAATAAAAAAAACAGTGTATTAATATCTTTATATTTTTATTAAAGCATCAAGAATAAAAGTAAGATTATAATTTATTAAAATAACATGCACACATTTCCAAATGAGTTGGTATGTTCTAAAGATCTTAATTTTAAATATAAAAAGATAAAGATTAAGGCAAATGTTTTCCCGTTGTTATGTTACTATGACCAATTGCTAAATGGAAGATAACGTTAATGAAATGTAGTAACTAGCTGTTATTTGGCTTCACTTTGTTCTTTCCGTTGTTGCACCATCTCTCTTATATTGTCTTCACTCTCTTTTAGATTCTTCTCCAAATATTGTTTATTATTTTCTAATTCTGAGGTACGTGTGGTTAAAAGAGATATTCTATTCTTAAGATTACTCTTAATTTCATCTAAGTCTGTTAATAAAAACATTCTTCCTACGGATTCGTAAGTTTTAGTTCCAGATGGTAATGTACTGATTTCTCGCTGAGTAATATCGGCATGTTGTAAAACTCTTTTCAATACTCCAATTTGACTGTCTATTATTTGTATTTTTTTACTCGTTTCCACCATTTTAATCTGTAATTCCACAAAGGCCTTCTTTAATTCTAGATCAACAGGTTTAGAGTTAGACATGATTGTAATTGTTAAATTTATCAGTAGTCCTAACTCCTAATTTTAATGTACTTGCAACCTGCGAGGTTATGATTATCAATATAATTTTAGACACTCGCTTTTATTTCTTCTTAATCTGTGACCAGTGACACTCGCTATAGCAAAATATTTTACTATATCTGTGGTACAGTAAAATAAGCGTCTCAAGTTTTATTTGTCGTCCATGGTCTCAAGTCTCAACTAGGGTTACCAATCTTATTGTTAAAAATAGTATTATACTTTATTTTGCTCTAAAATACTTTTTACTGTTCTAGGTATTAAAAAAAGTATTCAGAATACTGTTTTTATCATCGCTGGATCTGGAGCCATAGAAGGCTGTGATTGATCAGCCATTTGTCTTTGAATAATTCTGGTGACCCATACCATTTGAAAAAATAATGAAGTCTTATTTGTACAGACTCAATATTATTATATTGACAGTTTAAATTCAGAATGAATACAATTCCAAGTTGTTTATGAAAAATTATTTAAGGAACAGCGGATATGAATACTTTACTGGCTCAAAATAGAGCTATATATTGGAGCACTTTACAAGAATATTTTAAAAATGACAACGACTTAATAAATTGGGCAAGGAGCTTAAAAAATATGTTTTCAAAATAAAAAAAAATGAATACTCTTTATTTTTCTAAAATACTGTTTAATTTAGCTCTCTAACAATGATGATGTTCTCCTGACCGATTCCGGCCACGGCGGCCAATCTCATTAAGACTAGCCAACCGTGCAGGAGATATTACAGTGCACAAGTGTACACGCAGACACAAGTGCACTCTCTATTCCTGTCACTCTCAAACTTTTGGTCGATTTTAAGAACCTGATGTTTGAGAATAGAAGGATTAATAGATTAATGTTGACCCGAGTAATAAGTTATTACTACACAAAATTTGGTTAAAAACGGTTCAGTACTTTTTGCGTGAATCCGCACAAACAAACAGACATACAGGTAAAAATTTTGTTTGGGGTTCTATATTCTGTACACTATACGTTACACGTTTACAGTCATTGTTTATAAAAAAAAACTTGTACAGATTTTGCTAAGTTACTGTTTTATTATATGCATATTTCAGCCTATGACCCCCCCAAAAAATTTAACTCTGGATCCGCGCCTGCACTCGACACGACCAATGAGAGTTAAGGAGCAGGACCGACGGCTTTACGTGCTCTCCGATGTACGGGGGTGAAGCACCGCCAACATCCTAAAGCCGGGCTATTATTGAGGCTTAATATGCAGAAAGACTCAATAACTAAACTTGGCCCGACTCGGGACTCAAACTCAGGACCTCCGGGTGTGCAGCCGTACATGCTAGCCCAAAGAGTATACTTATAAACTGGTAATGCTAGCCACTACGCCACAGAGGCAGTTAAACTAACAATGATTTATGCTATATTTCTTGTACAAAAAGTTGGCAGCCCTAGTCTCAACTTACAAGTTACAAACATAATTAAATCAATTATTATTTCATATTAAAAGTAAATTCATAAAATATGTTTGGATATATAACATAAAAATAAATTTAAAATATTATTTTATATACTGTAGTTTTGTGCCACATTTAATTAAAATGAATACATTATTATACTATCGTACACCAATTATATTATTTTATATTAAATAAGTTAACGTAGATAACTAAGTCAATTAAAATCGTACTATTTTAAGGAAAAATAATAAAAATATTTTAAGAAATCATTTCATGTAGGCGTAGCAAATTTAACAAACGCATAGATAGGTACATATTAATTTGAGCACATTAATTTATTATGTTAAGAAAATATTAATTCTGACTTTTTAGTTTAAAGTAATTAGAATTTAAACAACTTTTAAAATATACAATACTATTATTAAATTAAGAAATATCTCCAACTTTATCCACAGACAATACTAAACAAACGTCGGATATCCTCGTCGTTCCTCTACAGTCAACGTTGTCGTTATAGTTTTTATCTCTTTCGCGTCTCTATCGACTCTCTCTTGAGTGTCTCGAATCACGAATGTGACATGGCGTCCATCAAGATATATCACGACCTCCTATAAAGCTGTTTTAATGACAGTGGTCTCCTATTGCATTTTATTCCAGAGGCCGTAATAAATCGTACAATTGCATTGATGGTAATGCATGCAAGGAAACCTCAGCGAATAAGCGATGGGTACGATACGTTTTTAGAGCTTCGGCTTAGCAATCTGTAGATGGCGGTCGCCGATTAAGTTTTGCTGTAACTCAAAGCAGAAGAATTTAACATTTTTGTTTGTTTCAGGTACTTTGAGAAGCACCAGGCCCATCCATATCAGGTAAACATAGTAATAACAAACAATTAAGTTTTTTATTCTAAGTAGATAAAGTATAGAATAATGAGAGAATCTAGAATTGAATTAGGTACTTCTCTACATAATGTCAACTTCCAACAATAATTTTCCTGTTACAATCGTTTAGCTTAATAAAATCCCACGTTAAAACTTCTATTAACAAGAACAACAGTGAAGTATTAAAGTTTACTAATTTAATTACAATAGGAAGTTTAAGTTTGTAAACCTACTTGTACATCGGGATTACAAGTATTCAACTCATATTTTTGTCAATAAACAGCATAATGTCCTTGATATAAACTTCTATTCTTCTATTTTCTTTAGAAATGTTTGTATGTCAAAGATGGTGTCATAACAAACAGAAGTGTGAATTCTTGAAAGCAGCTATGTATAGCTTAACCTTAATACTACTATGTAATGTCAGTCTGAAACAGAAAGTAGTAGCAGACTGTGTTTTCTATTATAATTATTATTAAAATTGTTATTTTAAAACTAAGTTTGTACTGAATATGTAAATAATTATGACATTTTATTTACATCTTAGTTATTACTTATGTGTATAAAGGTCTTACATTCTATAATGCAGAAGTACAATTCCAAGAGAGCTGCTAATGACTACAGTGCTTCTGACAACCGCTACACACCACTTAGATCCCCTAATGGCAATGTTTCGGGGCATGGGCACAGTGGGCATGCAGGTCACACAGGCCACTCGGGTCATGGCCACCACCACTACAGTCACTTGGCAGAAGAGAGAGAATATGCCATGTCAAGAAATTCCTATATCCAAAAAGGTTCTGAAAAGGAGAGAGATAGAGACTACAAATCCTGTAGAAATAAGTATACAGGTAACTTTACATTATATCACAATTCTATAAAAAACATACTTTTAAATATTCATAAGCACTTAGGCATGTTTCTGAATAAGTTTTGTAAATCATATAGTTATTACAGTTATTAAGTTTTTTTTTAACTGAAAATTTGACAACACTATTTAATATATTTTGTCAATCTTAATATGCATAAGTAACATAATTTGTGTAACATTAGGATAATTAAAATATTAGATTCATTCTTAATTTTTGACATTAATATTAGATTGTGAGCCTCATGGCCAAAGTGGTAATAATTAAAAATAGTATTTAAGTTAAATAATATTGGTAGTATCTTATAAAATTGACTTTTATTGAAATTCTAAAGAAACAAACTTAAGTTTTGATTATTTTTTTTGATTAATTTCAATTGTTATATTACTAACCCTTAAAATGACCATTGTCAATAACTTTGTTAATTTGATATTAATTTAAATTTATTATGCAATTTAATTTAAAAAAATGGTTATTTAATATGAAGTACATATTCTTAATTATTACAAATTGTAGTTTTTGCTTGCGTCATGGCCTGCGTAATGAAATAAAATGTTTGTAAATAAATATTATGACATTATACAGGAAATAATCATTTTATGATTTACGTATAATTTGAGATTTGCAAGCGAAAGGTTGTGTTTTTGAGTAATTTTTATTATTATACTAACAAAGTTTTTGAAAGAATGCGAATTCATATTATTATTATTTTTTTTTAATACTAATGTTTTTTAAATACTTCCAGATGTCAGATCTCCGAAGGAGAAACGTATCAAAGACAGTGAGAGGGAGAAAAATAATCATGAAAGATGTGAAGCGGAGAAAAAAAGTAGGACTAGTGGCATGAATAGTAGTGTTAATAGAAGTAGTAAATATGACAAGAGAAGTGCACCCTCATCAAGCGTGCCTTCTGGAAGTGAATGGTCAGAACACATTAGTTCATCTGGAAAGAAGTATTATTATAATTGTATCAGTGAAGTGTCACAGTGGGAAAAGCCTAGGGAATGGGACTCGAGAAGAACTACATCCAAAGATTCTACATATTCATCTAGAAACAGTGAGTTTTTTTATTTATACTTAGTTTAAAATGAAAACAATACTACTAAATAAAAACAAACCTATATGTCACAAAAATACACATAGTATAAATTAGTTTTACACCAATATTTATTTTAACCATAAATATTATTATGCTAAAAATATGTTAACACTGCTTTATGTACTCGTGTACTGTTCGTTTTGTAGTTGCAGTTTTACTGTTTTAATTGTTATCTGGGCTTTAATAATTTGTTAATGAGCAACAACTTTTTTCAGAGATGATTTCTGATTATCTTCCAAAAACATTTAAAATAAAGAAGATTGCATTTCAAATATAATCTAACAAAAATTATGTTAGCCCCTGGCCCTGTCTATAAATCTTTATCTTTATTGCACGCTACAAATTTGCATGACATGTATGTATATGTTAAGGAAGAAATAGTCCAGGAGGTAGGTAGAAGTGATCTGTTCCAGGAAATCTTTGGGCATAGAGAAAGATAAAGATAAGTTATTTTTCATAAAGCAATTTGTTAAGTTTAATAGCATATTTCCAAGGAATTACAAGGCAGATTTGAACAAAATTTTATTTTTATGGTTTTTAGTTTTTATTAAAAATATAGTAATCTAATGATCAATTCAAGTTTTGCTTAAGCTACAGAGAATGCCAAAGACAAACTTGCATACGCGTTACGCGCATTATTGAATTACAATGTTTACTTTAATGTGTATTTAGTAAATAATAACAATTAAAAGTGTTAAATTGAGAAAAAACTTTAATTCACAAGTACACTTTGTGTTACTTTAACACTTGTACTTCTGATCCTAGCACATGTAAACATATTGAAACATTAAAAAAAATTATCATGTCATTTGGACTTGTAGTTTTCAAATTTTAATACAAATAATCTTTGTGTTTTATAAGAACTATTCTCTCATTCTATATTAATAGCGAGAAATTATGTAGGTCATCTTCTGGTATACTCTTTGAAAGTTTAAATAATGAAACTTAAAGTTGAAATGTTTTACAGTTTCTAGTATCTAGATTACAGGTATTTTAATGTTTTGATTAGGGTCTTCTCTAAATCTTTTGTCTTCTTGTCTCACAGATAAAAGTAGCATGATCTAAATTAGGTATTTTTAAGAATTTTGAGCTATATCGTCTAGAGTCATCAACACATGCTGGTAACGAATGCCTAGCTTTTTACATAGTTTATAAGTACATATTACCTTTATTTATGTTTTTGAAGATTACTGTACGTGAATAAGAATAAATTAGTATAAAATTCAAAACAGAAGGCTAAAATAAATCTGTTGGGTACAGATAGTAAGGGTGGATGGACTACCTGGTTCGCCGTTGTCCCGCGTGGGTTTTTAACTCGCGTTTCGTACACCAATCACTTTCACACAACACCGGGTGATTTGCTTGAAGTTTGTAATTGTAAAATAAGATAGTTTATTGCGTTTCGCACGATAACTTTGACGCGTAGTCTTAAATTTGATGGGGAGAATGCGGAGCTCGTCCCATCGATGTACGAGGCCGTTGAAGCTCTTTTGCGTACTCCCTCCAGGTAAAGGAATATCGAGGGAGTTTAGGATGTGACGGTAGGAAGATATATATAGTGATGTCAAGTAAAGAATGTGTACCTAACAAAATCTATTTCGATTAAGTACTATACATACGTCACAAATTGATGTATAATATTTTAACTATAATACTTGTAATTAGTAAGTTAATACCTTAAATTCATATCTATATGCATTTTTCTTTAATTTTTGTTTTGTTTAGAATGTTAAACTTAACTCTCCTAGTTTTTTTTGGAAGGTTTTAAATCTCGGGAAAGAGCAGTCTCCAGGTTTACACAGTTGAATTTCATTGTAATAATTTAGTTAATGTGCAAAAAGATTACTTGAAAAACAACAGAGAATATTTTATAAGTAATTGTAAGATTAAAATTCCAAAAACATACATTTTTGCTTGGAATATTAATTTATATAATATACACTTACTAAGGCAATTACTCGTACTAATATGTAAAACCTAAGGATTTGGTTTCTTCTTGGTCATCTGAACGCGGGCGGAGCTGCGGGCAATGCTAGTTATAAAATATGTATGTACATATTATGCACATATGTGTCCGACTGTATAATAATATGTTCCTTCGTCAACTTGTTTTCTGCATTTTTTTTATTGCACGTAACATTTATTACTAGTACAGTGTGTTAGTTTAATACATTAATATAAAACCATTAAAAATATATAAAGCTTATTCGAAGTCGTCTCCATTGGCTGCAATACAGTCCTTTAAACATTGAGACCAGTTATTAATAAAGGACACAATTTTTCCATGAATAAATTCTTCAAACTGACCATAAATCATAATTCAGCGGATTAATATCGGGACTAGATGACGGCCAGTCTTCAACTCTGATGAAGTCCGGAACGTGGATTTCTAACCAAGATCGCGTGGATCGAGCTTTATGACCCGGCGCTGAGTCTTGCTGAAAAGACCATTCTTGGCTATTGAACATGGTGTTGTTAAAGGGCTTAACTACCTTCTCAAGAATGATACGCTTTATACGCTAATGATATTCTTGATACGCTTGTGCCGATGTTTTGATACCTTTTTACAAAAATATGGCTCAGTCACTCCTAAGCTAACACCCCACTAAACCATCACTGAAGACTGATAATGCCCACGTCGTACTCTGTTGACTAATTGGGAAGCTTCTTTAGAGCTTTGAGCAAAAATACGATCATTTTGTTTGTTAAAATATTGCTCAATTGTAAAAAATGTCTCATCCGTAAACAACATTTTTCTGTGACCTCCCTTTGCATACCGCTTAAGAAGTTGTTTTGATTTTACCACCCTATTCTTTTTAACCGACTTCCAAAAACGAGGAGGTTCTCAATTCGTCGGAATCTTTTTTTTATGTATGTTCATCGATTACTCGAAGACGCCTGAACCGATTTGGATTTTATCGAAATCGGTCAGGCGTTTTTTTTTAATTATTATTATTTTTGAGTAACATGGTATTAAAAAACTTTCTTCTAACATTATGTAAGTACTTATCTGTAGACCAAATTAGAGATCAGGCAGCTGACTAACAGCCCACCTGACTAATTAAACAAAGGGCCGCAATCACGGGAATTTACAATCCTTCGTCTTTATTAACTAATTTTTAGATTTAGTAATGTTCGTGTCCATTCTTAGCATAAAGTGTTTTTAGAATAAAGTAGCCTGGAAAAACATAGAAAGCATGCTTGAATCTTGCAAATTTTTTATTGAAGCTTCCTATAACATACATTCAATCAAAACTAAACGAATTTTGCAGAATCAAACAGTACAAGTGTCGTAAAAATATTATTGTCTTTGAGCGCGCCATAGAAAAACCAACATTAAAAACCATGAAAACTATAGAAAACAAACTAGGAGCTCGTCGATTTGTATATTTATTATTATACTCATATATATTACCTAAAAATCGTTAGAATTAGACAGGATCAAGCTATAGTTTATTTGTAAAAACATTAAATATTGCCTTCTTGCGCTGTACGCGCTACTACTTACTCATACTAAGATTCAAACGTATGAAAATACGAGAAAGAAAACTCAGGCCAGGTTGAAGTTTTTATTAAATACATATTCTTTCAATATTAAGCAACTCAACTCTAAACTATTGGATTCTCGTAGGACCAAGACATAGAGTAGTTGTAAAAAAACTTCGAATATTCTCATACTGGCTTATAGTAGCTACTAGCTAGTATCTGTGCAACATCAGCATTCACAAAGAGGATTGACGTCAGACAGGCGGCCGGTCGGAAAACTTTATACAAAACCAATATGCAGTATGGACGTACTGCGCCGACCCCAAGTAATTTGGGAAATGGGCAGGAAGATGATGATCTTTGAAAATAATAAAGTCCATGAAGATGCTATTAAGCAATCTGGGAGCTCGTTGTTTTTTTTACGTATTATTATACTTATATACTAACTCAAAACTGAATTTGACAGGATCAAGCTATAGTTTATTTGTTTTTTTTTTTTAATAATGCCTTCTAGCACGTATAGTTGACTGCAATTAGGTCTGTATCTCGGAACCCAGATATAATGACGGATTTGGCTGATTTTGGATTTTTAGGAATTTCTTATAACTACTAAAAATTGAAAAGTTTACCCTTTGCAATCTTCCGCTATTGCTTTTTTTAAAGATTGTCCCATGAAAATGATGCTAGTTCTAGTATAGTATATTCCTTTTACAAATATTTTTTTCGAGAATAACCCAGTTTCTTTATAAAATATAGTGACCTACCCTCGCTCCAGTCGGGTGCATAATCCTAGGTACATTATAGACATGAATAGTTATTGCGAGTGTATCTTAGGAGAAAAACTTATGCTATTGCAGATTTTTCTGTAGGCCTTATTAAGACCTATAATTTTCTAGTACAATGTTTAAATGTATCTCTTAAGGTTTAGCCAGCGTTGCAAAATTTCTAAGAACGAATCGACGAACCAGTTGTTGTGTTCTAACGAGGGAATGAAAGATTTTCCTGTAGTAACATGTATCCTAAACGTTGACCCGAGTTAAATAGGTCATCACTATACAAAATTTAGTTAAAATTGGTTCAGTACTTTGCGTGAAACGCGCACATCGATTTCGCTAAGAATCTGTTTTATTATATGTATAGATAAAAGTAGCTACTGCGAGTGTACCTTAGGAGATAGACATATGCTATTGTGTTTTTTTTATTTTTTAATTTTTATTATTTTTTAATATAATAAATGATATCATAATTCAACGATGTTTCCTGTTGTAGTTTCAAAATAGTGTGCCGGAGCATTCGTCATAGTAAAAAAGATTTTTTTCTTTGCTAAGTGGGGTCGTACCAACTCATTGTTAAACCTATCTAATCCAGACCATAATAATATCCAGACCTTAGTTTGCTGCATTAGCAAACTAAGGTCTGGATATTGTCCTGCATCATATAAAAAAAATGTTAATAAGTCAGTCAATCTATATAATGTAAATAGATCCAACAGTTTTTATTTTCTTTGGTGTACGTTCTCCGGTACAAATCTACTTTAACTGTTGTCTCGTCTACGGTGTTTAATGATAAAACCACGATTTATTAACGATTATGTATTGATGAAAAAATCACTTGGATTGCTTCTACAAATTTTTCCAAACATTGCTCTGAAGTTATTACGCGATTACATTTTTGGTCGACAGTCAGTTTTTTTTATACACGTTAGTGGTGCAACTTTTTTTACGTAACTTTTTTTTGCTCTTTTCATGACATGACGGACAGCGACCACAACACTGAGTAACACTTTTTTGTTAGTTGCGTATATGGTCTATATTTTGCATTTTTTTTGTCTTAGGGACTGCTCGTTACTCACTACAAAATTTTTTAAAGTTCTACAACTAACTCTATAGCTAGTTTTTTCAAAATCATGCGTCATATACGAACGAGATAACAACTATGTCTGTATTTGTCTTATGCACCACTAACGTGTACAAGCAGCACACGTGCAATAGATAAAAAATATAGGCAACAATCATCTTTTGGTTCTTCTCCCAGTATAATAATTAGCACAGGGCTGGTCATTGCAGTTTATTCCTGATTTATTAGCATTTTAGTATGAATAATTTTTTATATTTTGTGTATAACCGGTAGCTATAGGTATTTGTTGCCGCTTTATTATATATCTATATGGACCACAGCTCCTTCTGGGTCAGAACTACCAATATCTTAATCTAGATCAACTTCTTGCTCTAGATACAGGCTATCTGCCTTCGTTCATAGTCATACATATTACCAAGAACAAAAATGAGTTCAAGCAAATTCATGCAATTTAAGTTATTTTCCCTTTTGTAGAACTAAATAAATTTAAGTTTTTTTGCAATATGTAAAAAATAAATCTAAATACTGTCTATGATAGAAATGTTATGTAATTGGTCGCCTGGGGTCACCGGTGCGCAGCAGCAAAAGCGCTGGCGTTGACGTTTCAAACAATCAATTTGAAGACAGTGGGGCAAATCAAGAAGCTAGCCATAAAATGTATGTGTATGCGTAATGTATTTGTTACAAATACGTATTTTTTTGCGTCAAAGTTGCGATGACTCCATGCACCAACTTAAGGTTTAAATGATACATACATTAACATTTTATTAAATATACACTGAGTCATGAGTGTTTAATTATATTTAAGTAAGTTTAACTAAATGAATTATCTTTAAATCAATTTCGATTTTCATTTCTCATAAAAATGCAAGAGTGTTGTTTATACACAAGGAAAAATGTACGAGGTTAGATTGATTGTTAAAACTTTCATTATAATTTTGCCAGATCGTGATAAGAGATCAAGTTCGAGATCAGGGCGAAGAGAATCAGAAAAATCAAATAAACGGTCAAACAGTACGTCTGAGAGGTATTGGAGTGGGGGAAGGGAAGAAGACGGCCACGAGAGGACGAGACCAAAACATGCCCCGTCACAACACGACGGAAAAGGTATAAATAAAATTGTCCAATTTATGTTTAAATACTAAGGTAATATCCACACCACGTTTTATTTACGCACCAACAAGACCCGTATCATGTTCGCATATCGTCTGCGGGTATTCGGAGCTGATAAACCTAAAGCTCATCGATATGGCGTTAACTTCGCGTCGAATGGGCGTCAACGCCGCGTTAAAATGTCGTCATGTGTATAGGCCCTAAATGATGATATTAAGAAATCAATATTTTTATTAAGATTTGTGCTTTAGGATCTTAGAGGAAGTTTGATAACTATATGTTAGATAATTTTCGATAGAATATTGTAGTAACTCGATTGCTTTTAATTATTTATTAGAAAATACATCTCGAACTTTACCATTAACATTAAGAGAATCTTATTTAGCTTACATTACTAAAGTTGTTCAGAGCTTATGTATATATAATAAAATGTTAATATTGTCCGCAGATGGACAATCTTTACAAGATATGGATATATCTCCGGACAGAAGTACACCGTTGTCGGAGAATTCATACGGGGCGCGGGACAATGCGACTCGCGGCGAAACGAACACGGTGCCGCCCGTCGTTGTACTCGACAACTCAAACCAGCCGGTATTAAGCGATTGTCTAACCTTATTGAGTGGCTTTAATGTATGATTTCATTCATTATTTTGCTTGGAATGTACGAGTTATGGGCAATAAAAAAATCAATGTTTATTTACAATAATATATTTAATTACGAAAAGTAAATATCTTTTTGACGTCACAGTGGAACAGCGAATCTGATTTTCGTCGAAAACATGTAAAAGTTCAGCTTATGAAAAATCCAGAAAGTACTAAATGTCCATTTTGCATTCATTTAGATGTATAAACTTAAAAATTAACATATAAAATTTAGTAATCTAAAATAATAATATAATATTAAATAATAATATAATATTAAATAATATATTTATGTCCATTTCGCAGAGTGGTTCACTGTTGGCGGCGGCGTTACCGCGTATCGTGGGCACGCTGCCGGCGCCAGGCGCGGGGGCCGGGGGAAGTGCGAGTGCGGGGGGAGTCGCGGGAGCGGGGGTGGGGGTGTGCGGTGGCGCGGCAGCAAACAATGGGGGCTCGCCCGCCAGCGGCGCGGACACGCCGCACCGCGACGCCGGCCCGCCGACGCCCACGCACTCGGAGAACATCGACCCGCACGCGCCGCCCATACATTTAGATAACGCGCTGCCGAGGAAAAGTGAGTATATGCATTATTTCAGGTCCTGTGTAGAAAATTTCATCCAAATGAATTTCATCCAAATCCAAAGCTTTCGCATTCACCGTAGACCGATGGTGTGTGTATGAGTGTGAAAGAAAGGGAGAGTTACGGTAATGCAACCGACATGACTAATGTGTTCAAATCTGTATCGCTATGCCGCGAACAGGCTTGGTGTATTGAAAGTTCCAGTAATATTTCAAAAATTAGTACATAATCTTTATATGTTGTATAGTAGATGTCCAGAATCTGGCACTACTGAGCTTGAACCGATTTCAGAAATATACGATTGTCTGTCTATACTGTATAGAGCTAATTAATATAAGTAACAGGAAATAAATGATAATGTCGTTTACTATAGGATACAGATTACGAGAAATCTCTGAAAGTAATGTACGAATTCTTAACAATCATTTACTATTTCTGAATAACAAAGGCTTTTTCACGCTTGTGAGGAACTATAAACTCCCGAGAGAAGTGAAGGGTACACTTGAGTAGTTCAACAGGCGGCACGGCGCGACGGCGCAAACGTAATTAACAAAATATTAATTCATAATTCATAACTCACAAAATATCATATTTATTAACTTTAAATCATTAACTATTATTAAAATTCACATTATTAAATTTAAATTTACATTATTAATTTTGTATTATTATGTTTTAAATAAGTACCTACACATTATTTCAGGATAACTTACTATAAAAAAAACGATACTCGATTTTATTAACGTTAATTTTCGATAGTGGCACATTACTATTTAAGAATTGCAAAAAACTGGCAACTTACGTAATGTCAGTTTTGTGCCTGAGATTAAAAAACAGACTATAGGTGCAAATAAAATGAACAAAAAAGGCACACACAAAACGTATGTGGTGTAGCTCATACTCTATATAAATTATTAAAATAGCTTCTCCTCTCCCAGTGGAATGCCTCGGAAGCTACTCGTCGGTGGTGGGCGGGTCGTTGCAGCACGCGCCGCCCATGCTCACGCCGTCGCTCGTCAACTACGTGCGCTCCGACCTCACCGCCCACGTCACCGGCTGGCCAGCCGACATACTCGAGAAACAGGTATGTTATATGTTTCTTTTATTTTTTACTACGTACGTTTTAACGGCTAGTATGAAATACAAATCTTTGAATTTCGGCTTTTCTGTACTATAATATGCATGTATTTATAATATGCATGTATTATACATATAAACCTTCTTCTTGAATCACTCTATCTATTAAAAACCGCATCAAAATCCGTTGCGTAGTTTTAAAGATCTAAGTATACATAGGGACAGGATCCTTGTTGTGGCTATACGATATCACTACGACCATCCCTGGTCGCACCAGAGTACCCCGCTGGACGCTGTCATATGTTTTATGAATACTGCGCTTGTGCGTTAGAAGTCCATACTAACCCAGAAGATGAAATGGAGTTTCATCTGCCTCTATACATGGAATGATACAACTATATAACTATCCATACTTCCATACTAATATTATAAATGTGAAAGTGTGTTTGTTTGCCCTTTTATCACTTCGAAACGGAGTAACGGATTGGTGTGATTTTTTGTGTGGAGATAGTTAGACGGCTGGAGAGTAACATAGATTACTTTTTACCGCGGGAGATTGTCTTATTCCCACGGGAAAACACGTTATAAAACAACCAAAAAAATATATTTATGATCAGAATTACTTCAAACTTGGTAATAATGCTCTTCAATATAATAAAATAAACACATGTTTTAGCATTTTTCGAAATTTACCCAAAAGAGAGTAAAATAGGGTATGAAAGTTAGTATGAAAATTACTTTTTTAGAGTTTTTTTGTAGTTTTAGCGCGAGCGAAGTCGCGTGTTCTGCTAGTACAACTATAAATATGATATGATATATGTGGTAGGCCAACAAGTTCACCGAGGAGGCATACCAGCTGGGCTGCCTGCAGTGCACGCGGGTGTCGGCCGAGCTCAAGTGTTCGCGCTCTGTCGTGCGCCACACGGAGATACAGGCGACGCTGCAGGAACAAAAGTATGTATTCATAGTCACTCGAATATACTGTGTTATAATACGCTATACTATCGTGTATCATTTTATTCTATTATTTACTTTTTTAATTTAGTAATCTACACATCTTACGGTGGGTTCACACGGCATTGTCCTGCACGATTTTTTTGTATTCGATTTTAAACGTACAATGAGCCGGATGTTAAAAACGTATGACATAGTGCCGTGTGAAAGAGACAGAGCTAAACTATGCGCCACTGCAAACCAAATACGTTAAAGTTCATTAGATTTCCTTACAAGTCCGGTGATTATTCGTTTAAACATATAAACGGTGTACTATTTTTTGCAGTACAAAAGACGTGTGAACGGTTCTATGTACAATATATGTGCCACTATATATTCGTTAAGACATACTGTAAAAAAACGTGCAGGACAATGCCATGTGAACCCAGTCTTTGGTATCTAAATTATATTGTCTATATTTTTCAGTTAGATATTATATTTGAAGAAATTTATAATTTTTTTATATGTTAATAATTATAAGAAATTAAGTAAATTTATCGCAATGTAAGCAAATATTTTTAAAATTATGATGCATTAAAAGCGATACGTTTTATTTAGCGAAAGATTTACATATTTTGTGACAGCGCCGCAACTGCGAATGCATACAATATATATGTAGTTAAATAAATAATAAAATTGAAGATTGATGTTTGATGTTTTGCTTGGGGCTCTTGTTGACGTGCGAATTATTAAGTCTTTTGTATTATACTAATATAATATCTTTTGTTATTTATGTTAAATAAGTACTAATAGCTCATATTTATTTACATGTCATGCTAAAAAACCACTTGAAGCTCTTTAGCTACGTTTAACTAGCTATTTAAATTTTTGTGAATGTATATTGTAAAAGTATCCAATAGATTGGTACGTATTAGTCTGCGTATTAGTAATAAAATATGGCTTATCTGAGTATTTGAAGTATAAAAAATTATAGTTGAAGATATTTAACTCATAAAATCGTTATTTTGTCCCCGGAATACAAGAATTTACTAGCCCGTCGAGTTTTTAAGATGCCTTTACGGAATGTAAGATCGTGTATTGCTAAACGTTTTGGTCCATATATTGACACGCTAATATATAACAGAGTTGTCGGCTTTTGTGATATTGCTCGGTTAAGTAAGCTAAGACAAAAGTGGTGTCTTGGTTCGCTACTTTAACATATGATGCTACAGAAAACCTTATTTATAATATACAGTAATGGGCTTCATCAAATACATAAACTGTGCAACTGTGTTGATATGTTCATATTAATTTAGGTATTTTTGTACTTATTATTTTAAATGCAAGATTGTACAAGCAATACTTTTATTTTTATAGTTAAGATTCTGTCTTTGTCATATATACCTTGCTAGCAATGTTTACCGAGCAACAATGTTTCTTTTGTTAAACGACTTGTTGTACTCACTATACAGGCTTTGCCTAGTATGTGTACTAGTAGGGGAGCCCAAGAGGGGATTTTTGTAGTTACTCAAGCGCGGCAGATTAACATAAAAGAGGTTACCTTGCACTCTATTGAGTACTTTCACCATAATATAAGTCTTCTATATAAAGGGGCGCGTCTAGGGAAGCCGATTAAAATATTTAAAAAATGTTTTGATAAGGTAGAAATACTTGAAACCGTCATAATAAGGTGTGGTAGGCTAGTCACATCCTGAAAAGTGTCCAATTTAATAATCTGCCGATTTGCACAAGCCTAAGAGGCTCGACTATAAAGTTTATGATGATTTTTGCCTCTTAGGCTTGTGCAAATCGGCAGATTATTAAATTGGACTCTTTTCAGGATGTGACTAGCCTACCACACCTTATTATGACGGTTTCAAGTATTTCTACCTTATCAAAACATTTTTTAAATATTTTAATCGGCTTCCCTAGACGCGCCCCTTTATATAGAAGACTTATATTGTGGTGAAAGTACTCAATACAGTGCAAGGTAACCTCTTTTATGTTAATCTGCCGCGCTCCAGTAACTACAGAAAATCCCCTCTTGGGCTCCCCTACTATACCTTTAGGTATAACATATAATGTAAGCTGTACCTTATATTGGCAATAAAGATTATTATTATTATGTAAATATACATAGATTGTGTCGTTTGTGCGCACATGTAACAGTGATATTGTAACTTTACAGAATAATGTACCTGCGACAACAGATATCGCGGCTGGAGGAGCTAAAGTCGCAGAACTCGTTCATGTCGGAGGACTAGGGATTGCGGTGGGGGGCCCGCCAGTCGGCGCCTCCCACGGGGCCCGCCGCCTCCTCCCCGGGGTCTCCCGCTCGGGCCCCCCGCCCCCCGCCACTGCAGTCTCCGCTCTCACCGTGCGACGACAAACGTTCATTCCGTTATTTTTCTATGTAATGTAGATCAAATGACTACCGATTGTGTTGTGTGATTCGATGTTAAATTATAAGCGGTCGTTCCTGTGATCGTACGCCGGGTTTGGTCAATTTATTATAGTACGATTCCTGTTAGCTAGGCGCGTCGCTCCGTATATGTTGGTTACTCGCGTCGGACGGATTCATTTAAACGAAGTGGATGATTTGTGTAGATAGGTTAAGTAGTGCGCGCTCCTCGCTCCGGTCGAATGTGTTGAACATCTCCAGCGAAGGCAAGGCGCGAGGTGATTCGATAGCTTTTTCATTGTATTAGACAGGTTTGTTGCTGCGGTTATCATCCCCATCCATCAACTATAAGGGTACAGTGTTTTGTAACGTGTTTTATTGTAAAGATTTAAATTATTAAAAAAGATACTTTCTTAAGAAAAACCGTATTTCTCTATAATTTAGTTTAATTATAACTGAAAACATAACTAACGCGCAACTCGCGCTTGATGTTGATTTTGACCAATCAATGTATAAACTTTGTAAAAATCAAGTATTTTTTAATAATTGTAGTTAGGCAACCAGGTGTAGTTTATGTTAGTTGATTTTAACTGAGAATAATCATATAAGAATTAACGCCGTGTCACACCTAGCTACGCGCAATATCAGAACCGGGCAATGATTCTGATCTGAACATTAAATAATTATTAAAAAAAAGTCGAAATACATTTATAAACAAATCATATATTTTTTTAAATAAATTTTCTCGGAATCGTAGTGAACCACAGAACTGATAAATTATGTGAAAATCATTTCATGAAGTTTCACATCGTATATCGGTTACATATTGTTAACAAATCAAGCAACAGAGTTTGTGTGGTAATATTATTATTATCAGCAATAATTAAGAACGCACATGATTATAACGGAAAGTTTATTAAATTAGGTAACTCTTCTTGAGTCCATTCAAAAAGTTAAATTGTCAATTAATTACTTAATCTTCATAACAACAATAACAGAGTAATTATTTACGTCTCGGTATTATTATAACAGAAATTCTAAGAGCTAAGGAAAAATAACTAAGAATAATAAGATACTTTTTGAAATATTGCTGAAAATTATACATTAAACTCACTTCCGACGAATGTCGCGATCTGGAGTGTTTTGTTGTTTATTAGAATTATAATACAATCGTATGCTTATAACCCACCACCTCACCAATAGTATTTTTAGTAGGTATATTGATTTAGTTCTACTAGAGGACCTTTACAAGTACATGCGACCGGCTTCATGTAAACATCGAAATATTGACCATATGAGGCAATACTGAAATTGACATTCGCGTCATTTGAAAATCACATATATGAGAGACAATTCTTTCGCTTGTCGTAGTCGTCGTTCATGAAGACAATTAATATAATGTCACATACAATACCAATGATAATGTATATAAATAATATGATGAGATAAATGTATTTTACTAACGTTATTAACACCTCGCGGTTAATTTCTAAGAAATTAATTGTTAACCGAGTCACTTGTGGCTCGGCAGTCGTTGAGAGGTTAATGATATTTATAATTAATTAAAATTTGTATGTCAATTTTAATTTAAAATATCATAAGATTTTCCATTTTTCGTTAGTGACGTTCCAATGAGAATGTACCGTACCGTTGCGTCCCACCGCCACTGGCGCGCGCTGTATGTCAGTAGCTAGATGTGATAGGGCGACACGACGATCGAAGCGCGAGCGACGCCGGCCACTCACGGGGTGCCACTAACAATAGCGATAGGTAGGTAAAAACATCTCCGGTCTAGGTCTTTTTATTTTTTTTTATTTTAGTAATGTAATAATTCAATTGTACTGATAAATCGACACCTATCCATGTATAAATATGCAGATATACGGTAATACTGTGATAGCGGATCACATTCATGTGTATGTTAGTGAATAATTGTACTGTAAATAGGTCTGTATGGAGCAGTGCCTGGAGGTAGGCGCGCGTCGTGTTTATAGATATATATTTATATGAGGAGCGGTGCGGAGACCCCGTGCGCCCGTCGCGCCCCCGTGTCGTGTCGTGTCCGTGCCGCGCCCGCGCCGGGCGCCCCACGCCGCTCCACGCACGGCTCGTCTATCGCAACGTATTCTTTCTATAACATCGTAACATTGTTTTCTGATATTGTTCGAAATACAAAGATTTTATCAGTTTAAATAAATCAATTTCAAATAATGATCATTAGTCTCAATTGCCTCTCCCGAAATCTCGTTAGCGTTCAAATCCGTATTTATGTAATTACTTAGACATTTTGAAACAATTGTTAGATATTTCTTTATAATAACTAAGCCTTAGGTTAAGTAGCAATTTTGATTTGGAAATGTCCTAATATTCTATAGTAAATGTTCAAACAATTTTTTGATATATCGCTAAATATTCTCACTATAACACTATTTAAAAGGGTAGTTTTTTTCACGATTTAATGTTTCGTTCGAATTTACAATAGATGTTTTTATTTATTTAAATTGTTGATTTAAATTTAAAAATTAAATTTATAATTTCTGTTATAATTTCACTAATTTACTTACATCACGATTCATAAACTGACAAATCGTTAAAACACCATCTATTCTCTAGCTGTATCATATTTAGTTCTGTAAATGTGTTAGTTGTTTGTTGTAAACATTAAATTTATATAACATTATCATGTTTCCTTCTATTTCAACAATGACGCTCTGCTACGCATTTCCATTTTCGAATTTATTGATATTTTACCGAGTTTCATATCAAAACCACGAATGAATTAATTAGTCCTTATTTTATCGTGCGTTGTAAAAGTTTTAACTTACCTTTAAAAATAGTTTCGGATAGTAAATAAACTTTACTATACGATGACAGGTAACTTCCATTATTTATAAATTTTGTTTAAATAATGGAAGTTCATTATATTAATATTGTCAATTATACATGAATTTATTATTATTAGATAAATTTTATTAATTGATATTTATCAGCCGTAAGAATCGTAAACGATATTTTATCTATAAATTGTCATGTCAAATACTAGATTAAATAAAAGAGAGAAAAAAAAGAATGAACAATTAAAAAACGTAAATTTACACGAGTTATTTTTTTCACTTAGAAAATTAATTTTAACAAAATACATAAGAAAGAATATGAGTTAGAATTATCGAAAAAAAAGGCATTTTCGTTTATATGTTTAAGTTTGATATATCATAGGTTAAATTAAACCAAATACCTACACGTGAGAATCATAACAAAACACGTTTGTAGGATTTTTAGAATTGGATCATACTGGTCTGATATAGACAAATAAAAATCGCATATGCAGAAAGAAGTAAATAACATTTACTAGAGACAAATCTCAGCACAGAGTTACAATCTAATCAGTGATCTGTGTGAGCAGAGCAGTGCCCCGAACGATCCAGAAGTCTGAATGCATATTGGAGAGCAGTAGTACCGGCAGGACTCCTCTTAAAGTACTTTACTCATAAACTGACAAATCGTTAAAACGCCATCTATTCTCTAGTTCTGTAAATGTGTCATCTAATCGGTGATCTGTGTGAGTAGAGCTGTGCCGCGAACGATCCAGAAGTGTGAATGCATATTGGAGGGCAGCAGTACTGGTAGGACGAAGTTGGTGCTGTGGCCGGTTGTGGACAGTGTGCCGGCGCGCTCGGACGTCTTGTACAACGGCGCCTCGTACCGCGGGTCCGGCCGCGGCAACGACAGCACCGGCTTGAACCAAACCACCGGCAGTGGAGAGTTCATTTCACCTGTTGTACGTAAAATCATTCACTATTATTCTATTGTATTGGAGGCTAATGACACGTAGAGTGAAGAAGATATGAGGGAAAATTATATGTATATTTATTTAATAACAAAATTATATAAATGTTATCGTCAAGGGTGAGAAACTTCTAGTAATTTATAAATAACCCGCGACTAGTCTCGCTCTTCCACAACAAATATGGGTTAAGGTACTATATTGAGAGTTAAAATATTTAATAAATTAAAGTAGCGCTTCTTTGATACAATCACGTTTTTTTATACAATATGTAAAAAAATTTTTTTGTTATATTCTAAATTACATAAAACTAAAAACATGTTCCGTGTAATAAATTAACTAAGTAGCAAGTAATTAAGGCCTTAAAAATTGTTTTAAAGCGATATATATACTTATATGATTAATTTTATCTTGTCATAATACATACTATTAATGTGTTTTAAAAATTAATACCAAAATATAAGTTTCCTTACCCGGTAATGCATCGACTAGCAAATTATTCTCTGAATCCCAGCGCCCCGCATCGATGAACAGTCCGTGGATGTTTACTCCATCTTCAGGCTTTTCCAGAAGACCGAACACATTGGTGTCGTCATCCTGCTATATCATCCCGTGTATCATAATTATTATTAGTTAATGTTATATATTATTTAATATTCAACTTATTTATTAGCTTTCCTTGCTATATGTATAGAGATAGGCCTATAAAATATCAAGCAATATGCGTTTAATTGATGAGGAATTTTATAAATTATACCTCATAGGAAAAAAAATATTTTAAGATTTTGGTCAATTATAAGAAAGAAAAAGCTTCAATCCTGAGAAACTGTCGAAAGAAACTCTACTGAAATTAATGTTTATTAACCGCACTAAATCGAGTGAGAGTGATGGTTCTGAGAGCTAACATACCTTAGTCTTCTTACTCTGCTTGTAAACGTCTTCTTGTGAGAGGAAAAATCCCAACGGATGGAAATCAAACAGCAAGGCGTCGATGGGCACTCGGTAGCGACGCGCGTACGCCTGCAGCGCGCCCGTGAGCAACCCCTGCGGGAAGAACAGCCCCGACACCCAGCTGCTGGCTTGAGACCCCTCTATCAACCATTTCTGTGCAATATCACATAAATTTATTGAATATAGTCTAATGTAATATCGTTAGAAAATATTTTATTGGTTTACAACAAAGACGTTTATTTATAAAAGCAAATTATATTAAAGTAGGTATTCTTTACTCTTCTCTTCACAAGTTGACCGCGCAATGCCAACAAACTGTTTTGATGCTAGTCTCGATAAAGGTAAAAATCAAAGTGTCGATTCTATAGAGACCGATTTAGATGAGGTATGAAGATAGTTTGAGACCCTGGGAAGGACATAGGATTGTTTTTATCCCGCAAATCATCCCTTAAGAGGTAAAAACGGATGAAAGTTTATAATACAGGGAATCAATCGTTTCTCAAGTAAGGTATATAAATCTCATCATACCTATGTATATAGGTACCAATATATAGTCTGTCTATTCCATATTATAAGTTAAAACGTACCGTAACGTATAAAGATTTAAATGTCGGTAGGTATCTACGATATGTACTACGGTACGTATGTAAGTATGTATCATGTATGGAACGCAAACTGACGCCCAGACTTAATGCTCTTATGCCCGATTTCACCAACAACCCATAAGCTACCACGTACGCATGGGGTCCCTAGCTTAAAAGTCCCCTAAATTAAATTTCGTTTTACGATCATCTTTAAGCCATATTTCGAGCACCTAAATTTAGGGGACCTTATAATATTTAGGTGACCCCTAACTGTTGGTGAAACAGAAACTGTCCCCTAATAACTCCCTAACTATGCTTAGGGGATCCCTTAAACGTTGGTGAAATCGGGCATTAGGGAACCAATTTATGCTTATGTTAATGTGATAACTCCGCTATAACTCATTAATTTCTATTTTATACATCTACTCAAAGAATGTTTCTTACAAAATTTTTAGGCAACTTCTTGCTCTATTCATTCTAGTACAGCTTTTTTTAACCTTGTGGTGTTTAAGATATTTACTACTTTGAGAAACTGGAATTCGTTATATTTTTCCAATATGGCGACGAGGGTGTCCACTCTAGGTTGCAAAGTTCAAATATTAATAAGAAAGAGAAACTGTACCGTACTGTAGTTTAAAAAATTAGAACCCTTCGATTTTTGCTAGTCAAAGCCAAAAAGGTCTGAACTATAAAAGTACTACGTAATTCTACATTATTAGGTATATCAAGTAAAAAGCATGAGGGGAAGTGATGTGTGCGTATGATATATACATATATAAGTAGATATCTATACATATAATAAAATTCTAACTGAGTCGAATCTGTACATCAAATATTTTTTGGAAAATCTAATTGAAATAGACATTATTATCGATACAGAGTCCGAATCTATAGTTTTTAGAATTTTTGTCTGTGTCTGTCTGTTACCGCATCACGAGAAAACCACTGGACAGATTTCGATGAAATTTGGTATGATGATAGCTGGTTATCCGGGTCAACATATAGAATACTTTTACCGCCGGAAAATATTTCATTTCTGAGAAAAAATACAAAAACTGCATTGTAAGAGTATACTAATATATAAAACCTAAGATATTGGTTCTTGGTCATCTGAACGCGGGCGGAGCCGCGGGCAATGATTAGTTATCTATATAATTAAACAACTTGGTTTGTAGTTGCGCACCGGGAGAGGTGTGGCAGACACCCGGCAATAAATCAATATCGCAGCCGTCGCAGTTGCAATTCATTTCAATGCGCTTAGATTGATTTACTTCCGGCCTTTGCATATATTCATCTCCTGTTGCTTATAGCGTTATATAACGCTTTAGGTCTTTTAACTTTCAGACTATGAAAGTGTTTCAATTGGCAGAGTATGACTTGTTTTCATTTCTTTATAATAAATATTGTACATAGAAGAAGCAATTTAAAAAATAAATAATTCTAAAGTTTTTAAAAAAAATCAACTTGAAATATCACTAAAAACTTTCTAGTCTAATTATATTTTAGAAACTCTACGTCCTAAAATATAATTAGGCTAGAACGTTTTTTTATTCTTATGTATTTTTCTTAATTTTATTTATCAAAATAGCATTTCCCGCGGCTCCGCCCGCGTTTAGATGACCAAAAACCAACTTCTTAGGTTTTACATATTAGTATACTCTTACAATACAGTTTTTGTATTTTTTCTCAGAAATGAGATATTTTCCCGCGGTAAAAAGTATCCTATATATTGACCCGGCTAACCAGCTATCACCATACCAAATTTCATCAAAATCCCTCCAGTGGTTTTTCTGTGATGCGTTAACAGACAGACAGACAGACAAAAATTCTAAAAACTACAAATTCGGCCTCTGTATCGATATTAATGTCTATTTCAATAAGATTTTCCAAAAAATATTTAATGTACAGATTGGACTTAGAATTTTATTATATGTATAGAAAATATTCGCGCGGTTTCAATTTTTACGCACTTAGAATAAAAATGCTAAAGATGGAATGACAAAGGGAGAGGACGTCATTTATACGTTAAATGTGAATTTTTGAATGTAAAGTTACTTTTAAAAAGGCAACTCGTAAGAGTTTATACAAATGGCGCCAGTTTTTATTTATATGAATAAATAATACTTTGTATGAACCCTGGATATTATAGCTTTGTAGCCAAATGATTTCGTCATGTACATTAGATGAAATTCAAAAGATATGTGCTTCCTGTAAATAAAACGAAGCACGTACAGTGTACACCGCAATATTTTTTATATGATACGAGTCTTAACAATTTTGTTAATAAAATCGAATGTAGTCAAAAATTGCTTTAGACTATTATGCGACGTATAAATAAGTCTTCTATACATATAATTAAATAGCGAAATCTGTACTAGAAATATTTTTAAAAAATAATGACTGTTACGTGTTGTATACATAATATAGACCCAAAAGCAATAGTTATTAGAATGTTTGTCTGTGCATATTTCACGCAAAAATTACCGAAAGGATTTTAACGTTTTGTGTACTAATAACTTATTTCGTTTCTATGTGGCTTTTGCCGCTTTTGATGGGATTCTATTGGAGTTTTTCAACAGGGTGTCTGCCTCTATATTTTTCTCCACTTACTTGTTCTAAACCACACAGCGGATTTTAATACGGCTTTCATTTTGAGCTTTGTGTATAAAATTTGTAAATATTTTATACAAAATGGCTGAACTATGATATGGTGTTTTGTCAAAAAACTGTCTTCGTTTGCTTACATAAATAACGCTGGCTTAACATTAAGAGATATATATGTACCAGGTACCTACATCAAAAAAGTGTAGTCTGAGGATCTAAGGTTCGCCGTACACTTACAATGGCTATTTTATCTATAAAAAAAATTTGTTGCTACTTCTTTACGCTAAAATTGCTGGACGTATTGAGATGAAATTTAGCACAAAGGAAAACGGAAAACTTTGATCTAAAGTTACATATACCGTATTGCATCTAGGGACCCACCCCAGCTAGGCGAGGGTATTTCGCTAATATAGTTATAACTTTGTGGTGTATGTTTGAATCGGAAATTTTTATATGTACATGAAGAATTAAGTCAAGAGTAGATGGAGTTACAGAATGTTAAATAAAAACTAAAAAAAACGACTTCCAAGCACTAAAATATAAAAAATAACTAAACGGGGGTTTTCATTAAGAATGGATACTTAATAAGATATTTTCGAAGTCGGTGCCAGCCGATGCAAAGCAAATCTAATATATTTCGATACGTAAAACACTTATTTACCTATTAAATATTCAGATATTAAAATATTGTTGACTGGCACCGACTTCGAAAATATCTGATTAGGTTTCTTTTCTAAATGATAACCCCCGTTTAATTATTTTTTACGTTTTTGTGGAAGTCGGTTTTTTTAAGTTTTTATTTGTCCATTTTTAGTGTAGACGTAATAAGCAGGTAATTTGTTAGAAGAAAGTTTTTTTATAACATATTCGATTAAGCAATTTTTTTTTAAATTATGTTGATTTAAAAAAAACTGCTTGACCGATTTCGATAAAATTTATATGGGACCACCTAAGAAGTATATCCTTTGAAACAAAAAAAGTCCAAATCGGTTCAGGCGTCTTCGAGTATCGGTGAACATACATAAAAAAGCTCCCGACGAATTGAGAACCTCCTCCTTTTTGGAAATCGGTTAACAAGCCATAAATGATAAAAGACTATATTATCAACCAACGAAACATGGTTCAAGAGACCTCTATGAAGTCTATTCGAAGAGTAAGATCATGTATCCAGCTGCCGAGCGACTTGAGGGAGTTGTACCCGTGACGGTGCCACATCTCGGGAACCTTGTTATTGAGAAAAGCGTTGAACACTTCTTCATAAGCTTCAGACATCACCACCACGCCCTAAAATTTTAGAACTATTAATAAGATAAAAAATAAAAATATATCTAGTCTATACAGTATACATATATATTCCTTTGAAATAGTTTATGTGGACATTGCAATGCATCTGAACACAATAATAAGTTATTGATTGAAACGGGCGCAATGCGTATAGTCCACGACATGAAGGATGGTAATGTTATTCAAATGAAACCATTATTATTTGATCTCCCAGGTCTGTGAGCTACATGTGGTTAGCAATATAGATAGCTAGATGTATATTACCACGAAGGCGCATGTATGAACTGCGCACGCTCAGTATCCCCAGAGTTCCCAAGCGTCGGTTTTCATCGATCGGTTGACCGGCAGTGTTGCTAGGAGATATAATGATTCAATAGATATATAATTTAATAGATTGTATACTGGCCAATTTTCTATCTGTTCCAGCTATGAATTTATAACACAGACTAGCTTTCTTTAATTAGTGATAATAATAAGAAGCATTTATATATTTTGAATATAGTATATTTCAAATATTTTTATAAAATTATTTAAATATTTTTTTATGAAGAAAACGTCCGTAGGTTTGAACTATTTACATCCTTACACTTTTAATTATACTCCTAATATAAGCCACTAAAAATAGAATTTATATCTGCACTAAATTTCCGATCCAATTGTTGTTTTTTATAGATGAGCCTTAGGATCACTTACTGAGTATAAAATCACTTCAGCACAGAGCTTCAGGCGCCATCTTGAAAAAATGTTTTTGGCCGATATCTCGGAAACTATGCACTTTAGGGCAAAAGTCATTGAGACCTTTTTCGTAGAGAATAAAAGTTCGTATCTTTTGTTACCTGTTATTTTTTTTCTAAAACTTACCGTTTACGATTTATGGCCCATTTAATGAACCGTTTTTCCATCTCGGCCGATAACTTAAAATATTGGTTTAATCAATAACATTTATTTATCTATTTTTAAATATCCATTTTTTTTCTACAACTTTTGTTTAAAACTTTTTTTCTTTTTTTTCATACTTTTTGAGCTATAGGACGTTCAACGTAGAAATGCGTGTGACGGGGCAGCCAAACGGTCTTTTCTATAGCAGGTAACCTTTTCTTTTATGTTTTTACACAAAAGAGGGGATGAAAGTCTTCAACAATTTCTGCGGTACCTCCCAGTCTGCTGGAGTTAATATCCTGCATATGCCGAACTGGTTGTGGAAGAGCATGTGACTTGGACTGCACTGTAATTTGTGAGAATGGCACGGCGGAAATTTGCACGACCCAGTCGACATTGAACATAGTCTTGATCGAAATAAGATCGAGATGGCGCTCGGAGAAACTCCACCGGAATCTGTCAGCATTTCGTGATTTTATACTCAGTTACGATATAGACATTCGATTTTTTTATTGAGTTCAACAGCCCCGCACAAGACAAGCGTCTATTTTCAACAGACTTCAAAAAAGAGGAGACTTTTAATATTCTTGGGTAGCGGCGCTACCGTAGCGCTCTCTTTTAATAAGGTCATAACTAAAATTGAACCTATATCCCACTGAAACACGTTACCGAGGAAAATATATCATATCTTAAGTATAAGGGCCAAGAAATGGTCCGTTTGTCAAGTTTCATCAAAATCCGTTAAACGATTTAGGTACACGTGACTAAATAAATTTCAAAAAATAGGTACCATATACGTTTTGAATCTTTATAAAAATTCGAAATGCGGTAGTTAGTTTGGCTTAGATATATGAAGTTCGTCCCTTAGAATATTAGTCTGTTGCTCTAACTCATTTAGTACAATAATATAGTTAAACCATCGAATAACGTTAAAGCGATAATTAAATTATCCCTATATGTCAAAAGGTGAGGGGGGTAGGTGTAACGTTTTCGTTAATGCTTCGTATATTCAGTTTTGCTAGGGCGTGGAAGTTTCTAGAGACCGGTATTCAGGAACGCATGCGCGGGAGGCTGCAGTGTGGCGGGTGCAAGGGGTGCATCCCGAGAGCACCTTGTCCGCCGCCCGGTCAGAGCTAAACATTATATAACTACTTATCCGAACTGTTTTATAGTTGACATATGGCATGTACTTACAATACATATGTACATATGTATTTACATATGAAAATATTTTTTTAATTGTTTTAGAGAAATGAGTTTGTTATATATCTACCCATTAATTAGAATATTGCCTAGTTTTGTAAACTTTTCCTTCAGCTTCCAGCTAAACTAGTAGTTAACACTTTGTTGCGTCTTGTTATTACTACAAATATTTTTTTGCCTAGCAACTCCAAAAAATATGAATAAGGATCGACCTTAATATCGGTGTGCATTGTTTCAAAGTTGTATCCAAAGCCGTTTTAAATCCAGTCTCCATTGGAAATATTTCTTTGTTGAAATAGAGAATAATTTTATCTAAATATGTATCTACTGTCCCGTAAGATAAGCGAGACTGACTGGCGTACTGACTAATTAACAAAGAAAGGATATACCTACTACCCACTTGTCTAGGATTCTATGTAGATATTTTATTTTTAAATTGTATCATCCGAAAAAGTAATTCTAATTTTACTTGGAAGTTGTTTAGTTCTTCACACAATAGACTATTTAACAGTTTGAAAAATATTGTTTTATTTATTGATATCCGCATATTATAATAGGGGTTTTAAAAAAGACGCGTGGCACTCGGAAACTGCCGCGGTAAAGCTATTGCGTAGCATTTTTTATTAACTTATGCAATTATAATTATTTATTTATTTTATTAATGCAGTATTTTTTTTCCTTTGTTTTTTTTTCTTTGATATTAATTCAAGTTACACTTTGAGCGTGGTGACCGATAAAAAAACATTTTTTTTTCTTTTATTAAATAAATCAGATGATGTTAATATATGATGATATATAGATGTTAATATTGTTCAAAATATTTTTATTATCTTTCAATACATGTCAGTTCTTCAGGAATATTTATCATTTAAACTATAGGTTTATGGTAACTGAAATAAGAAACATAAGTTTGAGACTTGATATCTTCTAAATATCTGGAAAATACCGCGTCAATGGTGGTTCCATATTTTGTTGTGGATTCTTGTGGATCATTATTCATTTTCAAATTCAATATTTTCGAAAGCAAGCTGCATCGACTGCATCTTTGTTGCAAGAATTCAAAAGACTGTCTCTAAATAGTGTTCAGGCGATAGCTCAAAGTGTATTAGATTTCATTAGTAATAGAAATGGCATTTCAATAATTACTTTCAACTGCCAAAGTCTAAATAGTCACAAATACGATTTACAATATTCAGTTACGAGGCAAGCAAATGTGTTACTTCTTACCGAAACAGATGTCAAATGTCAGATCGTCAGAAACGTTAGATGTCAGATGTCAAATCTGAGTGGGGGGTGTTAGGTTTTTTTCGTTACGGAATTTCTGGATTCGGTCCCCACGCTCAAGGCCCGCGATAGAAGCTATGCAATAGCTTAAAACTATATATGTGTATTAATTAGACGAAAAAAATATCTCACTAAATATACAAAAAATCCTCTAAAAAACTTATTTACGTTTTTCAATGTTACCACGTAATCAAAACTGCTTTGGATTGATTGAATGTACAATGAAAGGTTACTCCCACAAACTAATTTGTCTCGTTAATGTCAGCGAAAGAAAGTTCCTAGTAACTCTGACCCGTTAAACAAAAAAAATATTAGTGACCCATCTATGTACAGCATCTCTTTCAAACCAGTATTTATACACCCATCCCTCCCTATTAGGTCCTAATTTTATTTAAATAATAAAATTCAAAGCATGACGGCTTTGAAATATAGGTCGCACCAAGATCGAAGTACAGTTTTCCTCACTGCATTAGCAGCAAACAGTTTTATAGCCAGCCAGCCAACCAACCAACCATCTTAGCTATTTCAAAATACACTGCAATTATCCCTACTTTTAATTTGACAAGAATGGGTTTAGATAAAAAAGTTCCTGTGAAAAATGGGTAATGGAGGAATTCCTGTCATCATTAGAATTCCCTCTAGCTGTGGTGAGGTTTTAGAGGCTAGAATATCGAACCGGAAGAGTGTAAACGATAGTGCCTAGCCTCTCACCGGGGATGCGTGTGATATTTTAAAGTTCGGCAAAATACTTTGCAACTGATAAGTATTGCCCTGAATTTAAAAGACAACAAAACATTAAAACCTTGAAGTAACAGGAAAATATTTCGTACATCGAATGATCATCGCTTTTCTCTCCTGTGTGACACTCTTATGTTGATATTGCAAAATAAATGTTTACTCATCCTTTTGTATCCATCTTACAACCCAGTCTTAATCCTCAGTCTCCCATCAAGAAATCCTACATCAAAATTGTTGTCCGTTCACCTTGTCCCCGAGCTCCTCTTGCAAAGGGATTTGATAGACTAGCTCACCAAGTTAGCATTGGTAATTGTTAGTCTTCTACTCTACTTCTACTCTTCTTGTACTTTAAATAATAACACAGATAATTCACCATCTCCAACTCCATCCAAATCTAGCCTCTTAGTTTCCCTTATGGAAACCTTAATAAAATATTATCTCAACTTATAATGATATTTCAATATCATCCAACTTTTCCCAAATTTTGTAGCACATCTCCCAATCCTGGAATAGTAAATGTATCCGTCCAAAAAAATAATAATAGATAGTTTCTCGCTCCCAATCCTTTGCTTCTATCTATTGCTGTCTTTTATCTATCGCTGACTCCAATATTCCTGAGAAACACTCTTCACAAAATGAATTGCCTTTTTTCATGTCAAATTGGTCATCTCTGGTGGGATCAGGAATGCAGTGATTTTGTCAATCGGCGAACAATCATCGTCTCTATAACAGAGGAGAATATCAACGCAATGATGCATAATTTCGAAGACTGATTTGTAAAAATAAAATGTTTGTGTGGATCAACTTCTGTGAATACCTTAATCCTCGATCTCCGCTTCTGCTCAGGACCTGTTGTCTGTTGCAAAATTTCATTTGGATCATTTCTGGAATATTTACTGGAACTCATCAAATTCTTTTAAAGGTAAACACTATGCTGCTATTCAAATAGAGCTCTTTTTTCTCGTAGCAAACAGGCGGAACGTTGGAGTTTGTCAATTATTAGTCGTATTAGTCTTGCAGACGTATGTACTCCTGTTCACCTGGCGAAGATCAGAGTCAGGGACCACTACCTATGTGAATGTAGCTTTGACGAAAGTATTTATCCCATATTCTTTTCATCCTAAATGGTTGTTGCGAAAGTGCTTGACAGTATGCTTAGCGTCCAGCTTGATAAACATATACACGTACATGACAATCAGTATGGCTTCAGGCCAGGTTTGTCAACGGAATCAGCAATATTGTGTTTAAAGCAAACTGTGAAGTACTACACTAAAGTAAACTGTGAAGTACTAGTAGTAGAAGTTAGGCCAACGCCTATGTACCCTTGTTTCCTTGACCTTAGTAAGGCGTTTGGCCTGGTCAATTACGATATCCTATGGCAAAAACTAAAAAATAGTAGATTGCCCGAAGAAGTTACCGGGATCTTCAAATATTCGGTCGGGTAGTGTTAGTCGGGTATGATCTTCGAAGCGCACGTAGATTGTTTCTACACTATCATGCGCCAACGATGCACATCCCTGGCGCTCAGTGTTCGGGCCAGTTCCAATAGCATTCTGAGGGCACTTGCTGACAGGTTTGATTGTCAGTATTTGAACTATTGTCAAATGGGGCACGTGCTGACAAATGTCTGTCATAGATAAGGTTTAGAATTAAGTAGGTTAAGTGTGTTACTAATAATTAATATATTTATTTATTTACAGCTTTTAAAATATTTTTAATTAAAACGCTGAAAATCGGCAAGAATGGTTTTTAACCAACTTTAAATCATTATATATCCTGTTATTTAAAATGAAAATGATGAAAGAAACCTAAAAATGATTTTTAAATACCTATTCAACGATGCTCCACTTGGCATAGTTCGTCGATTTTCATTTTATTTTTCACATTATGGAATCTAGCAGCCCCCATATTTTTTTTTAATATCACTTATCTAACGAACGCTTGTACTAATGAAACGAATCTAACGGTGCCTTAATTAAAGAAATCCATCGAGTGGTTTGGAAGATATGAGGGAATAAAGAATATTACAAATAAACATACAAAGATAGGCACGAGAAACGTAACCCTTTCCTCGGTGTGCTTTGCTTTGTATCTGTATTTGGCTGGCACCGATTTCGAAAACATCTGATTAGGTGTCTATTCTAAATGAAAACCTCCGTTTAGTTATTTTTTACATTTTAGTGCCTGGAAGTCGGTTATTCTTTATTTCTTAAAAGTTTTTATTTTTCAATTTTTAGTGTAGACGTAATAAGCAGATAATTTGTAAGAAGAAAGTTTTTTTTTGTTAACATATTCGATTAAGCAATTAAATAAAAAATAATTTGTTGTTGATTTTTTTAAAAACCGCTCGACCGATTTCGATAAAAATTAAATAGGACCACCTGGGAAGTATACCCTTCGAAACAAAAAAATATATTTCCAAATCGGTAAGGGCGTGTTCCAGCAATCCGTGAACATACATAAAAAAGGATTCCGACGAATTGAGAACCTCCTCCTTTTTGGAAATCGGTATAACAAGCACCTATAAATGATCAACTTACTTTAATAGCCTTCTGTAATTCATTAAGTGAGCTATGTATGAGCCCCAAGAGGATGTTGAACCTATCAGTCTCGTGTAATAGCACTGTAGTTAAGGAGTGTAGCTGTCCCATATCATCTGGCACCATGAGAGAAGGGTTCACGAGCGTTTTGTCCACTTTACTAGCCACTACCGCCCTGGTTTGTTCACAAATGCGCCATACAATTTGGTCGGGAGTGTCCCCGCCCCCACCACCCCCCGCTCTAGGTTGCACGTCCACTATGGTCTTGATGAGTGTACTAGTTTCTTTATTCTGGTTAATAAAATAATCTTTGTTTATAAATATTGATTTTAAGTTTAAAAATTGATTATACTGAAGGCAGTGGTAACCCGGAAGGTTTTTTCCGGGCGTTTGAAGAAACAAAGTGAAGTGAGTTCAAATCCTGGAGTTTGCACTACTGATATTCTTGTGTGCAATTTTTTTAAGCATGATTACCCATTGCTTTACAATGAAGGAAAACATCGTGAGGAAATCTGCATGTCTGAGAGAACCTAGCAAGTTTCCAATACATGTCCGCCAATACGCACTGGGACAGCCTAGTGGACTATGGCCTGATACTTATAGTGCGTCAAGGCAGACCCGTGCCCAGCGACGGGACGTTAAAATGACGCCTATATCAGGAGACGTTAATATGGAATATTTCTGTGTCTGTATACAATTCTCATAAACATTATTTTATTTATTTTCAATCTTTTAAACTTACAACGACATAGTTACTAATTTTATTTGTACTTGCACTTCAAAATAATCTTAAATTCTAATTTTCACTAAAGTAAACATATCATTTTAAAACGATATAAAATCATTTAGCTTACTAACTTACTTCAAATGCAATATTGGCATTCTCATGCATCCCAAATACTTCCGGATCTTCAATTACAGGTAAAGTATCAATATATTCCCGAACAGCGTTCAGTTTGTCAAAACGTGGACAATAATAGGTGCCGGACGGAGAATATGTGTAGCCTTCCTCGAGAGTAGGCGGGGAGAAAAATTGCTTCAAAATGGTGGTAAGGCAACGTTGATCCCACATATCTGTTACTCGGCCCCCATATGTGATTTGACCTAACAATAAAAGAAGATTAACATTTTTAATATTAGATCTGAAAATGATAACAAAGGTTTTATAACATCCCTTACTAGTAATATATTCTAATGCGTCCCACGGAATATGTCCAGATTCGCAGAACATTTGCAGATTGAGCAAGGCACATTCGCGGTCGCTGTTATTAAATTCATACGTTATATTCCAACCGAGCGGACCGAACTTTTTTCGTTCTTGGATTATTGCGTGGAACATGCAGATTCCAAAAAGCATTGTACGCCAGTCTTGTTCCAGGACTGTAAATAGAGATAACAATTATAGAATTACTAAAAAATAAAATAAAAAAAGAATAATTGTCTTTTATAGGAATGAGATGAATAGTAAAATAAGTGAAGAGTTAAGAAGCAGTGCTTTTCATTTGGAGCACAGTTTAAGTTAATATAAGGCCTATAGGCAAATATTTACTACAACTCATTATCGAATTGTACTCAACTTCTTATGAAAAAAAGTTACTTATTATATCGACTGTAATTTATGTATAAAATGCATTATACATACATAATAATTATTATTTACTAAGAGTACCCAATATTATTACATCTATCTAGGCTTAGAATTAACAAAAGTTAATCTTGGATAGACATAATCATTATTAAAATCATTAATAATACCATGATTCTCGAAAAAATCTTCTTCCATTTCAATGAGAGCTCTCTTTACATTGGCTTTTAGTCCTTTAGGGGGTTCATTAGTGACTTTGACAGAATTTTGGAGAACCGAGACGGGGAATTTCGGCGTAGGCATTGAGCTAAGATAAAGCCGAAAATCAGGGTGAAGAGTTTGATCACTGCTCATGTTAGCAACTAGTACCTCCAGACTCAGCATCCATGATGCAGCTAAATGACAATTCTAAAAAATATACCATTATAAAAATAAGTATAACAGATACTTGCTTCTATCTAATCTAATGCATTCACAGTTTGAAACTTAACTCAATTTTTTTTAACTCACCTGAAGGAAAACCCAATCCCCTTTGGGTTTGGCATTATTTATCATTTTCTCAGCCACAGGACCTTGCCCTTGCCCGAGAGAAATAGAGCGTACGCGATCCCTCATTTTCATTTCAGTTGCGAATTTTTGAAATGATCCAAATGGATCTGAACCAGTACTTAGTACAAATACTAAAGGTATCGAAGAGGATGTGTCAGCATATCTAATGAATAATAACAATAAAGTCTATATCTTGACCATTTTTTACACTATTTTACAAAGAAAGAACAGTGATATACTCGTATGTATGACAGCTTTTATGTTAACTTGTATAAAAAATCGAGTAGGTACTATCATGGCATTCCTAATGCACCCAGTATAAATTAATATTATACACATATGTAAGATATTTTTATAGGACATCAAACTTTAAAAAACGAAATATTTTCATATGTTATAGTGTGTATTATTTATATTTTGTTAGGTAAGAAGCTCTAACAATTTAAAGTCACGTTACAATAGTCAAAATATATGTTTTGTGACGTATAGTATTATATATATCTATATATTATATAGTGACAATCATGCTCTTTATATTTTTAGCCGACTGCGGCGTAGCACAAAGGAGGGTTATGTATTTGATCTGTATATTATGTATGTATATGTCCAACCTTATGTTCCTTCGTAATTACTAACTCCTCAACAAATTTTGATGATTCATAGACGTCGTTAGATTCATCTTAATAACGCAAATCTTACAGGCTAGGCTTATGTAGATAAAATGATAAATCAAAATAGCGTATCATAGGCATTTTTATTTTTATGTTTTGAATTTTTTTTTTCATCTGAATCAATCGAGTGGGGTATCAAAATACAAACTTTTAAGTGGCGATTACAAAAATATACACAGGTTTTAGGTTTAAAAATAATTTAGGATAAGAAATTGTTAAATAAAACAAAAAGTTACTAACTGATCAAAACTAAAAAGTTACAAACTTATTACTAAATAATGAGAACTTCTTTTCTTCATCAACTTTTTCTCTTTCTAGTTCGCTTTTTTTGAAGTCGGGTTTTTATTTTTGTATTTAAGTTAAACTGTGTTAAGATAGGTACTAAGATAGGTCCCCCCCAACGTGTGTTCACCTTGTCGTGGTGGGGGGGCTCAGTAGTGCCCGGCAATCCAACCGGGCGCGAAGCTAAGAAACGCACAGGGAGGTTGCCCACTCCAGTGGGCGGTGGGAGGTGGCCCTCTTCGGAGGGCGGTATACCATGCGGATTGCTCCTGGTACTTCTCTGATAGCAGAGTGGACTGTGGAGCAACCCCATGGTTGTGGTGGTCTGCTATGGCAGACCTGCCGTCGGGGCGTCGTAGTTGAATGCGTAAGCGATCCTGCGACGCCCCATTAAGACGGGGGAAGGTTTTGTTGGGTTTTAGTGGGTAGTACTGGCTGTATTATGCCGGTGAGTCCCACACGTCGTGCGTAAATGCATTTCCCAACGTTAAAAAAAAAAAAAAGGTACTAAGATAGCCCCCCCCCCCCCAACGTGCGTTTACCTTGTCTTGGTGGGGGGGCTCAGTAGTGCCCGGCAACACAGCCGGGCGCGAAGCCAAGAAACGCACAGGGAGGTGGCCCACTTCGGTGGGTGGTGGGAGGTAGCCCTCTTCGGGGGGCGGTGTACCATGTGGGTTGCTCCTGGTACTTCTCTGATAGCAGAGTGGACCTTGGAGCAACCCCATGCTTGTTGTGGTCTGCTTCGGCAGACCTGCCGTGGGGCGTCGTAGTTGAATGCGTAAGCGATCCTGCGACGCCCCATTAAGACGGAGGAGGTTCCGTTGGGATTTAGTGGGTAGTACTAGCTTTGCCGGTGAGTCCCACACTTAGTGCCTAAATGCATTTTCCAACGTTAAAAAAAAGTACTAAGATAGGTAATAAGTATCACTGCATATTAATGTGGCAAAACAAGCGACACTTGAGGATATGCTCGGGAAAAAATATTAATAGATAGTAACTAGTAAGGTGATAAGAGACTTGTAAGTTTCTTCGATTTTGAATAAATCACATTTATAGATAGTTAATGGACATTTTATTTTATTTGACTTATTATAAATTGGTTCATTTAACTATTTCAAACTGTGGTCCTGTATTGAGATAAATTGATATCTATAGACAGATTATCTATAGAAGAGGGTGGTGGGTAGCTTTTTCCAGTGCTCCATACATAGTGCGCCTTGCACCACCCCGTCACTCCCACCGACACGATTTGGTAGCTTCGTGTGATAGAGAACTCAGTTCTCTCGCTGTCCCGACCGAAGAGGTTGGTACGGCCAGAGACTCGATAATAATCAAAATAAAACAAAATTTAAAATGATATATAGTATGACTAATTTTATGAAACTACACACTACATTTTGAATACACATATGTTCTATTAACTGAAATATTATACTATTTAAACAGACAGTTAAGGTTTAAGGAGGATTATTAGTTTTAGCGATTTTTTTTTATTCCATAGCAAAGTAAAAAAATGAATATACTATTATTATTATTATATAATATTTTTTTAAATTATATCGATTTTATAAAATGCTGCATAAATATATTTATAAATTCAAAAAAAAATACGCTATGGTTGATTTTTGAAGTTCACACGTGGTATACCTTTTACGACTCCTTCATATGTATATCAAACTTTAAATATTAAAAATGGCTTGATAACTAAAATATTTGCAAAATGCGTCTCATGTCTCCGATGTCCTATTAATATGGCTAGATATGGAGCGCAGTGATCGATACAGCCTTTCGACTTTCTAGCGTGCCTAGGGTTGATGCACAGTGCATTCATTCGATGTCGGATCTCGCGGAGACCTGACGTGATCTCATTTTAAGCAACGTTTAATTAACCACAATATAAATTTTATGATCAACATATTTTAAAATAGTGTTTAAATTTTAAATGCTATTGGTGAATTAAGTTTTAATAGAAATGGCAGAAAGCGTAGTTTCGGTGAATTATAGCGACATGCATTTCGCTCTAAAAAATGGAATAAATATGCCGGCTGTGGGTTGTAAGTATTACTAAAAATAAATAGCATATTGTCATATTAATATAGTGAGATAAAGTTTATGTGTCTGGATGTAGGAAGTAAACTCTGCAACAAATTATTATATTTTAAAGTTTCTTTTACAAATGCCGAATATACTATACCAGGGCGCGAGGACGTTAAACCTGCGAGACATTGACTTCTTCTTTCCATGGCATATCAACTGATTTCATTCGGTTGTGAAATATATTGCTAAAAGTTATTAAAGTACGCGCAGGGTGTAATTAGAGTCTGGAGGAAGCAAAAGCGCGTCGCTATTTCCATATATAATATAATATTTATATTTGTTTCAGTTGGAACATTTCGCTTAACTGACTGCGATCTTTTGTATAAAACTATAGATTATGCTCTCGAAGCTGGATATCGACTATTTGGTAAGCAATAATTCTAATATAACTAGTTTAAACAGTACATTGCTAATTTTACTTATTCTATTTTCATAATAGATACTGCCGCGGTTCATGCCAATGAAAAACACTTAAAGAAGATTTTCCGAGAGTTGCTTCCGCTACACGGGCTTGTGCGTGAGGATATCTTTGTTACGACAAAATTGTGTAAGTAGTAGAAATAACGCTATTTTTATATTATTATTTTAAACATTGTAATTTACACATTATTTTTCAGAATTTGAATTAAAATTATAACAATTACCTTTTGCAGCGCCATTTTCTAATGGAGGTAAATTCGTTCCCAACGCATTTGAAAAATCTTTGGAAAATTTAGGTATGGACTACATAGACCTGTATTTAATTCATTTCCCGGGTTCGCCCTCCGGTGACCAAAAGAGCCCCAAGCATGCGAAATTTAGACGAGAGACATGGCTAGCGCTGGCCAAGCTTTACGATGAATCCAAAGTGAAAGCCATCGGAGTGTCTAACTTTACGGTTAGGCATTTGATGCAACTCTCAGAAGTCATGGCCATGGGCCCAATGGTTAACCAGGTAATCCAAACTTTTATATCGTAAAGTTTTGTTAGTTTAATTTCTTTAATTGTTCGGGAACTATATTCACTACTATTGCATTTATAGGTTGAATGGCATCCTTACTATTACCAACCGGAGTTGATCCAATATTGTTGCGACCATAATATTAGAATTCAGGCGTATAATTCTTTTGGAGGTCTATCTCGGGGCAATAGAGATCTGCTAGAGGATCCGGTAGTGAAAAAAGTAGCCCAGAAGTATGACGCTACATCTGCACAGGTTTTGTTGATATGGGCTTTGCAAAAGGGAATCGCGGTCATCCCGAAATCAACAAACCCTTACCACATCAAGAAGAACAAGCAACTTCATTTCAGGCTGTTTGAAAAAGATGTAATGATTCTTGACGAATTAAGCGCCAAAAATCAAAAATATGCCTGGGATCCCACTTGGATTGCATGAAGAATGAAGCGCTACTCTGATATTTTCATAGAAATATCAGGGATTTTAATAAACGTCACAAACGTTATGCATTTTTCACCTTGGTTTATTTTGACCATACCTCATCGCTTGATAGTCCTGCCTTCATATTAAGAAGGCTATAAGTTTTAATAATGGTTAAAGTTAATTTGTAGTTATGATATTATAAGTTGCAATGTTTAAGTATTACCTACTTAGTAAATTTAGGCGCAAATGGTCGACTTTTCTGTGTGTAGAATAGTGTGGAACTCCACAATTGTGTATTAGTGTTTCGATGTACTAATATATTGTTACATGTGTATTTAATACTTCTCATTTACTTTTATGTACTTTTGTTGTTTTTTATTTAGTTAAACATATATTTTTCTATAATTTTTTTAGGTTTACGCGAATATTTGACATTTTAAATACAACTATCTTTTCGGATTATTTTGCGGATTAATTTTGATTTTTGGTTTAAAATCAAAGTAAGCCCGTGAAATAATCTCAAAAGATAGTTTTATTTAAAATATATTTCTCTATTCCGCCTACTAAAACATTTCACGGGTGATATTACCGATACTCCAAATTTGTTCTCCGACCAATTTTAATTTCAAACTTTGACCAAATTCTTGTATACCTATTATATCAAATTATTTTTATATAAACTTTTATAGATATAAAAAAAATATAATCGCATTTATTTTTTCTTCAAATAGTTCCTATAAAGATTTTACTGCAACAAGGTATCTACGTACCCTCCATATTTAAATCTTAATGAAAGATTTTTCTTCATAAAATTAGTTTTATTTTAAGTATTTATGTTTAAAATTTAATTTAAATACATGTTTTGGTTTTAATGTCTATAATAATGAATGTTGTGTCACAACTCTTGATGTTTGTATTATTTACTTATTAAATGTTAACTTTAAGCAAATTATTTCACTTGTAACGTTTTCTCGATCAGGGTATAAAGAGAAACGTCCATAACAAAAAAAATAAAATTAATGTATACGATTCTCATATCTGTTTAATAAAGGTGTATCCTAGGTATTGTGATTGGTTTTTTATTTAACCTGTACCTGATACTATAATCAAACTACTCTCTACTACAGAGCTAAGTTAAGCGAATTCAGTTTTTAATGTTACATCTTCCTCTAATGCGATTGTTATTATTATAAAATATTATTAATGTGCTTTAGCTCGGCGACATATTTTTAGATTAATATTATACAATTTAAGTTACCATTAAATTTCTTATAGCTTTCAAAATAATAAAATGTTGCCTTTTGCTTGTAGCTCGCTTGCGACTAACTATTACCTAGATATAATTTTTCCATTAATGATAAAGGCTTTTATTTTTTGTTTACTCTCTTATATCTGCAAATTTAGTCCGATTTGAAAAAATCCTATCGCATTTCATAGCTTATTTATGGAGGAATTGTATCTAAAAGCACTTAAGGAAATACCTACCTATACTTAAACAAACTAGGCGATCAAAACCGTGAGCTAGAAATAGTTTATAATATACCTAGCTAGCTACCTATAAAGCAATGCCCGATCCTCATTCATTGCGCGCCATTCACGTAACTAGACTGAATCGAAGGGCAGATATGTTAAGTTAGACACTGTCTCGGCAGACGAAATCCTATATAAACGAAATCTGAATATTGGAAAGTGGTATGAGTAACTGGAAAAAAGTAAGACTAGCTAGCTTATCACAGATTTATGGCAATATTTTCCGATACGGTCACATTAGAAAAGTGTTTGGACAATAGATAATTAGTAACCTGATAGCATGTAAGTCTGTGTGCGTGCAAAAGAGGCCGAGCTGTATGCCCTAACTACATCCAGAGCGTCCTCCTGTATTTTTACTACTTACTACTTACTGAATGACCCACGAGAGTTACTCACAAATAACGCGATGAAAATGAAGCATCATAAAAATAAACAATGGAGCATATTGTCAATTTCATAAAATAAGGTGGTCAAAATTATAGAAGCTTTTCCCTAACCATTAGCCGATTCAGAACGTAAACCGAAATTGAGCTCACTAAGAACTTCTTGATTTATTTTCATAAAGAAATATTCTAGTAGTAAGGTGTTGGCCTAAGAGCAATTCAATTCTTAGCGCTTCAAATTTGGGGACCATTTGCAACATTTTCTTAGAAATGCCTCCCAACTTGCTTGGAACTTTTTTGCATGGTGTGTAATAAATGCTATGCTAGCAGTCTTATGAATAATCTAATTACCCAAGTATTATATATAAAAATCAGCTTTTATACTATAACGTAAGTAGAATTATGATTTCATGAAAAGGGTGTATGGCAAGGGTTTGCCACGATGTTAAGTGTCTGGCATTGAATGACGTGATTTTTAATAATATTCTGAAGGTAATACCAAAAAATCACACTTTATTATTTGACGAATTTAGATCGGTATTTTACACACCTTTAGTACCGTGTACCTGCCAAAGCCACCATAGCCTGAATTTCATAATGGTCCATCGTTCTTATCTGTGTTGGGAGCATGCGCTGACAAACTTTCAGCCTTTATAAAATGACGAAGGTCTGGCATTCAAGGGCTCTTCCTCTATGTGTGTTACCAGCTTGTTTACACAGGTTTGTCACGAAGCAAATTACATTTTTATTTGTTCAAGAATCTTTAGTTTAACTGGCACATTTCATTTTTCTAGACAAGATAATTCCCTAATTTGACAGCATGTACAATTTACACCGTACATTTCCGTATTAAGGGCGCACCGAGGCAATTACGAAATAATTGCGCCCGTTTAATCCCTTGCTGTATTGTTATTACTAAAACTTTAATTGTGCAATTAATATGTAGGATATTTAAGGATTTATTCTATAAATCGTACACTTTAGAAACACGATTACTTATAGTTTCCACGATAGAAATAAAATCCAAAATGACCTCTAACAAAACAAAATACACCCTTAGTGCGATGTAAATAATTCAAGGAAGTTCATCAGTTTTTTAATAATAACAAAACTATACGTTTTCTATAACGTATACACGTTACATTTTCAAAATGTGTATTTGTTTTAATAATACGAAGGAAATGAATAAATTCGCACGCGATACGTCCATCCTAGAACCACCCCCCCCCCCTACCCGCTGTCGTCCTACTAAAATAAAAAACTCGGTGCCCCCTTAAATCTAAAATCTTAATATACTGCTAAAACCAACATACTGATATGGTAACTAATCATATATGATTCTAATGCGTTACATGATGTTATAGTACAACGTTCTACCGTACCTAAAAAACAAATAGTTACTTACAAAGTGTTGAGTTGAACAGTGGGACTCTCAATGAACACGGAGCCCAGGCTAGTGCTTACGTATTGGGCTATCGCAAACACTAATTTTTCTTCTTTCAAACATTTTATTAACATTAGTTTTTCAAATGAATCTAGGCGTTCGTTCCAATCAACTTTCGGGGCAGTTTTATCCTTTTTGTTTATGTGAATATCCTGTGTAATATTATATGAACCATAAAAATATTATTACAACATATAACAAAGTTTAATCATAATCACAGCAAATAATACATATTTATTATGAATAATACAATATGCATATTATAGAAAATACAATTCAATTCATTAGTTAAATTATATGAACTTATTAAAATCTGTTCTTTTTCATACCAAAGAGAAAGTGCCAATTTTAATGGGAATATACTTCATGCAGTCTGCAGCAAGTCCCAAGAAGCTTGTTTCACTGTCTTCTAGATGATTAATTGCGAGCCACATCTGTTCAGTGAGAGCATCTAGTGCGGGCTTCTTTGGCGGTACCTATTACGGTGTATTTAATATTATTTAACTCATATGGCAATATAACATTTATGTAATAAAAATAGGACCACGACTATTTTTTACAGTGAATATTATACAAAAAAATTGTTTGGAGCACTTAAGAACAGAGGCAAAGCTTCATACAATCGGGTAACGAAAAATACACTAACTACATGCCGAGTTGTTGTGTTACAGCAAATCCATAAAATGAATGATGAATGGACTTCAATAAGACTTTTTCCATATAAATAATTTTTAAAATAAATCCAAATTTTATTCCAATGGGTAAAATTAAATCAATTCTTATATAACGCGAACCCAAACACTCTCTACAAATATTATTTACAGCGTATTGGCTATGTATGTAAACATGAGTATTTTCAATTGTTACTTACAACTTTAGTCCCAGCCGGGCCACGCAGTACGAAGTTCCACTGTTGTTGAGATACTATACCAGCGTGTAAATATATCGCCATGTTGAGAAGGAAACTGAATACCAGTTTGTGTTGCTCGAATAGCCCGCGAGAGACGTTGCGGTATACTGACAGAGTGATCTCGCCGTGAAGGATTTCTAGCCTTTCCTCTAATATATCGCATTTCTCACTCTTCTCAATTACTGCGTTGAAAACCTGTGTAGTAGTGCTTTAGTTAAAGTTAGAGAGATTAAAGTTTTGTGATATTCATTGTTATTTCATTAATTCTTTACAATTTGACTTGATTAAAGTAATATAAATGAACATCCAATCTCACTGAGATATTGCGTGCAGGAGATATTATAGTGCACAATTATGCGCGCAAACACATCGTGCACTCTCTATTTCTTTAAAATCTCAGTCTCCAACTGTAAAAGTTAAGACACGTAATCTGTCTCGGCACTGGGGTGCAACAACATCCCAACTCCGGGCTGCTATTGAGAATTTCTTGATAGAAAAACTCAATAACTAAACTTTTCCCGACCCGGGACTCGAACCAAAAACCTCGGAATCTACAGCCGTAAATTCTAGCCACTAGACCAACCTGATTAAAGTATTTGAGTGAGAACTGGTACATAGGGTCGATGTCGGCAAGCTGTGCTACTGCGAAGTAAAGCACCGCACCACGCGTCGCTACTGTACGGTACTTCTCTCGCGCCGCCGATATCCTTATTTCCGTTGCCTCCGTTTCCTCCAGTCGAGCATTTATTATTTCTGATGTTTCCTTAAAATTAATTAAGAATTTGTTATTTTTAAATGAGCCGAGCCAACTCAACGGCTTGTACTGCAATATTAATAAGCAAACAAACATAACTTCGGCACATTTTAAAATAAAATTATTCTATCGAGATTTTTCGCGGTCGATCTTCTAACAGAAAACTTTTAATTATCAGGAATCACCTTGCTTTCGTTCAGAGTTTCAATGAGTTCTTCATCGTCTAAAATGTTTCCTGAGGACGCATACAGGAGGCGTAATATTTTATCTTCAATTTCTAAAAGAGTAGCTTTATCGGTATTGATTCGTACGATGAGCTCAGACCTTTGTAACTCTAAGTCTGGTCGCTCTAACCGCACCACGTCTCTGTAATAATATCCTTATAAAAATAACAATGTCTAAGTTTTTTTGTCTAAGTTTAGATATGAACACAAACAGACCAATCAAAAGAGATTTTAAATCAAAAACATAGAGAAAGGAATTTCTTGGGGATAGTTAGTTAAAGTTTTAGCAATATTCTAAAAATACTTATCTATACATCTGTAGAGGTCGAATGTCTGTACATAGGAAAAAATGCTAAAAACCAAGTCAGGGGGGTGTAAGAAAAGAAAAAAAAACAAATCCAGTTTATTTTCAATTTTTTTGTTTCTCTATCTGTTTGTCTGTTTGTACGGGCTAATCTCCGAAACTATAGGACCGATTTAAATGAAATTTTGCATCGTCGTACCTTAAATCCCAACATTTTAGATACTTTTCATCACGGAAAATTAAAGAGTTCCGCAAAATTAGAGAGAAAAGTATGATTGCTTTTAAAACTCAGCCACAATCTGGTGGAATCTAAATAGTTCCAATAAAATAAACTAACTTAATCAAATTGACTTTATAATTAACGGACTATAATTGGCGAGAACGGAAAATACATAATACGTAGGTATATCACTAGATACAAATTTTGAAATTCTTTGCTCCATATCTGATACTTACGCTAACAACTGATCTTCGAGTCCAGACAGTGTGACTGTGAAATTCACTAAAGTCACTTGTATACATATTTCAGGCAAGTAATGCGGATTGGCAATCTTCGTAGTGAGGTAAAGACGGAAGTTTGTGTCGTACTCGATGTCACTGTCACCCAAGTGAATTAGGAGACGACCAGCCTAAAACATAAAAATAACGATTTATAAATATTTAGTATTTCTTTATTTTTCTTTAATATAATATACTTTCTTAAATTGAGTTAAGTTTTCTCACTTTCGTTTAGAAAATACATATATAATTACTATTGCAAGTTCAATATGTTTACATATAAAAACACTAAATTTCATTATAACTACACTTAAATATGTTCACACCTGAAAGAACGTTTGTTTTAGAAGAACTGGTGAGAGGGTGGCTTCTAGAGATTCGCCCAAGTCCTCGATGAGCATAGGCCAGCCTAATCTAATGCAGTTCTCCAGTATACGCAAATAAGCTGGATCGCTTAGCTTTGTTATCTGTAGGCCGTTGTTTTGCTCCATATTCTTAATCCACCTGTTTGCCTAGAATAAAATGTGGTTTTACTATGTGAATAAAACTGAATAACATTTGATACTAGCTGTTTCGTTTGGCATCAAATTCACACCAAAGTCTTTAAGCAGACAAAACCTAGCGTTTTTAATTTTTATTTTTTCGAGGAACTTTTCTAATTTTTAACATTAAAAACATTATTCTGTTACGATCATTCAAGTAATGCGCTTGTGCCAAAATAGCCATTTGTGGATGATTGTTAACTGTTTAAGGTTCAATTACTTACATTGTATCGTAAAAACAAAAATAAAATATAATATTTTTTGAAATATTATATAAAACCTTTTTCACAATACAATGTTAGTGATTAAGTCGTAGTAAGTTAGTAATTATGTTGAAATATTAGATGTTTACTGAAACATCTATCTTTTCTCTCATCTTTTTCAGAAACTACGAATATCTCATAAGAACATTGATGGCAGTTTGACAAAGGGGTCTGAGTACTGTTAGCGGAAATGAAATGAAATTAGACCAAACTATATTCAAGTAAACTTATACAAGCACTTATGAATCGCCAATATAATTTAAATAGCGTCAGTGTAGTCAGTCCATGAGCAAAGCAACCACCGCCTCGGAAAGCAGTTCTGCTGAGATAAATTGTAGGCATCTTTGAAATCCATCCAGGACAATTATGTTTATTTACCAAAAACAAAAAAAAATAGCATAGACTTAGCCTCTATTACACGCGATACATATGTCAAATAAAGATTTAGCACCTGGGCGACCGAGCGAGCGGTCGGAGTTCTTTTTTGTTATATATCGTATTTTTTGCATTGCCGGGATTCGAACCCCGACACCTGTGATTGTCAATCGAAAGACAAGACTAATCTAGTTCGATTTGTCCCCACATGCCAAAATTCAGCGAAATCGTTAGAGCCATTTCCGAGATCGCCGGTATAAATAAATATACAAGAATTGTTCGTTTAAATATATTAGATTTCTAAAATACCTGTTCTTGCGGATCAATGGTCAGAGGCCACCTGCCCGCGCGCGTCACCAGGATACCGTTCTCAGTGGACACGGCATCGCGGGGCAAGCCCTGCGCGTTCCAAGTGCGAACTGTATATGAATCTGCCATTATGGTTATTAAGCTGAAAGTATTATTAAATTCAGAAATGTATTTTGATACAGTTAAATAAACGAGGAAAAGACAATAAAAAAGGTTGGCCGTCACGGGACGCCCGGCAGATGTGAAACATCTATGTTAATATTAGAATTCTTGGAATAATTAATACAAACCTATAACGAAATATGGAGTCAAATAAAGAAAAAATAGAGTTTCGTTCATAAAATCAATTTATTTTTCTTATTATTTTGATAATAACATTTATATATATATATATATATATATATATATATATATATATATATGATGATGATGATGTTCTCCTAGCCGATTCCGGCCACGGCGGCCAATCTCAATGAGATTAGCCAACTGCGCAGGAGATATTATAGTGCACAAGTGTACGCGCAGACACAAGTGCACTCTCTATTCCTATCACTCTCATACTCCGGTGGGACGACCACTCGACACGACCGGTGAGAGTTAAGGCGCAGGACCGACGGCTTTACGTGCTCTCCGAGGCACGGGGGTGAAACACCGCCAACTTCCCAACTCCGGGCTGTTACTGAGACTTACTATACAGGAAGACTCAATAACTAAACTTGGCCCGACCCGGGACTCGAACCCAGGACCTCCGGGTGTGCAGCCGTACATGCTAGCCACTACACCACCGAGGCAGTTAGATATATATATATATATGTGTGTAAATAGATTAGAAAATATGTAAGTACTTTTAATAGAGATTGTTTTACAATGAGGCCTATAGTAAACACGAGAGTCGAGAGCGGTGGCGTAGAAGGGGCATGATGGCATGACAGCGTCATGCTGTTTACCATCACAGCATACGAGTCAGTTTTACTGCCAATAGATGTTTCACATCAAAAAAAACTTAATTTTAAAATACAATTACAAATATTATAAATATAAATTTCTATTACTACTATTAAGCCTACAGTTCCCTCCTATGTGTAATTCTATTAATTTTATATTCACCACAATTTTAAAGGCGAGGCGAGTTGAACTATTGACATAAATTAATCGAATAATTGAAATGAAATCTAGCTGAAGTAAAAGGACAAAAGACATGTTAACAAATATCATGTTACATTTTATTTTAAGTACAGACGAAACAAAAAATAACAATAGAACTTTAAATGAAACTATCTATCTTTTCAGATTTTGTCGCGTTTTGAATTGAAAAAGTTTGTTCCCAACGTTTAGATAGCTTTACAGCCAAAATGGTCACGGTAGGGATTAAAAAGTTTTAAAAGTCTCAAAAAAATATACTTGTTACAGATGATATCTACCTACAAATTTGGAAAGTAAAGGGGAACCTTCTCGTCTTATAACTCCCATTTTAATTGGCAAATATTCGCATAAATCAAAGAAAATAATAATTATAGAATTACTCGAATGAATCCGACGAAGGTATTTCTAGCTCGTGACATTGCTCTACCCATTTGTACTCGAGTTCACGTCGGTAGTGGGAGGGAAACGCGCCGAAATAGGCGATGCAGCCTGAAGCTATCATTATATCTCCAGTAGTACATTTTAGTTTAAATGTAGCTGCCTGAAATTCAACTTTACGTTATTATAATATAAAATATTGCAAATAAAGATATGACAAAATAACCAGGACACAAAAAAAATTAATTAGTATAAAGAGGCTATTGATTATTGTATAAGGAATTCCACGATCAATTTTATTTCAGTTAATCAAGAGTTAACTCTTAAAATTCAAAAAAATCAATCAAAATCGGCTTAGTAATTTGAGCACGACTGGCGCATGAGTGATATGGAATTAATTATCAATAACTTAATAACTCGTTAAAGACAAAGGTCTTTAACGAGTGCGTCCTATCTGTTATGACATACGAAGCCGAGACGTGGAAACTGACGGTGCGATTGGTCCATCAGTTTAAGGTCGCTCAGCGTGCTACGGAGAGGACTATGCCTGGAGTTTCTCTGAAGGCTCGGATCCGAAATGATCCGACAGACAACAAAGGTTATCGACATAGCCCAAAGAATTAGCAAGCTAAAGTGACAATCGGCTGGTCACATTTGTCGAAGAACCAATAACCGATGGAGTAGACGGGTTCTAGAGTGGAGACCACGGCTCGGCAAACGTACTGTAGGATGCCCTCCAGCTACCTAGCTGATGGAGCGATGATATATGTAAACTGGCTGGCAGCGTTTTGATGCGTAGAGTTAAAGATCGAGCACAGTGGCGTGCCATTAGAGAGGCCTATGTCCAGCAGTGGACAAAAGCAGGCTTAATATGATGATGAATTTAATAATTTTAAAATCTACCTTGACCCCCTCTTCCCATCGTGTTTTCTCATCAGCAAGGGCCTGTGTTAGTTTGCCAGCACGCGTGAGTCGTGCGGCCGCTAAGTCTACGTCGGCTTGTAGCTTGATACGCTCTTCTTCTACCACCTGGATAAATTAAAACAAGGAAATATACTAATTAATAACATGTAATCATATACATATATTAATCATATTCTCAAATAGATAAAATAGTATTATGTATGTATTCAGCCCTTTTTGACGTCCCATTGCCGGGCACGAGACTCCCTTCAATACTAGAGGGATCAGGCTATAGTCCACCACACTGGCCACTTGGCCACGGGCGGCCTGAGCATGTCTTTCGAAAACTTGCTAGGTTCTCTCAGACATGCAGGTTTCCTCCCGATGTTTTCCTTCGCCGTAAGGCAAGTGATAATCATGTTAGAAATGATTCGCACATGAAAATATGAGAGGTGCGAAGCCCGAGATTTGAACCCACTTCACTCGGTTTCCCAAGCGAGCGTGTTACCAAATTACGATAAAATAGTAATTTGTACAAATACATGTGTTGTAATTATTATTAAAATAACCTTCAGTTCACCCATCATTTTAGCTAACTGTGCTTCGATGGCCTCAACCTCCTTTTGTTTAGCACGTAAAACTGCCATCACGCTCTTCAGAATTGCCGCGGCTTCTTTATGCCTAAAAAAATAAACCTTTCAATAATTATGAAAACATTATTGAAAACGTTAACTGTTAAAGCGAATTTTATAGTGTTATCTTCATACAAATTATTATTAATCACTAATAAAAATCTATGAACTTTACTTGAGAATTTTAGGTTCAACAACTCTGAAGACTTTAGCATACATATCAATAGCTTGCACCCATAATACCATCGAACGACACACCTGAAATATGGAATGTCCTTGATAAAATAGCTTGCACATTGACCCTACTATTATATCTATACATATAATAAAATTTTAACCAAGCCGAATCTGTACATAAAATATTTTTTGGAAAATCTTATTGAAATAGACATTATCGATACAGAGGCCAAGTCTATAGTTTTTAGAATTTTTGTCTGTTTGTCTGTCTGTCTGTCTGTTACCGCATCACGGAAAAACCACTGGAGGGATTTTGATGAAATTTGGTATGGTGATTGCAGGTTATCCGGATCAACGTATAGAATACTTTTTACCGCGGGAAAATATCTCATTTCGGAGAAAAAAAACTGCAATGTAAGAGTATACTAATATGTAAAACCTAATAATTTGGTTTTTGGTCATCTGAACGCGGGCGGAGCCGCGGGCAATGCTAGTTAACCTATAATATTAATAAACATATTAAAGAATAAATACATCACATTTACCTTTGAAACTTTAACTACAGTGTCCGGGTTAAAGTCCTTGTGCGTTAGATATACTTTGATCTTTTTGAGCGTAGCGTCCGGAATATGATCTTTGTCATACTCTTCCAGATTTCGTATGAAGTTCACATCAGCTAATAACTTTTTAGTCGAGTCCCAATCTGGTCTAAAATGTAAAGCAAATATATAAATATAAGCTTAATCATTCGATTTAAGATTTTTCAGTTTCAGTTTCATCTTGTTCAGTATTGTACATAATTGATTAAGAAAATTATACTAACTTAGCCCCAAGCAATATGCAGACAGGTTCCATAACGAAGCGTACCAAAGGCGGTGGTTTTTGGAAAGCTTTCAGTTCATTGATATCAGCTTTGTTTAGAGCTTTCAGTGCATTTTGTGCGGCTTCCATAGCCGGCATCGCTAGAGCAAGGTCGGCTTTTGCTTCATCGGCTATTTGCTTCACTTCTTCTGCTTTGACCTTAAACACAACTTTAAATTATCACCGCCGCCATGACATCGGCCAGGACGACGTAATTATACATCATTTATGATGTATCTACACTAACGTTATTAAAAGGTAAAATTATTAAGTTTGGAATTAGGAAGTCCAAAATGACCCGATTCGGAAAGATCTGTTCACTAGAATTTAGTCCTATTTGATCGGTAACTCAGATTATCTATATGTACATATAATAATATTATTAAATATTTTTTGGAAAATCTCATTCATCATTAAAATAGTTATTATTATCGATACAGAGTCCGAATCTTTAGATTTTTTTTATGTCTGTCTGTCTAATGAGACATCACGAGAAAACAGCTGGATATATATATTGATAAAATATGGTATCGTGATAGCTTATCCTTAGATAGGTTATCCGGATCAACATATAGGATACTTTTTATTGCGGGAAAAATCTCATTTCTTAGAAACCTCCTAAACGTTATAACGTAACTAGGGACGAACCCGAGCGGAGCAAGGGTGAGTCACTAGTATTACAAATATTTTTAAACTTTATAAGTTACAATTTGAATATAAATAACCTTAGCTTCTGCTTCATCTTTCATGACTGCTTGCTTTACTTCATCTGCAGCTTTCTGTTCCACTTTTAAACGTGCCACTAATGCCATACTCTGTAACACATTGTTACATATGTATGTATATTGGGACAACAAATAAATGCCAAGTAGTTACTCATGTTAAGGAGAAAAACTCACTTCTTCTGCCTTTTTTGCAAGAATGGGCTCCATATCACGAACTTGTTGTTCCATTACGCCGACGACTTCATACGTTTCATATAATTTCTGTAAACCGAAATAAACAATTATACAATACTTATTGCTTGAGATTATGTACTACTTCATAAGAGTATTTAAAAAAAGGTAAGAAAGTAATTTTTCAAGTTAACGCTTTAAATAACATTTAATCAAATATTATTCAATACGAATAATTATACATTTGGTTATTTAAATATAAGAATTACCTGTAGTCCACAAGAGATTCGATCTCTTCCACGTATGATGTCCTGTTGTTTTTTATCTAGCAACGAGAGATATAGTTTGAGCAAATCAAGGTAGCTACTGGGCGTTGTATAGAAGTGGCGTCGCATTTCTTCATACAGTCGCTCTGTCATCACATCTACATCCTAATAAAAATAGTATTCAATGGAGAAGTCTCATGATGTTATTAATATCATATTTAACGTGGTGTTATTTAAAATGGTATTATAGTATATATCAAAACTAATAAATCAGTGAAAACGATTTTTGAAATCTTCAATAAAATAAATGAATGAGAAGTTAATTTAAATTTCGGTCGTCCAGGTCGTGTGACGCAGCTTTAAAGTTACATAATTTTTTCATATTTTTTTTATATTTTACTTACATTTTTATAATTAATACATAAAAAATAGTATGATATTAATAAAACTAAAATAAAACTTAATATTCAACTTGAAATTTGTGATGATGGCTGGATGAGATGATTTGTTAGTTTAGATGTTTGTTACGTAATCACGAGTAAGCGATTAATAGATTTAAATAAGACTCAGCAAACATATAAGACTACACAGACTATTTATGATAATAAACATGTTACCGTGGGATAATAGTTTAACTTTATCATTATTGTTATTTTAATAAAATTAGTTTTGAATTTATCAAAATATGGCGCTGGCCAAGAACGTTGGAAGGAAAGGAAAAAAAAACGTAGGCAGAGACTACTGTGCTATGTAAGCTGACTAGTTGCTTGCATATACAGCAAACCTGATGCATGGAGACAGCAAGAGTCGATATCTTATTTATGATATATTCATCAGCAAGCGGTTGTAGACATTGCTGGGCGACGGATCGCAACGCTTCCGGCGGCCATTTTGTAAACCAATCTATCGTGCAGCAATTAACTAAGGACGGGAACATCCGGCAACGACGTCTGGAAAGCATAAGTTATGATTTTACGGTATATTGAATATTTTTTTATTTAATTTTAGTGTAATTAATAAAATATTTCATAATGATAATTAACACACACAAAGTATACAAAGTCTTTTAAAAAGACCCAGAAAGAGAAGGATTAGCACAGAGATAGATTATAGTCTGGAATAGCACATAGTTACTTTTTATCGCGAAAACATGTACGGTACACGTGGGGTAGACTTGTTTTTGCCTAGGGATGAACCCGAAACGAAGCGAAGGTAAGTCGCTAGTATTGTATAAATCATAATTAGTAAGAGATTAAAACGTACCTGAAAGCTTCTCCAACGGGACTCATGCAGATACAAAGATGTAATTTACTACGGACTCGATTTATAAAGTAGTAATATACGGCGTCCCGGTCGGCTGGGTTTATCCCAGCCTTGCCTGCATCGTTGCGGCAACCTGTTTGCACTTGCTCGTAGCTGTCGCCTTCGAATAAGTTGGGAACCTCACCTAGAATTTTCTAGCACATTAATGATCAACAGTGCTTTTTCTGATTCCTTAAAATTTAGCGTATTAATTGGTATAAGCTTTTATTTGAAATGCTCCGTTTGTACGAGTATGTGTGTATTACCGCTTTATACTTTAATATCAATTTTTATCAAAAAAATAATTTGGCTTTTAATATTTATGTAAGTATTATCATATTATTGTTATAAATGCGAAAGTTTGTATGCGTGTGACTTTCATTAAAAGTACACAGCGGCTTAGAAAAGTTAGGCACCTTGAGATATACACGAGCAAAGCGACAGTAAACACTAGTTATACTATAAAATAATAATTATGAACCTGAATTAAGCATATTATTGATGTCTTCAAGGAACTCCTCCTTAGTTATTTGCGTGTCTGTGAACAGGAACACTGTGTCCTCGTACGCGACGCCGGCGCGCACGTACATGCTGCGCAAGTCGTCGTGGAACTCTGGCGTATCGTAGTTGCGTTTTAACTCCATACCCATGCATCTGGATTTTTGGTAAATCATAGTTATTATTTTATGAATTAATTAAGCTTAATTTTAATATATCGTCCTCTTGTAATATATCTATCGTCGAGTTGGTTTTCAATAAAGTCATAATATTTCTCTTACTACAAACGTGAGAGTAGAAAGACTGTTCACCTTGTCGTGGTGGGGCTCATAGCGACAGTACAGCCGGGCGCGAAGCCATGAAACGCACAGGGAGGTGAGCCACTTTGGTAGGCGGTGTACCTTGCGGGTTGCTCCTGGTACTTCTCTGATAGCAGAGTGGACTGTTGGAGCAACCTCATGGTGGTTATAGTCTGCTTCGGCAGACCTATCGTGATTGAGTGCGTAAGCGATGTTGCGTCGACCCATTAAGACGGAGTGGGTTCTGTTGGGCTTTAGTGGGTAGTACTGACTGTTTTAGCTAGTGAGTCCCATATTACCACCTGTATGCCATGTAAAAAACCCACTTGCACTCATTGACGTGTCCAGCGAGAGTCGCCACGGAGCGCCGCCCCGAGCCGCCGGGCCCCACCAGGAGGCAGTGCCCGCGCTCAGCGCGCAGCACCCGCGCCACGCGCGCTACATGCTCCACCGCGTCCCTGAACAGTACTAGGTTCATTTCCGCGCGCGCCGTCGAGTTGTACTCTTCTAAATATTCCTGCGTCATATTATATGGAGGATTGTCATGAGATGTCAAAGTTTTTTATGATGAGATGTTAGTTTTTTGGAGCGTAACCCTAATTCATTTTCTAAAATAAAAGTAGCTTATGTACTCCCTATAACATCAGCCAACTTCGAGTCCCGTCAAAATCAGTCCAGCCGTTTCAGAGATTATCCGGAACAGACAGACAGACAAAATAAAAAAAAAATGTGTTTTTCTTATAAGTACCGTATATAATTCGTACGTATACATATATCATATGCATTTAGTAAAACTCTATTATTTTGACATTACAAATATAATAACAAAATACTACTATTAATAATAAAATTTACCAAAGTATATAAAGTAAAATATGTATTTTAGAATTTTTCGACCCATAATGGGGTAAAATAATGGATGAAAGTTTGTATAAAACCTAGCTTTTTTCCGTGGGTTCTGCTAGTAATACAATAAAAGCACTATTCTATAAATGAAAGTTCTTTCGATGCTCTTCATTTTGAACTTTTTGTATGTTACATATTAACTGCCCATGCCCAAATCATCTTATGAGCATTCAAAAGTCATTACTTAACTATTACTAAATTCTGCGTACCTTTAAGACTATCATTAATTTCTCAATGTCAGGAATTTCTTGATATATCCTATTTTCTTTAGGTACAGCAGAATTGAGGAAATCTCCAAAGAGTAAGAGAGGTGGTTGTTCAATAATTGCATCTTCTGGTATTTGTAATATTGATTGCTGAAAGTTTTTCTGACAGACGGCACTCATGAGATGGTAAAAGTAACTTTTATCTTCGATATTGATAAGACGGTCATGGAATACACGGAGACATTCGTGGTAAAATAATCTGTAATAGAATTTCTCAATTATATAAATACTACTATATATATACAAAGTAAATATCAATCAACTAAAACTATTGAGTATTATGATGATGAAGTCATAGTATAGTATTCAAAATACATGTCATTCTCATCTGAATACCTTAACTTCTGAGTTCTTCTTTATTTAAAATCTTAAGTTCTGTTAAAATTTCTTAAGACTGTCTTCTTCTATTCATAGATATTTTAACCATTTTCATATATTAACTATTTTTCTTTCTCGAGATAAAAAGTAGCTTATGTCACTTTCAATCTTATATCCGGAGAAAACCTTATATAAAATCCGTTCAGTCGTTTTGGAAATTACCAACGTTTTTATTATTACTTAATCTAAACTGTATCATACAATGTGTACATGAAAATATAATAAAATGATTTATTTACCGGAGCATAGCCTGTGGCAGCCGCATATAAGCAGCGTTAGCTTGCAACACTCCCTGCATCGACTTGGACAAGTCCCTCAAATTGAACACGTAATGTGATTTAGCCGGAGTGGGCAAAAGTTCCGAACATATCTTTAAATACACTTCCACCGCCGCATTCACTATTGAATCACCTAGTACGGACACTTCTGTAACGAAATCCTCCATGTGCCCAGATAATATAGCCTAAAAGCATAGTCGATCAAATTACATATAGTATAGATAGAAAACAATTGTGGCAGCGTCTTGAATCCATACTGTTAGATACACTTAGATACGTAGTAGGTGATTTAACGTATTAAAAAAGTTCGGATGGGATTTTTTAAGATTAAATGAAAATTTTATTAAAGATATACATAGAAATATGTACAATAATAACCGATGATTAGTATAATAAAGTAATAACATAACACTGGTATAATTTGTTAAAAAAAATTATGATATTCCTTCACCTGATGATCTTAAAATATTTTTATTTTAATGATTATTCTTAGCCAGTGAATAGACGTCATTATACACAATGACTATATATATTATCCACATATCTAACCATATTAAAAAAATAACAATACATACCTTAAATATAGTTTTCATGGCATCAGCGTTAGGGGCAGATATGTAGAACATAGCAAAGTGACGTACAAACCGCGTAGTTAGAGGATTACGACCGCCACCCGGAGGTGCGCACGCGCATGACAATACCACGTCCAATATTTCCTTCCAGTAAAGCTTGTCACGGTCATATACGCCACCGAAGTCTAGGAATTGCCTAAGAAATTTAGTTACACGTTTATATTATATATTTCAACTAGCAGCACCCGCGGCTTCGCTCACGTTCAAACTACTAAAGAAAAACTCTTTGGCTTTATAACTAATAATAATTTGATGAATTCAAACCTTGCAGGGACCCACTCGAACGTACACACAAAATATCATTATAATCGTCCTTGCCGTTTAGGAGAAGATCAGTAACATACCGACAGCAGCGCCACCTACCGGGTCCAATTGTGTTTTCAAACCATTCAGGAACCCAGTCCAGCCGTTTAGGAGGAGTTAGGTGACTAACACACGACACACAGACGAATTACATAATATGTATATTAAGATAATTGCGATCGGACCTTAATTAATATATTGATTGAAAGGTCATAATTAAAAAGCAAAAGTCTTTCTTACTCTTGGTTTCTACAAAATATTCTCATAAGCATTTATTATATTGTTAACAATAATATTACCTAAGTAATTCAATGGTAGGTTGAGCGCCATAGACATCAAGCCGCGGCATATTAACGTCATCAATAAATATGATCACTTTCTTGCCCAATGGTGCCCCTATAGCTTTTCTGGGTCGTTTCTCCAAGCGCAATTCTATAACTTCCTAAAATAATTAATAAAATATAGAAGAACAATTTAACAGGTCATCTTTAGACCAAATAACGCCGGATCTTACAGCACAGTTAGCACATATGAGCAGACGTAAATATTTAATTTTTGAAGTAAAACTTCTTTACGCACGCTAGACTTGGGGGGTGAATGCATTACGAAAAAATATACGTACGTTTGTTGCCATGGTAACCGTTGTTGTCTGACAAATGATATATAATATTATATGTGAGATTAGGAGCAAAACCGACGGCGTAAAGTATTCTTCAAGGCACGGGAGTGTACATCGCCATCACGACTCAGGGCTGCTACTAAGTATTAAGTAGTAAGTATTTCATGACAGAAAAGCCCAGTAACTATTTTAACACGACTGGGTACTTGAACTCAGGATTTCAAGATTTGCAGACGTGGATGCTAGCTACTAGACCAACGGGAACATCACGTCTGTTGGATGCGTTCGGATTATTTTTGTCCATCCTGTTTCAGACGTACAGCAATAACAACACAATACAGCTCATTCGCATATTTAAAATAACTAGTTAAATCAAAGATGAAAATGTTCTTTCAAAGAGCTGTTAGTTTTTTGCTATTCTCTGGTCAAATGTACCATAATCTATGTAAAATGTAAAGTATTATTTATTAGTCACCTGTGTACGCGGACTACTGGTTTGTGCCGAGAAATTTAATATCATTGGAATGAAGGTACCAGTTGTTGACATTTTCTTTAAAATTTCACCAGCTATACATGTCTTTCCAACTCCTGAAAAGAATTAAATATTTATGATCAATGACTTAATTATTTTTCAATTTTTTTTTAATAGTAAAACAGTGAAGAACAACTCTATTTTGGCACCTGTACTTCCTGTGAACATAACTGGTTTTCCAACAGATAGAAGTTTCTCGAACAAATATCCATAGCGTACAGTATCTATTGTCGGCACGAGTGTCTCGAAGAAGGGACGATTGCAATCGTATACGAATTCCGGTATTATATCTGCCCATACTTTCAACTTGCGTTGTTTTGTGTCCATAAACATATCAAAAAAGTTAAACCCCTGAGGGAAGCTGGAAAGACATCGTATTTTTGAAGTTTTATTCCTTTTGGCATGTTTGGAAAAAAATATGAAAGTAAAATTTTTACGATACTGGTTGATACGATGATGATTAGCTGCATTCCTTTTTCAAACAGAGAATTGTGACATATGCGATGAAATCTTTAGCTATTTTTGTTCTGTTACGCCAAAGAAGTGTAACTTTTTACGTGCATACATAAGTACACACACACGTTTTTCTTATGTACATAGTATCGCATAATTTGGTAAAGTTTTTTTATTCAAGAATAATAAACATTCAAAACATATTTAAAAACTATAAAATACTTACTATTCGGCTTCCTCAAATGCCTCAAACTGTCTTTTAATGATTTCCTCGAAGGTCTTCCGATTGGCCTCTAATATATTCCCGCCAATGCACCATACGTAGCAGAAAATGAAGCAATGCGCAATGTATACTTTAACAGCTGACTTCTCCGTAAATCTGTCACCAGGCTCTGAGAGTAACGCGCCCAACAGACAGCACAACGCTACGACTTTACTTATATCCACCTATTTAAAAATAAATAACATTGAATCAATGTCATTAGTATTATTAAATGTTAGTTTAAATAGCTTAAAATATAACATTATAAACAAATTTTCTTATAAATTTTTTATTATGATATTCAATAAGTCGAACTATAGCGATACCTGTTTTATGCCAACACTGCATTTTAGATTGACATGAGTGATACCCACTTCCAGCATTTTGAATAGCTCATACAAAAATTCACTATTTTCCTGATTAAATAGATTTTTCTCGATTCCCTCATCTAGCCAGGATCGAACATATGGTAGGTAGCCCAATTCATTGGGGTCTATGTAGACCATGCCACAACGCGACACTGTAGCCGGGGAAGCTTGTGATAAGTCACCGACCTTCAAAAAATATAAAAAATATAATAAATTTGAAAATTTTGTATGTTAATGAGTTTTTTTTTACTTCGTCACACCGTAACGCCTTGGAGTGAAACTTGAAGATATAGTTGCATTAATCTATAGACTAAAAATAAGTAATAAAAGAAAAAGAGATATCTAATTGTAGGTAATAATAATAGGGCCCGACAAAAGAATAGGCAAAATAAATAATGGAAACCTGCGAATCTTTTGAAAATGTTTTAAAAACTAATTACTGCAATAACAATTCTGTTTGCATATCCAATCCATATTCATATTATAAATGTGAAAGTTTGTGACGATGGATGGATGGATGTTTGTTGCACTTTCATTATTCCGGAAAAATGTACGGTTCCCGTGAGATAAGATTTTTTTTTGGAAGAATCCAACAAGAAGCGAGGTTGAGTCACTAGTATATTATAATATTCAATGCATAATATAATAAAATTATTCTATTAAAAGCAACTAGAAGCAATAACGATCACCTCAAACACCATATGTACATATGGAGTCAACTTGATGCGTTCTGAGTTAGAGAGACAGAGCATCTTGTTGTCATCGAGCACAGTGTTCATGTTCTCTATCCACACCGCGTCTACGGGACCATCGCATATCAGCCATTGGTGGTCCTGATTTTCCGCCTGAAATAATATCACTACATAGTATAAAATAAAGTCGCTTCCCGCTGTCTGTCTGTAGCTATGTATGCTTAGATCTTTAAAACTATGCAACGGATTTTGATGCGGTTTTAGTAGATTGAGTGATTTAAGAGGCAGGGTTATATGTATAATACATGCATATTATAGTACAGAAAAGCCGAGAAATTCTAAGATTTGTATTTTATACTAACCGTTAAAACGTACGTAGAGACGAACCCATTCAAGAGAAAGGGTGAGTCGCTAGTTAATAAATATAAATCAAGTGCAAGTGTTAGATTATTATTTAGTATTGTGATTGATGTAGACAATTTTTCTGTTATTTTATTTTTTAAATTTTAAGTATAATGTATTGAGTTTATGAGATATTGCTTATTTCTTTGAAGTAATCTTAACCAGCTCTTAATTTGGAATTCGTTTTTTTTTCACCATTCATGAAAGGTAGGTTTCTAGTAAATTAGGTAAATTATGTGTCTACCAAGTTTCAAGTTGGAAAAAAATAGAAAGGAATGACCTACATATATTTGGTTGTGTTTGGTTGATATTATTAATTATTGTATTTTATTTTTTATTTATGTGTGTCAATCACGTCACCTGCACTGCAGTTCTCAGTGACAGTGGAAGTATGCCGTCATGCCATTCAAGAGTTTGCAGATTCACTTCACCGTACAGCTCCCCGATGCTGAGACTTTTTGGATTCATTATATATTTATGAACAATTTGATATTGTGGACTTTCAACGCCATTCTCACATAGTTTTGTATACGTGTCACCTAAAACCTAAAGGGTAAACAATAATATTTTTTTTTCAAGTAACATATGTGTACAAATAAATTTAATTAATAAAAAATATAAAGAAATGATCTGCACATGGTAATTACAAAATAATAATATTAACAGTCTCGTGCCTCAGCGACCTCAAATGTAGCCTATTACCGTATAGAAACACATAATGTTTCATTAATTATCTCGAGTAGACCAGCTAGGTCTCAGTGGGATTGACCGTCATAATCAAGATTTATGACGTCATCTGTATTACTTTGCATTTTAAAACCGACAGAGAAAATAATCTAGACTAAAAAGTATAATATATTTATTGTAAAATAGCATAGTATGCAAAAATGTAGCATGTATAATATAAACATACATGTAAGACGACGGTTTTCCCGCCACCCGTCGGGCCCACTAGCATCACCCCCCATCGGACTATCATTGTTTCGTGTAGTTGAATTACTTTACGAATCTGACAGTCCATTACTTGTAGTTTTCTTCCTAATAATATTTCTCCTGTAAAATGTTTTATAAACTTGCATAAATATATTATGAATTTTAAACCAATAATATCACCCATCATTACTGATAAAGAACAAACTTACTGATTACATCTTCCATAGCACCATAATCACGTTCTGGAAGATCAACTCCTGGGAATAAATCCGATAGGATACCGGCAAATAAAATGGCATCAGCTGCCAAAAATTTGGGCAAATTGCTATCGTTTAGGGCACATAATAATGTTTTCTCTTCGTGTTGGTCCGGACTCGCACGTTTTAGCGCACCAGCCATTACCTGACATTAAATGTTTCAATTCAAATCTACTTCTAGTTTGATTTTGTAATTTAGACAGTAAGTTGTTAATAGTATATAATACTTACAAGTACACTCTTAACAGCTCTCATGCCGAAGTCATAGTGGTCCTGCTTGGAAAGTTGTTCACTCGAAAGCTTGTACATTTGTACCATTTTCTTAGCCAGCCCCTTTGAAGATTCGAAACCCTCGGAATATAGAATAACTTCCGCAATCAGTGCTGGTCGAGCGAGAATAGAGAATAATAAGTAAAACAATCTTATTAATTTACTATTGAATTAAAATTAGTTCAAACACTTGTGAATGCAAATGATACTTAGTAAACCTACTTAATAATATGCTACAATTTTAATAACAAAATTTAAAAGAAATATTTGCCTTTTTTGCTTTAAAAAACTAAGTGTATCTAATTTTTTATCAATAAAAATATTTGCAAATAATGCATTACTATATACCGTAATCAGGGACCATCATGGAAATAGGCCGAAATAACGCCTTCAAATTGTCCGGTAGTTCAGTCCGGCCCGCGTAGCCAGGGTTCATAGTGATGAACGCTGCACATGTTCGCACCAACTTGATCTCCCGACCCTCGAATATGAATCTATATATTACATTGGAATAACATACAACATATTAGTTCATATAACTTAGTATTAATAATAATTTAGTTAACGGTTAATATTAATTAGGGATGCATTCGATACCGATAACGATTTATCAGCGATATCGTCAGTTTTCCGATATATCGGTATCGGCGATATTAGCTTGCCGATACAACGATACATCTATACATATAATAAAACTAAACCGAATCTGTACATTAGATATTTTTTGAAAAATCTTATTGAAACAAACATTATTATCGATACAGAGGCCGAATCTATAGTTTTTAGAATTTTGTCTGTCTGCCTGTCTGTTACCGTATCACAGAAAAACCACCGGAATGGAGCCCATTCATTAATTACGTAAGGGTCCTGAGGGGGAGGGTCTCAAAATCTCTATTCGCCCTTATCTTTCTAAACATAAATTAAAACTTACGTACGCCACATAAAGTATTTTTTCCAAGTCGTCAGAAGAAACCGAAAAGCAATCAACAAAAAAGATTCGACATTTTTGAGAATGATTTTGAGACGCTAATTGGGTTTATTGAATTTTTGTATATCAATGGGTACAATAAAATAATATTATCATCTTTTAAAGCCGCTTTACTAACCGAGACAATTTGGCAACTTTTGCATTTCTAATAGTGATAAGCTGTTGAGCTATCACAGACAGCACCTCGATATCGATACGATTAAACTCATCGAAACAGCACCAAGCACCAGACGTCGCTAAGCCCGAGAAAAATCTACCCATCATCTTGTAGTCCAAACCTGTAAATATCATAATCATATTCAGTGGTTTTTTTAGTCTTATTTTTTATCGCTGCTGGTTTCTATTAAGTGAGTAATTCTTGTATATTGTATATTTATGTATAGATACAAATTTATTTCATGTATCTCGGAAACGGATCTAACGATTTGGATCAAATTTTGTATTTATTTTTTGATCTAAACTTTATATTATATTGTTAAATAAGCTATTGTTAATATATGTATTATCTGAATTTCAAATGGGTACAACAGATTAAAATCGACATCCAATATTCAATTATATAAAAGTTTACCTTCAGAGCAGTTAAACACCACACATTGTATAGCCAAAGCTTTGGCCAGGTCTTTAGTTGTCTCAGTCTTGCCTGTACCAGCGGGGCCCGCGGGCGCGCCGCCCAGGTCCAACTGTAAGGCCCCCATGAGACATAGGTAACAGCGATCTGTCAGAGGCGTTATTACCAATACACCTGGAAGATATATATGTATGTATTTAGCCCTTTTTAACGTCCCACTCCCTTCAATTCGAGGGGAATCAGGCCATGGTCCACCACGCTGGCCAAGTGCGGGTTGGCAGACTTCACATGTGTTTCGAAAACTCGCTAGGTTTTCTCAGACATGCAGGTTTCCTCACGATGTTTTCCTTCACCATAAGGCAAGGGGTAATCAAATCGTGATCCGGGATTTGAACCCGCTTCACTTTCCTAAGCGAACGCGTTATCACTGGGCTACCACTGCCTGTTTACTGGAAGATATACAAAAAAAAATTGTGCGTGTAATCTTTAAGTTGAAGTAAAACTTCTTTAGGCATGACTGAAGGGTAAATAAATACATTGGAAAAATGAGTGTCGCGGAAGTAAGTAATATAAAGAAATTAAGATATAAGCATAATTAATCCTGATATTGTTATTATGGGAACAACAAAATATATTACTGTATATGGACGAAAATATTAGCCATTTTATAAAATACCTAAGCAAATGTAGATATGACACAGACTTGAATTTATTACAATTTTATAAATATTAGAATATTGAACTTACATTAATAATGAAAATAAAAAGTAATCTATACATATAATAAAATTGTAACTAAGCCTAATCTGTACAGTCAATATTTTTTGGAAAATCTTATTGAAATAAACATTATTATCGATACAGAGACCGAATCTATAATTTTTAGAATTTTTGTCTGTCTGTCTGTTACCGCATCACAGAAAAACCACTAGAGGGATTTTAATGAATTTTGCTATGGTGATAGCTGGTTATCCGGGTCAACATATAGGATACTTTTTACCGCGGGAAAATATCTCATTTCTAAGAAAAAATACAAAAACTGCAATGTAAGAGTATACTAATATGTAAGACCTAAGAATTTGGTTTTGGTCATCTGAACGCGGGCGGAGCTGCGGGTAATGTTAGTATAATATAATAATATATGTTTTTACCGCCAGCTCCGAGGTATTCATGCCCATATATATACATAGCGCTAGACATCCTCGCGACACAGTTATCTATATCTTCTTCCCAGTAATAACGAATCATTTTCAGCCATTCGAAATCTTCCCTATAGAAAAATCACATTATATAATTCGACGGGTGAACTTAGGTATAATATTTAAAAGACTAGTGGCTCTGATCTATACTAATAAAGAAACAGAGTTTAAGGCAGTAATCTTTTCAAAAAAATCTTTTTACTTTAGATTTAGACTCGTTTATTAAGGAAGGCTGTAGGCTATATATCATATAATATATAACTATCTATTCTATACTAACCGTTAAAACGTACCTAGGGACGAACTCGGATGAAGCGTGGGTGAGTCGCTAGTAGAACTATGAATTATAACGTAAATACGATTTATTTAATAGATTGTGCTTACACAATAATATATTTTATCTACAGTATCATTAATTTTATATACTTTTTACCAGGACCCTGAAAGTCTTCTTGAGAACAAATCGTATCCTACATATTAATCGAACGTATATTTTATTGTACTTACGCCTTTTGCACATGTTTTTCGACCATATGCGTGATCGTATCCCTCGCATGAACATCTACAGTAATAAGGGCACATAAAACTTTTCTGAATAATGACGAAAGGTCTTTTCTGGTGAGAGCAGCGAGGTCATTAAGATCAGATATACATTTCTTCTCATAATTTAAGAGACCAGTGTCGATCCGCAGAGGCAAATCTAACGCAAAAATTTCATGAACTCCTTTTGCCCACATCATTTGTGACACAGTTAGTACAATCTGTAATATTATTTTAAATGTCAAATCATTAAATTCCTTAAAAAAATATCAATTTGACAGGCATTTAAAAAATAAAATGTTTTTTAAATTATAATACTCACATAGCGAATAATTGAGTTTTAGTATTCATAAATTAGATTTTTTTTTTAAATTAATCAGATTAATCTATACTTATTATAAAAATAAGTCCCCCGGCCGCGTCTTTCTGTCCTCCTGTCTGTCCTCCTGTCTGTCCTCCTGTCTGTCTGTACGCGATAAACTCGAAAACTACTGAACGGATTTTTATACGGTTTTCAACAATAGAAAGAGTAATTCTTGAGGAAGGTTTAGGTATATAATTTATTATGCTTTTATGTAAATTAGCTGAAATACGGCGACAAATGTTGAAGAGGTCGCAAAAAATCTCGCCAAATGGGAACTTTCCACGCAAACGCCGCGTAAACTAGCAAAGATACAGTTAAGTAATGTACTAGAGAATTCAAAATCTATAAAAATGCTACAAAAAAGTCCGCGATAGCATATCTCTATCTCTTACGGTTGACTTACAATAACCACTTTTATGTTAACATTTTTAATTAAAAACATTACGTTATTTTCAAAGTTATTTTCTTTAGTTCGGTATTAATCCTTATCCAAATGAATATTTTAGTTAGCTTAGTCATTTAATGCAGATTAAAATTGCTCTTTACACTAAATCAATCAGATGAATAGTTTTTGAGATATCGTTGTTAGAAGTAATTAGTAGCGAAACATTTTTAATGCTTGGCGAGCATTGAGATGCCTACGGCGAGTCCATCCCCTCTGCCCCGCATCGCTCGACCGCCTGCTCAAGCTATATAAACCGGGCGATGTAGCGCGCGATCCTAGGATACTTTTTACCGCGGGAAAATATCTTATTTCTGAGGAAAAATACAAAAACTGCAATGTAAGAGTATACTAATATGTAACACCTAAGAATTTAGTTTTTGGTCATCTGAACGCGGGCGGAGCCGCGGGCAATGCTAGTAATAATATAAAATAAAGAGTCATTTAATATTGGTGCTAAAATACCTGATTAGGATGCAAAGTGACCCAGACCACACGTTCTCGTTGCATATAATCGCGTAGAGCATATTTCATACAACGCTTTACTGATGCGAACATGGCCTCTTCCACCTTGCCCAACCAATCCTCTACATTACCTCGCGCTTTTAGACCCTGAAGAAAACAAGTTACTTATGATCATTTTTAACCAATTTTTTTGGTTTATTTTTTGTTACTTTAAAAACTACAAAAAAATCTCTAAAAAGGTAGGTTTCGCACCAACTTTTATTCCCTATTTTACTCCCTTATAGGATGAATTTTGAAAAATTATAAAACATGTAATAATTTCATTAAAGTGCGTTAATAACCAGTTTCAAGTAGTTGTGGTCATAAGCATTTTTAACGTATTTTTCCGTAGGAATGGGATAATCTGCTGCGGTAAAAAGTAGCCTATGTCACTCTCCAACCCTCCAACTCTCTCCACACAAAAAATCACGCCAATCTGTCACTCCGTTTCGATATGAAAGAATGAAAGACAAACAAACAAATACACTTTCACATTTATAATATTAGTATGGATTTACAACGAAAAAATACCATCTAATCAAAAAGCCAACGTCACCTACACTTGATTCAATTTTAAAATACTCTTTTCATAAAATTTACATAAAACATAACTCGGATTAATTTTAAACTAGTAATTCAACAAATATACCTTGCCCAAATTAACTCTTTCGCCTTCAGGAGACAACATGGCTATTATATCAGTGGTAAAGTCTTCAGGTTTGGCGGTTTTGGCTAACTTCGCTTGTAAAGCATATCTTGTGTTGAAGGACATCTCACGTTCCACCAATGTGCCATCTTCGGTTATTTCCATTTCACTTTCCGGCAAACGAACTCCAAATTCGAGTTTTGCGATCGCGTCGAAACATTTTCGTAAATGAGGTTGTACTGCATGCGGGTTACGTGTCTATAAACATATAATATACCACATTAGATTTCCAAATAGTTCATCAGTTCATTTATATTATAATATACTAGCGACCCGCACTACGCTCGGGTGCGTCCCTAGGTACGTATTAATTTTTTTCAGCGGAACCCAATTTTTTTTAATTCCCACAATATCAGCTATCTGCCAGTAAAAGTCCCATCAAAATCAGCCCAGCCGTTTCAAAGATAAGCCAGAACAAAGAGGTAGATAGACGAAATTTTTAAAAATTGTGTTTTTAAGTCCCATATATAATTTCATATGCATTTACTAAAATGCTGTTATTTTTGACATATAAAAGAGACACTTCCATTTTATTTATCTGTAAAGATTCTAATTAAGCCGAATAAAGTCAGACAATTCGAAAAATATATAAACACATGATTGTTACGTAATAGACGTTAGACCAACTTGAACATACTTTTTACAGTTTAACAACTATTAAGCATGCATTACCTGTGCCAATATTTCCAGCAGTTCATCGTTTGATAGGAAGAAGAAACGCGGGAAAGCGACACGTTTAGTTTCTAAATACGCTTCTAAGCATTTCATTATTTGATCCAGCATTTCGTTATTTCGCACAAATTCTTCATATAGCTTTGGTTGTGTTGCGGCTGGCATCGCTAAAGGCACCTGCACATAATTAAAAATAAATAAAATAAATAAATTAGTATAAATTAAAAAAAAGTGCGTGTGTGTGTAAGTCACACATGGTAGAAGTGAAACTTCAGAAAAGTAACCTACGAGAGAATGAGATGATTATAGAGTATCAGCAGTAGGATAATTATAAGTTTTTTTTTAACAATATTTTTACCAAGTTTAAAAGTTATTTTACATTTTATTTGACATAAATATACATTTGTCAGACAATAACAACGGTAACCATGGCAACATGGCAATGTGTTCTATCTCGTTCTCTCGCCGGCTTAATCCTATATATTTGTGTTTGTCTCTTTTTAGTGTCGTATATCCGTTTCATTTCTTTTTCATCTATCCTTTATTCAGTATCTTTCAAATCACAATGATTCTAAAGAAGTTTCATTTCAAAAAGTAAAATTGACTTTGAAACTGATTAACCTTAGCCAGTTTACGCATGATGTCCTTCCAAGATTTATCGACAATCGTGAAGAGTCTAGTCTCGTTTGGTAGCTGTCGTTGTATATCTGGCGCTGAGAAGATTACTTCTAGGTAAATCCACGTTTGTTGACACAAATACCATTCCTCCTGTTATAAATATTAATAATTTATTAATACAATATATAAAAATCTCGTTTCACAGTGTTTGAATAAAAACTCCTCGAAACGGCGTGACCGGGTCTCGCACCTCTGATATTTTTATGTGCGTATCATTTCCAACATGATTACGACTCATTTTACAGTAAAGGAAAAACATCGTGAGGAAACCTACATGTCTGAGACATGTGAAGTCCGCCAACCTGCATTTGGCTAGCGCGGTAGACTACGGACTGTTCTCCCTCGTATTAAAGGGAGGCCCACCCCCAGCAGTGGGACGTTAAAAAGGGCTGAATACATTTCATACCAATGTCCTCGCAAACAACTCCAAGTTCTTAGCCCACTCCTCAACTCTGCTCTTTATAGGGCCACAGTTCCTCGAGCTGAGTATCGTACTGATGTGTATGTTGCTCTCGTCCACTGCCGCTTGTATCTCGTCGAGACCACCCAATACGTACACGTCACGTGCGTCCTTGTGCAATATTACTGGAAATTCTAAAGTGGTCCATATTTCTTCCACCTATGTAAATTATAATTACTTCAACTCAAATAGCACGCCAAATTACGTAGTTATTTATGTCATATTAAGGGGTTTAATTTTATTTTTGAAATTTATATGAAGCTACCCACGAGATATTAATTAAAACAGAATCATTCGCCAAAATATCTCATACCTTACACAAAGATAAACATGCACCTTCATTTAGTACTTTCTTCTTTTTGAAAGTCGATTTAAAATACTACTAATCTATACAGGTAAATAAAATTGAAGTGTCTGTTTGTAATCTCAAAATAACAGCGTTTTACTAAATGTATATGAAATTATATACGGTACTTATAAGAAAAACTCTTTTTTTTATTTTTGTCTGTCTGTCTGAAACGGCTGGGCTGATTTTGACGGAACTTTCACTGGAAGATAGTTGATGTTATAGGGAGTAGCATAGGCTACTTTTATAAAGTGATAAAATTAATAGAATTTTGACATTTATAAAATATGCAAATTTTAATCACTGTAATATATAATATTTTCAAGTTCTGAATGATTTCTTTACCTTTTTGAGCAATGCCTCTAGGCCGGCTTCAGAGCTGGCTTGTCCAGCAACTTCCATCAGCTCCTCGGCGTGTTGGAAGGCTTGCAAATCTTCTAGAACTTTCAGAGTTACTACCATGTCGGGTGTGAAGCGAGTGTGCAGTATTTCTTCTATCTTCAACCAGTGTCGAGGTTTCAAAGCTGGGTTCCGGAGATAGGACATTACCGGCAACTGTTGGTCAATTTTTTATGTTTTTTTGAGTGCTATCAATTATTTACCACTCTAAAATATGCTAAAATAATAAAAAAATGTTACTGAGCGAAACCTATAAATAATAAATAATTTTGAAAATCTGATGTATAAGGAATAAAAATAAGTAATAAATTATATCTAAGAGTACTTCTAAATGCAAGTATAGACAATAACCTTCTCTTTAATTATATCGATGGTTTCCTTGCATCCGGGCACTATCTTATTGGGCGGCAATCCTTTATCGAGCTGGTTAAACACTTTCCCAAAGTTAATCGTTGTTGATTGAATCTCATCCATATCCAATGTGTTAAAGGGCACTTCATACCTTTTATAATAATATATTATTATATTTTTTTCAAATTTATTTAGGAAAACTTAAGTTTTGAACCCAATTTCTGTTGAAATTCTAATGATCATAAGTGAGACTGACTTTATGGTATTATAAAAGTACCTATTTGGGACTTAAAATTAATTATTATCAAAAATATCTAAATCGTTATGTTAAAATTATTATATACTTAATATGTTAACACTTTAAGTTTAAATAAAGTTACTTGCCAAGTTTGATAAGAGTCATTCCATTCTTTAGATGATTTCCATAAAAGTTGCCTTAATTTAACGTCGGTTATAGCTTCTTCTAGAGTCTCGAGTCTTGCCGGCGGGATCTGTGATAGAAATCGTGACATGATAAAAATGTAATATGTATATATTACTACAAACAGTTTTACTAATTAAATATCGTACCTTAAATATCTTCTGCCATTCTCTTATCTGTTTATCTCTAGCAGAGAAGCTCATCAGTTGCTCCATTAGCTCGTTAAGAGTTTCCATCACTTTTTCCATGTCTGATTTTTCATCATAAAGCCATGTTTGCTAAAAAATAATATCCTTTTTTTATTAACATAATCATAATAGAAATAATATAATATATAATATGGAATATGCGTGTGATTTATATAAAGATGTTATTTTTTATAATCTTTATTGATTTTGAACTAAGCCTATATTAATATTTTTTAATGTAATTTCTTTTTGATTAAGAAAATCTATATTAATATTATAGAGGTAAAGTTTGTGACGTTGTAGAAAGTAATCTTTGGATCTACTGAGCCGATTTTGATGATATTTGGTAAGAAGATAGTTTGAGACCCTGGGAAGGATATAGCATACTTTATATCCCGAAAATCATCCCCTAAGGGGGTGAAAAGGGGAATGAAAGTTTGTATTGGGAAGCAAGCTAGGGACGAACCCGAGCGAAGCGAGGGTGAGTCGCTAGTAAGAATTATAAAGTGCCAAAAAATGTGGGAAATTCAAAGTAGTTCAATTAATCATACTGTGACGTCACGCCAAGCGCGCGAAATGGCGAGCGTTTAAAGTATATTAAAATATATTTTTTATACTAAATTTTAGTTTCTTGGAGCTGGATAGTTTTTTTATTACAAATATATAGCGATGTAATCTATTGTACCTATATAAAATTTAAACAAAAATCATATCAAAAATCAATCATATACCCTATTATTTTCATAACCTTTTAACAAGTGAAGTGTATCTACAATTTAACCTCAATAATCAAAATCGAATAGTACCACATACCGCTATTTCATCTCTAATCTTATTAATATCTAGAATAAGTTCCATGATATCTTTTCCAACTTGACTTGCAAATAGACCAGCCAGTTTGCTTCGTGTTTCGAGTCTAGCGTCAACATTGGTACGTAGCGTTCCAAGTACGACACTGAGACCTGTATAATATAAAGAATCACAAATTAATAACTATGAACTTATTTCAACAAATTACTTGCAAAGATTTTATATCTATGCAAAATATAGATTTTCTTTTACATTTCTTTTCAAGTATGTAAACAGTTGCAAGAATACAAAGACAAGTGCATTTTTTCATTAAATAACGGTATTAAATATGTAAATAATATCAAATCCAAAGACAATAAGTCAACCTGTAAATCCTTACCTAAAAACTCATTCATATCTTCAGGCGGTATAGGGATATTGAATTCGCCCATCAAGTCGTACAGCTCTCTCAAATACTCAAGCCTTTCCTCAAGATACGCCACTCTGCTCTCTAACCCATCCAGTAAGTAATTAAATGCGACCAGTTCACCTGCACTCTCGGGATCTTTGTTAATATCGTTATTAATCGATTTGATCCCCGCTAGTATATCCTCAATGCAATCGTGCCCGATACTTAAAAGTTAAAATATATAAACCACATATATCTAACAGCATTTTAATTATAGTAATTTTATTCGCAAACAAACAATTAAAAGTACTTACTCAGGGGTAGTGTTATTGACAACGTCAAACAATCTCCTAGGCTGCGGTCTAAATAGCTCTTGGAAAGGACTTAAATTTAGAAATATAAGACCCAACGGCTGGAAACTAACAACTTCTTCTATTTCGTCCATTTGTTTTACCAACTCTGTACAAAGCTTGCGAAATTCATTCACGTCCCTTTCATTCTTAATAATATTGACATCAATTTCATGTGCTTCCTTAAAGTTCCCCATGAAAGTGTTCATTCGTTGTAAGAACATCCAAACATATTCGAAGGCCTGTTGCATACATTGTGGTATAAAAGTGATATCTCTCATCATAGCTTTGTCCTGGTTCATGAGGAAATATAGATTGGGGGACTGTCCCGCCGACCACTCCATCTGCTTGCCCATTACTGTGGGTTGGACGAAAATCTGTAGAGTTTCCTCGTTCAGGAAATTGTGGAATGTCCTGACGTATTCTTCCCAATAATTTGTTATTTTCTGCATGTACGTAGAAATAATTTTTTCGCTGGGATTGAGCTCAACTTGCCCCGACGGCAGGATATACGCATCGACTTGAAAAAGTGCCCACTGTAAAGGAAAAATCATTTGATAAATGATGACCATTGCCTTAATGGTTCACTTATTAAAACTAGACTCTTCATCAGGCACTGTGCGCAGATAAAATTTGATTTTTTGACTTTCCAAAGATTATTTAAGCAAAAAATAATAACTTTACAGTTTTGTTTGTATAAATATCAGTGGTTATTTACTGAAGAAGATAAAAATAAGTAAAATTAAGTAACCTTGCATATGTCCGTCTGCCTGGGCACCACTTCTAGCACCTCGTCAACCGCGCTCCCCGAGAGAAGCTCCGGCGACGGCGTGAATTGCAAATGTACTCGTAACATGTCCGCCATTATCATATTGGATCGTTTCGTTAACCGGTGGAGCATGTAGATCGTCATGTAGTCTACTAGCTTAATAAAACTGCAAGTGAAGTGTTAGTGCTCTCTTTAAATAATAAAATAAATAAATATGTTGGAACATTAACACACAGAACCATCTAGTTCCATAGTAAGCTATGAGGCTTGTGTTATGGATACCAGATAGTTGATATACTATATATATAATTTTGAATACATACATATTATAAATATAAACACCCATGACTGGAGTATTCGTACTGATGAATGCCCCCAGGGGGACTCGAACCCGCGACCGCCAAACGTGTCGTCGTTTATAGTATACTTTATATTATACTTTAGCAGTTAACACACATCGCTTGGGTGCGTCCCTAGATGCCTAAACACGTTTTCTCCAAGTCATAGCCTATCTGTGTGCTAAATTTCGACCAAATCCGTCCAGCCGTAATATAGTCCTATATCTAAAGTATGTGACAACACATTCACGAGTAAACCGTGGACCAATTTGAGATGATTTGTATAAATCGTGTTCCGGACTAGTACATAGGATACTTTTTAAACTTGAAATGCATTCTAATTTTAAAACTCATTAATAGTTGAAGCTGCTCAAAAACAAACGCTTTCTCATAACAAACAAAACCAATAGTAAGTATTTATTACTTATTAGTAGGTATTTCATTATATGTATTATGTAGTATATAATCAGGATCAATCCAACTTATACAATATATCATACATATAGTTAATACATATTGAATTGTAAACTTTAGTTTCGCAGTATAATTATAGTTTAGCTTTAAATAAAACTATAAGTTACCAGGCAAGCCTTTCGCAATATTTCCTCTTATTCGCTTTTTCTGTATACGACATGCCGCCAGTGGGTTTGCCTCGTATCATTTGGAAGGGCGGTATGTTCCTGTCGTCGTGGGTGAAGCCCTGCCGGTAGAGCGCCGTGTGACAAGCCGCAGTTATCACATCTAGCACTACTGACCGGTACTCTATCAACTTGTCACGGACGTATTCGACACGTTTCATCTATTCACATATATATAATATTTTATTTCAGTTACGAAATGACAACACAGTCATCTATCTCCCTGCCCATTTCCCAATCACTTGGGGTTGGCGCAGTACATGTTCCGTACTGCTGATAGGATTTGGCAAAAGTTTTACGACCGGCCGCCTGCCTGACATCAACCCTCCTTGGGAACACAGTATGTGCTTAGTAAAAATCGGTTAAGTAAGAGTCGGAACTCCGTACGGTAGCTTTCATTTTAGTATGAAATATATTTTTGTATTTACTTAAGTAAGATTTTTTCAAATTCCTTCTGCCATTCCAAAAAAAAATTAAAACATTGTTTTTTCTTTACTGTTAGGGTATTTTCAACATGAACGCGCCTATTCGCCCGATCTACGGGTTTTTGCGAAACTTTCCCATAGCTGACCCGTAGGGCAAACTGATTGAAATAACATAGCACTTATAATATTGGGGATTCTAGGTTTGAAATAAAAAAGACCACCCACTCCTCCAGAGTCCGCGTCCCATATACTAAACAACCGAATAGTAGTACCTCAAAATCAGTTCGGCTTAGACCAAATTAGTTAAGCCTAAAATATCTTGTTCCGGCTAAAGTAAATAAATATAAATATTTTTTGGGACATTATAATATAAATATTTTTTGGGACATTAACACACAGCGCCATCTAGTTCCATGATAAAATACAAGGCTTGTGTTATGGATACCAGATAGTTGATACACTACACATATATAACTTTAAATACATACATATTATAAATATAAACACCCATGACTGGAGTACAAACATTCGTCATTACACAAATGAATGCCCCCAGCGCGACTCGAACCCGCGACCGCTGGCACAGCAAGTAGGGTCACTACAAACTGAGCCAAACGTGTATATCACAGTTTGGCCTAAAATCTAGTTTAGCCGGTAACATATTTAGCAAAGGTCACATAATTTGTTTCTGACAACTTATTTATAGGCAAACGTAAAAAAATCCGTTGATCTGAATGCTTGAACTGAACTTAATCGATCGACATAACGATCGTAGGTCGGACGAATAGTCACTTCGTTTCAACATAATAGCTATAATGGCCAAATCGTCTTGTAACGACGAACAAATAACAAATAACATAATATTAATAACATAGGTTCCTATCCCTAGAGTTCCTAAAATTTAGATGAAGATAGGTTTTTTCCTATAAATAAACTTTCATATTATACTATAATCATACAAAAATGTCAAACATTTAAAATTTTGTATAACTTGCCTGAACTTCTATAAAATAAAAGAAAGCAGTATCCATATCTCTGGAGACATCAGCGAAGCTTTTCATGTACATATCACAACACATAGCTTGAATACTTAATAGTGCTTTACCGAACACTGGAGTAAGAATAAAAAGTCGTTTAGCAATTTTAGTTCTTGTTTTGCTATATTTACGAAATAATATTGACTTTCTCCATACGTAGAACGCTTTCCAATAACGATAGACACGGAAAAATTTAATCTGAAATTGTGAGAAACAATAATCAAGCTTTCGAAATATAAAAATGACTGTGTAATAATATATTACTGCGTGTTATAAATAAAAATTTCCCGCCACGCTGATTTAATTTTTTTCAGTCTAATCGCAGGAACTACTGTTCCAATTTTGTAAGGTTTTTTAGCAATAGGAAGGATCTTCAGAATGTTTAGGCTATTTTCTAAGGCTGTAATTTAAAGGCTTACTAGCGACTCAACCTCGCTTCACTAGGGTTCGTCTCTAGGTATGTTTTAAAAGTTAGTGTGGAATATATAGACTCCCTCAATAATATTAGGAAGGTATAGGTGCATATCTTGTATTATATGTATATATACATAGGTATTAAATATAATGAGTTGTTGTTGTTGTATTACAACGTTTTCCCGTGGGAATGAGATAATCTCCCGCGGTAAAAAGTAGCCTACGTCACTATCCAGCACTCTATGTGTATTCACACAAAAAATCACGACAATCCGACATTATATTTTGACGTGAAAGAAGGACAAACCAACGAACACTCACGTTTATAATATCATTATGGATTACGAAAAAAAAGGATCGAAAAGGAAGACAAGGGAAAAGAAGGGAAAAATCTTCGTCTGTCAGAAAAAATGAGAATTCCATAATCCTAACTAATATTATAAAGGTGAAAGTGTGTTTGTTTGTTTTTTTGCCATTCTTTCACGTCAAAACAGAGTGAACGGATTAGCGTAATTTTGTGTATGGAGATAGTAGGAGACCTGGAGAGTGACATAGCCTACTTTTTACCGCGGGAGATTATCCCATTCCTAACGAAAAATACGTTAATACTACCCAAAAAATATTTGTATCAGAATTACTTGAAACTTGGTATTAATGCTCTTCAATACAATTAAATAAATATGTGTTATAGCATTTTTCAATATTCATCCCATAAGGCGGTAAAATAGGGGGCGAAAGTTTGTATGATACCTAAATTTTTAATTTTTTTTGTAGTTTTAGCGCGAGCGGAGCCGCGGTGTGTATTCAGCCCTTTTTATCGTCCCACTGCTGGGCACGGGCCTCCCTTCAGTACGAGGGGAATCAGGCCATAGTCCACCACGCTGGCCAAGTGCGGGTTGGCGGACTTCACATGTCTTTAGAAAACTTGCTAAGTTCTCTCAGACATGCAGGTTTCCTCACGATGTTTTCCTTCACCGTAAGGCAAGTGGTAATCATGTTAGAAATGATTCGCACATGAAAATATCAGTGGTGCGAGACCCGGGATTTGAACCCGCTTCACTCGGTTCCTCAAGCGAGCGCGTTACCACTGGGCTACCACTAGCCGCGGGATCTGCTAGTATTATATAATATGTAAAGAACATCTCATCCATCAAGGAACAATACCTTAGAGACTCAATAGTACTATATAAGAATAAATAATGATGAATGATATTTTTATAAAAGGTAATAAGAACTCACATCAGTTAATTGAACAAATATGGTATATTCCTGCTCCCATTCTGATAGTTTTGTAAAAACCATTTCATTGGTATAATGTGTTACACCACAGGAACTAATTGTAAGAAAATTCTTTTTATCTATTTGCTCATATGGAACTACCCTGTTAATAATTTAAAGAAGTAAATATCAAAAAACAATTTATAATTTATTTTCACATATATGATTTTTTTAAATTAATTAAAAGAAATTACCTTTCTCAGTTTTATTATTAAAATATGGATGCAGTAAAACACAACTACAATAATTGCAATGAAATAGCAAATACATTAAAAAATCATAGTTAAGTTGCGAAAAATGTTGTATGTATGTACTTATATAAGAAGACACTTTAACTTCATATGAAGTAATAAATTCAGTTGAATTATAGAGTAAATAACTTACTTCAAATAATATGGTGTAAAATATACATTCTGTGGATGAACAGCATAAATCATGTATAGAAATCCATTTGTGGGATCATTACGAACTTGTTTAATAACTTCTTTTTGAGATGCTACTTCAGGTTTAATCTTTAAAGGATCACTTGTTCCCTCATCTCGCTTGTTAATTTCAGAGCTACTATGTGACTCACGGATTGTGATTTTCTTTTTTTTGTCTTTAGAACCTGCAAAATTAAATACATAATACAGAAAAATAACTTCTAGTAAACAGCTTAGACATATATAAGCTTTTAAATCTTTTGATTAACTTGTTATCATTAAAAAATAATAAATTATTAAAAATTATTGCATAATATTCAGTCTTGTTTTAAATTCATTTGTGTCACATGCATGTTTTGTTTATCATTGTTATGTATTTCTCTACTCACCATCTAATTTAATTGGCTCTAACTGTAGCTTGCCAATTTTTCTCTCTTTCTGAAATCTTTTTCCTTGTGCTGCTGTAAATCCAGTCTTTACAAAAAAACGTTCAGATTAATTTCAGTAAAAAATATTTTACAAAAATACTTTATCATCCCTAGTTTGATTCCACATACAAACTTTCATCCCCAGAAAGGATGATTTCCGGGATAAAAAGTATCCTATGTCCTTCTGGAAATCAGTTCAGGAGATCCAGAGATTACCTCATGCAACGTCACGAACTCTCAATTCACAAACTTTACCTCTTTATAATATTAGTATAGATAGGTAACAAGCTGTAGCAATTCTCTGCATGAGGTTCATCTCCTAATTTAGGTGGATTTATTTGGACATACACACCATGGAGCTAGAAATTTTATCCAACATGCTATGTGCATTAACCATATTAACTTGTTATTTTTGTTAACCTTAAAAAGTCTAGTGTAGAACTAAATATGTATGTCTTTGCTAACTAATTAATATTTGGCATACAATACCAAAGGCTCTGGTTCTTTTTCTATATATTCAATTCTTTCCACAAGTTTCTTGTGAGGCAAGTGAAAAGGCACCTCTCTAGGCTTTCTGAAAATTATTTATTTGTTAATATTATTCGATTACTAAGAACAATGATAATAATTATTTTCAAAAATATGAACACCTGTTATAAAAAGTTGGGACACTCTTAACATTTCTTTGAAGAGTTTCTATAGCAGGTAGTGTAGTTAATGTAGATTTTTTTTTCTCCATATTTATTAAAGTTATATGAAAACTACCATTTCATAACAAGTATGCATTGCATTAAAATTTATAAGGGAATATATTTATTAAATAAGGCAATAACACTTCCTTTTATTCTTATTTTCCTTAAATTGGCATGAATTCACGATTAACTCCGAAAATGAGTTTGTTTACGTTTAAATGAAATTACCATAGTTACATTTTATTTACGAACTACCATTTTAAAAGAAGTGCCAATAAAATTCAAAATTTAAACTAAGAAAGCGCGCGGGCTTTTTACTTATAGCCTTTAGTTGTCAATGTGTCATCCATTCGTACTCTGTGCATTCGTACAATCATGGATGACAAACACAGGCAATATAACCTAATGTCTGTGATGACAAATAAAAGTACAAAAGTCCAATGGCATCACATTCACGTGATTGACATGAATATTTATCATAGATTAGTGATTAGTCGATGATAGACGTTGTTCTTGTCATCCATGGTTGTTCTATTTACAGACTATAGAATATGTTTAGTTATTTTGCCTTTTTCCGGAAATAACGATAAATAAAATAATAAAAATGACCGAAATATCAACCACTTAACCACTTTTAATTTTGGTGGTTTTATCCGGTATTTAAAAGTATAACGTACTTTAAATAGAATAGTAAGTGTAACCGTTAGGGTTAAAGTTCAAATAATGTAGTACATCATAATATCGTTCATGTATGTATATCTTTATACACACTTGGCTCTATATTTTAAATTGTTATACTAATAGACTAGCTACATATTTCGTGACTTTTGGTAAACTAACTAATTATCACTTACGGCCGGTTTCAATAACTCATCTATTGTAAAAATTTGTTAAAATTACTACTTTTCATAGCTCAAATCAATTAATCAACATGTAATAATATGTAGTAAAAAACTTCATAATTTACAAGTAAGAATAGAAATGTAGAATAGGAATAAGAAGCGAAGAAGACATGAATGTAAGTTTTCAAGAAATTAAAAACGTTTGATTTTTATGGATGACGAACAAAGATCGAACAGAATAAACTATAGAAAATGGAGAATGTGTGTATTTCTGCGAAGGCGGATGGAGGGCCATGTATATTTCATTTAACATTTTTATACGTCTCTCTACAATACTCGAATTAATAGCAATCGCAGATTGGACCTAGTTTGAAGGGCATGATTAACGTTAATATTATGCTCATTAGATAAATAAAGCATTGACGAAATGCTAAACTGCTGTACAGCCGGAATGGTGTGTACGCAATGTAATAAATATTAAACTCTGCTAATAAAAAATTACACGTAACGATATATACACATGCTATAAATTAGCCTTCAACAGAATTGATAAAAAAATAAACATAATATTAAATATTTTAAGTGGTACATGTCATAATATTTCTAAAATAGGTAATATTTGGTACAATATTTATTAGATCATAAATGAATGTTTTAAAACGGTAATGAATACAAATTGTTTAAGTTGTTTAATAAATAATAAATGCTTAGAAATTAGCAATAATAATTTTTTTACCATCAAAATAGTAATGATAATTTTATTTATCGTTACACTATTCCATTTTAAAAGTACAGTCTTATCTGTGGAACAATCTAATAGACAAGTTTTTTTGGACGTTCGTTAGGAAAAATAAAAAAGTAGCGCTAGCGCTACCAGAGTCGGAGTAGTATTAGCATTGGCGCTACTCTAAGTGATAAAAATATGAAATCTATTACACTGATATTAAATTAAGCATGTGCTTGTTTACATATATTCATTTAAAGTTGTAAATTTTATGTGTCCTGCTCAATTTTGCCGAAGGTAAGTTGAACGCTTCATATTGGACGCAACTTTCACTGCATCTAGATGAAGTATGTAAAACGATTTATCAATAAAACATCGCCCTGGGATTTATAACAAGTATTCATAGGTAAACGATTTTAACGTGTGCACGTTAAACTTATTTTTGAAATAAAGCATTGCGACTACATTACGTGACTTATCTATAAATTAAACTGATAAGTACAATTATTTATTGCACGTCGAAGTCTAATCAATAGAATATAAAATCGACAAATATTTTTTAAGTTATTTTTATGTGATTATTTCTTGCTTATTTACTTTATTTTTTCTACATTTAGCTCTAAATGTAAAGAGTATTTATTGATTCATTTTATAAATTATTTTTGAATTTATTATTGCTTTTAAAATTTATTTTCAGTTATTGTATTCTCTGACTATAATATAATTTGTATTATAAATAATTATAAAGCACAGTATGAAAACATGTAACACTTAAAAAATAATTTGCAAGATTACATTAAGTACAACAGTAATTTAAAAAAAAGAAATTATTGTAATAGTTTACTTTCTGTATAATAATTATGATTCAAATAACTTGACTATTATTAGTTTTATTTAAATGCAACTTAAAATTATTTTGATCTGTTTTATCTCCCATACCATCCCTAGGTATCTCCTAAATAATTAAAATTAGTTATTGCGAGTGTACTTTAAGATACAGATACAAAAAAGGCTTTTTAATACTTACAATTTTCTAATACATTGTTTTGATGTATCTCGCAAGGTTTAGGCAGCATTAGCCATTTTAATTTCTAAGGATGGCTTGATAGAACCACTTACTGTGTTTTCTGAAATATATGAAAGGTAGTAAAAGGCATCCTAAATATAGAACTGAGTAGTAAGTTATCGCTAAACAAAATTTAATCACAATTGGTTCAGTTCATTTTTCATAAAATGCACACATATACAATCAAACAGACATACAGACAAACAACAATAAGATAAAAATTTCAATAATTATTATTTCTATATTCTGTACACAATACATAACAGTTGTTTTTTTAAAGATATTTTATGTACAGAATGACTTCGTTACTATTTTATAATAAGTATAGATTAATCGAGTGCTTATATTTGACAACAATACCTACTGAAGGAAAAAAAATATTTGAAAATATCATACATTTTTTAGAATTACAAATGGAGTACTTAACATAGGAGCCATCAAGGCAAGGAAGGAGCAGACTATTAGATTGGCTATTAAGTATTGAATGGCTATGTATTACTACGCAAGTAAATTAAATGAAGCCTCATGTAGTGGATGCAATGTTAAGGTAAGAAAATATGCCTATTTACTTATAAAAACTTGTAAAATATATATTGAAACTAGTGACTCACCCTCGCTCACGTTCGTCCCTAGGTATTATAATGGATATAGTATGTTATCCTTAAAAGATAGACATATGCCATCGCGGACTTTTTTAAGGTGTACAATACTGTAGTACATTGTTTTGATCTATCTCGTAGGGTTCAACCAGCATATGCAATGTAAGCGCCAAAAAATGTTTTTATTTACGACATCACATTAGAAATCTCTAAAATGATCAGTGTTTCTCTACTATATTATGCATGTATTATACATATAAACTGCATCAAAAACTGTTGCGTAGTTTTAAAGATCTAAGCATACATAGGGACAGACATAGAGCGGGAAGCGACTTTGTTTTATACTGTGTAGTGACTAGTGACTTACCTTCGCTTCGCTCGGGTTCATCCTAGGCGAGGTACGTTTTAATTTTTTTGAGCAGAACCCTTATTCTTTTTCTAAAAATAGCCTGTAGCCCTACAACATTAACTATCTTTCAGTGAAAGTCCCGTCAAAATTGGTCCAGCCGTTTTAGAGATTATGCGGAAAAAACAGACACAGACAAAAATTTAAAAAATTGAGTTTTTCTTATAAGTACCATATACAATTTTATATGCATTCAGGAAAACACTGTTTTGACATTACAAACAAACACTTCAATTTTATTTACCTGTATAGATATAGATTTTTTCTCTTTATACAAATTGCTGAATTGGTCGAGCCGTTCTCGAGTTTTACCAACTTTCATTTTTATTGATAAAATAAAATCTTATACTGGGATTGCACTAGTATAAATTTACTTTATACTTATTGACCATATACTATCATTTCCTGTGTATCAATTAGTTGTATGTTGTATTGATGCATTTTAAATAAACTGAGTCAAAAATATTAAATTCCAAAGATTTGAAGAAGAAAATAAGTATGAGAATTAAAGTAGGCTGCAAGATATGCAATGAGACATGTATTCTAAACAACCAAAAATAGGCAATACAAACTTAATTAATTGACTCATGTGAAAGACTTCTAACTAATTGTATAGTTGTGTTACATGCTCTTCACCAAAGGCCGTGTACCATTAAAATACAAAAGATATCTGGTAACACTTGTTTTTACTGGTAATTCATGTATTATTTATCATATAATATTAAATGAGTAATTCTTGTATATATATGAATTTATTTCGTCTTTCTCAGTATGGTATGGTATGTTATGTTCGGGCTGTTTTCCGCAACTCGACGACTATGCGCCTATTTTGCGTGGTCTTTCTCAGTATCGGCTATAACGTTTTAGATAAAATTTTGTATTTGGATGATGTTTTGCTTTTTAAGTTTATCTATATAGGTCCGTTTCCTAAAAAAACTGAAACTTTTTTATCTTTTTCTAAACAGAACCCAGGTACTGTGAATTATGTAATAAAATATATTTTTACTATGCTTTTGTGCTAAAAATGAAACACCAATAGTAATATTAACATTGCTATACACAGTTGCCGCCTCCGCCATCTGAGCCAGCTCCTCCACCGCCTGACCATTCTTCTTTGCCCACTGATCCTGCACTTCTGCATGGATCTGGCCTATCTTATTATGATGTAAGTCATTATGTATTTGTTGCATTCATTAGCTATTAGATTTTTAATTATTTAAGAACAATTAAAAGGTACATTCTTGTTACTTCTTAAAGGCTCTAAGAATAATAATATAGCTGTGTAATATATATTCCACTAGTATTGCCCGCGGCTCCGCCCGCGTTCAGATGATCAAAAACCAAATTCTTAGGTTTTACATATTAGTATACTTTTACATTGCAGTTTTTGTATTTTTTCTCAGAAATGAGACATTTTCCCGCGGTAAAAAGTATTCTATATGTTGACTTGGGTAACCAGCTATCACCATAAAAAAATTCATCAAAATCCCTCCAGTAGTTTTTCTGTGATGGGGTAACAGATAGACAGACAGACAAAAATTTTAAAAACTATAGATTAGGCCTCTGTATCGATAATAATGTTTATTTAATAAGATTTGCCAAAAAATATTTAATGTACAAATTCGGCTTAGTTACAATTTTATTATACATATGTATAGATATATAATATGTATATAGGTGCATGTCCTTGCTGATATATTGTTGCCCATGCCAAATCGTTGGACTAAACTATTCAAAGAAAATTTTCTTATACCTAACGACATATATTTACATGCCGCTAGAAAAGTTTATTTTAAAATTTACCGAAGGTGAAAAGGGGTGGGGTGAAAGAAAATAGCCCCGCAAAGGTTAAGCCGAGGCAAACTGTTGGTTAACTACCAATGTATAAAATATGCTTTTGAAATTGAAACTGTTATTTTGAATAAACACCAGAACAATATGAATAACTTATAGATAGGTACATATTTATAAAATATAGCTTTCATTGCGTTATCAAACTCCACTCCCAAGAGAATATACCTATAGCCACAAGAGATTCATTGAAAAATGCTAATACATTTATTCTATTGTAATTTAGTTTTAATAAGATGTTTAATACTGTCTGCACGTATTGATGAAGTGAAAAACTTGGTACTACGACGCTGCAAAGATACAGTTATGTACCTACGTACATATATATAAGGATCATAAAGAATTATTTTTTTCTTAGAATGACGATTATTACTCCATGGTGAGAGGAAACAAATTCATGTCGGAAAATAGCTGCAAACACATGGTGATGAATGGAAGCATTAATTTCGTTAGTGCCCAACCCGTTGAATCTACTCAGGTGTGTAAAGTTGTTTTTTTTTTAACTTAGTTTTTAATTTGAACTTTTTGAGTAGTAGTTTTTTTATCTTGTTGAGTATATACAAGTATTATCATCATGTTTATATTCGATTAAAAGTATGACAAATATACTTAGAAGCATATTGTAATGGAAGCTAAAATCTGAAACAGTATAATCTTCTTTTAATTAAAAACTAATAAGTAAATATTAAATTTCTAATAGCCAATTTCTTTATAAATGGATTTAGTTTATTACTTCTTTCCATTAACATTTAATTTTTAAAATGCGACCTTATATAGGTTTGAATTATATGGTACTTTGGTTTGGACTGTTAAAGGTGTCTGCCCACTACACCGTCTCATACCATGACCGTGCTATGAACGTATGAGGAACGGAAACGAGCAAGGTACTATGCCCACTAGAACGTATCAACAGCGTATCGTACCCGTAGATAACGGTTTTAGTGCTGCGTTTGCTCAGCATTGCGCTCGCGACGCTCAGTGCACGGCACGCGATGGCACCGGTCGGTGACGGAACGGTCTAGTGGGCAGAGTCTCATACTTTTCAATACAAATAATATTTTTTTGCCTAACACGGTCCTAGCACCGTCATGGTATGAGACGGTGTAGTGGGGGGACTCCTTAATACAATCCTCATATCCTTGTCTTCTAGCGTAGTTTTGTTTACAACAAGGAGTATGTTAAATTTTATTTTTATTAATGAAATTCAATGTTTCCGTCCAGTTATCTGCCGTACTAGCGCCCGCGGTGAAGACGCCCGTGCCGCACGTAGAGAAGGACATTGAATACAAAGACGGACAGATAGTGAGCGCAGTTTTCGAAACGCTCGTGGACATGCTCCGTCCTGGAGCGAGCAAATCCTTTACCTTCACATTCTTGCTATGCTCTCGCCTATTTGTCAAACCACACGAGCTACTCGCTAAACTATGCAAAAGATATTTTAAAAATTATGACAAAGTGGTGAGTATGATTTTCATTGTATTTTACTGTCGAATGTGTTTTTTAAAGTTAAATTCTTTATATAGATGTTATTCTTTATATAACTTTTAAGATAACTAAAACATTGTAATTAATTAAGATTGCCTTGCTTGAATTTTTTTTATATGTATTATGTTAGAAAAAATATATGTAGGTACATTGTACGTATTTTAATTCTCTTAATTTTTTATTAATTAATAATTAATTATACCGATATCAAGTTGACACATAAAATCATCCAGTAATTATGTCAACTACACAAGTGTTTTTTATCTCCAATAATATTATTTAAGGTAAAACTTTGTTGATCTACAAAATTTCCTCTTTTATGTTTCGATCTTGTTAGAACGGTTTCTTTCAAATTATACAATAACTATCCTTTAAAAAAGCTGTTTGTGATCTCAGTAAGGGTAAAACGAAAAAAATCTTAATTATAACTTGCAACATTTTTCTTAGCAAAGTATCTCTCTCAGTCTGAATAAATCATATTAACTAAGATCTGAAGCGTGTTCGTTAACTAGAAACAAGAATCTATAAAGCTTCGTGCGCATAGTTTTCTTGGAAATGATTTTCTGAACTAGGTCATTTGTGAACAACGCGACGTAGTTTGATTATCCTCTTTATATCTCGGGCATTTCTCGCTGAGATTATGTTTTTAAAAGTTATTACGTTTTAAGTGGTAATACAAAGTTCAAGCGATCTATGAAACTCTAATGAACTACGAGTATGAATATTACTTTGAAGTAAATATAATATTTTTAATATGATGCTGCAACCTTCTTTTAAGTTTCTTATATCATCGTTATTTTCATCGTATTTACACTGGATTTTAAAGTGTTTTAACATTTAAAAAAGATAATGTAACAAATAACTAAAACGTAAGCAAAATAAATGATTAATTAATAAAGTCTTATTTTTAATAGGGGAAAAATGAAATGAAGGAGCTAGTTGATAAGGAGATTGCTGATATGGTAGCATTAGTTCGTGTTCTCAACCAATGGACGTCTATGTTTCCTTACGACTTTCGCGATGATAGAGTCATGGCTCTTGTTAGGAGCATCACTCAGAGGTGAGAGTTTGGGTATCAAACTGACGGGATGATATAAGATATTCTCTTTCTACCCTTTGATCTTATAAATTTCACAATCTGTTTAAAATTACTTTCCCCCTATTCTTACGTTATAGAAAAAATGTTTGCATGAAAATATTAGTTACCATAATATAATCTTTCAAATACATCCATACTAATATTATAAATGTGAAAGTGTGTTTGTTTGTTTGTTTGTTTGTTTGTTTGTTTGTTTGTTTGTTTGTTTGTTTGTTCATCTTTCATTTCCAAAAGGAGTGACGGATTGGCGTGATTTTTTTGTATGGAAATAGTTAGAGGGCTGAAGAGTGACATAGGCTAGTTTTTACCGCGGAAGATCATACAAACATACAAAAACACGTTATAATACAATGCAAAAAAATTTTTTGCATCAGAATTAATTGAAACTTTTAAATAAATACGTGTTTTAGCATTTTTCGAAGTTCACCCTATAAGGGGGTAAAATAGAGGATGAAAGTTTGTATGAAACTACCTTTTTAGAGTTTTTTTGTAGTTTTAGCGCGAGCGAAGTCGCGGGTTCTGCTAGTATATATAATATATAGATACTATTATTATTAAATAAAATTCGCTCGGTACATGTTTACGTGATGGTATATCGCGTGCTTCACCTACATCAGACACATGTAACATGTACACCTGATGTTCCGGTAATAACTTGCTTTATTGCTTTCAGAATTGACGTTGAGTATTCTGACCTATTGATATGAGGCTAATTATGACAATATAGTTGGCTTTGAAATCACGTTCATTTTTCTATCCTTTTCAAACATTAACTCTGTTGAAAATTTAATATGAAAGCATGTTCATTTTGATTTTAATTCATTCGTTTTGATAAATTTATTAAGTACTAGCGACACATCCTTGCTCCGCTCGGGTTCGTAGTTTAGTAGAGATTTCTCAGGAATGAGATATTTTTTCGCAATAAAAAGTAACTTATATGTTGGCACGCATAACCAGATTTTATCATACTAAATTTCATCAAAATCTGTTTCGTGGTATTCTCGTGATGCGGCCATAGGCAGACAAACATACAAAAATTCTAAAAACTAGATTCTGCCTCTGTATCGATAATAATTACTATTTCAATAAAATTTCCAAAAACATTTAATGTATAGATTCCACTCAGAATTTTATTATATGTATAGATTTGTATACTAGAGTTAATGTTTTTGACACCAGGTGTGCAGCTGAACACATGGCATCGATCAGATCTGAGGTGTCCAGCATGCTGGAGAGATTATTGGACAAGTTGACAGCTTTGGAACAGTATGAAGAGACACTAATGGAGGTGCCACAAGTGTCCTCTGTGGATCAACTCCCACTGGTAATTTATGGTCCATTGGGCATTATTTATTTCATAGCCAAAGTTATACTTTACAAATGAATCTTCTTTATTGAATCTGAATAATATAATTATGAATGAATAGATTTGTTTCAATTTAAATGTATCATCACGTTTATAATATAAATCGAACTATCTTTAATCTATATACTTCGTTCTTGTAATGAGTATAATAAAACAATAACAAGTATAGACATATTTTCGAATTCACTTACAGGTTTCAAAAATGGTATTAATCACTTATTGTTTATTTGATAATGTTGCGTTTTATGTATTTCATGTTTGTCCTTATTTTTTATTATTAATGTTAATCAGTGTGTCTTTTTGTAATTTTTTAGTTTAGTCTTAAACTTTTTGCTTTTTTTTCATTGTGTTCTGCTTCTTATTTGTATTTTTAATATGTGGAAACAAACAGTACAATATACTGTTTGATTCCCTAAAATAAATAAAATAAAAAATCGAAGATTGAGCTTAACTGAGTTGCGCGAAAAATTCAAAAATCTGTTGGTTAGGTAACTGTGGTAGACTACAGTTGATGAAATATATTAAAATTATAAATATTTTTACTGTAAGCATTTTCTAAAATTATATAAAATATTGTTTTATTCCTACCACACAGTAGGTTTAACTAAAAAATATTCTGCAGGGGGATATACTGACGCTAGGCTTGACACCAGTAGAGCTAGCAAATCAGCTGACCATTGTAGAACTGCACAGGCTTTCCTTTGTTGGGCCCGAGGAATTTGTGCAGACATTTGCCCCCTCGCAGCCAGGACAGTCCACCTCCGGAAAGAACATCAGCCTGCATCATGTGGAGACGAAGAGTACTAAGAATTTAGAAGCTTATGCTGACTGGTTCAACAGGCTCAGCTATCTAGTTGCCACAGACATTTTGAAGGTATATTTATTTATTTATCATAAACATTAAAGTTTGCTCACATGAAGAATATATTGTGGATAAAACATTTTTTTTTATAACAAGTTCATATTTTTGATGTTTTATTTATTTTTACTTGGAACTTGTATTATTGTAATTTATATAGTGCATCTAGATAGTAAACCACAAATGTATATAATCTTGTTAATGAAATTCAAACTCAACTTTTTTAGGTTAGTAGATGTTGTATTATATATGAATTTATCATTTGTTTACATATTCGTAAAAAAAGTTAAATCATCATATTTTGCACACCATTATAAACGATTCTCTTACAAACATCGTTTTATTTTTAATATACTAATAAGATTAGATTTTACAAATATAACAAGTTATTTTAATGATTAATCAGGCGGTGAAGAGCAAGTACCGAGCACGCGTAATGGAACAGTGGGTGATGACGGCTCGGGAATGCTTCAATCTTGGCAACTTTAACTCTCTGATGGCCATAATAAGTGCTCTGAATATGGCCCCCATTACACGCCTTAAGAAAACGGTATGATGACTTCTTTTTATATCATTTAAGTTAATTTATGTTTAAAAGATCTTACAGTTGATCTTTAAATTTAGAAAAATAAACATTAAGTCTAATATAGGTTATAAAGGCAAGTACATAAAGATGTAGAACTTAAATGGCATGCAATGGCAGATGCTAGTGTTGAGCTGGTGAAAAATATTTTTGAGACCTGGGAAAGGTCACAAGATGCACTTGGGATATTCTGTGACTTATCCAATTTTCTTTTTCTTCGCCATTTATTGTGTAATATTAAATGGCCATATTAATGTGTAATATAAAACCTGTAGAGTCCACAGAATTCCTAGTTATTATCATAGATTCGAAATTGCAGTGGGGCCCCCATATTATGGGGCTAGCGAGTAGACTCAGCTCTGCAGCGTTTGCGGTAAACAAAATAAGACTTCTGACTGATGTAGATACAGCTCGCATAGTATATTTTAGTTATTTTCAGAGTATTGTGTCCTATGGTATCTTACTATGGGGAAATGCAGCTGCTATTAATACGATTTTTGTCCTGCAGAAAAGAGCTATTCGTGCAATTTATAGTTTAGGTCCTAAAGTGTCATTAAGAGATAAGTTTAGAGAAATAAAAATATTGACTGTTGCTTCCCAGTACGTGTACGAAAATGTTATGTATGTCCGTAAAAATATACACGAATTTCCCAAGAAGTGTGACATGCATAACATTAATACTAGGAGCAAACACAAACTTGTAATGCCTGTGACTCGTCTACACAGAGTTCTTAAAAGAGTAATTCTTTTTATGGACAATGCATACGCTTGTACAACAGGATCCCAGAAAACGATCAAAAGACTTCTATCGCCAGATTAAAAAAAATGTTAAAGAACATTTGTGTGCTAAAGGCTATTATACAATAAATCATTTTATAGAAGATGGCACACCTTGGGAATGAAATGATCCTCCAGGCTACTTCAACTTGATAGAAATATTGTGAATTATAATCTTACTTTAAAAAAAAAGATAATTTAATATTGGTTCCGCTGAGTTTCTTTCGCCAGTTCTTCTCAGGTCTGAGGCTTCTTCTTTCCGAACTGGTAATAGACTCTTGACGTTCAGTAAAAAATTGTAATAATTTAATGCTGAATAAAATATTTTGATTTGATTTGAAATGTATGTTTTCTTTTAGTGGAGTCGCACTAGTGCTGTCTGCGGACAACAGTTAAGACAGTTGGAGCTTTGCGTGGAGCCGAGTGGAAATCATGCTAGGTGATAATTACTTTACACTACTTATAAATTAGTTAAAATTATTATTTTCTGTGGATTAGAATAGATAGGTATGAATATAAGAACAGTAGATCTATACCATAAAGTATCTCAATGTTTTGTAATGTTAATCTACACAGATACTAAATACCTTATGCATTGTATATATGGTACATTTTAATTTTTTGAGCGGAACCCTAATTCTTTTACTGAAATAAAAGTAGCCTAAGTTACTCCTTATAACATCAACTACCTGCCAGTGCAAGTCCAGTCAAAATCGACCGATCCGTTTCGAAGATTAGCCAGAACAAACAGACAGACAAACATTTAAAAAAATGTGTTTTTCTTATAAATGCCGTATATAATTTCATATGCATTAGTAAAAATCTGTTATTTTGACATTACAAACAGACACTTCCATTTTATTTATCTGTATAGATAACATTTTAGTTCACCATGTTAATAATTGCTATTTAGATATCGCGCCGCGCTGGCTGCGGCCCCCACGGAGACGGCGGTCCCACTGCTCTCGGTCACATGCCGGGACCTTCATTTCGCGAATCAAGGCTCACCTACCAAGTTAGTGTCCTATCAATATTTTATACATTATAATTAATGTAATAGAAATAAAATAACCAGACAACTATTGTGATTGTGAAAGTTTGTATGTGTTGGATTGTTATTTCTTCTCGCTGAAAGAATTGGACGGGTTTGGAATTTTGGGATGACCTTGATATGTAAGTTACGATTAGGCACCTAGCGGAGCACCAGAGCGAAACATGAGAAAGTCACTAACACAGTATTATTCATAAGGGTTCGAAACGATAATTATCATTATAAGTATAAGTTTAATAATAAACCTTTGATAAATATAATCGAAAATATTTAATTTATAACTCTTCAAATTGTCTATCACCAAACTGAACTCTCTCAATCAGCTAAAAAAACTCAATCAGCAAACTGAGTTAATGTAGTTGAGGAGGATGAGGATGTTGCGAGTTGACATAAATAAATATGGGTTTTCGGTTAAATTATTATAGCACAACAAAAAATCCGGTTCCAGGTTGCCGGGCAACCGCGTGAACTTCGAGAAATGCTCGCTGCTGGCGCGGCACGTGGCGGCGCAGCTGACGGCGCGCCGGTTGCTGAGTGACGGCCCACCCGCGCCCGCGGCACCGCCCACGCCGCACCTGCACCTGCCCGCGTGGCGTTTCCTTAGCGATCGCCCCGCGCTCACCGAGCAAGGTTAGCTCTATTATGTATTAAGATGTCTGCCCACTACACCGTCTCATACCATGACCGTGAATGTTAAAATAATAGCTTTTTACTAAATGCATATGAAATTATGTACTGTATTAAAAAAAATTGTCTGTGTGTTTAGTCCGGCTAATCTCCGAAACGGGTAGACCTATTTCAACGAAACTTTCACTGGCAGAAAGTTAAGCTATAAGGAGTAACTTAGGCTACTTTTATTTTAGAAAAAGAATTAGGGTTCCGCTAAAAACAACGTTTTTAAGGACGTACCTGAGCGAAGCGAGGGTAAGTCGATAGATTACCATATATGAGTAACATCATGTACACATTTAGATCAATCTCATTAGGTATTAAATACTTTATATAAACTCTAGAACAATGTTGTAAGCGAAGTATCATGCAGGCCTATTTTTGTAGAGTACGTCAATCAAAACCTTTGATAAGTTAATTTACGTTCAAAAGTTTCCTATACAGAGACTATAATTTTTCTTTTACGTCATGAAATCGTTTTATAAAATATTCTATTATGGTTCTCAGCATATAAAATAAATAAATAAATATAACCATGATAAGGGTGTTTATATTTATTACATGTATGTAAAGTTAATTAACTTTACATACATGTAATAAATATAAACACCCGTGACTGGAGTACAAACATTCGTGCTCATCACACAAATGAATGCCCCCAGCGGGACTCGAACCCGCGGCCGCTAGCACCGCAAGTCCGCAAGTAGGGCTACTACAAACTGAACCACACGTGTCGTCGAATATAAATGGATCTACTGAAGCGATTTAGATGAAATTTAGTAAGAAGATAGTGCGAGACCCTGGGAAGGACATAGGCATACTTTTTATCCCGGGAATCATCTCTTAAAGCGATGAAAATGGGGATGAAAGTTTGTATTGGCAAGCGAGCTAGGGACGAACCCGATCGAAGCGAGGGTGAGTCGCTAGTATAATATATATCTATACGTAAAATACATATTACAATATTAGATAATCATATCTTAAAATATCGGCTGGCACCGACTTCGAAAATATTGGATTAGGTATCTATTCTAAATGAAAACCCCCGTTTAGTTATTTTTTTCATTTTAGTTTCTGGAAGTCAGTTTTTTTTAAGTTTTTATTTTTCCATTTTTAGTGTAGACGTAATAAGTCGGTAATTTTTAAGAAGAAAGTTTTTTAATATCATATTCGATTAAAGAATTTAGTTAAAAAAATATATTGATTGTTGATTTTTTTTAAAACCATTCAACCAATTTCGATAAAATTTACTCGTATATGGAACCACCTGGGAAGTATACCCTTTGAAACGAAAAGAAATCCAAATCTGTTCAGGCGTCTTCGAGTAATCGGTGAACATACATCAAAAAAGATTGAATTGAGAACCTCCTCCTTTTTGGTAGTCAGTTAAAAATAAAATATACATAAAATAACCATATTTTACAATTTTCGTATCCAATTATACTGCGATCTGGCAGTCCTGCTTACAACACAATTTGGTTACAGCATTAGAGCTGACGTCTTTCGAACGAGAGCCTCCCGTGGATCACCTCGAGAAGGAGAGGCTGAAACGTCTTCGAGTAGCCACTTAAGGGACCTGTCCTACATTTTAAGAAAAGTATACTTATTTTTTGTCAAAATCTCATGTACATTGTTGAATATCAAAGACTATTTCCTTCTTGGATGATATTTTTATCCAGACTAGTTCTCGTGGTTTTAAATATTTACTAGTTTACCTAACATAATGTAATATATACAGAGAATATCGTCAAAATTATGCAATGTGAGTCCCATTCTACTCGTATAATCAAAATAGAACTTATCTCTTCATAGTGTCATTTGAAAAGTGCTTTGAGGACTTTATTTACATACTCTTCTCTACAGTATCATTAATCATAATTTAATAAAATATTTTTTTTAAAACCCTTACATATGATTGCACACTAACATATTAAAATATTTTATGAATACAAAAAAAACACTGTAAAAGTTTTTTGACTACCCATAAAAGCACTTTTTGACTGGCATGCACATTTTTAAATATTTTAACTAGTCGCTTTCCGTATGTACAATTACTGATTTTGTTTGGTGTTTGCATGAAGTGCATCCTATTGGTACGGCCCGTATATTTTTTTTTTTGTAGTTCTTTTTTTAGTTCTTTTTTTTTATGAGTAGTACCTAAGGAATAGACTAAAAGGTAAATATCTCACAGTTTAGCATGAAATAGGATATGATCCTAAACCTGTGACTTTTAAACAAATACTATAATATAGCTGTTTAAATATATTATAATTATTCATTAAGTAACTAAATCTAAATACTCATTCTACATAATGAAAAAGCATCTAAGACGAGTACAAAAAATAAAGAAAAACATCAGCACATAAAATTTCTCCCCGCTTGAAGATACTAGATATCTGTATGTAGAGAGAATGAAAAATGAATGATTATTATGTTTAGTACTTTTTAAGAAATTAGCAATGAATGAAATAAAATTAAAAGTTTAAATTTCGTTTATACGAGTATATGATTAAACAAAAAAAGATATACATATTTTGAATTATACATACATATATTTTAATTTCGGTTTTAAAACCAGTAAGGGATGAAGTGATATCGCTCCATTCTTGAACTGGAAAAATATCACATATATTATCAAAATAATAAAAAAATTAAAGTCTATAATTGGATCCGTACATAATATTCATAAAATATAATACCGTTTTAAAATTTTAAACATAAAGTTAAGAGAATATGGAGAGTTCTTAGTTTTCTCTTTCAGGGTATATTCGGATTATAATATGGTTTTTTCATTGTCTATAAAAGTTACAAAACTGTTTCTTGAGATTATTATACATATTATATTCAAAGTGAAATCTCTATTTATAAATGAATCTATTATAGCTATCTTACAAACAAAAATAGAATTTTCGTGTGTCTGTCAGTCAGCAGTTAGCACAATATTAATATTGAAAACAAATTTATTAAAATTATTACAGTATCAAAATATGCTATTTCGAAACTTTCATATATTATATTTATATGTCCATAGCTCTAGTAGTGTAATCTTTGTTATGCATGCGTTTATCAATCGAATGTTTATTAAAGAATTAAGCTGAGTTGGACGGTTACGAATGTTCGCTGTAAATAATAAAATATATTAATTAAATTAGTTATTTTGTGTTCAGATAGTGACAAATAAAACTTTTTTATTTATTCTATCTATGGCTCGTTCCACAAATGACATCCCGAAATATTAGATCGAATAAGAGTTGTAATAAAGTTTACTGTATATTTTGCTTATTTCTATCGTAACAGTCCATCTCTAACGTTAATTATATCGACTTTTAGAGGCCATCTCGATAATCCAAGTTCCTCCACACATCAGTATTTATAGAGACATTATTATCATTTAAGAATCTCAAAATTAATTTATAATATACGTATTTACTGTTACTTTGATCTCAATAAGGTTTAAAAATCGTCCGTTGAATGTCTCGAGATTGTAGCGCTTGTTGTGATTAATTTATAACTTTGGTGAATATTGCTTGCTGCGGATACATGGGTACACATCCCTACGGAGACAAAGCCTCATGCGACCGCTGAACTTAATAGACACACTACCACATACTGCCGTCTTAATAAAGAAGGCCCTAACTAACAATTTGGTCGAAAATGACTTAAATGCAGGTTCGGAATCAACAAAAAAAATGCTACTTGATAATCTTACACATAAAGCTGTAAGTCTTATGATTCCGGAGATACCATAACCATTTTCATCGTAACTATATACACTACCGTCCAAAAGTTTGGAAACAACAAGGTAAAATCAAATAAAACGAAAGAAAGCCATCTAAATATATTTGTATTTATATAAAATCAAAAATTCAATAAAAACTAACTTAAACAATATAAAATTTTTACATAGAATATGAAAATTAAATTTTAGTTTCATCCAAGTATCTACCTTTTTCTTTTATTGTCTTGTCGCTTATTCTAGGCATTCTATTAATTATTTTTTTACAATAATTATCATCGAACTTGTTTTATTCGCTGTCTAATCGTTCCCACAAATGTTCTGAGCTCGTAGGAGATCAATTTTTCATCCTTCTATCGAGTTTATCCCAAACAAGTTCAATGGGACAAAGATCAGGCACACTAACCTACTACTAAGTACTAAGACTAAACTTCAAATATATCTAAATTAACTTTGACGAAGTTGCTTCCTTCTTATTTATGACGGCAGCGTAGCCGGCGGTGTGCGCTTGGCGTAACTATTGACGGCTGTCGACAGTTGGAACCGGAGAAAACCGGTTTTGTCAACGGGCAGCACACCGCTGGGTGATGTATGTATGTAACGGTGCCCGGTTTTATTAACCGAATTCAAAAAGGAGGAGGTTCTCAATTCGATTGATATTCTTTTTATGTATGCACACTGATTACGCTGAGTTTAATGCGGAATAATTGCCATTTGGTCCCATAAAAATTTAACATAGTTTGGCCCAGTAGTTTTCATTTTATGAACATTTTTGAAGCTTTGTCTCTGTAGGGATACTCACTCGTGTGTTTTGTGTGTGTGTGTGTGCGGTGTATTTTTACAATGTACTTAATTCTCATTATTTTATAAGTAAAAGTAACCATACTGTTTTATACGTGGCGGCTATAACATAGTGATACAAGTTACAACCTTTACATACGTTGAGCTTGTTGCACTCTTATTTATTGATACAATCGTTTATACCTTATTAGTATTACTTGTCGTGTTCGTGATCCTAAATCCTATTTATTTAAAAAAAAAATTTCGTTGATCGAAAGGTGCCAATACAATATTGCATTTAAAACTATTTTTCTATATTGAAGTATTATGCAGTATTAATTATAATTGTTGTGTGTTCAGAATAATATTAAATCCTTTCGTTCAATATTTTCATACAATTTTTTTGTATTTTGAACATCATTTATTCGGATATCGGATCATTATATATCGGAATATTTTCGTCAAAAATATATGTTTTAAGAATATGACTAAACTGATATTACAACCTTCATTATAAAATATTAATGCTCATTTCTAATTTATTTTAATATGTATTTGTATGAAGTAACTTACTGTTATCTTTCGAAAGTCTACTTCTTTGCAATGATTCGATGTCTTTTCTATTTATAGAAAGTGTTGTGAGTTATTCTTGAAACCTTTGTGTGCTTGAAAACATGAATATGTTCACAAAATTGTATTCAGCCCTTTTTAAAGTCCCACTGCTGGGTGTGGGCCTCCCTTCAGTACGAGGGGGATAAGGTCGTAGTCCACCACGCTGGCCGAGTGCGGTTTGGCGGACAAAATATTATAAGCTAAATAATTTTTAAGAAGTTGCTGCAAGTTCGCTTACTCGGTGTATTCATTCATGTAGGTGTAAGAAAATACCGTTTTTATTTTCAAATCAGCCTTGGCTAAGAAACAAATTATTGATTGAAATATTTTTTTATCTTCAACGTAATTTATATGTATAAGGAAAGAATTGATTGCCATTTTAGAAGTATTAGTAAACATTAATTTAGCCACGTAATTAATTATGTTAAGCTATTTCGTATTAAAGGTTCTTTTTTTTTAATTGGACACGTAAAATATGGCTTTTATTATTATGCTATCATCGAGCCTGGATGCCCACCAAGTTGTACAGGTACTTAAGGTTTTGCCTAGATAAGTATTTATAATTTATTTTAGTATTTAAAAATATAATAGGTCCATTGCTTATAAAACTTTGTTGTGAATACATAAATAGCCCTGAAATTTGAAGGAAAATATAACTATGTTGTCTTAATGACGTGTACACATGAATTGCATTTGTATTCAAAAAATCGTTAGTCGTTATTTTAACGTGCAAACTAATTTTTTGTATGTAATTGTTTTACATGGCGTGAGATTTTATATTTCATTTACACATTCGACGACACGTTTAGCTCAGTTTGTAGTGATCCTACTCGCTGTGCCAGCGGTCGCGGGTTCGAGTCCCGCTGGGGGCATTCATTTGTGTGATGAACACGAATGTTTGTACTCCAGTCATGGGTGTTTATATTTATAATATGTATGTATTTAAAGTTATATATGTGTAGTGTATCAATTATCTGGTATCCATAACACAAGCCTACGAGGCTTGCCTGCCATGGAACTAGATGGTGGTGTGTGTTAATGTCCTAACATATTTATTTATTATTTATTTATTACATATCCAAAGCACAAAAGTAAGCAATATGTAATTTCAAAATATTGAATTGAGAAATATTGATCTTAGTTGATTTTTTTAAATAAATCTGGATGCTATTTTTGTATAATATTACTAATAAAAGGCAGTTGTAGATTTTATATTTTATTTAAAACACTACTAATACATCTATATACAAGAAATATCAATTCAAAATCTCAGATTAGTTTAATTTTAAAGTTTATCGAAATGATACATTCCATAATTAGACTGATTTTTTAATGTTATATAGTCAAGGGTTTAAATTTATTCACGGAACAAAATACGTCTCTCTGTTTTATGTACAGGTAGGATTTTATTAAGTAACTTATGGATTAATTATATATTTGTGAGGTCAAATTTTATGTCCGATAAGTTTTTAACTCGACGTTAATTATGTTAATGAAGAAGATTTGGTGTCGATATTAGGTTTTTTTTGAGCGCCCATAATGTGTGAATGTGATTATGATTAGAGATGTGTTCAGATAAAATTTCCATTTATTTTACAAATATATTTGTCTCTGAATGTTTTTATTTGCGCGCACTCGAATTTAGGCGATGTTGTTAGTACCAGTATGCTTTAAATGACATATTTTCTATAAACATTATTATATAAAAGATGTACTTAAGATACAAAAATACATATATATTTTATGTTACTTTTATTAATTTAAAATGTAAACCCATTTCTGAACATCACTAACATCCTTGACCCCAAAGACAGCCCATACAAAAAAATACGTAGAAGACGGTTTTTCTAGTACAAGTATATACATATTCCAATATATTGACTTGAATGGTAGAGCTTATCGTTAATGTGTATCAATGAATTAGATTGAAAATCGTGTTGTAACATATTGTGGTAGTTACTTATGACCCGTAGTAATACTTATCTACGTCACACCATCACATGCTATTATAACAAATAAGCATGATATGCTTTCACAAACTTAGAGACAAGACTGTACAAGTGTGAGTCGTCATGTGAATGTTTAAAATAATTTAGATTGATCTCAGAAACTTAAAGTGGAAATGGTTTTTTATTTCTTTTAAATAATTTATTGTTGCAATGTGTTAGATGCCAATAATAATGTTTTGCCCATAGCGATCTGAAATCTAAATTGGAAAGTGGTAATTCCACTTGTTTCTATTAGTAATACAAGAGTTATAGAATAGATATAACGTACCTTCCTATTGCAGGCAATGAGGTAAATGATATTTTTCAGTTTGTTTTAGAAATTTGTATAAGTACATACATATACTCGTCACTTTGGGGAATATTGTGAATGTGTTTTTTTAAAATCTGTTCGTGTTCATAGTTGATAATAAATAAATGTCTTTTATTTACACGCTGGTAACATTCCTTTTAATCTTTGAATATTTATTGATATAAAAATATTAAAAATAATGGATTTTATACGAAAAGGCACAGTTGGAAAATTGTATCTATTTTCTCACTTGAATTTAGTACAGCGTCTACAATAATTATGGTGTGTCTTATATGCAGGCTTACAGTTATTGTCCTATTTACTTGGGTTTATATATTTTAAAGAAACGTATTACTTGTATTGTAAGGTACCTTTGTTGAAAATATTTCTTGTGTTTTTGTATACATATTATATGCAAATTAAAAATTATATCAAAGAAAGACTCATTTTACGCGTTCCTTAAATGTAATGTATTACACAAATGAAATGTTAATTAGAGAGCCACTATTTAATTAGATACTTAAGAGATTTTGTAAAAGAGTGTTCTTTAAAATAAATACAAAATGGCACGCGAAAATAATATCTATTATGTGTCACTATTCTCATGTCGATGTGATGATTACATATTTGAAACAATATATGAATGTACTTAAATTATATCAATAAATTGTATTAATTCTATAATGTTTTATTTTTCCTGTATTTGCTTTACTTATGTACGAGTATTAGATGGTTGGGCAGTACGTACGCCAGAATCTGTTAAAAGTACAATATATTAATAAATGAAAGTTTATAATATAATTAAAGAAAAAACCTTTATTATCAGAAGAAAATGTTTTAGGAAATTATTTTAGAGTTTAGATACCAAATTTTAAACTATATTTTTGTTTTATAAAGTTCAGATTAGGCAGTATGTATTTTGAGAAGTCCTTATTTATCATCTTGTGTATTTTGTCATTTTAAATTACTCGAGTACCTATAGTAATAATCAATCTGAAAGCTCTTAAAAAGATGTAAGTAGATAAAATGAAACATTGATCAATGGAAATAAAATATAGTTCTTTAAGATTATATTTCACTTACTTTTTAGTAAAGTTTTTGCGATTTGGCCCTCAATTCAGTCAAATATTACTGGAAGCATTTTAACACTCATCAGATACATATGAACCTTTACCTTTATTTAGATGTATCTAATATCAGATGAACATTTTTTTTAAAACAAGTTACGACTACTAATGCAATACTTAAAGCTCTATGTATGTACTTAATCATTAAAATGTTTTACAAATACTAAATCTATATAATATGTTAAATACTACGGTATGACTACGATTTAGGAATAGTTTAATAACAATGAAATTTCACGTAGATATGTTAGCACCTAATCGGCGTGCCGTCAGGGTTAGTAGGCATCTTCGGCTTGCAGACTTTCTTCCTACCCTCTGCGCTGCTCACCATCGTGCAAGTAAATGTGAAATATCCACAGGAAGATGACTTAGTGTAATAAGTGTGCGAGTATTGTTTGCGAATGTTGTTGTCGCTGTCAAGGTCACGTGTGACAGATTTAGAAACTGACACATATTTATTTTCATTCTCCTTCGGACTTTGTAGTGACCTTAAATTTTTTGGTTTTACATATTTTCCATAAGATGAAGGATGGTTATACTTCACCTTACCGGTCCCTGGTGTTAACGTTACGGTTTGCGCTTGTGATGGAGAATCTTTAGAACCTACGACGTAGGTCTTATCTTTAGATGCTACTGACTTAACGCTACCTGTGAATCCAACCGGTATTGTATACCCACCAGTGCCGGGAACGCGTTCGCCTGGTTGATACACTTTACTTTCGTCGGGGCGTTCGGTATCTCTCTGAATTATTTCAGCGTTATGATTCTTCAATGAACCCAATACAATATGTTGAGTATTACCACCAGTAGTTTGTTGAACATCAATTTCTTTCCTACCAGGGCTTTGAAGATACTGATGTGTTTGTGAATCTCTTGTATATTCGTCATAATTTGAATATTCGGCTTGCTCTACGTCATTTGCTTCATTGGCGTCACCATCAAAACCAACATCTGAATCGTACACAGGCTGATTATCGTCTCTGTCTGTAGTGAATTCATAGTCTGGAATAGTTGGAAAATTGGTTTGAAAAGATCTCCTACTGCCCGATAGTGTAGGTCCGTTTAGATTAGTTGTATTGGAACCTTCCGCGACGTGATGATCTAAGTGGCTGTGTTCAGAATATCTGCTTTCAGAATTTGTCATTGCTTCGTCCAATCTATTTTCTGTAGTAGGAGTTTGATAATCGTCTTTCTTATTTAAAACATCAGGTAATATTGAAGTTGAAGTTATTGACGGTGGCGGTTCTGTAATTAAAGGTTGAGGTAATTCTGTTGCCTCATCCACGGTTAATTTATCCACGTTGATATTTTTATTTTTTGCGTCATAAACGTCTATTTTTTCAAAGGAAAGTCTATTTGGAAATATAGCATCTTTGTCTAAACTAGCTCCAGATTGTGCGGCTCCATTATATGATATACCATATTTAAAAGTCCCGTGAAGCTGCGATTGAGATTGACCAGTACGGCCACTCGATTGCGCGGAGGCCACGCCACCACCTATAAATGGAAGTTTTTGAAGATCATGTGTATTTTTTTCTTCATCTTTATAAGGTGTAAACCCTATTTGTGCTTGAGAGGATGTACTGCCTGGTCCTCGTGCTTGTGCATCAGCCATGCCCCCTTTAACACTACCTTGAACCTGAGAGTTTGAGGAATGCATTATGCCATTACTTAGGGATTGTGTTTGAATTGAACCTGTTTCAGAACCAAGCTGAACGTTAGCTTGTGATTTGTTATTTCTTCCGCTTCCTGCAGCTGAACTAGAGGCACCTTTTTTCCCTCCATTAACTTCACTTTGAGCTTCTTTATTTTCACCAATAATTTGAGCTTGGGCTTGGAATGATCCACTTCCCGTGTAAGTACCTTGTACGTTAGTTTGTGCTCGACCTTTGTCATTGCCACCTTTAGAAGAAGCACTAGCTGTAGTTCCATTTATGTTTTGAGCAACACTAGCTTCAGCTTCTGAATCATCTCCATCGGCTATTACTGAATTGGGATCAACGTAATTTTGCGGAACACCTAAAAAAATAAAAATATAGATTTAATTAACGTTTTATATATTTTCAAAAGCTATTTCGACTTTTAAACAAATGTGTCATGAGTGCAAGTTTTCGAAAAATTTTGTGTAATATAAATCAATATAATGAGTAAACGTGATATTTACAGTTCAAATGTTAAATGTGTGTGTATTCAGCCTTTTTTTTAAGGTCCCACTGCTGGGCACGGGCCTCCCTTCAATACGAGGGGATCAGGCCATAGTCCACCACGCTGGCTCAGTGCGGGTTGGCGGACAAAATATTAATAATATTAAAAATGGAAATATTTAATTTTAAATCTAACAAAAACGTAAAAACCTACAGTATTTGTCGGTACAGAATCCTCGGTGCGCGAGAAAGACCTACAATTACTGTCGAATTTTTAAAATATAGTCCTATTTTTAATGATACTCTTTTGTGAATTGTTTTGGCAACAAAACATATTCTAATATAATAGAAACAAAAAGCATATATTTTTTTTGTAGTTTGAACACAGATGAAGCCGGCGACGATAAACAACAAAAGAACAGCGAAAAAGAAATCAGGCAAATCGGTCGAAATGTTCCTAAGTGATGCTTTGTCATATATGTGGCAATTTACTTTTCTATATATATGTATGTATGTAGATAGACTAGTGAGTAGTGACTCGTCCTTGCTTCGATCGGGTTCGTCCCTAGCTTGATTCCCAATACAAACTTTCATCCTCAGTTTCACCTCCTTAGGGAATGATTTCCGGGATAAAAAGTAAGCAATGTCCTTCCCAGGGTCTCAAACTATCTTATCAAATTTCATCTAAATTCAGTAGATCCAAAGATTACCTCCTATAACGTCACAAACACACAAACTTTACCTCTTTATAACATTAGTATAGATAAGGAAAGACAAAACCAGTTCAGTGCCTTTTTCTCCTTTGTTTGTCAACGAATTTTTTTATTGTTCATTAGGTATTAACAAGCTTTAGTGTAAACAATAAAAAACTGCAAACTGTTAGTTAACGAAATCGAGTACGTTAAAAAAACGCACACTGGTAAGAAAAGTGCACATTCTTGAGAATTCAAGAACAAGAACACCATTTCTTAAGGAGGAAGATTTTTAAACTTTAATTTTATTTTATACGCTGTAGTTGTAAATGTGTAGTACATGATCATTTATACATACGAGTAGGTATAATAAAATTCTGAGTCTAATCTGACCATTAAATATTTTTTGGAAAATCTTATTGAAATAGTCATTATTATCGATACAGAGGCTGAATCTATAGTTTTTAGAATTTTTGTATTGTCTGTCTGGGAACGCATCACAAGAAACCCACTGGATGGATTTTTATTAAATTTTGTATGGTGATAGCAGTTGGTCCGGGTCAACATTTAAGATACTTTGTATTTTTTCATCCCTGAGGAATCTAGGTATACTAAGCGTTTAAACGTCCTTAGGAATGAACCCGAGCGGAGCAAGGGTGAGTCGCTAGTTGATATATATAACTACTAAAATAAGTATCATCAATCAGATACAATGTATTCTGTATAGAGTTTGCAATTAAATATGTAAATACTTACTATTATATTCAGTATTTTGTCCACTTGGCGCCTGTAATAAAAATGATGTAATGATTAGGAATACTGAGAATGAGTGCGATAAATATTAAAAATAAATAGTAGATGAACTTACTCCATAATTTCCTGGTCCATATTGTCCTGAATTTCCAGTATGACCTCCACCACTATCTGGCCCATATGGGCTTCCAGGACCTGTCGTTCCACTTAAACTATCTGGCGTCCTCGGTGCATATTGACTGTCGGAACCTGAACCATACTGTCCACCATTTCCTATTGTGCCACCCGGCCTATAACGCCCATCAGGTGCTCCAGAAACGCCTGAACTTCCTGGACTATATTGTCCCGTATTTTCAGCAACACCAGGCGCATAGGAGCCATCAGTACTTCCTGGTGCATATCGTCCTCCAACGGCACCTGGCGAATATTGCCCACCAGCGCCACCTGGTAAGTATTGCACTGCAGAGCCACCTGGTCCATATTGACCTCCAGGACCTAAAGTACTGCCTGAACTACCTGGTCCATATTGCCCATTAGGTCCTATTGGAGTATTTGAACTTCCCGGCCCATATCGTCCAGCAGTTTCAATAGTTCCTTGACCAACACTTGGCGTATATTGCCCTCCAGGAGTACTTGGTGTATACAGTCCTCCAGCACCACCAGGCATATACTGTGTTCCAGTACCACCTGGCGAAAATTGCGCTCCTGCACCACCTGGCGTATATTGTCCTCCAGGACCTACAGAACTCCCTGGACTACCTTGCCCATATTGTCCGCCAGGTCCTGCTGGACCACCTGATGTTACTGATCCATATGGTCCCACATTGTTTATAGGCCGTCCAGCGGTACCTGGTCCATATTGATCTCCAGAAACTGGAGGACTCCCTATAGTACCTGATCCATATTGCATTCCAGTCCCAGGAGAGCCACCAGCACTCGTGGGCTCATATGGTCTTCCAGGCCCAACAGGACCGCCAGAAGTACCTGGTATGTATTGTATACCAGTCCCTGGTGACCCACTAGTAATACTTGACCCGTATTGTCCTGCAGGTCCTGTAGAACCACCCGTACCACCTGGTCCATATTGTGATCCAACTCCAGTAGGTCCTCTAGAACCTCCCGTATCGTACTGCCCTCCAGGTACTGTGGTACTACCTGGTCCATATTTAAGCACTGTTCCCGCTCCAGGCTCTCCATTAACACCTGACCCATAGTGGGCCCCGGGTATAACAGGACTACCTGAGCTACCTGGTCCATATTGTACTGCAGTTCCAGAAGGCCCTGCAATGCTACCTGGTACATATTGCCCTCCAGGAACAATAGACGTGCCGGGACTACCTGGTCCATATCGTAATCCAGTTTCAGCAGGGCTACCTATGCCACCTTGTCCATATTGACCTACAGGTCCACTTGAACTACCTGGGCTGTACCCAGTCGTACCAGTATTGCTTGGTCTATATTGTACCTCAGGCGAATGTAATATATCCGGCGATTGGTATTGGCCACCAGGTACAGATACTCCTCCAACACCACTTGTTCCGTACGGGCTTATACCAGCTCCGTAATTACCTCCAGTCGTTGGAAAACTTCCAGCGCCACCGGGTGCTTGCGGTATATTTGTTCCTACGTTACTATTGGGACCAAATTGAGTGCCTATATTACCTGGTGCATATTGTGTTCCAGTACTATCTGGCCCATATTTTCCAATAGGTCCATAAGATGGAGCTCTATTGCCTGGTCCATATCCATTAGCGCCATATTGTCCACTTGGAGTCATTAAATTATTTGGGCCCGCAGAAGAAACATATGGTATATTTGAACTTTGTCCTGAAGTTAGTGGTATTTTATCAGAACTATAAATATTATTAGGATACAAATTTCCATTTGGTGCGTTATTTGGAACTATACAACAATACACATTACTGCCCCCAGGACCTGGATATGGACCATTTGCTACTGACCAATGTGGTAAACCTGCTTCCCTTTGATTAAAGCCACTTTCTGGCACATAAGGCCTGGAACCGTCTTCAGGAATCCGTGATCCTGGTAAATAACCAGAATTAGTTTGGGACGTGCTTGGTTTACTAATACCCCCTACGGAATCTCTTTCATTATTAGAATTTGGCCCCACATTACCGAAATTACCAACACCATTTTGAGGTCTAAAGTCGTTTCCAAATCCAGGTACAATATTTCCTGGCTGATCACTGTATTTGTTTACATTATAACCAGGTATGTAATTATTATTTCCACTTTCTTGGGGTCTATAATTGTTGAATTGTGTACCAACTATGTTAGTTGGATCGCGTTTGCCATTGTTTGTATTACCTAATACTGTATTTTGATTGCCATAACTTCCAGGTCCTAAGTTTGTACCTGGTTTAAAATTTTCCATTGCTATATTATTTGGAGCATATGTTTGTCTCTGGCCATTAGGGCCCGGTTCAAATCCCACTGGAATTCCAGTTTGTCCAAAATCTCTATTGCTTGTAGTATCTACTGGGTCATACTTCCCATTTATAGGACTAAAGCCATTGCCTCCTTGGGTTCCAATAGGTTGATAAGCAGTTCCACTTGGATAATTGGTTGAACCGTAAGCTCCATTTGGGGTACTTGGTCTATATTTGCTGTCTCCTTTTGTTCCTGGTCCGACTGGTCCCGGTCCCGCTGCTCCTAGCCCAACTCCTCCTGGTCTGATTGCTCCTATACTCTGAGGTCCATACATTTCATTTCCATTCCCTTTTGAGTCTGGTGTTAATTGCCCTGATGTAGGACTATAAGAGGATCCATAATGGTCGGGGCTAGTTTGAGTATAACTTTTGTCAGGAAGACGGTTGGGCCCACCACGTTCTAGCCAGGCCGAATCCACACTTGGACCGTATTGATTTTTAGGTTTAAATCCAGAAGGACGCTTAAGATTTTCAATTTCTTGATTTGTTTTACCATTACAGTCATCACAGTTGGGATCATATATAGACTGGCTTTGCGCTTGACCCATGCCGCTGTTTCCACCTTAAAAATAACATTGTAAAATAAAATTATAATTATTATGTGTAATTTTTGACATTAAGATGTAAACTATCACTTTCTATATTTATATGCTACTAGCAGAACCCGCGGCTACGCCCGTGTTCAATCTTCTAGAAAAAACTCTTTGGCTTATATTATACAGTGAAACTTACCCTCGCTTCGGTCGGGTTTGTCGCTATGTATTTATATAATGTTGTTCATACAAAAGTGCTAAAATCACGATTAAAAAATAGGGCGTGGGAAAAATGTTGCAGGGTGAAAAAAATCTTTACGACCTATTCTCATACCTACAAAATATACAAAAAAATCATTAAAATCGGTCGAGCCGTTTCGGAGGAGTGCGACCACAAACACTGTGACACGAGATATTTATATATTAGAATGCCGACAACTTTGTCCATTTGTTATTTCTGTTATTTGTTTCTATTCAATCTCCTAATCGTTAGATGAAATAAAGTTATGTGTATGTTTAGTGGAGTTTCCTATTCAAAATTGTCATCCATTTAATTCCATCAATATTATAAATGTGAAAGTTTGGATGTTTGGATGTTTGTTACTTTATCACGGATCTGTATGAAATTTTGGCACAGAGATAGATTATAGTCTGGAATAGCACAGGTCAGTTTTCATCCCAGAAAAATGTAAGATCCCTGTGGGATAAATTTGATTTTGTTTTAAACAGAGCAAGGGGTTGACTATCTATTCCATACTAACCGGTAAAATGTACCTACATATGGACGAAACCTACCTCAACGAAGCGAGGGTGAGTCGCTAGTATCCTTATAATTTCGTCATACATTTTTAGTAGTGGTGAAAAAAGAGTGAATCTTTGGAGAACTCTTTAAAAATGAGATTAATATTTTAAAGCAACTATTTTATTTTTATCTCCCTCAATGCGATTATCTTATTATATGACTAATGAAACATTCTAATAAACTTACTGACGCTTGCTCTCGAGGAATCTGCAGCAGAATGGGCTTCAGCTTTGCCTTCATCTTTTCCATTGCCACGATCTATTGCTAAATATTGCGATTGCGTTTGCCCTCTATACCTTCCTCGTGGTATAAAACTTTGCCGTCTTACTCTTATTACTCTTTCTAACTCGTTTGCAACTTTTGTCCAATCAATAAACTGTCCTACATTAATTAATTTGTCACAATACATTGTTGTTGTTGATATTTTTTCAGATTTCTGAATCTGCAAGGGAAAAAATATTTTTGTAACAGAAACCAAATACATAATAAGTCAGTAGTTAACAGCAGTAGACTTACGCACATGAATATCAATTACCTTGACACCAATATAAAGTTATATTTTTATAAAAGTTTAGTTAACGACATAGGTCAAGGAAACGAGATAGGCTCTTGACAAAATTAGCTTAACAAACAAATTCTATTGTGACAGAAAAAGTATGATTTATGAATGCTTACGAGTAATATCAAAAGATTTTGTAGACTTTTCAGAGCACATAGGTGTCTATTTAAAAAACATGTTATGTGTTAACGTACTTAGAAAAGTAAACATAGGTTTTCAAAAAAACCGTTTGATGAAGGGTTGAAAACTTACTGTTAATGTAATGCACGGATTGCACGGATGGATAATGTTTTAGTATTTCATTCGCTCCTTTACTTCTATTGGCTTCTAAGCTAGCGTATTTTATTTTAGGTCAATCACTTTAAAAGATGATTGATATCTTAATCGGACTGACATATTTTACTGTTAATAAAACAGATAACCCCTACAGTATGCCTGTATTTCGGCATACGTTATCTTACTTTAATTTGTAAATTACAATAAAATAAGAAAATTGTCAGTGTCTCCATAATGTTACATCAATTCATGGATACAATTATATACGAATAGTGCATAAATCTAGACATAAAACTAACGGGAGACCTACTAACGGGAGTACCTATACTATTAAATGAATAGTAGTATAGTGGAGCATAGTTTCCTCCTTAAGTTATTGGTAGTCAAAATATTGAATTATATTACCGTTATCAGTTAATAAAATCAAAATGTATTAATAATTGGTTTCTTTAATGTGAGTTTCTCTGTAAACTGGGCAACTCCCTGTCTCATATAGATATTACATACAACTATCATAACATTTGAATGAATTATAAGAGGATTTCCTAAACTATCTGTGCATAGTGCACAATATCCATATAAATTAATTTTCTTATATTAAAAAGGTTTCTGAAGTGTTTAAAAATCAGTCCCCTGATATGTCACAAATGCGGCATTTTACTTTAAGGTCGATTAATTAATAAAAAAATTATATGTTTATATTTCATGTTTGTAAAAAATTAAAAAAGTAAATGGAATTCGGTCTCAGCATTGTGAGAACACTCCACCTGTCCAAATTTTGAATTTTACAGCCAGTAATTTCGTTAATAAGTGAAATACGAGGTAAACGACCTTATGTTGCCCCTGCCTATGTTGCCTTATGTTGCTCCGCTCGCGCTAAAACTACAAAAAACCTCTTAAAAGGGAGGTTTTATGTAAACTTTTATCTCATATTTTACCAACTTATGGAATGAATTTCGAAAAATGCTAAAACGCGTATTTATTTAATTGTATTGAAGAGCATTAATATCAAGTTTCAAGTAACTAATTCTGGTAATAAATATTTTTTTGCATTGTATTATAACATGTTTTTCCATGGGAATGAGATAATCTCCCGCGGTAAAAAGTCTATATCTAGCCTATGCCACTCTCCCGCAAAAAATCACGCCAATCCGTCACTCTGTTTCGACGTGAAAGAAGGACAATCAGAAGAATAAAGCTCTTAAAGGACGACATTTTACGACGGAAATGAAACCCCAAACTTGTTAACAATATAAGTCCACGAGTGTACTGAGAAGCAAAAAAAGTGGAAGAAATGCTGCAGCAAATACATTTAGTTGAGTTTAAGGAAATGTAAATCTCTCTTATTATTTTTTTGGAAAAAGCTCATTATTTTCTATAGCAGTGGAAATATTTTTGATTCTTCTGCTTTTTATCATTAACTATGTACATATTTATTCGCTCAATAACTTTTTTTCAAAATATAAGCATTAAAGTTGCCTGGACACTTGTTACAAAAGTTGCCCACTTTACAGAGAATCATCCCCATTTACCGTTTAGTTATGCATCTATGCATATTATAAAGAGGCAGAGTTTGTTTGTTTGTTTGAACGCGCTAAACTTAGGAACTACTAATCCGTTTTGAAAAATTCTAATTAAATTCTCTCCGTTTTAAAAAATTTGCATTAGATAACCCGTTTATTGACGAATGTTTTAGGCTATCCGCTATATAACATCATGCTACTACTCAAGGGAGCGGAGCAGTAATATAATGTATTGTCTATCTATTGCATACTAGCCGTTAAAACGTTACTAGGGTCGAACCCGAGCGAAGTGAGGGTGAGCCGCTAGAATCTTATATTTATATATTCGTATATTAGGCTTATTGAAATATCGCAATGCAATATATATAATTTTTCGCACGGCTACTATGAAAATGTTTTGCACAGCAAATATTTTCGTGGATTTTTTTTGGGTACATACTAATTAATTAAAGTTTTATCATTTACCTGGATGAATTTACTACGAGTGTGTTTAGGTTGCAGATTGCTAAATCCACAGTATACCGGAATGATCGTTGTTGATGGCATTCCGTTTTGTTGGTTTCTGTCATGTTCAACAGTCGTCCATACCAGACATATTTTAGAACTGGGTTTTCTGCAGACCAAGTGCTTCTGAAATTATAATACACTTATGTTGCACTGATTTTGCAAATTTTGCCAAATAGAAGAATTTGCAAAGTGAAATTGTACCTTTTATGGTCAGTTATTTAATTTTATTTTATTTCCATAAATTGTTATAAATGTAATAAAAAAAATTGCTTACAAAAAATTTAATAAAACCTGATTATGTAGGTGTATTAGAAATAAATTCCCAATTGCACATAAGTAACGTTTACATTACCTCAATTTGTGTAGTTGCGCATGTAAGGTAGGTTAACAATAGCGCTATAGAGAGCCGCAGAAGGCCAAGCACGCACGGGCGTCGCATGGCGGCGGTCGACAAACAAACTCTGCGGTCGACTGGCTCACCGCCCGCCATCTGACCCTCGAACCAAGATGAACTCGCAACACAAGATATACAGTTCACCCACTTTCGGCGATAGCACATGAACGCCACACTTGCGTATAAGGAAGTAGCAGATCTTGATAAGACTGTACTCGATTTGCAAATTTAGGCTGCGAGATCTCTTAATAACCCCTGCAAAATTCAACTTTACTATTGCGTCATAATAAAACATTGAGCTAAATGGGCTTTATTTTATGACGGACCTATAATAGAGCCTATATTTAAGTTTTAGCGGAAGTATATTAATTTATATAAAAAATAAAAACAAACTAAAATAATTTTATAATAATTTTAAAATAAAAGGAAGTAGAGTTATCAATTATTATTTTTTGCATAGTTAAACAAAATATCAACTCCTACAAATATTATGTATTACCAGCGTAACTACACATTTTTATCATCTTCGTTAAGAATAATCTAAAAAGAATTTGTATGTAAATTCCAATGTTTTTTTAAATCAACTACTGCTTTAGGAAAATAGTCGTTTTAAATAAAAGTCACTTTATATATATTTTTTTATTGAAAACTATAAATCAACGAGTATAAAGCTGATAAAATGGTTTCAAAAGGTACGATACGATCGTTGATTCCGATGTTTAGTAACGTGATACAATCACAAAATATGGAATTATTTTACGAAATACCTACGAGTACGTAAGTATAAATTACTATCGTTGTACAATTTAATTATTGAAATTGAGAAAATATTGCTTTATCTTGTGCATTGCTATATTAATATCACCAAATGTATAACGCAGAGTTGCTCTCCTAATCCACTACATCTAGGTGTTTTTACCCGCATTTAAATATTAAACTTTATTTTTATTTGTTGCTTACATTTAGTTGGAAAACCTTTTGGAACTTGAGCGCACTTGTTTCTTTCTAGTATTACAATCTAGTTATTTCTGAGCTAACGTTTACGTCTTTTTTTTTATACGAATGAGTAGGATATACAAATCGTTGAGAATAATAATTAGTATGAGTTTCAGCAGGGCTTTTGGTGGGACCTACGCGCCGATAGTACTCTATTGAATCTCCACAATCGCAAGCCAATCTAGTCTCTGAACCACTGCTTTCTAATTGATATTTGGGCACAACGACCAAACTTTCTGTAGATTTTGTGGGGGGACAATGACTGTGATTTCTTCCATAAACAGAGTAATGGTGGGGTGTTCCATTCTGTCTATGTGTGTGTTTCTCTTGTGTGTGATGTTGATACGAATCGTGATTGGTTTGGGCGCTGCGGCCGCCGTGGCTGCGTCCATGACTTTTAGATCTATTAGTATTCTTGACAGTGGTATCTAAGTAACCATAACCAAAACCGTAGCCACCAATTGCTTTTGTTGTTAAATTGTCCCATGACTTTGGTTTAACGTGTTGATGTGAACTTTGATATTGAATCTTTGGGGATGACTTAGCTTCGGAACGGTCGTTATCCCAGAAAAGTGTGTCGCTACTTAGAGAGGTGCTGTAACTCGAGGCAGAATTGTCGCATGGTACTGTGGCATTGCTCGTAGCATAGGACTGCAGACTACATTGGCTCGTCTGCGTTGACTCTGTAGTGAGGTATCGATATCGACTCGAGCAGTGCCCGGAGTTACAAATCTTCTTGCTATGAGGATGTGTGCAAGCATCCGGTTTTTGTGTCGATTTATCAACTTGATGGCACTTCTCTTTTCTTTTATGTTCTTTGGAACATTCTTTTTTACGACGTACCTTTTTTCTGGAATTTGGCACACAATGTGGATCACAACATGGGCTAGCCAGATCATAAGCCTCAAGACTATTTGCATCTTGATTATTATAAGTGGGCATGCATGGTGCACACCCATGACTATGGCTATTCCTATGGGTTTTTGTATGTTTTCCATTAGCTGGCTTATAAACTTCAGAAACTCGGTGGCATTCAGTGGAAGCCTTAAGAATGTAATGATGACAATCGCGTCTGTTTCTAGGCGAACCTACTGTTATAACAAATCCACCTGTGCGCAAATTGGGTTGAATAATACATGCGCCATATCTTGGATCTAAGTATTGGTACATAAATACATTAGGCTGCGGTGGTTTAGCAGCAGTTACATTTTCACTAGACAGAGTAGGCCGGCAATAAGCACTGTTAATATTATCTGTGACATTCGTTTCTTCGCTATCTGAAATAATTTCCGATGGTGATGATTTCTTTTTTTGAGAAGGTAAACTGTGCGTTTTCCAGTTTGAATCGAAGACATGTCTTTCTCGTACGGAGAGTTGCTCTAGCTCTCGCATTTTTGTCTGTAAAGTTCGTTGAATATTGATGTACTTAAGATGCAGTTCTACTTTTCTCACACAGTCTTCAAAAATTACCACGATCCGCATTCGGGAGTCACATGCATTAATGGCACCAACGATAGTGGCATGATCAGCGCGCTCTACGTCAGTGCCATTGATAGAAAGAATCACGTCTCCTTCACGCATTCCCGCTGCAGCCGCCGGACCATCTGCCTCCACGTGGTCCACGTAGGTTATTACTTCTATTTCTTGTTCCTGTAATATAAGGTAATACATATGAGTGTATCTCACATATTTTTATATTTTTTCTTACGTACGTACGTTTTAAATATATATAAATAGTTATTAGCCAGCGTTAGCCATACACATTTTAATTTTTTTTGTTAATAATATTGACAAATATTGACATTAATATTTATACGATACTAACGTCACTCAATTGCCATCAATGTTTTGCCTTCCCGGAACCTCTCCACTAACACTTAAACTTTATGTTATGGTATTAAAGTTCAAATTGACTTTTAAGTATTATAACGAATCTTTTGTATGGGAGTATAGAAAAGTGTTGTTTTTAGACTTTTTCAGGCAATTTTTTAAATTTTTCTCTCCGTAAGTACCATTCTCGTACTTCAAGGAATATTCTAAAAAAAGAATTAGCGAAATCGGTTCAGCTACTCTCGAGATTTGCGCTTACCAACACATTTAGCGGTTCATTTTTATATTATAGAATTACGTACGCAAAGCATATTGTTACTACATGATTAGTATATTATAATAACAATTGCATATGCAGTGTGCCAGTTTAATAATTCAGTCGCTTGCCTCTTTTGTTTGTACAATTAAAAAAAAAATAGTATTTATTAACTTAAAAAAGTATTTTTTACAAGGAGATATGTTGATTTTATTCAGTACATACTTTTTTATAGTGAATGCCGTAGCTTTGTAACGTAAACCCATAACTGCCATTCTTCTTTTCGACAATTATCGTACGACGTCTACAATCTTCCTCTGACTTGCCCCCGGCTCTTTCAGATTTTATCGATTCCCTTACCTATAAGAAAATTCGTATTAAGTATTAATATAGTTATGTAGTTTGGCACAAGACCCGTGTAAATTATTTACATGCATTAGTTATGTGTGTCCCTATCAAGTATTTAAATAATGCTTATTCAAATTTAGTGTGCCTTTTATAGTGAGTTATCTACTATATCTAGTCGTAGAGTTCATGGGGCGCACTACCCCTTATACATGCTAGCAGCCTCGAAAAGGTCATTGGCATTTGACATCATGGAGAATAATACTATAAAATACCGTTTTACCTATATCTTTTACCGTCCTTCTTGCCTGGTTATATGTACCGTTATACGTAGGTTACAAATTTGAATGTTTTAAACACGCAAATAACATTTATTTATTTATTTACAACGTGATTTTGTTGATGCTACATCAATAAGTATAATATGTTTTCCTGCATTTCATGTCCTAGTTCAAGGCATTATGTACTTACTGAATTATCTAGAGAATCTTCTTTCGATTCAGTGCTGAGATGTTTTTTACCGTTGCTCATGCTGCTCGAGCATCTTTCATTGAGTTTTGGTGAACTCATCCTCAGCTGGAGCCAGCACGCCCACCAGACACTTTTTTACAACGTCACAGAGAAACTCCATCGACTGATAGCAAAAAGCTTCCAATTTATAGCTTGAGCTCGTGTAATAAGGCTTTATTTGTAACGAAACGTGTCTTGTTGGTTGGGAGAGACAAATCATTAACGCGGCCACGCATGCGTTGCTTCTGGGCATGCGGTGTGAGCCTCTTTTGATAACCTTTGCTTGCACCTAACTTCTGCATATTTTTAAAAGCGACCGTATTTAAACAATTTTCTATGGAGATTTGTAAAAGATTGTTTGACTTTTTTACAAAGCCACTACAAAACAACGGACCTGCGCACTGCATCTTGTGCGCATTAGCGGTTTTAAAATAAAACGAAAATTATTATGAGCTTTTTATTATCTTTACAATTAATACAATGGCGCCCATTGCCATTATTTCTAATTAACTAAAATATAATAAATGATAAATACAAATTATTTATTTCAGATGTTTGTATAATACATTTATTATATGAGGTCTTTGTACATATTTCGTTACATAGATAATTTATTAATTAATTTTTATTACAGCTTTAAGGCGAGTGGACTAAGGTGTTAACCTTAGCATAACTTATAACCGACATATTGGGTATAGGAACGGGTATTTTGGATAAATTTTTATTGAAGGTTAGAAGGGGAGGTAATGCAATAGATTGTACACCGGCTTCGGAAGGGATAATGGCAGCTCCTTTAATTACTTCTATTGGTCTCTTAGTGGTATCGCGTTTTGATTTCTTGATATTTGTTTCCATGTCAATCGACGTGCTTGAATTTGCTGAATTCAAGATTTTTTTATTATATTAATTGTCATTTCTAGCTATTTTTGTTATATATTATACTATACATTTTTAATTAATATATTAATATTTCTAGAAAAAAAATCAACTCAAAGTAATAAAAAACATATGTATGTATTATGTACCTTGAAGATGTGGAATAGAGACGAGCTTTTTTAGTACGGTCCATGGTGTAGATTCCTTAGAAGCAGGAGCTAGTCCAACTACTTTTTCCGCAGTTATATTGGTTAGTAATGGATCGGGGATAGAACTCAAGTCACTTCCGGTACCATTATTACGGTAAATAGTGATGGCCTCTTGATGACCTCTATAAAAATATAAAATATACATTAAAAAACACAACATTTTAATCATTTTACTCTAAACACATCAGATAAATGATGTGTTGTTAGTTGGAGACGTTTATATCACCTGGCCTCCGGCTCCATCATCTCTACGGTCTCATAACAAATGTGACACAACTTGAACTGACATTTAACTTAAACGTACTATAATGTCTATTATACCAAAAGTGGTTGTAAATTCTATTATTTTTAATAAAATATATTTTTGTAACTTTATGATTAGGATCACTTAATAGTAAATATAAAATTATGAAAATATTCAAATTAATCGTATAGCAACATATGCTATTTTCTATTTCTGCTACATACAAGCTTTTATATGATACCTAATATGTAAACCTTTAACGTATATTATTTTTTTGCCTGCGGGTTAATTCATATTATTAATTTACAATAAAGGAAATACATTAAAATTACAAATATACTTAGATATATTATATATAAAACAAATGTATATAGTCCGGTCAAATTAGACATAACAATAGTGATCAAATAACAAAAACTCCGACAGAGCTGAATTTTGTAGAGTTACCAAGGGAGTACCAGTAGAAATAAAGTGCCAAAAGTCCTCATCGATCTCATGTGTGCTAAAAAAGTTATTCAAGGTCAAAGGTCAAACCCTTCGACTTTTTTTAATTTTTCTCAAAAACGGTAAGTTTTATAAAAAATATAGTCTAGACAAAAATTGTAGATCATAAATTTATCTACAAATAAAGTCGTAAACATTGGAATTTTAACTTTACTATTTTTTACTATAAGTAAATATGAGCTGTACATTAATATTTAAAATCTTAACAACAAAACAACACCAGGTTGAAAAATTTCGAAAAAGTCGTCTTGACTTTGTTTTCATCAAAATTAATTACGTTATTTATAAACAAAACACTTTTCCCTAGTCTGAATTATTTATTAAAAATATACTAAACAAAAATCTCCTTCAAGGCATTATATACAATGTTTTAATGTAACAATGTATAAATCAAAAAACTTTTTGATCGATGGTCTTAATGTAAAAAATAATTCAAAAAATATGTAGGTACCTACGTTATGATGCCAGAGCCCAGATGATCCAATTTGAACATTTTTATTGTTCATTTACAAATTTAGAAGTGTAGTATTTTAAAACTAGAGTAATAATATGTACTTACGAACTCTCTAATGCAGTTTCATTGGTCTGGTTTGTGAGAATGCCGACTTGGTAAACTGTTGCACGTACAACGTACCTGTAAACAGCTGTTTTTGAGCCAAATACAAAAATTGATACTTATGTATAATATAATAAAATTAAAGTAAGTACATAATAGTAAAGCATAATTTTTTCGCTTACATATCTTTCGGTGCTGTTAAATTCATTTTCTGTTTACCATTTTCACACTGGATTATGGCAGAAAACAATAGTACTAAGCCGAACACCTAAAACACCATTTAATATTTACGATCACGTTTAAAGGAAATTTATAAAAATCTTTATTCATATACAATTGGTAAATAAAAAATTAGAAATATTATTATTTTATGTTGGACCATATTATTGAATATCACAGTTATCGACTGAATACATATTAAGATTTGTATATAATTTGGCATAAAATCTTTAATATAACAAAATCTTACGTATAAAATTTCTACGTGGATTAGTATAGTAGAAAATATTAATACATATTTCATTGTATTTTTGTTTTACAATTTCGAAAAGAATCATGCACAATAGGAAATTAAAAATTGTCACCATGAATCGATCAGAATATTTTTAAAATTATTACCTTAATTTGAAACATAATTTTCTTGTAAATATAACCAAAGACAACAATTCGAGAGAGACAACCAAACTGACAAAGAATAGACATTTATATTATTATTTTATATAATGCATTGTCATTGTTTAAATAGATACTAGGTCTTCGTGCTAATTATGGTAATTTCTGAAGTCATGTATTGTACTGAAGTAATAAAAATGACAAGTACAACAAGTATTTTTTGTGAAAGGTCGTTAGCATGTGCGTAATACGAATATAAGATTTTTCTTCTTTTTTATTATGATTAGTTCAGTGAGTGCGGATTTTCATAGTCAATTTTAAGACTTAGGTTTTTGAATTTCCGTTATCTTCAAAAAACAATCTGTAACAATTAGGTAAAATCTTATTCAATACTTTTTATTTGCTGTCGGGATTCCACAATAAAACTCTTTACAATTTTAAAATATTGTTATGAACCAAATTACACATAATACACATTATTAACAAAGTTTAACAGAAGGAAGTTTTTAGAAAAGTATGTAAAATTTTAACTTGTCCCTCTCTTGATATAATTATTTTCTTTGCATTAGTATTTTATAAAGTGACATTTTTATATGATCTTATGACACAAGTGAATGTTATCACAAAGTGAAAGACGAGTAGATTAGTTTTCTTACAAGAGGTATCGGACATGATATAATATCACTATTTAGCAGTATCTCATCTAGTAACGATTGGGGATCTTATCGCCTGAGAATCCAAAGATTGCTTGCGTACGCGCAGTGCGATGCTGGCCGTAGCTCTGTAGAACCCGGATTAAAATAATTTTAGATTCGTTTTGATTATACATATTATAGCTTTTAAATGAAAATTATATAAAGATAGAATTATGTGCTACTTACATTAAGTAAAAATATCGAAATGGGAAAAAAAGTTATGATATTTGCCGGAGTCACGACTTTGGTAAGTAATCGAACTTTATAAACAATATTCGCCACTGTACTAAGTACTAGATTAATATGTAGAGTTTCAAATTTTTTTAGAATTATTCAAAAAAGATTCGATTTTTTATGCTGATGGTAATATCATTTATTAACAGTACTACCTTAATTAAGTACCTAGATACTATTTGTGACATATACATGGTGTATTAGATTGCTTCATGTTAATATTTTCTTGTTAATTTGTTTATATAGGGCTTATTAAATTAACAGTTCATAGCTATTAGCGCTCTACATTTAGAGATCGTTTAGTAAGTATAATACTCGTATTTTAAAATTGAAATGATTGCGAATGTATATGATTTCATACTTGACCATGCGATACATGCTTTGCGACATACAATATTTTTTTCACTATTTACTAGATGAACTTTTATGTTAAAATATAAAAAAACATTCTCAAACGCTAAATACATATGAAAGTTGGATCGTTTTTATAAGTTCGTACTCGCTTTTCGTTTGTCCATCGGTAGTTTTTTTTTTAATTTGACTGGACAAAAAGATTTGAAACTTATTTTAGTTTTAAGTTTCAACTTTATTGTCCAATCTTAAAATATATTCGATGTATTTGCATATCTTTTTCTTGTATATAAAAACTATTATTGTCGTAATAAACGATAACCGTGACATATAACAAGCAATATTAGAATTGTTATATAAAAATGGCATTAAATACCAGTGCGGAGAACTGGAGCACGAGAAATAATTCGGAGAGCGCAATTGTGTTATCAACTCATTGTCGGTTTGATATTGATAAGTGGAGATGCTGCGGTCCGTCTTGAACAGACTTGACTTTATTTGAATTATATATATGTGTTACTTTTTATTTGTGGGTTTTATGTTATTTATGACTCAATCTTTTATCTATACAGATAAATAAAATTGAAGTGTCTGTTTATAATGTCACAATAACAGCTTTTTTACTAAATGTATATGAAAGCATATACGGTACCTAGGACATGAAACTGATGACATGAAATTTGGCACACAGATAGATTATAGTCTGGAATAGCACATGTGTTACTTTTTATCCCGGAAAAATGTAAAATCCCGTCGGATAGATTTGTTTTTCTTTTTCTAGAGGCAAACTCGAGCGAAGCGAGGGTAAGCCGTATGTATATAAATAAACCATATACATACATATGTAGATACCATTAAAATTTAATATTTTTGATGAATTAAATTTTTGTATAAGTTATTACAAGTACCTATATTATATATTTGCTATAAATATTTATTTATAATTATTATTAAAATATAAACATATTGGGGAGATCATATTTTATGAAAAGTTTTTTATCGCTCGCGTCATCGCTGATGTCAGTGGGTCAGACGGATTTGAATGGGCCGGCCCATCTTATTGTTTAGTATATACTGAAACTTTAGGTTTTATTTCTAGTTTTTCTATTTTCTGATATTTTTATAGATTTTATGCCTAATAAAAAATTGTTAAGTAAGCTATTACAATATTTTTATTTCAAGTTTATTTTAAAATAATCTTTTTGTAAAAAAACTAACATTTATATTACCCAATTTTTATTGAATATAGAAAAAGGCACTTACATAAATTAAAATTCATCAAGTAGGTACTATTGAGTATGAGTATTTGATCATTTCGAAAATTGTGCCCTTTTTTATCTAATCTCGATCAAAGTATAAATAGTAAATTCGATATCAACAAATTCCCATGCTATGAGTGATCAAACTATGTACCTATTATAATAGATAATATGTTCGTGTTTCGATCCATTAATGCGGGCAAAGCCGCGAGTAAAAGTTATAAATATAAACTAACTATAATATTGTTTGTTACAGCTGCAAGCAGTGATACAAGTGATATTCAGTTCTGTGTCTCTAGCACAATATTTCTGTCTCATAGATTTTTTTCGAGAATTGCCAATCCTTCTTTTCATAAAAATATTATATTTGCACAGTGAGTACATCTGTAAATGAAATTTGTTAATTAACCAATTTGTGTGATAAATCACTAAAATTGCAAGGTTATATTTTCAGATCCAAGCCAGTGTGGCATTCGCATTAATATAGGCAATGCGATAGATGGCATGGCAAACCAGGCTTTTATATTGATGACTACAGAACCTTTAACTGTTACTCGCACATTTCTCATTAACTGTGTGAGCTTAGGTTTGGGCGCACTTTGGCTTCTCACTAGCGCCATCTTAATGAGTAAGAGTTATGTTGTATCTTTTCTCTAGCATTTATTAGAATTTATATATAAATATGAATTTTTATTCCAGCTGGTGGGGCAAAAAATAATCATTCTAAGCCAATACGGTGGCCTTGGATTATCGTGTCAGTAGCAGTATGTGCTTTAGATGTTGTTGCAACCGTCATTTTTGCTAATGACTCTTTTTATACTAGAGTAAGCTGCTTTTTAAACAATATTTACAAGCAAAGAATTTTAATACTTAAAATTTTATGTACTTTTTACACTATTATTTTCAGACTCTTAATGACATGTTAGACTATATAGGAGCAACAGGTAGTGGCACAGGCAGCATTCAACTGGACACATCATATGTGGCCTGGATAATGGTCATCCTGTACTCACGTTTTGCTTTTTTCTTTCTCTTCAATGTTCTACTTATCGTGCTCGTGATCCTTGACAGAGGTGGACACATTAAAAGTGATGTTGTCACTGTAAGATCTTTTAGTATACTTATGAAATTGTAAAATGCATCTTATAATATGATTTAAGTATAAGAATATTCCAAACAACAGGTTGAAAACGCATCCTTCTCTCAACCGCTACCTGCATTAGTTACGCAAGTTACTACCCAAGACGCTGAAGTTCAAAGTTCTCCAATAAATACTCATTCTCAAGTAACACTGCAAGATGGAACGGACTGTAACTCTGTAACAGTATCGGAACAATTAGCTACAGAGACAATGCAACAAAATCAGAGATCGATGGTAGTAAATTCATCAGCCCTTTCAAATATAACTGAAGCTTCTCGAAGTACCAGGGAAACCGAAGACGGCAGTACTAGAGAAAATGAGAGCCCAAAAATCCCGCGTGCGGGTTTTAATCGAGCCTTTCGATCATGGAAAAAATTATTATTTGCGAAGGAAACCCCAACTCCGCGGAGATTTTCTGTGACAGAGTCCCTAGATCTATCGCCTGAAAAGTAAGTATTGCTTAAATAGTTCTTAACATAGTTGCAATTATATAATACACCATTTAATAATCACAATATAAAAATAATTATCACTATAAATACCTATAAATTTTGAAATTTGAATTTTCTACAGATCGCCACGTACACATCATGTAAATGATAAAAAGCGTACAGTGAATTTTCCCGAGAATTTACTCTCTTTACCTCAAAGGTTGGAGAACATGATAGCGGAGCAACAGCGTCGTTTAGACACTGCGGTGGTAGACACAGCGGGGCGGGCTTCTCCTCCGCGTGCTACACAGTCTTTACCTCAGCTGCACAGCAATGAAACCACGCAAACTGCTATGCCAATTTTCAATAAAGAGTAAGATTTTTAATAATCGTAAAAAATATTTTAACACGCTAGCAGAACCCGCGGCTTCGCCCGCGATATAACTACGAAAAAAAACAAACTTTTTCGCAATACCTACTTTATCAGTTGCAAAAATAAGTTCGTGTAAGTTTTATTATTTCTTAAAGATATATAGAAAACAAATTTAATTTTAGCTATCGTAACTCAAAATATCTAGTATCTTCAAAAATGTAAGGCGTACATCTATTACTATACATATAATAAAACTGTAGAGGTTGAATGTCTGTACATAAAAAAAGCTAGAAACCGAGTCAGGGGGTGTAAGAAGAGATAAAGAACAAAATCCAGATTTCTTTAAATTTTTTTGTTTCTCTGTCTGTTTTTCTGTTGTCTGTTGCGGATTTAAAATTGTTCAAAATATCATTTTAATATTATTTCGTAGGTTAAATCTTAAATTATTGACTTAATCTACATGTATTTACCGAAAATAAGACATTCCGTCTGAAAATTTTTATCTTGGTGCATTATTTTTGTAACTTTTAGATACATATTGCAGCATTGTGAACGTGTCTACGCTGGCAGTGCTTCACTAGAACTAATCGAAATATACGCTCACTTTGAAAGTAAGCTTATATTTACCGAGACGGATTTCTTACGCCGACCCGATATCTAGTATCGTATTATTGTTGATCGAAGATGTACCGGATTTGTCTCCATCTATAGGGACCCCAATAATAATTCCAAGACTCGATTTTATGTACACTGAGAGCAACGGATATTATTTTACGTGCCATAGGTATACATATTATACCTACGCCATTGCCTTTTTCCTTGAGTCATTTATCTTTTAATCTACAGAAGACGTGGAACTGCAGCAGAGTTACAAGGGCAGCTGCCATGGGCATACATTCCCGCTTCAGCTCACCGTATGCGAGACCAATTACCTCCAGACGAAGATTTGCCTCCGGTACCACTCCCTGATTATACTGCTATTCCTACATTTCGTAAAGCGTGTAAGTTCTTAAAAATTGACAAGAATTCTACTATGGCAGATATGAAGAAAGAAATAATTAACATAATGTCGGCTAAACGATGTTTTTAATTGATATATATATATATATATATATATATAATAATTATTTATTTATATTATAATTATATATTTTTAAATGGGTAATTCCTTCTATTTATAAGAATTAAGCCTGCCTACTATAAACTATTTTACCACTAAGTACTATTGACATTTTTAAAGTCTCTTCCAATAATGTTTGTCGTACTTTCCATTCATATTATTTTGTAATTTTTATTTTCAGCCGTCCACCGCGCAGCATCTAGCGTGAGCTCCTTGACGCAAAAAAGAAATTATTTCATTTCTCAAAGTTCAAAGAGTTAGTTCATTGATCTTTATTATATTTTATCTGTAACAATTAAAATCTGTACTATTTAAACATAACATCATGGCAACTATTTTAAATTAAAAATAAAATTGTTTTTTCAGCCCCTCTTACACAATCGGATGTTTTGTACTAATGTGAAGGACAAGTATTTTGATATGGACCAAAGGCGCTTAGTTAAAATCAGTATTATTTCATAATTATGTACTAGTTAATTATATTTTTATAAAAATTGAAATACTTTATAAGAATTTTATGGTATTTTTTACATACGAATTTGTTCATTAATTTATAGAATGGCTCTTGAAATTTCTATGATTGGAAATTTACATTGAGACTATATCAATTGTTTAATAAAACGATATTTATAGAATTTTTATCGAGCCAATATATTGTGTTTATTATTTTTGAAATTATACTTCTTTTGGCACGTTTGGAAAAAAATATTGAGAGTAAAATTTTTACGACGCGCGCGCACACCGACAGCCAAAAAGCGACATGATGAAGGTAGCTTAAAGCAGCTTGATAAAGTTAGCTGCATTCCTTTTAAAAACAGAAAGTTGTGACATAGAGGATCAATTTCTTTAGCTACTTTTGTTCTGTTACGCTAAAGAAGTATAACTTCTTACGTGCGTACATAAGTACACATACACGGTTTTTTAATACACTGCGTTATGGCTCTATTTGAAAATATTAAAAAATACATTTGTTTTAAATACGATTATTTGGAATTTTCGTGTCTCATATGGATGAGATTTCGTAAAATTTATTACATAATAAATTAGTATACCTAAGACTTAAGATACTAAATAAGTTTATAAGTCTCTTATTACTATTTTTAATAAAAATAATTAAAAAAAAGTTTTTGTTTTTATTTTTATGACAATACTTCTAAGAAATTGGTAATTTATTCAATTGGATATGTATATATAATACTTATTTGCTTTTTATTTTCATGAGCTTGTTTTACTCGATACGACTCCAATCAAGATTAATTTTATAAACTGTCTCCAAAATACACAAAATCGATATTACGTAGACGAATATGGTTACTCTTCGACTGTCCAATGTAGGTCCGATGTATCTATTGGCATAGTAAAGTGTGTATGCTTGTGAAGGTATGCTCAAAATCCTGTGTGCGAGACTGACACGAGGAAATTCAGACAACGGCATGAGATTTAAAACTACAGCCACGATAATTTGTAAAGCAGCAATAAATAGTTTTACGTCATTCCCAAAGCATGTCGGTGATATAAATTCTGATATAGAATAGCTGGAGAAGACAGAGCTGCCGATGCGCCAACTCCAAGCGAGGACAAGTAGAGCGGTTAACAAGGTCTCTGGTGTAGGCATAACATTTTGTTGAAAAAAAATCGGATATATTTTAGATATATACCAAGTGATTGAATTGAATTTTTTTTGATAAGTATGTCAAATTAGTCTCTACAAAAATAAATTAAACTGAATGTGAGCATAGATAAAAGAAAAACTTTGGCTAAGTATTTACTAATATCATAATATAAAATATTTTTTATTGGTTACATTATAATTAACTAAATAAATAAAATTATATTATTCCTTTCGACACGACCGGTGAGAGATCAGACGAAGGACCGAAAGCTTAACGTGCTTTTCGGGGTACAGGAAGGAACACCGCCAACTTCCCAACTCTGGATTGCAGCCATACATAATATATTATTATTGCCATTACACCACCAAGGCAGTTAATAATAAAAAGTTATTATTAATAAATAAAAAAAAATAACAGTAACAAAAGTTACGTAGGTATACTAGTTAAGTATAATGCAATCTACATAACTGTCTAAATTAATTTTCTTCACCATCATCATTCTTTTTAAGAACACTTGGAGGGTACATGAGCTCTTGAACCACAAGAGTCTCCAAAAAAAAAGACTGACATGCAGATAGGCGGACATGACACAATGAGAGCTACCGCGCTTGAGTACGCTGAGAGAGGCGCTAGTGTAAAGTGAGGTCTCTAGAACTGTCAAATGACACTGTTTTGCGAGCTTTTCTTCGCGGATCTTCACTAATTATTCATGATTATTGTAAAAATTGTGCCATTTTTGATTAATTATTGCAGACATAGTAGGTACGGCTCAACAAATGATAATGCTTTTAAAAGAAGAGCTAAGAAGAAGGCAATATTTTATCTATTGGCTCCGCATTAACAATTATGAATATTATATTAAATTTATATGGCTCTGCCGCACTAACAAATACTTTTTTAACGACAGAAATAGGACTTTACTCGCTAGTGGTGCTAATTGGTGCCGCGAGAAATGATAGTCCTCTTTATAAAGCGTTTTGCCTTTTGGGTACGAACCCCTAATAATGAATCACGTATTTACATGCGTTAGTTATATAAATAACAGATCCCATATAAACATAAATATTTATTAGAAGAAAGGAAATCAAAACACACGATAACTTTGCCTGAGTGTTTTATTACGATGTGGTTTAATAAATTCATAAATAAAGATTTAACAAATCTTGGGAACTATTACTTATTACCTTCTGTAATTTGTATTTTATTTTTAATTATTGTCCTAGTTCATCTTTACCTTTTAATATACCAGAAACGTAACACTTCAACAGATTATTTTGCTTTATTCATCTATACTAATATTATAAAGAGGTAAACTTTGTAAGTTTGTAAGGTTGTAGAAGGTAACCTCTAAATCTACAGAGCCGATTTAGATGAAAGGTAAGAAGATAGTTTGAGACCCAGGGAAGGACATAGTATACTTTTTATCCCGGAAATCATCCCTTAAGGGGGGTGCAAATGGGGATGAAAATTAGGGACAACCTGAGCGAAGCGGTGGTGAGTCGCTAGTATTATATATACATGGAGTGATGCTGCCGTTTAAATAATTAAAATTAACAGCAGTTGAAAATGACACGAAAGTTTATTGCCTTTATATCAAAACATCTGTGTTTTAAAAGTTCCTCATATATTTTATAATTTTATAAATAGAAAAAATATGGTGGTGCAAAAAGGCAGCCTAGTTTGCCTATAAGACTTTAGTGAAGCGTCATAAATAAGAAATCAACATGAAGAAATCCATGTAAAACATTAAATAGAGAAACGTTTTTTTCATATTTTGGTTTTCAAGAATTACCTGATTTTCATAAAACACTTATTTCTAATCACTGTGCTTATAAAGATTATATAGTTTATTGATACCGATAATAATTATCGTGATGCGATTAATATTGATATAGTCCCTTCATGCACGACCAGTAGACCGGCATGACGTGTTGTGTTATAAATGTAGCTATTATAAAAGGTGAATATGAACTATAACAAATTGAAAATACCCCCAGGGTTGCTGGTCACAGCGTCCCTTTCTGGCGGACTTTCTATTGTAAGTGTCATCTATTTTTTGTTTAAACCTTTATATCATTAAATCGATGTGTATCGCTTAAAATTGCAAAAAGAGCGAAAATATTATTTATAATAGAAAAAAGTGTTTTACGGATATATCTATATTATAACGATTTTTATGCAAATCTGGTATAATATCTAAACTTTTAAGGATTTTATTAAATAGAAAATCAGCTCGGTGATACAATTATTAAGGCTGCTCTGCGACACTTGTTTTTACATACGTAGTACGTGTCTAGATGAGTATGATGGAAATATAAATACGTCGTTAGCGCTCATAAAATAAAGATATAATATTATATACATAATATTAATAATCATTTTCAGTATACTATTAAACTGAAAAATGTATTAGGTACTATATTGCTAATTAAGTTCTGTTGGGGCAAAATGTCTTAAATCGGCATTAAACTAAGCTCTGCGAGTTCTATTTCAAAGTCCAAGTTAATCAAAATCTACATATTATGTAACTGATTTATAAATGTACCATACATAGCAAAAAATAATAGTTTGTTTAAAAGACTTGCCAATTTTTCATAACGTTTCAATCGATTGTTTATCTATACTAATATTATAAAGAGGTAAAGTTTGTGATCTTGTGAGTTTGTGAGTTTGTGACGTTGTAGGGGGTAATCTCTGGATCTACTGAACCGATTTTCAAAATTCTTTTACCAATAGAAAGCCACGTTCTTCCTGAGTGTCATAGGCTATATATTAACCCGAAAAATGAAAAGGCTTTTTCGTGGTAGTCGCATTTGCAAAGTAAGTCGGAGAAAAAACGGTCGAACGAAAACGTTTCTTACGAACGCTGCCTTAACGATGAGAGATATATGATTATGTTCTAGAGAAAAGTTGTAGAACTTAATAATGCCTACAAAAAAGTCCGCGACAGCATATGTCTAACTTTTATATTTAAGTCACAAAAAGTAGTTTTTTATATTACAAAAATAAATTAAATCGGTAGGTCATGTTTATTGGTCATATTATCAACAATTATGAATTCTTATCAAAATAAGTAAATTTATCGTCTAAAATATTTAAAACAAAAGACTTTTCCCTTTTACTGCATATAATTTGGACAAATGGTTAAAGAGATAATACAACATATTCGTAGGTATGGACGAACCCGAGCCAGCTGTTTGTCTGTTTTTCTGTTTGTACGGGCTTATCTCCGATTCTATTAAACCGATTTAAATGAAATTTTGCATGGTAGTACCTTATATCCCCGTGCAACATCTTAGACTTTTCATCCCGGAAAATTAGAGAGTTCCCGTGGGATAGTTAAAAAACTATAACAATTTATACAGCTTAGTACACAAAAACTAATGATTGGATTTTAATGAAACTTTACAATAATATAGTTCATACATGACAAAAACAAATCAGCTACTTTTCATCCCGAAAAATTAAAGAGTTTTCGTGGGATAGTTAAAAACTATAGTAACTTATACAGCTTAGTACACAACAACTTATTCACCTAATTTAGTGAAATTTGGCATGCTGATACCTTATATTGCCGGTCAAACAACAGGTTACTTTTCTTCCCGGAAAAATGAACGGTTCCCGTGGGATAGATCTGTTTGTGCTTTACTAGAGGTGAACCCGAGCGAAGCGAGGGTGAGCCGCTAGTCTAATATAAATTGGTAAACGCGATTTGTCACTTATGAACAATGTAAGATTTATGTAGATGTTAAAACATGTTGTAAATAACTATTAACTACATAATAAATACATGCATAATATAGGAGATTCTTAATGAATTAATTTTTTTTTAATTGAATTAGTTTTTTTTTAAATAATTTGCATGGCCATAGTAGCAAGAGTCTTATAATAACTGCGTTAGAGGTTCCGGGTTCGATGAGTTTAATGGCGAATGTCAATATAAGCGTTCTTTATTATTTATTTTTTCATAATTTCGAGTCGAGAGTTAAATGTTTTCTTTGCTTGAGGTACCGTTGAAAATGTAGGCAATAAAAAAAGTAGTAATAGGGGGTATCTGCTTAATAATAAAATAATATAGTCAGCGATGATCAGAATTTGTTATTGTTGACTTATGTCCTTACGAATATATTTTTTGTACCTAAGTATTGTTTTTCGTATGTGTTACACGATTAATTTTACTAAGAAAGTCATGCTCCTGAACGCTCGAATAATACGACAAAAATAAAAAAGGAATATATTATTAATAATTACAGTCTTTATAGAATATAAGATAAGATAATACATATGCCGACAAAAATAATATTATTAATTAGCAAATAGCTCAATTCTAGATATAATACGATCTGCTCATAATATCATATTTTCTTTGCTTTAATAGATTTTGTCGCTAACCAATATAGTGTTATGTATACTTGTCCTGTTGTATCGCTTCAATTGTGCAGCGGGAGATCTCGGATCGAATTCTGCAAATGGTGCTCATTTCTTTCTATTGACAATACTTAAAACCTATATTCTAGGTAAGTTTTTTATTTTTTTATTATAATATTATTTGCTGTAAACGAGCTACCCTGATCTTTTTTTATAGATATACGTAATTTCGCTGGTAGTAAGTGAATTTTTTTTTATCTATAAATACATTGTTACGTCATCCGAGTGACGGTCAGTTGCAGGAAATCATCAGAATGATTCATATATTCAGATAGTATAGAATACACATATGGTACTAGGGACTCACCCTCGCTGCACTCGGGTTTGTCTCAAGTTTAGCATAGATTTCTCAGAGAGATATTTGATCCGGATAACCAGCTATTTAATTTCATCAAAATCTCTCTAGTGGCTTTCCCGTGATACTTTGATAGGCAGACAGACAGACAAAAATTCTAAAAATTATATATTCGGCTCTGTACCAATCGATAGATAATATAATAGATAATAATGTCTACTTCAATAAGATTTTCCAAAAAATATTTAATTCGGTTTAGTTAATATTATTATATGTAGGTATAGATAAGAAAACACACCTGTCGAACTTAATACAAAAAAAATCCTATCCTATCCTAGTCTAGTGGTTTTAGTAAATAATAATGCTTAATAAAATTTTCAGAAGAAGACTGTGAGAATGCCCTGTCTGAAGAAAATCTTACGACTTCAAGATTAATTTTTATATTAACCATAGTAATCTTAGTGTTGGCTGTTATTACCTTTTTTACTGCCATAACAATGCTTTCAGGTATGTTCTATGATTATTTACTAAATTAGGCGGGACGAGTTTGCGCACCCTATAACTTACAAGTAGTTGAAATTTAGCATTATAAGTTTTTATTGTAAAAGTAGTAGAAGTGGCTCCATAGTCTTTGTTCAGCATGGATGCTATACACTTCTGCCTCAAAGTTCTAACGACCTTTTATATTTTTTTACCTAATATGTAAGATATAATTTAATTTGTTTGTTGTAGTTATAAACAGTGACAGTCCTGTGAAATATACAGATGTGATTATGTACTTCTATGTTGGTGTGTGCGTAGCTGCATTGGTTGTGGACTTGACACTTGGGGTACACTTTGGAATTGACCATGAATCTTTAAAGGATATATTGGTATATGACCTTTATAACTTAATACTTTAAGGTATGGTAGCCCAGCGGTAACGCGCTCCGCAGGGAAACCAAGTGAAATGGGTTCGAATCACGTTCGAATCATTTCCAACATGATTACCACTCGTCTTAAGGTGAAGGAAAAAATATCGTAAGGGAACCTGCATGTCTGAGAGAACTTAGAAGATTTTCGATACGCATGTGCAGTCTGTCAACCTGCACTTGGCCAGCGTGGTGGACTATGGCCGATCTCCCTCGTATTGAAGGACGGCCCATGTCAGGCCCATGGCCATGTAAAGGAGCGAAACACACACATTCAGTACAACTTAGATACTTTACTTGATTATATTTGTAAGATATATTTAATTGGTTAAGTTATTGTTGTCGAATATTTATTTACCGCCACTATCGTTGTTTATTATTAAACGTCAAAATAATTATAAACTAAATATTCTAAAATATAAATATGAGGAAGGCAATTTTCCTAATTTTACTAATTATATGTACGTAGCATGACTTAATATTTTTTATTTCCAGGCGGTTAACGCTCCGGGATTGCAAAGTAATTATCACAGAGATACAATTCGCCTGGGAGCCCTTTTATTAATGACAATATGTCTTAAAGGTTACATTGGACATGTCATAAATATCGTCCTACTTATCTGGCTTGTTGCTCAGGTCATGGATTACCAGAAGATGTTAAATGACGACGAGGTACTTTGGTATTACCTACAATATGATAGGGCTTTATAAAATAAATAAGATCATATTAATTTCTTTGTAAAAGTGAAGTTAATAAAAGCATTTCTTTCAGCATTCTATCCACAAATTAGGAGTGTTGAATGCTTTTGAGTAAGTTGCATATTTAGTATTTACATATTATATCTTCAAATATTATTTATTAACTTACTAAATGAATGGTAGACAAATGAAATTTTCTTTTCCCTTTTTGCTCGCGTGTTGCTTTTAATTTTTAAACGACATGTACTTGTTTCAATAAGATTATTTCGCTATTGGCTAAACAACATTTCTTTAAGGTTAGCTGAAAAATACAAATAGTATTAAAAATTTGACTTTTACAGCGCACCAAAAAGATTTGAAGATCCCTGGAACTCGCACCACAACGACATGTATTTGAGACAACCGAGAGCGTTAGTTAGAATTAAATTTTTATTGTTTTATTATATCATTTTTGGATTTTTTTTAATATAGTTTTGTTTATTTTACTTTGCAGACCGCATTTGCATAATTCTACTCATGATGAGCCCCGACCAAGGGAAACCCCCTACGGCAATACAAAGTAAGTATCAAGTCAACCTGTATTAGTATTATATATTCGGGTTTTATTAAGTTTATAATATTTATTATATCGTTTTAAAACATATACATTGATTTCGACAAATAATTTATTATCCATACATATAATAAAATTGTAACTAGGCCGAATCTGTACATTAAATATTTTTTGGAAAATCTTATTGAATTAAATATTATTATCGATACAGAGGCCGAATCTATAGTTTTTAGAATTTTTGTCTGTCTGTTGCCCAATTTCACCAACATATCACCCATAAGCTACAACCTACGTATGGAATCCCTAGCTTAAAAGTCCCCTAAACTAGCCCCTACATTAAATTTCGTTTTACGATCGTCTTTAAGCCCATATTTCGAGCACCTAAATATTTAGGTGACCCCTAACTGTCGGTGAAACAGAAACTGTCCCCTAAAGCCCCCTAACCATGCTTAGGGGATCCCTTAAACTTAGGTGACGTTGGTGAAATTGGGCATGTGTGTCTGTCTGTTACCGCATCACAGAAAAACTACTGGACGGATTTTGATGAAATTTGGTATGGTGATAGCTGGTTATCTTTTTTTTTTTTTATTACCCTCCCCTCCGCCTTAATGGGACGCCGCAGGATCGCTTGCGCATAACTACTACGGCGCCCCGGCGGCAGGTCTGCCTAAAAAGGCAGACCACCAAACCAATGGGGCTGCTCCACAGTCAACTCTGCTACGCCAGAGAGGTACCCGGAGCAGCCCCATTAAACCTAACCACCGCCCACCGAAGTGGGCCACCTCCAATCGGCTGCAGAGGACAGGGAGAGCGGCAACGAAACACCGACACTCCTCTTCCCCTGCAGCCCCACCGCGTCCGCCATCAAACGGTGGCGGCCCCGTCTAGGCCGCGGAAGGTAGGGAGAACGGCGCACCGAAATACCGGCACTCCTCTCCCGCCGCGGCCTACTCCTCCGCCGGATGCGGGCCTGCGACCATAGTCCCGCAACCGGCACCCATCATCCGGTTGTGGGACCAAGCGGTCCCACCACCGGTGGCCGCAACGTCTTCGGCTCGAGTCCTAGACGAGCGGCCCCACCCAAGCCATTTGGTCCGCGCCGGATTTCTCCGGTACCACCCGCCGCCCTAAGCGGGTGGCATTCCCCTATCCGCCACCTGGGGACGCGCCCGGTAGGAGTTGGCTTCTCCCCCGGGAATAGCTGGTTATCTGCGTCAACATATAGAATACTTTTTAAAATAACTGCATTGTAAGAATATACTAATATGTAAAACCTAAGTATTTAGTTTTTGGTCATTTGAACGCGGGCGAAGCCCGCGGGCAATGCTAGTCTTATAAATAAACTCTTTAATGTGGTGTATTTGGATAAAATGGAAATCAATTTTGTTGCTATTTTTTAGCTCCACAAAAAGATTGGAAGATCCTTGGAATCCCCAACGCAATGACGTGTTTATTGCTAGTGGGTAAGCATTTTTATTACACCTAAGCGATACGTGTATATTATAGCGACATTGTACCTAAACGGTTTATGAGTGCAACACACCCATATATGTACATAGGTTTCTACTACTTAAGTTTCTTTTGTGACTTGGTGCAATCTATGCATTATAAGTATCACCTTACTAGTCTCATTTAATAAAATAAAACAGATTCAAACATAATATGTTATGATATAATGTTTTTCAATTTCAACAGACCTCAAATAAACCCTGCTTTTATTGATGATGAACGTTCTCGCCCTTCAACTAGAGAAAACGTTGTACCGGAAAGAAAGTAAGTATACCTATTTACTAAACAAAATTAAAGTACAAAAATTACATTTTTGTTACAAAAATATCTATATATATATATATATATATATATATATATATATATATATAGGTTTGTGATATTTTTGTAACAAAAATGTGTACTTATTTCCTTTTGCAGCCGGCCTAGCAACCGTTCCGACTCATGGTTACATAACCAAATTAACTCCGGACAGGGGCTTGGGAGTCGACCATTCTCATATCTGGAGGAACCGAGGAGGCCAGAGCCGTTGAGGCAACTGTCGCCTACAAATGATCCTCAATGGCGGCGGAATCCCTGGCAATCGGGGCCGCCCGTACCAGATCCAGATTACAGCCCTCCCCCCCGTAGGCTAAAATCAGCGCTCAAATCAAACTATCCTTGATATTCTAGATCTATTTATATTCTGAATATAATTATTTATATAACAATAATAATATTACGAAAGAGTCGCATTTCATAACATCATTGCATCTACAATAAAGACTAATAAATATCTTGTTATTTCTTGAACGATTTTAGTAATTGAGTCTATTGTACAAATTGCTTGAATATCCTGTTGCAACCTTGTTCAAGCGCTCACCTGCTTATCCATTATATGAAGGTATACTACATGAAACTTTGAATTATTGTAAATGGAATATTTAAAATTATAATAAATAAAATATTTGTTGAAATTATTGATAATAAATCATTGTTTTCCATGTCATAGGCTATGTACAAAAGTGACTTATCCTCGCTTGGCTCGGGTGCGTCCCTACTCCCTAGGTACGTTTTAAATAGATATGAATAATTCATGAACGAAGTGGCTAATTCGTTCATGGAATAGTTAATGCGTAGGTACCTTAGGAGAAAGACTTATGCTATTGCAGATTTTTTGTAGGACTTATTAAGATCTACAATTTTCTAGTACATTGTTTTGATGTATTTTATAAGGTTTAGCCAGCGTTAGACATAATATAAATTTCTAAGAACAACTCGATACAAACAGTTATTGTGTTTTCCCGTGGAAATTAAAGATTTTCCTGTAGTAAAAGGTATCCAAAATGTTGATCCGAGTTAAATAAATCATCATTATACAAAATTTTGTTAAAATCAGTTCAGTACATTTTACGTGATGGGCAGATCGATTTTGCTAAGTTACGGTTCTATTATAAGTTAAGACAAGCGACTCACCCTTGCTCCGCCCGGATTCCTCCCTAAATACGTTTTAACAGTTAGTATAGATTTCCCAGAGATGAGATATTTTCCCGCAGTAAAAAGTATCCTGTCTGTTGACCCGGATAACCAGCTATCATCATACCAAATTTTATCAAATTCTGTACGGTGAGCGGGGAAAAAAATCTTCGCCTTATGGAAAATGTTTTTTTTTTTATTTTCCTAAAAATGAAAAAATAAAAAAAGGTGAACTAGTTGGTACATTTTTCAAAAATTGATATCATTTAACAATTATTTTTTTTTCATTTTTCAAAAAAAAAATATAATTAAAAAAATTAAAACTTTATCGACTCTTCCCATGTTATGCTAAATTTCGATTAAAAGGTGGCCTGTTTTTACTATGCCCAGGGGCGGCGCTAAGGCTAAATCCGGGACTGGGCGTAAAATAGGGGACAAAAAAGAAATGCACGGTATGTAGCTTTAGGATGAAAAATAAGAAATATATGTATTAGATTTTTTTCGAAATTCATTCCATATAAGGGTAAAACGGAGTAATATAATTTATATGCACAAACAATTATTTATGACCAGAATTACTTAAAACTTGGTATTAATGCTCTTCAATACAATTAAATAAACACGTATTGTAGATTTTGTTTAATTCAGCCTCTAAGTGGGTAAAACTGGGCGGGGAAGTGTGAGTTGTTAAATATATTTAAATAGAGTAACATGGCTCAAATTCTCTGTAAGTGCACACTTACTGTGTGGGATATAAAATAGAGTACGAAAATTATTCCGAATCCAAAGGAAAATTATGTACTTATAACTTTTCGGCTTGCCAAAACAGTGCAGACAACTATAGCAGAGAGAGAACCTAGCTCGAGAGTATCCTGCTATCTATATCCCCCTTCTGAAAATTGGCACATCTGCAATAAAAAAGTCGCCTAAGATATGTAACAGGATTAGACTGTGATTAATTCATTAAACATTATACTGGCCACTATGTTTGCTAGATGTGCTCTGGGGGGATCAGAATTCATACCTCGAATACCACTAATAACTTATGATTACAATGAAAGTTGTACGCCTTTGAATTTAATCTAAAGAGAAAATACAGATAGATAATAATATAATAAATATAATTGAGCCAAAATAATGGAATTTGTTTTAAAAAAAGAGATTATTGTCTATAAGCACTGCCAATCGGCAAATAAATTAGCCGAAAAGCGGGTAATTTTAGGCATTTTTAATGGTGCGTAATTTTGACGGGTATTTGCATTGAGTAGGGTTAAAGCAGGTATTTTAATTTCCCCCCCAACGTGCGTTCACCTTGTCGTGGTGGGGGGGCTCAGTAGTGCCCGGCAATCCAACCGGGCGCGAAGCTAAGAAACGCACAGGGAGGTTGCCCACTTCAGTGGGCGGTGGGAGGTGGCCCTCTTTGGGGGGCGGTGTACCATGCGGGTTGCTCCTGGTACTTCTCTGATAGCAGAGTGGACTGTGGAGCAACCCCATGGTTGTGGTGGTCTGCTTCGGCAGACCTGCCGTCGGGGCGTCGTAGTTGAATGCGCAAGCGATCCTGCGACGCCCCATTAAGACGGGGGAAGGTTTTGTTGAGTTTTAGTGGGTAGTACTGGCTGTATTACGCCGGTGAGTCCCACACGTCGTGCGTAAATGCATTTCCCAACGTTAAAAAAAAAAAAAAAAGGTATTTTAATTTAACTGATTAATTTGATATTTTGAGTCGTTTTTTTTTGTTTTTATTAATTATTAGCTGTTTAATTGAGAACTGATTACTATGACTTCTTTTTCTAATGAATACTTTCTTTTATTCTATGTAAAACATGAATAAATTGCTTAAAAAATTCTATTTACGGATATTCTGCTGTCGGCGGGATTTAAACCGGGTACCTTGAGGTTTATTGGTCGGGTAAATTAACGACTGTTATCTGGCAGCCCTAATTGTCATTGTCATGGACTTCTCTCTTTCACTCAATAGTCAATACTTTTTGTAGGTATAATGTTCTCTATGGTATGGTCAATACTTTAAAATTATTCTAGTCATAGTCGATAGATTTCAGGATTTTGTATTATTTCTTTTTATAAAAAATCTATGAAATATATTCAATTTTACACAATGTATACTTATCACTGGGCGTTTTCTTTACTGAAACATTCAATTTTACTATGTATTCGTTTAAAATAATGTGGAATGGGTGCTGACAATTGTATTAATTTATATAGTGGTGTAGATTGTGGCATCGATATAGTTATAACTAAAGTGTCAATGATCGTAAAATGTAGGATTTAATTTATTACATACATGATTAGTAAAAGGCGTATGTGGACACAAAATGCGGTTTCATAGACGGTGTGGTGATAGAGTGACGCTTTTACACGATAATACAACGGCTGTTAGAAATTTTGTCGAGTTTAATCATGGTTTGATATTGAGTGCAGAGCCCATTGTAGATGATGTTGTATTCGAGGTGTGCATTGATAGAAAGGTAAGTGCCAATATAAAACCAAGAAATATTTTAGCTATTAATATTTTCAATGCTACTATTACTGTTTGTACTACATAATTTATATGAGTATTAGATACATATTGTATATAAATTATGTATTACTTTGTACATATTGTATTATCATTTATTTAATTTGGTTCAACATTAAAGAGCTAACATTTTCAATATATACTTCAATTTTGTTTATTTTATAGTGTACTTTTTTCTAAAGGTCAATGTTTGGAATGGAAGCCTTGAAATTGGTGTTACAACTTTGGATCCTGAATACATGGAACTTCCTGCAACGGCTACTAAATTAAGGAATACAGCATGGGTAAGTGCTATTAATAGGAATTTCTTTATTAAAATCTGATTGCTAGTAAATTATAATTATGTTAATAATTATATGAGCTGTTTAGAATTGGGGACTTGCCCCCATATTCTTAGTCGTAAACTCGAGATTTCCTTGACTCGACTCAACCTCACTGAGATGATTCGGTATTCATAGATGTCATTTTGTCCCTTACCTCAAGTATTCGCCTCGAGTAAGGTGAGGAAAACTCGAGGAACGAACTGTCAAATGTAAGGTACCTCACAATCTACCTTAAGGAAACCTCAAGACAATTATTGACAAAAACAACGCGAGTTATTTAACATTTTATTATATTTTAAAGTAATTTGTGAGTTAAAATGTCTTTTGAAGTGTTTATTGAGCATATCTATGACAATCCGTACGATTATTTATCACGGCGCTATTTACGGGATGCAAATAATCCTATGGAGTTCTATGATGAATGTGAATTTAAAAATAGATTTCGCTTTACTAAAGATGTTGTGACGAGATTACTTTTGCCCTTATTATTTCAAAATAATGGTGGTGGCAATAGGCGTGGATTGCCTATTTCACCTGTAATTCAAGTGCTACTTGCACTACGATTTTACGCAACTGGAAACTTTCAAGTAAGTTGTCCTTACAATGTACTTATAATATAAACTAAGCTAATTGCATCGAGTAATGTACTAACGTACCAAGACATGTTTGATGTTTGACGAAATCTTATTAGACTTCTTCTTTATTTATTAGATATTAAACTTATGTATGCACAATTTTTATTCAGATTGTTTGTGGAGATTTGCATAAGATTAACCAGTCTACAGCGTCCAAGATTGTAGCAAAAATATCAAAAGCTTTAGCTTTAAAAGTAAGGCAATTCATAAAATTTCCAAATGTCTCCGAGCAAGGCAATGTTAAAGTTATGTACCATCGCATTGCTGGATTTCCTGGAGTTATAGGATGTATTGATTGCACCCATATACCAATAAAAAATCCAAACCGACAAATTGGTGAAGTGTTTCGCAACCGAAAGGGTTGGTTTTCCATCAATGTGCAACTCGTATGCGGTCCACGAATGGAAATATATGACATTGTAGCACGCTGGCCTGGCTCTGTACACGACTCAAGAATTTTTGTTAATAGCAGATGTTATATGAGATTCGAAGACGGAGACATAACTGGATTATTAATTGGTGATAGTGGCTATGGGCAGTCGTCTTATATGTATACACCTGTGTACAATCCACAAACTCAACCGGAAATACGATACAATAGGGCTCATATTACCACAAGAAATGTAATAGAGAGATTGAATGGTGTATGGAAGAGAAGATTTGCGTGCCTGAATAGGAAGCTACAAAATAATTTAGAAAACACATGCAATATTGTTGTGGCATGTGCAGTTCTACACAACATTAGTATAACTACTAATCAAGAGATGCCTGAACCCATCACACATGATGATGTTCCAGTCTCAAATAGTAGTGACACTGAAAGGGGTAGTTTAATTCGAGGAACATTTATTGCCAGGCATTTTAATTAAAGTATATAATTAAACCAATTCATTATTACGTTAGATTATTAAATAACCAGTAAACTCCAAATGTGTTAATATGCAATGTTTAGTAAGTATTCAAACATTAACTTAGATCTGTTCCTATCTCTGTACCAAAATTCGTCAAAATCGGCTCAGCTATTTAAGCATAAAAGCGTAACAAACAAACTTAAGTTCCGCATTAATAATATTGTTATTATATAGCAAGGATAACATCATTATTATGCTATATAAGTCTATATTTATTAGTTATATTTTATATAGTTACCTGTTCTTTTTTTAAACCTATGTCACAAAACAGGTTAAAGTAAAAATGCTATACCCAGCAGTGGCACACAAACATAGAAGTTAAGATAATAAAATAAAGATGACAATCTTTTATGATCTCAAGAATCAGTTTTTAGAATTGGATCAGTACCTTCAAAGATTACCCTGTACAGTTGAAAGTTGCAAGTTTTATAATATTAATTCGCATATTTCATATGATAATTATACTATGTAAATGTTGTGCAAATAAAATAATGTGCAATCTAATTTAATTTTTTTAATTCCAACAATTTAAGCTCTGCTTCTTCTTTCTTCATCTTATTACAGAGAAGGAGTTCTTCGGCAGCTTCTCTCTCAATTTTTGTTTTTAAATATTTTTCTTCTGCAGCCTTCACTAACAATGTATACTCCGCCATTTTAAGTTTATGTAACTCTTCATCCCTTTTTTGCTTTATTTTATAGTTTTCCCGTCTAATAGAAAACTCTTCCTCGATTACTTTGGTCCGTATATTTCTTGATACTGAAATTTAAATAATTATTATATGACATGTGAACAGAATTGCCCTGTGATATGGAACATAATGACTATAAATATAGTGTAAGGCATAATAATATTTCAAAAAATTACCGTGTGATGGGGCTGATATAGCAAGATCTGACATCCGGGACTCAGATTGACGGAGAGGAGTATTTACACGTTCTGTAAGCAAATCGATCAATACATAAAATATCATTTAAAAATTCGTTCCTTATTACAGAAGTACTAGAAATGCTTGCAAATATAACGTAAATTGCTAATAAAATAATAAATCTACTTTATAGGACCAATGTCAAATGTAATAATATTGTCCCTTGTTTGCTTGTCATTTAAAAAATGTCTATTTTATAATAAACCAAACTAATAAGCATATTATTCATATTAGATTCAAATTACACAAATTATAAATTTATTGAATTAAGTTTCTTTACCTGTTTCAGTCAAAGGCTCATTTACACCTTCAGTAACAATTGAAAGGTTTTCTGTAGTTTTATGGGCACCCGTCTCTAGATTAGTTTGCATATCTGTCAACAATAAAATTAATTAGTAAAAAATTGGAAAATGTTGATATCAGTATACCTATATTCTTATAGAAAACTAAAATCGTTTTCACTGGAACAGACACCTATTACCACATTATATCATCGATTATATTATTATAAACCATGTTTTATTACCTTCAATAGTATGTGTGTCTGGTGTGTCACTATCGATTGCAAACATCAGCTCCACATCTGTCTGCTCAGTAAGAGCGCTGTCCAGTAATACTTCCTGGCTGGATTGGGAAGCACTTGGTATATCAGGATTAAAAGGCCCACCCCCTGTCCTCATTCTTTCTTTTTTTTGTAGGGCTAATACACCTTTGCGCCGAGTTTTTAGGTTATCCCAACATTTTTTAAGTTGTTGTTCAGTTCTCTGAAAGAAAGAAAATCATTAAATTCATATGCTAACTTTATAACTCAACAATTGATTGTAGATAGGTACACATTTTACTATATCACTAAGTAAATTGTTTCTTAAGAATTTAAATACTAGTAATAGGTTGTAAAGATGGCGAACTCACAGCAGTATTATACAGGCTACCTATGGCACTATTACATGAAAGTTAAGACGACAGAGGGGAACTATTTAAATGTGAAATGTACTTACTTTTGAGTTTGTTTCAACGGAGTTAAACTCCTCCGTTAAGCGTGCCCAAGCGCCTTTTTTCGAAGCAACACTTCCACCACATATTGTAGCCGTCGAATTGAGTTTATATTTTATAATTAACTCCTGAAGACAAACTTTCTCAGTTTCATTAAATAATTGTCTTCCAGCCATAATGAGCGCGTTTTTAATACTAAATGACGAAACGTGTACCAAACGCCAAACATCTTTTTTGTATAAAATACGATATAATACACTTAACATTCCAAAGCACTTTTGCAAAATATGGTGTGTTTACCTGCTCTGAAGTACTTTAAACTAACCCAACTTTGACCCATGACTTTGATAAAAAACGACAAATTAAGATGATAGCTACGGATTTTGTGTATACGTATAGTTAGTACTACTTATAATAACAAAATCCTCCACTTCATGACGTTTTCTTCGACTCTCCCTCGACTCACACTCACTCGAGGGATTCTAAAGTTTCCTCAAGACGATGTTTACGAATACCGATTTCGAGGATCTCTCGAGGCCTTCCTCGAACACGCCTCACTCTCAGTCGAGTTTGAGTCGAGGGAGTTTCGAGGTGACAACTAAGAATATGGGTGTTGGCCCCTAGCGGAGTGGGTGGTATTTCTGGATAAGGGACGTGATAGGGAGTCGAAATGTTAAATAAAAATTGTCCGCGAACGTATGAGTAAAAAGTTATTGAGACTTAAAGTTACAACATTTCCATACATTATTTTGACATTACTACCATTTAGACACTTGGAGTCAAAACGTCACTTTCAATTGTCAAAATGATCTCCAGATGATTGTCTTTATTTGTACTTTACGTGAAATTCGAATTTTCTAGTTTTCTAGTCATTTATGGCACTCGCCGGCCGCTACCGCGGCACGCTCGCTTCGCTCGCTCGGCTCGTGCGTTGTGGCAACTGTTCTAACCTAACCTAACCAAGATATGAGAAATAATAAATAAATAATCTTAAATGTTCTAACCTAACCTAACCCAGATATGAGGAATAATAAATAAATAATCTTAAATGTTCTAACCTAACCTAACCCAGATATGAGGAATAATAAATAAATAATCTTAAATGTTCTAACCTAACCTAACCCAGATATGAGGAATAATAAATAAATAATCTTAAATGTTCTAACCTAACCTAACCCAGATATGACGAATAATAAATAAATAATTAAAAATATTCACAGATAAAAAAATGATTTTTTTTACTAAATGTACAATTGTAAAACAATATGTTTTACATAAATCAAATAAAAAGTCATAAATGTATTTATAAAGTGAAAATAATATTTTTCTTTTTATTTATTTATTTATTAATAGTAATATTTTACCAACAGAAAAAGCAAAAATAATCAAATATAATCTGTTGTCATTTAAGCGGTAATATAAAACAAAGTGTCAGTTTTGCTTTTGTCAAAATGTAAGATCGTTTTGTTTGTGTTGTGAAATTATTAAAATATTAAATACAATAAAGCATTAATTGTTGTGAAAATATGTATTGTCCATAAAAAAGGATGCGTACTATTCGTTAAAGGTATGTTTATCTGTTGTAATCACTTATTTAGGTAAAGAAATGTATGGAAATGTGTTAGATATGTTATAACTTTAAGTCTCAATAACTTTTTACTCGTACGTTTCCTCCAAAAATATTTATTAATTTTGACTCTCTGTCACCTCCCCTATCTAAAAATACCACCCACTCCGAATGGTGGTAAAGAAATATATGAAAATGTATGGAAATGTTGTAACTTTAAGTCTCAATAACTTTTTACTCATACGTTCGCGGACAATTTTTATTTAACATTTCCCCTATCACGTCCCTTATCCAGAAATACCACCCACTCCGCTAGGGGCCAAGTCCCCAATTCTAAATTTGTGCCATGTATATATTGATAATCTATAATAATTTTGCACTAAATTATATCACTTCCAAATTATATTATTAACAATTATTACATTTAATAATATCTGTATATTTGCAGATAATGTCAGGGAGTTCAATTGTGAAAGATGGTGTTACACTAATAAATTCATATGGACCCGAGCTGGATACTCTACGAGAAGGAGATATTCTTGGTGTCATGAGATCTTGTAAGGTATACAATGTCAATATTTTTATATTTATTTCGGCTGCAGTTTAGTTCTCAATAACTTTTTACTTCTATGTTTCCTTAAAATATTTTTTATATATTTGGGCTCCCTTTATGCCTTTATTTCAGATATACTGTAAAATGATATATGTATTTATTTTTATGTAGTCAAACCTCAGTAAAAATGTTTGTAATGTAATGATTAAAAATTAAAATTTTTGTAATGTATTTTTGTATTATTATTAATTATATATCTATGTTTTACAGGGGGAGTTGATGTTCTATATCAACAGTAGATGTTTGGGTATTGCAGCTCGAGATCTGCCGTCAAGATTATTTGCTGTAATAGATTTATATGGGCAATGTGTGCAAGTATCTATAACACATACGAGTGGCATGAGAACCATTATGGAGAGCAGTTTGGATCAAGTAAGTAGATTTTATTATTTCAATCTACTTACTTACTAAATGGTTGATTAATATATTAATATATTAAATGAGCCAAATCGCTGTCTAGTTCACAAATGATTGACTTACAACGCTATTTGCAAAAATTATAACATCTTCCGATAGGGTGATGAATTTTGCACCACCTTCTATATATATTTGTTTTTGCAGATATTTATTAGTTTATAATTTTTTGTCTTCTTGATATACTTAATTTCTGTGATACTATAACTCCTTTTTATTGGTAAATAAAATGCATGTTAAAAATTGCAGAACCTAATCTAATTTATTAAGGAGATTATTTGTCTACATCAATAGATTGAAGAAGATCCAAACAACGATGACACATTGACTTCCAGTGAGGATGTGCCAGCGGTTCCCGAGACATCATATCCTAAGGATCAACATGAAGTCTGCATATCCATTCCTGCAGAGGGTGCTTGTGCTATGGGTATTGTATATATAATGTATTCAAATGTACAAGTTAATAAATATTCAACTTCTTAACTTTTTTTAGGTTAGATATAATTTTTATTTATTATTACTACAAACAAAGATGTAGTTTAAAATTAACATCCAAGTATTATCAGACAGACAGAGAAAAATTAAAAAAATGTGTTTTTCATATGTAAGTACTGTAAATATGTAATTTCATATACATTTAGTAAAAAGCTGATCTTTTAACATTACGAACTGACACTTCAATTTTAATTTATGTCCCTGTGTACATTTATTATCTACACAGGTACATAAATCTACTAGCGACTCACCCTCGCTACGGGTTTGGCCCTAAACAAAAACAAATTTATCTCAAAGGAACCATTCATTTTTCCGTGATAAAAAGTAACCTATGTGCTATTCCACACAATAATCTACAAGTCTCTGTGCTTTTCATCCAGATCCATTTAGCCATTTTGGCTTGCAATTGTAACAAACAAATATCCATCCACCCATCCTCATAAACTTTAAATATTAGGATGGATTATAACCTATACTTCTATACTCATATTATAAAGAGGTAAAGTTTGTGAGTTTGTGAATTGTGAGTTTGTGAAGTTGTAGGGGGTAATCTCTGGATCTACTGAACCGAATTAGATGAAATTTGGTAAGAAGATAGTTTGAGACACTGGGTAGGACATAGGATACTTTTTATTCCGGAAATTATCCCCTAAGGGGTGAAAATGGGGATGAAAGCTTGTATGGGGAAGCAACCTAGGGACGAACCCGAGGGAGGCGAGGGTGAGTCGCTAGTATATATGTGAGAAAATACTCAAAGTAAAAGACAGTGAAATTTTCTTCTTAAATATTTATTAACTTCTTCCGTCTTAGCTCGTTCACACCGTCTTACACACTATCCTCCATCTTGCATCTTTTGTTCCTTTCTCTCCCATACCTGTTGTTCCTTTCACTCACTCTTACGTTCCGTTCCCCACATTCGGTCATCCTGCTATTATGTCTGTCCCCAGACATTCCTTACTTCTCCACTCATACATCCTACCACACCACTATCTTACCTATCTGCTTTTAATCCTTAAAATAAATACAAACATTTTCATATATAATATAAATATAAGCACAGTTATTTTAATTTAACCTAGTTACAAAAAAAATACATGTTATAAACACAACTTTCAAATCCTTAAGAAATATCAATTACAGATATTTATTTTTAATTTTAAATACAACTTTTTTTTTATAAAATAGTAAGAGATATCAATTAGTCCTCTAAATTTAAATACAATTTTTGTTCTTTTTTTTTTCATAAAATAATGAGATAATATATCAACTATAGTTTTCTAAACATAAATACAACTTTATTCTTTTTTTTTCAAAACATGGCAAGATATAATATAATTCAAAGCTTTCTCAAATTTAAACTTAAACTTAATTATGTCTACTTAAGCTACACTAACTTTCATGCCATTCTTCTCACTCATGCATCACACATACTTACCTCTTAGCTAGTAGTATTCGTCTCTGGCCATTTCTTTATATGGTCTGCTGAGCTGGAGGTGCAGTTGGGACCTTCTGCAGCAGTGTCAGCTTTCTCCACATCATAGCGATCATTCAGATGAACTTTAGTAACTCTATAAGGGCCTAGGTACTTTGCCTTTAGTTTCAAACCTTTACCAAATTGAGTTCGCTTTATGGCCACTAGGTCACCTACAGCATACTTCCGACTCTTTTTTCTCCTTCTATTGAAGTATTTTTTGTTTTCCTCTTGCACAGTCAGTATTTGTTCTTTTGCCTTTTGACGTAACTCCTCTCTATTATTTTCATATTGTCTAGCATTTTCCTCTTGAAGTAACTCCAAAATTTCTATGTCTTCTTTACACCTCATCTTAGTGCCAATTAATAAGTCATAGGGTGTAGTATTAATACTCCTCTGATAGGTGCTATTCAGTGCCCTTTGGACTCTACTTATATGTTTGTACCACACACCTGGGTTTTCAATACAAAGTTTGGTTAGCATAGGAACTATTATTCTGTGGACTCTCTCTACCTGTCCATTACCTCTAGGCACTCCTGTTGTGATGGTGATATGCTGAATATTTTCTTCTTTACAATATTCTTTAAACTCATGGCTTGTAAATGCTGTTCCTTTATCAGTTATCAGCCTATTAGCATTTCCAAATGTTTGCTGGTGTATTCTTAATTTGTTCAGCATCTCTGCACTTGACGTACTTTTAGTTGGAAACAACCATATAAACTTAGTAAAGGCATCAATTATGGTAAGGATGTAATTGTACTGCTTCCGAGTTTCAGTCAATGGTCCTAGATGGTCAATGTGTAGGGTATCCAATGGCGAGCATTCTTTTCTTATAGGGTTCAGAAACCCTTCTTGCTTACCTTCTTTCCTTGTAGCCAATAAACATGGTATGCATGTGATTACAAATTCCTCTAACTTCCTGTCTATGTCCTTTATATAATAATCTCGACTTATTAATTCTTTCATTTTTCTTTTTGAAAAATGCCCCTTGCTATGTATTCTCATTATAATTTCTCTTTCTAAATCTTTAGGTATGACCAACAATTTTTCTGGACCTCTGTAGAGTAAATCTCCATCTTGTGAGTAATCCTTGTATGACTTCTCTTTAAGTATCTCTTTGATTGCTCTGATGCCATCGTCCTGATCTTGAGCTTGCTTAATCTGATCTTTTAAGGTTGTTACTGTAGCTACATATGGATATCGGCTGAGAGCATCAGCATGACGCATTTTCTCCCCAGCTCGGTGCTCCACTTCAAAGTCATATTCATTAAGCATCAACACCCACCTTGCAACTTTAGCTGTCAGATCTCTCTTCATCAGGGTTTGCTGAAAAGCTTTACAATCGGTTACTAACTTGAAATGTTTTCCATACAAATAATGACGGAATTTTTTAATCCCTTCTATAATAGCCATAGCCTCAAGCTCATAACTCGAATACCTACTTTGAGCTTCATTTGTCTTACGGCTCATATAATGTACTGGATGTAGGCCAGTATTAGGATGATACTGCATGAGAATAGCTGAAATCGCCATACTCGATGCGTCTGTATGTAATTCAGTTTTAAGATTTGGATCAAATATTTTTAAGACAGGACCTATAGACAACTTTTCTTTCAAGGTAATAAAAGCCTCTTTATGCTCTTTACCAAAAACAAAATCAACACCTTTCTTTAGCAAATCATATAGTGGTCTTGCAATAATGGCATACTGCTCAATGTATTTCCTAAAATAGGAGATCAGCCCTAAGAAACTATGAAGTTGCTTACTTGTACTGGGTTCTGGAAATTTCATTACTGCATCAGTCTTCTCGGTAGTTGGACGTACCTCACCATTTTTGATTACATGACCCAAATATTCTATTTCTGGCTGTATTAGCTTTGCTTTTTTCCAGTTAATCCTCAGCCCATATTGTGAAGCTATTTCTAGAACTTGCTTTAGGCGCTGCAATGCTTGCCCTTCATCGATTGCTGGAATTATAATATCATCTATAAAAATCATCATTACTTTCTGGGCTAGTAGCTCCCGGAAGATTAACAAACCTCATAAAATATTTAGGACTAATTGAAAGCCCAAATGGTGCTCGCAGAAACTCAAACTGCCCATGATGGGTAACAAAGGAGGTATATGGAATTGATTCTTCATTGATTTTTAAATGGAAGAATCCATTTTTTAAATCAAGCACACTAAACACTCTGGCTTGAGATAACCTATCAATAAGATCATCGATAATCGGCAGGGGATATTCATCTTTTACAATTTTTGAATTGAGCTGCCGGTAATCCACACATACACGGGTGGTACCATCTTTCTTTTTCACTAACACCAGTGGACTAGAGTATTCAGAGAAACTTACCCTTATGATTCCATCATTCAACCATTCCTCGATTTGTTTTTCTACAATACCTTGCTCCATAAGAGACAATCGTCTAGGCCGCTGTGCTATGGGTACATCATCCTTTAATATAATTTTGAGCTCCAGAGGGGCTTCTTTAACTTGGACTGGATGATAGCTATCTATATACCGGTAAACTTCCTGTTTAATTAATGGATCCTTGACATGCTCCACCAAAGTTTCTACTACACCTGTAATGCAATTTACTTTAGTCAACCACTCATCCTCATTTCTAAATATAGTTACGCTTCCCTCATTCATTAACAATGTTACACCTTTCAAAAACTCATGACCTATAATTATATCATAAGGCATACAGTCTCTAGGTATAATATGAAACGTGACACCGTCGTAGCTCTGTCCATCTATAGTAAATAACGTTGTTATTTTGCCTAAAGATCGCACTTGTGAACGTCCAAGCCCGGTTAATGTTAGACCGCTGACATTAAAGTCTACATTAAATAATCTCGCACACATCTCCGCCGAAATCAGATTTACGTCACTGCCCGAATCTATTAACGCATTAGAACTATGATTTTTCGCCACTATCACGGTTTTCACCGGTTTTCCGATATTTTTAACGCACTGAAGTTCTTTGTTTACAATTTGCATAACTTCTGAATTGACACTTGACGTAGACGTTACGATGACGTTTTCACTGTCATGGCCGCTTTCACACTCGCACTGATTGGCTGTCGACCCGAACATATCCGAACGCTGTTTTACCGACAGTGAAGTTGCCGATGTTCCACGACCCGGAAAAGCACGAAGTTGACTCGAAGACTGCTTTATCGACGTCTCGTTGTTACGAGTCTCGAACTTTGCGTTTGCGCCGACAGAGGCGCTGCCACCGCTTTCAATGCGACCAATCAGAGGGCACCGCGATGCAATATGGTTCCCAAACCGATTACACCGGAAACACTTTATCCCTCTCGTACACTGGCTTGCTAAATGCTTATCTCCGCAATTATAACACCGACGAGTGAATGATGATGCCTCTGATTTTTTCTTTACAGCCGACTCGACCCGCACTTCTTTCTTTTTGTCTGTCTGCATCTTTTCATAGATGATAAGTTTCTCCTTGAGAGCGCTGTATGTTGTGACGCCATATAATATAACTTTATTTACTTGCAAGTCCTCGATGCCGTCGATTATGTATTGAATAGCGACGTAATCGGGAAATTTCGCTCGTTTCCCTAATTCCTTCATGGCTAGCATATATTGATAATAGCTTTCGTCTTTCCTTTTTTTTCTAGCCGCCATCAACTCATGCATCTCTTTAGTGTTGATGACCTCGGGAAATTCCCTTTGCAAAGCCGCCTTCAGTTCGTCATACGTCTTAAAAACTTTTTCAGCTTTTAGCCAAAGGCCTGCCGTGCCACACAACGAACGCCTAGCTATTATAAGTTTTTGTTGTGGTGTCCAGTTAAATATCTCAGCATTATCTTCGATATCCTGAGCCCATTTTGTTGATGAGTAGGATTTGTCCTCTCCATTGAACTGAGCTACGGCTCCCTCGAAGTTATAAAACATGGCGGCCGCCGCCGCATGCGAACTCGCCACGATGTCTTTTTTACTGCCGTCTTCCATCGTCTTCGTCTTTAATTAATCTCTTTTTTTTTTCTTGTCAAACTTAAACGTCTTCTCCGTCGTTCGGACTCCGCGTCCGCGTCGTAATAATGAGATCGAACCGCTTAGCACGTGCACCGCACCGCCTCGTGGACGCCCGCGCCGATCGCTTCGTTTTTTCGTCTTCTTTTCCGTCGTACACTTTTACCTTGAGTAATCCCGGACGAGCCTCCAAATTTGTGGGAAAATACTCAAAGTAAAAGACAGTGAAATTTTCTTCTTAAATATTTATTAACTTCTTCCGTCTTAGCTCGTTCACACCGTCTTACACACTATCCTTCATCTTGCATCTTTTGTTCCTTTCTCTCCCATACCTGTTGTTCCTTTCACTCACTCTTACGTTCCGTTCCCCACATATATGTATTAGTTTTAAATTTATTTATATATTGTATTATTTTTAATAATATGTTCTGGTTTTAATTACGTTTATAAGTTATGTGTATGTTACAATGTATTGTTTTTCATAACTCTTAATACTTAATTATTATGTTACATAATAAATACTGTCTCCCATGCCCATAGGTTGACTAAGAGAAATCTCTTCTAGGCCTAAGTCCACCTTTGCTCATCTAATATATTTAAACGAGCAATTCTTGTATATATATATATATATATATATATATATATATATATATATATATAAACGATCTAATATATTTAAACATCATCATCTAATATATTTAAACAAGCAATTCTTGTATATATATATATATATATAATCTGAATCTCGGAAACGGCTCCAACAATTTTCAGGAAATTTAGTACACGGGAGGTTTCGGGGGCGATAAATCTATCTAGATTAGTCTTATGTTTGGGAAAACGCGTGTTTTCGAATTTTCATGCGGTTTTCTTTTCCATTTTCCCAATTTTTGCATTGTCAGTTGTCACTTCTGGTGGGTGGGAGGCGTCACTGTGCAACTGTCAACATCGTGTCCGTATTTACATCAAGGTTAAAAATAAACAATATGTAAACATCACCAAGTCTTGAAGTGTTGAAGAACAAATTAGCTTTTAAAAATTCACCTACCAAACAAATACAAAAGTGACAAACCTAACATAATAGATACTATCAGTGCAAAATCATCTTTTCTGTGTGTGATGACAATAAAACAAAATAATTTGTGAAGTGAAAGCGTAAAATATTAAAACATAAGTTTATTTCCTCCAAAACTAATACTTGGTATAAAATTGCAATTCAACTATAGGCAATAGGTATAATTGGTTCTCTTTTTCAATCAGCTTTTGTACTTCCAACTTCACACTTAAAATGGAGGACATAAAAAAGTTGTTAATAAACATGCAACAAGAAATAAGACAGCAGAAAACAGAAATGTTAGAAATGAAAGAAGACATTAAAAATACAATCAACAATAATATACTTAAATTAGAAATTTAAACACTTATTTAAAAAATATTAAGTTCTTGATAAACAGATCCAGGAACAATGTAACTCAATAAATAATTTAGAAAGACATATTAGGCGCAAGAACTTGGTTATGTTCAGATAGAAGAAGGTGAAAAATCCTATCATGAACTAGAGGAAAAAATAAAGTCTTAAACAAACGCAAGTAGTTACAAGCCCAACTGAAGATAAAAAAAAGACCTAGGCAAAACAGCTTTCATTAAATATGGCAAACTAATTGTTGTGGATAATAATAAGAACACTTCTCACCAATACTCAAATAAAAGAAGTCTGTCTGTATCTCCAGAAACACCTTACCTCTATAATAAACAAAAACAAACAAATAAACAACATTCAGAGAAAACTAAACCTGCTAATATTAAAGACTTTATATTACAAAAACCAAAATTAACTTTCAACCGCACAAATGATAACCAGGAACAACTACAAACAACACAGCAAGATACAGTATATTAAACACAGTAGGAACCTCCTCATCTTTATCCCCCAGTATAACCGGTCACTGTGGGGGAGTTCGACCGTAGCCCTCCAAGGAAAAACAGACATACAATGAACAAAGGTATACATATCTTCACCAGAAAAACTTCTAGAATTAAAAGCAGCATTTCCTACAACAAATCAAAAGAACACAAAGATAAAATTATAAAATTTATAGGCATATCAGAAACAAATTATATATTAGAAACAAAATTTGAAAAGAAACCTTTTGCAATCATACATGCATAATCTCCAACGGAGAGCTCTATGCAGGACTACTTTGGAGGAGGCTTTCAACTGAGAGGGTCATACATGAAAAAGACATTTACTAAACAAATCCATTTAATTATGACATTAAATACCTAATTTATAACTATTGTGAGAATTAATGTATGGAAAGAAATTTTATTTACATTTATTATTGTGAAATGTTTAGTATTTACTCAATTGAATTATTTAATTTATTGTGATTGTTTATTTATTTATTTGTTTAATGATAATTTCTATATATACAATATCATTTCAAATAATATTAAAGATTTTTAAAATAATTTAAATCCAGATTACAAAATTATTTGTTAAAAAATTATAAGTTAATAAATAGTCACTAACCAAACATTGAAGTTAAATTAAATATAATCAAATAAGTTATAAATATGATCTGTTAAAAAGAAATGTTAAAAATTATTAATTAGGTAAGAGTAATTATAATTTATAATTATAAGTAAGCATGTATAGAATAAATAAAGCTTTATTATTATTATTTCTTTTGCATTATTCCACACAAAATATTATGTTCGATAATTTCGCACGCTCAGATATAAGCATCATGGTCAAGCGGCCAATGCGCAAGTTTGACAACCACAGGTGTCTGGGGTCGTATTCCGATCGGACACAAAGTTTTTAATTTTGTTTTTTTTTTCGTATTTATTCAAATTCTTTGTTTGTTTTTTTTTAAATGTTATTTTGGCCAAAAACTCCGAGCGAAGCTCGGTCGCCCAGGTACTGTCTAATAACATGCAAAATCTGTATTGTTTTTCATAAGTGCAATAAAGAAAATATATGTTTGATAAGAATATATTGCTTAGGTTAAAATACGATGAATCTGGCATGTCCTAAAAGGATAAAAGCCCCTAAATAAAAGTACAGATAAAAAATAAATATCTTGAATATAGATATCACACTATACTAAAGGAAGATCTAATGACTAAACACACACACTGTAGCCAATAACGACCAACTTCATACTGTAGTCTAAATCGGCCGCATCGTAAAATATTCACTCTCATTATTTTTTCATAACGCGCCTAAAATATATTGCCAGAGTTTTCTTAACTTGGTTACATTCTTGCACACGTGATATAGCCATACTACTTATATGGGACTTTTGGCCAATTCACTTTGTTTTACCACCTGGCGCCTGTGTTGATTTAAAGATATCATATAATATTACTTATGTTACATGTTGTTTACTAGATATAAATATTTGTCTCACCTGGTTTTGCTGAATTCCTGACATTTAATTTCAAAAAATGAACAATTATGAAAAATCCAACAATATTGACTCTTGCTAGCTTATTTAAAAATTGTTCTATTTTACAGTTGCTCATGATCGATTAAGATTTCATCCCAGATGTGGAATACTCGTGAAGCTCTCGTTGAATAACAAGTAAGTCGTTTAAATTTCGATAAAATATTAAATAGCTTGAGATAGGTATTAAATATACTGTACAAGTGTACAATAATAATGGCCTCACGACCGATCCTGAACTTAGCCATCTGTGCAGGAAATATTTTAGTGAAAAATACGCAAGCAAACTCAAATGCACTCTGTTTAATAGAGCAATGAGACGGCACTTCGACACTTACGGCCGGTTTAGACTAACAAGATCATCAAGGCATTCCCTACTCGTCATCGCCGAATTCGGTCAAACTTATGGAAGCTTGGCTAGAAATAAAAGTACCCGAAGTGGGAGCTTCAGATGGCCAAGTGTACAGAGAATAAAAAAATTGCGATTATTAAAAAATGACGTCGTATATGCTTTTTGCATATGAATAAATAAAATAAATTATTAATTTCTTTGCATAATTGGAAAATGAATACTATAAAAATTGAGAAAAAGAAAAATGTTCTACACACGGGAAATCAAACCTACGATCATCGAATTTGTAGTCTGAGCTCTTATCACTACGTTACTCGTGCTCGGCATGTTAACTAAACTAAGTGGTTCATAAGGTGCAAAACATTTTTATTCTCTATAAGTTTGACCGAAATCGGTGATGAAGAGTAGGGAATGCCTCCTTGTAAGATACTATAAACGGTATACTCAGTGTATACATCGAATGTACCGTGTATATTGCCTCGGCACGGGGATGTAATACCGCCAACTTTGAACAAAAAGTGGACATTTCCCTTTTAGCCTAATAGAATTTCAAATAAAACAAAAACAACACGTTACTTGCATTTTGTCTATTTAACGATGATAATGATTTTTATCTGTTTTAAGGAAAAATCTATTAAATATGCTTCAAATTCAATGCATAAAAAGATAATAAAATTAATAAGTAGGTGCTTGTTGTAATCTAAACGAGTCGATTATAGTTTATGAAAGGCGTTGAAAAATACGACATAATCGGCGACCTGAGTCTTAATCCCGGTAAATGCTAAGCATTTTGAGCGTTTCCTTGAACTGCACTATGTCGTGTTGGCCTAAGAGCCTGTGAACGCCAGACCTTCGTCATTTTATAAAAGCTGAAAGTTTGTCAGCGCATGCTCCCAACGCAGATAAGAACGATGGACCATTATGAAGTTCAGGCTATGGTGGCTTTGGCAGGTACACGGTACTAAAGGTGTGTAAAATACCGATCTAAATTTGCCAAATAATAAAGTGTGATGTAACTTCAATAACCAAGATAGTGAATTTCAAAATGGCCGACATACAAATTAAAGTAAAATGAACGGAACCCCTCTGTGGGAGTCTGACTCGCACTTGACCGGTTTTTAGTTAAAAAATAAGACTTTATGTTCTCTAGGATGTATTATGAATATATACTTAATTTATGTACAGGACAGCAGAAAGGGCTCGAGCATTGGATGATTACAATAATGGCGTCGTGATGACGCACAGACCTTTATACGATAATGAATTGTTTGAAATTCGCATAGATAGACTTGTTGATAAATGGAGTGGGAGTATAGAGGTAACTGTCCTGATTAATCGTTTGCTAACTTTTTATATAACTAAAAATCATTATGAAAATAATCTTTAATTTATTTGGAGATCACAAAGTTATGTTTAATATAAAAATAAAAGTAGATATACATAACCAACTATTTACTTCTAAAATAGAACTAAAGGTGTCTGCCCACTACACCGTTTCATACCATGACCGTGCTCTGAACGTATCAGACACGGATCGAACATGGACTACTATGCCCACTAGAACGTATCAACAACATATCATAGCCGTACATAACGGTTTTAGTGCTGCGTATGCTAAGCATTGCGCCCGCGACGCTCCGTGCACGGCACGCGACGGCGCCGGTCGGTGACGGAACGGTCTAGTGGGCAGAGTCTCATACTTTTCAATACAAAGAATATTTTTTTGTTTAACATGGTCCTAGCACGGTCGTGGTATGAGACGGTGTAGTCGGCAGACTCCTTAAACCGACTACCTCGAAGTATTGCTATAGATGATAAAGTTGACCCCTACTACTAAGTAAAATAAAAAAAAATATGTAGATGAGGATGAAATTACAATAGTAATATGCTCTATAGGTTGGTGTAACAACTCACAACCCGGCCACTATAAGGTTCCCATCGACTATGACGAATATGGACTCCGGCACCATAATGATGTCGGGATGCAAAGTGCTACTCAATGGACATGGAACCTGTATGGAATATGGCAACTTCAATCTTGATGAACTTAGAGTATGTTTATATTTTTTAATAAATGTTAAGATTAATTTTGATGCTTTCATTTTTTCTGTTTGGCCATTTTTTTTGGAAAATGCTTTTTTAAAAATTAATATTAAAGGATTAATTCGTTGAAATTTTTTGTCAGTGTTGTTGTAGCTAAATAAAGATATATTAATTAGAATGCTACAAAAGTAATTATTATATTAAATATTAATATAACATATATAACAAAAATAAATGAGCAATGATATATGTTTGTCAATGGTAAAATCTGAAGCCATAGGGATAAGCTTTATAAATGTTATTCTATTTCTTTATTCCACGACACAATGTTTCTTTTAAAGAGCAATGAAAATATACAAGTTTGTCAAGAAAACCGGGTATAAAAGTAGTTTTGCGCTAATTTTATTCCAAATTTCAACATGACTGTTCGATTTGTAAAAACAAAAATCAATGGAAGAAGCTACTAATTACAAATTTACTGTTTTTATATTGCCTGTCATACATTTTTTATAACCGGTCGCGTTTTATTTACCACCAGCTTTAAAATATTTTTTTTTCATCTCTTTAACATTCGTGGGTTTCATTGAAAGTACAGAAATAAAGAGGTGTTGAAATAACATTAAAGTTGATGTATAATGTTCTCGCTAAGAAGAAAAACATCTAATATATTACTACAGGCAGGTTATGTGTGCTTGAGTAACTAACATACAAATAACCAACAGACATCCAAATATCTCTGAAACATAAAATTATTAATAAAAGTATTTATAAGATAGATTTATACACTTTATTTTATAAAAAATATATATACATACTTTTCATTGTTAATGAAATTGACTCCCTTAAAGTGCTATTGCTTACATTGGCTGTAATAATCTTTCTTCTAACATTGGAAAAACAAAATATGTATTGGCAAAACAACTATGTTTTCTAATAAAAGATACATGTGTTGGTAAAGAAGGTATGAGAGAGAGAGAGAGAGAGCTTATAAGTTCCTTGTATTTTTAAATATATATGTGATAATAAACTATATGCAAAAAGCTTTAATAAATTAACTAATTTACGAAATATAAAAAGATAGATAGTTTTAATCGCTTCAGGCTCGGAACAGCGTAAATTTTCTTTGCTGGAAAGTTATTCTATGTTTCAAAGCTAAGCATTTTACTGGACTACTATAATAATTGCGATAATTTGTATGTGTATGTATGTTTGTTACTCTTTTACACTAAAATGGCTGGACGGGTTGGAATATAATTTAGTACACAAATATAGTATGACCTGGCTACGTGTTAAACGGACAAAGCTATGGTATGTCACTAGTATATACACTAAAAATTTTCGACACGTTTGGCTTAGTTTGTAGTGACCCCTACTTGCTATGCCAGCGGTTGCGGGTTCAAGTCCCGCTGGGAGCATACATTTGTGCTGTGTGAGCTCGAACGTTTGTACTCGTCATGGGTATTCATATTTATAATATGTATGTGTGCATTTAAAATTACATATGTGTAGTGTATCAACTATTTGGTATCCATAACACAGGCCTTCGTAGCTTACCATGGAACTTGACGATGCTGTATGTTAATGTCCCAACATATTTATTTATAAAAATATATATTCCTTCTAGGAGGGCGATACGGTGGGTATGATGAGGAAGTCCAACGGCAAACTACACTACTTTATAAACGGCATCGACCAAGGCGTCGCTACCGATAAAGTGGAACAGCAAGTGTGGGGCGTCGTAGACCTCTATGGAATGACTGTCAAAGTGAGAACAGTTTTTTATATGGAACCTTGATGTATATTATTTTTAAATAAACTTTCATTAACGTTATAGATTTAAACATGTCACTCGCATAAGACTAATATTCGTCAGAAAATAAATTGTATTATATATTCTTTTGAGGAATAAAATATAAATGAATATTTAATCTTATAATAATTTATCAGCGCTTTCACAATTAATTTTATTTAACTTGCCAATGGCATGCAGTCTAACAGAGTAGTATTGTGACATCAGACTGTCTGTAGCTTAATTTTTTAAAATTTAAAAATTATTAGTAGCATATTTTCATGTGCGAATCATTTCTAACATGATGATCACTTGCCTTACGGTGAAGAAAAACATCGAGAGGAAACCTGCATGTCTGAGAGAATCTAGCAAGATTTCGAAAGACAACGTGATGGAATAGCCTGATTCCCCTCGTATTGAAGTGAGGCCCGTGCCCAGCAGTGGGACGTTTAAAAGGGCAATGGAAAATCTTATTGAAATTGACATTATTATCGACACAGAGGCCGAATCTATAGTTTTTAGAATTTTTGTCTGTCTGTCTGTCTGTTACCGCATTACAGAAAAACCACTGAAGGGATTTTGATAAAATTTGGTATGGTGATATCTGGTTATCCGGGTCAACATATAGGATACTTTATACCGCGGGAAAATATATCATTTCTGAGAAAAAATACAAAAACTGCTATGCAAGAGTATATTAAAATGTAAAACCTAAGAATTTGCTTTTTGGTCATCAGAACGCGGGTGGAGCCGCGGGCAATGCTAGTATTTTATAAAATATTTACTTTATGCAAAAATATTTTATACTGTCATTAATCATCGTAAATAAACACCTCCATTGTTGCTGTTAAGTCAAGTTTTAATTATTCGGTTATAGGTATCAATAGTAGATCCATGCGAGGATATCGACAGTAACATCAATAACATTCCAACTGTATCAAGTGTGCCCGATCTGCCTGCACCTGCTAGTAAGTGTTTTAAAAAAATATCAGTTATCTCAGCTTATTTTATGTGTGTCAGTAATAAAAGATATATTTTTAAATAACAAAAAATACACGTGAGTTCTAAATAGCCTTAAAAGCAATGTATAATTTATCCCAAGGCTTATTTACTAGAAATTAATATAACTGAGACTGATTAAAAATGAGAACTGAGAACACTGCCTCTTCATCTTTTTTTGTAATGGCTTAACTATAATTAAAATTATGCATAATTATTATCTGTATATATAAATATTATAAAATTAAAAGTTTGTGGGTATGGATGTTTGTTACTCTTTCACGCCAGAACGGTTAGACGGATCTGGATGTAATTTGGCACAGAGATTGATTATAGTCTGGAATAACACATAGGCTACTTTTTATCCCGGAAAAATGTACGGTTCCCGTGGGACTGTTTTTGTTAGATATAATTTTGTATGGTAGTTTTGTTAATACTTATTCGTTTTTATCAGGTATGTTCAGGCCACAGATAGACGAAGATAGCCTTTTATTTCATACGCTGCGTGATTCGTATGTTATTATTATTAACGATGGTAAGACTGCTCATAGGCCTAAGTAAGTACATTTGATGATTTCTAATTTACAGTCTATTTCACTGTTTGCATTTAATTTTTAAATGATTAAAGTAAAATATTGTGCGAACATCGTATTTCTAAGAGATTGATTAAGTTTCTTCTTTAAGTACATTTTAAAAATGATCTTGTAAATAGTGAAATGGTAATACCAAAACGATTTAATACATAATCCAACGGAACATTTAGTAACAAAACATTCGATTCCAGTGCTTTCGAATTCTTCAACAACAGCGTAGTGATGACGAACAGAACGCTGCGTACCAACGAGTTGTTCCAAGTGCGGCTCGACCTGGTGATCCCCAAGTGGGCCGGAAGCATTGAGATAGGAGTCACGCAGCACACTTCCAATGATATGCAGTATGAATTCAGAATGAGCAACGCCATGTATGTCCTAACTATATCTGAAATTTGTGTGTGTATGTGTGCGCAACATTATTGCACACAAGCACACACACACTTAATAACAAGGTTATTGGAGGTGTGTTTGCTTGTACGTGTGTGTGTTATAAATATATGAATTGTACATGAAAAAGGATGTTTACTATTCGTTAAAAGTATGTTTACATATAGTAATCACTTATAGTAAATTTTGTAACTTTGTCTCCGTAACTTTTGAATGATTCATTTCTTCAAAAAATTTTTTGTTATAAATAGACTTCCTATCACCTCTATCCAAAAACACCACACACTTCTTCAGCGGCCGCGTCCTATATACTAAACTGCCACAAAAACATATAAAATCTATACATATAATAAAATTGTAAGTATACCGAATCTGTACATTAAATATTTTTTGGAAAGTCTTATTGGAACAGTCATTATATATCGATACAGAGGCCGAATCTATACTTTTTAAAATTTTTGTCTGTCTGTCTGTCTGTGGCCGCATTACGGAAAACCCACTAGAGGGATTTTGATGAGTATGATGATAGCTGATTATCCGGGTCAACATATAGGATACTTGTCTCGCGGGAAAATATCTCATCTCTGAGAAATCTATACTAAATGTTAAAACGTAATGAGCCGCTAGTATTATATAAAAATAAAATACACCGTGTATTTCTATACCATAAATAATATGTATTATTTTTAGCTCGGGCACTTGGGCAATGTCAGGAGAAGACGTTATAAGAGACTCGACAATCATGATACCGCGTTATGTTAAAAGTCTCAATGGACTAGTGGTAAGTCTGATTTGATTATGAAAATAATTAAAAAATATATTATAATAATTAAATTAAATATTAAATTTATATAATTATCTTTTTAATAAATGAATCACATTTTCACATTATTGCATTTCACATAACTTGACATTTATGATCCCAAATTTGTTTGAATCCTAAAATAATACACTATAATAAAATGTACCAAAAACTTATTTGTATAGTATTATTATATATATAAAATGACACGCAAAAATGTATTAAGTTATGTTATAAAGCGATAGTCTCTCTTCAAACATAGGAAGGCGACACGGTGGGTGTGATGAGGAAAGATATGGGCATTTTGCATTTTTTTGTAAACGGAGCGGATCTGGGGCCGGCCGCATTTAACGTTCCTGAACATGTATTTGGGATTATTGGTTTGTACTTTATACAATGTACATATTTACACACTTTTTATTAATAATTATTTATTTTATTCAAATATTTTTATATTAAGTTTTTAGGTAAAAAGAGTGTTTTAGTCTCTTTTAAATATAACCTAAGCTTAATGAATAACACACACGCAGAACTAGAAGTTAAAACTTAGTTTTAAATATCTGTTTATATTAATTTTTATTGAAATGCACACAGACAGCCTTTTCGTTTGAGGCACGCATGAACAAAAAGTGACGGAAACTGAAAATTGCCCATTACATCTATATATATATATTAAAACTGTAGAGGTCGAATGTGTGTACATAGAAAAAAAATGCTAAAAACCGAGTCAGGGGGATGTAAGAAGAGAAATAGAACAAATCCAGATTTTTTTAATTTTTTTTTCTCTGTCTGTCTGTTTTTACGGGATAATCTCCGAAACTGTTGGACCAATTTAAATGAAATTTTACATGGTGGTACCTTATATCCCCGGTCAACTTTTTAAATACTTTTTATTTCGAAAAATTAAAGAAAAGAAAAGAAAAAGAAAAATTAAAGTGTTCCCCGTGGGATAGTTAAAAAACGATAATAACTTATACAGCTTAGTACACAACCACTTATGCACCTAATTTAGTAAAATTTGGCATGCTGATACCTTATATTGCCGGTCAAACAACAGGTTACTTTTTATCCCGCAAAAATGAACGGTTCCCGTGGGATAAATCTGTTTGTGCTTTCCAAAATAAAAAAAAATTCCAGTTCCAAAATAAATAAGCACATAAAAATAATTAGCTGTGCTTTTTTACAGATTACAATAAATTTATTTTTCCTACATTCTTCCATAGATCTGTATGGACGAGCAGCGCAAGCGACGATAGTAGACTCGTATTATCCGCCGCCAGGCTACTCTCCAGAATCACCGATTTCTACAGAATCTAATGCTACGATATATCCGTGAGTTGATTTTTTTTGTTACTTTAATTATTATTTTTTATCTTATTTAAGTTATAGTTTATATTTTTAGGTATAGTTTTAAATATTTAATTCAAAAAACATTATAAAGGATATATCCGGATAAGTATAGCGAACCGGTCCCCTAATGACAACCAAATATCGAAACATATGTCAATAAGGTATTGATGTAGAAAAGCGATTTATATGAGTTACACTGTCGTCCTCCGCTTTGACCTTGAGATATGAAGAAAAATGAGCGTAACCACGAGTTTCGTTCAAAAGGGTATATCTCGGAAACCTTCGAAGCTAGGAACCTCAAACTAATGCGATGTTTTAGGTAACCTTTGAGAGCATATTATGTATTTTTTTTAGATTTTTAAAATAATTACAACCCTTTAAAAGAAATAAAGATACAACTATTATTATTTCAGTGTTCCTTGAGACTTACAAACACAAAAATATATACTCGTATATGTTATAGTATTTGATATACAGTAGTACACATAAAAAAAAAATATATCGTTTGAAAAAATTGGTGCAACATTACGAAAAATAAAATCCATGCACACCAAATACATATATCAACGAATAGGAACGTCTTCGTATTATGCGTCTATAACACTTATTGATTATAATTATTATAAAAGATACAAGAAAAAAACCATGCATTTATTTTATATTTATAATATATTTTTATACATTTTTTATGAAAATTAATATAAAACAAATTTAATCATCATCGCTGTTATTAATTACATGTGTAATATTTTGAGTCTCAAATATATTTGTTAGTACCTCAGCAGGAAGTACAATTCTGGATACTATATATTGGTATAGATACTAATATTATAAAAAGGTAAAGTTTGTGAGTTTGTGACGTTGTAGGGGGTTATCTCTGGATCTATTGAACCGTTTAGTTGAAATTTGCTAAGAAGATAGTTGGAGACCCTGGGAAGGACATAGGATACTTTTTATCCGGAAATCATCCCTTAAGGGGATGAAAATGTGAATGAAAGTTTGAATGGGGAATCAAGCTTAGGACGAACCCGAGCGAATCGAGGGTGAATCGCTAGTATTAATGTATATAAAGATAAAATTTAGCATGAACTAAGCTTTTCCATTTAATTCCAGTGAGATGTGCTTCCACCGTGTACACGGTCGTAACGCGAGGTTGAGTAGGACGCGTCTCACCGCGTCCAGAGCGGCCGTGTACTCGGAGTTCAACGATGCAGTGCTATTCAGTTCACGCCCGCTCCGCGAATGTGATATGTTTGAACTGCGAATAGATTCTATGGTGGATTGTTGGATTGGCAGCTTGGAAATAGGTAATTCTGGGTTCACACAGCATTATCCTGCACGTTTTTTGCAGTATACGTCTTATTGAATATATAGTGGCACATACATTGTACATAGAACCGTTCACACGTCTTTCGTACTGCAAAAAATCGTACACCGTTTATATGTTTAACCGAATACTCACCGGACTTTTCAAGCAAATATAATGAACTTCAACGTATCCACTACAGGTGTGACGGCAATACGTCCAGACGATCTGGAAGCGAACGGTCTAGCGGGGACTGCGACGGATCTCAACTGGGACACATATATACTGAGTGGGGCCGCTATGATGAAAGACGGTGAATGTGTTAGAAGCGGATATCCACTTGATCTGGATACTCTTACAGTCGGCAGTCGTGTTGGTAAGTATATTATAAGTATGGTATAAATATTTCTTGTATTCAGCCATTTTCAACGTCCCACTGCTGGGCACGAGCCACCCTTTAATACGAGGAGGATCAGGCCATAGTCCACCACGCTGGCCAAGTGCGGGTTGGTGGACTTCACATGTCTCTCGAAAACTTGCTAGGTTCCCTCAGACATGCAGGTTTCCTCACGATGTTTTCCTTCACCGTAAGGCAAGCGGTAATCATGTTAGAAATGATTCGCACATGAAAATATCAGAGGTGCGAGACCCGGGATTTGAACCCGCTTCACTCAAGTGTCCCAAGCGAGCGCGTTACCACTGGGCTACTACTGCCTATAAAATATTTCTTACCTTAATATGTACTCTGATACGTTATCTGAAAGGCGTTCACGATATATAATTATTAAAAATATATTTTTTTTATAAATAAATTTGTTGTTGGGACATTAACACACAGCACCATCTAGTTCCATGGTAAGCTACGAGGCCTGTGTTATGGATACCAGATAGTTGATACACTACACTTTGTTGTATTATAAGTATATACACCCATGACTGGAGTACAAGGAACCCGCTACCGCTGTTACAGCGAGTAGGGTCACTACAAACTGAGCCAAACGTGTCGTCAAAAATTGATCGGACACTCAGTGTATAGTCAGGTTTGTCCTCAGTCTATAGTAAGTCAAGTCGTAAATTCAACTCGGAAACTTTTATTTATGATAGTATTCGTCTAATGTTTTAGCGTCAATACTATAGTTTTTCTCAAACAGGTTGTTTCTGAGTGATAGCTTGCATTGAACAAATCGCGAGTTATATGTTGTAATACGTTAGATCGTATTAAAATTATTTTAACACAATATGTGTATTAAAATACGAAAAAGAGTATTTTAATACACATATATATCTTGTAAAAGAGAGTTTATAATCAATACAAATGAATATAACGATATAGCTTTAATTTTGTAACAGGTATGATGTGGCACGCCGATCGTAGTCTACATTATTATTTGGATGGTATGGATATGGGGAAGGCTTGGTATGTTCCACATCTCAATATATACGCTGTGGTCGACCTCTATGGACAATGCACTCAGGTAAACTTTATTATTTGTCAAGAATTGCATTAAATATTATTATTATTTAGGAAGGTATCATCACTTTTATGTAGTAGTTTTATTAAGCAGCAAATAATTTTACAAGTTGATAATTTTTTCTCTTAGGTAACAATACTCCAAAATGAGGAAAGGGCTTTTAACTATAATGGATGCACCTCAGACAATTCTATATTAAGTAACTCTAGAGCTTTAGCTACACCTCCTCCGCCGTATTGGTATGTACATAAAAATGGTAGTTGCATGGTTCTTATTAAGAGTGACTATTTTATCTTTCATACTATTGCTTTGATATCGGTAGGAGTTTCTCGGAATATTGTGGCGAAAACATTGTACTGATGCATGACTACACTCTGGCAAGGCGACTCATACCTGACCCAATGGCAGCTTTGGTCTTCAGTTCTACTCATCTTGCTGTAGGCGAGATATTTGAGGTACATTTTTTTATAATATTGACATTTACTTATTTTTTTACCACAATATATTTTTGAGTAAAGAATTATTATAACTTAAATTAAATTACAACAACAGATTATATTATTGTAGCGACTCATCCTCGCTTCGCTCGGGTTCGTCCCTGGCTTGCTTCCCAATACAAACTTTCATCCCAATTTTCACCCCCTTAAGGATGTTTTCTGGAATAAAAAGTATCCTATGTCCTTCCCAGGGTCTTAAATAATCTTCTTACCAAATTTCATCTAAATTGGTTCTGTAGATCCAGAGACTACCACCTACAACGTCAGAAACTCACAAACTTTACCTGTTTATAATATTAGTATAGATATATTATGTTTTGTTGTTTTAACAGATAAAAATAGTAGCATGCAAATACGGCTACGCAGGCAGTTTCCGTATGGGCGTGACTGACGTGAACATATTGAACGCGCACGTCAACCGTAGCCTGCCCCCTTCCGTCGCCTGTCTCCCGCACTACACTGCCTATATAGATGGTAATAGTAACTAACTGGCCAGATAGACTTTCAGTTCATATAAAAACATTTTTTTCGTTCGTTTCGTTTTTTTGTTCGTACATTTTAAAATACTACAAGTGTTGTTTAACTAAAAGTAATTTACAGGAAGGTATATGCGTTACTCTAAGCCCGGTACCAGAAAGCAAGAATTGAAAGTGATTGTGCCTTCATTTGAATGGCTGAGAGCTGGTGATCGAGTCGGATTTAAGAAAACTATTGATAATCGAGTTTTAGTTTACTACAATTGCGAACTTCTCGATACTGCGTTTGAACGAGTGCCTGATGTAAGTTAATGTTCTAGATATTTCCATGGACATGATCGACATGTTCTTGTAATTTACAATTCAAAGAATGTTTTTTTTGTTATGTTTTTATAGAAAGTCTACGTGGTGATGGAGATTTTTGGTGCGGTTTACAAGATTCAAGCTGTGACTAGAGGAAATCCGGCGGTAGTTCTGCCACCGACAAGTATGTACATTTAATTTTAACTTTATACGCAATAGCACATATTTATATAATACATTTATGTAGTTAATGAAATTTAATAAGACAATTTTGCTGAACCTGTTATAATTCAAATAACTTTGTTTGCATTAAAAAAAATGTTAGAAATAATTCTTTGCTTCAGTTGATAAAACTTGTCCTTTTCTCACATAATGTGGATATAAAATAGTTGCAGTTATTCGACACTGTATTGGAAGTGCCGAAAGCGCTCATTAAAATTTTGAAAGAACGCAATCTAATATTATGTTCCTCTGCAAAATTCATAATAACCGCAATAACTAAACAGAACCGATTGATTTTTTGACGACCAAGTTAGATTTTTTCCTTCATTCATCCATCCATTAATTTGTCACTTTCACTATAAAAATAACGAAAAAATATATTGAAATTGGCAGTGATGGGGAATGCCGACAGAAGTGAAAACTCATAACTTTGGAATAATGTTTTTTTTATTTTTTATATTAATTATGGTATGAATAATTAAAACTTCATAATTTGTTATTTATTTATTATTTATTGGCACTCCAAGCAGTAATAATTATTTACATTTTGATATAGTTTATTAATCAAAACATGTGATGTTGCCCGTCGCCAGTTTGGGCCAGACTGCGTCGACGCGTCACGTATTGCCTTGTCACACGCAGCATGTCGGGGACGCGAACCCATAACTTTTGTCCCTACCAAAAATCGCTCAACGCGCTTAAAGAAGTTTTCGCTTCAACGTTCAAACATATAATATTATAAATACATTACAGTACCAAATGACTCTGGTCAGTCCAAGCCAGATTCAGAAGAGGTTTGCGAAACGCAAATAACCAGCGATACTACAGAAATCAGCTCTTCAATGATCACTCTGGTGTCCGTCGAGCCCCGTCGTCGAAGGGCCGCCTTGCCCTACACATTTCACTATATACATGGTCGGAATATCAAACTGTGTAGTTCAGGTAATAAATATCTTCTTAATTAATAATTATTTAAATAACAGCTACGCTCAACCGTTCTTATTCTGAATTTATGCTCTATAAAACATAAATAGCACACAGACGTACCTACACTGATGTAAATGAAATACAATTAATAATGCAAGCAATAATCGCCCATGCGAGAATTGAATCCGCAAAATGTGACGGGACGTTAATACTTCGTTACGTACTTCGAGATCGAAGGCTACTCAAATCTGCTAACTCTGCTTATTTTGACCATGAGTGGAAAATTTTAATAAAAATATGTGATGTTAAAATATTTTTTCACTAGAACATTAGTGGAAGTAGCAATCAGTAGCAAAATTAGAAGTCCAAAGATATCATATATTGTAAAGCGGTAAACTTTGTGACGTCGTAAGGGGTAATCTTTGGATCTACTGAACCGATTTAGATGAAATTTGGTAAGAAGATATTTTGAGACCCTGAGAAGGACATAGGTTATTTTTTATCCCGGAAATCACCCCTTAAGGAAATGAAAATGGGGATGAATGTTTGTATGGGGAATCAAGCTAGGGACGAACCCGAGCGAAGTTAGGATGAGTCGCTAGTAATTTATAATTTGTGTTTATTTTATCTCCAGACACAGTGGCGATGCGTACATCCGGATATCAAGATGCAGTCGCGATAGTCAGTCAGCCGCTGAGAAGGGGACATAGATTTAGGGTAAGAAGTTTCAAATATATAAAACAATTTGAATTTAAATAAATATATTTTTGTCTATAAACTTGAATTTGATTGTCTGTATGTTCCTATAAAATCGATTATTTATGATTACAAAATATTTAAAAATATTGTAAGCGATTTTACAAATGGCTTTTATTTTACCTTGTTCATAATAAATTCTACACTTATTGCTGAAATAGAATATTTTAAAAAATATAAAAAGATTGAATCAATAATCGATTTTAAATGATATAGTATAAAAGAATTGCTAGCGATTTTTTATCTACATGTATATGGATATACATATACAAAATTCAATGTCCTGACTGACTGACTCATATATCAACGCACAGCCTAAACCGCTGGTCCTAGAGACATGAACTTTGGAGGGTGTGCTCTTTGTAAAGTGTAGCTATCCACTAAGAAAGGATTTTTTGAAATTTAAATTTAGAAATGGGGGTTTGAATTTTCTGTGAAACTTTTTATTCTCTGGATCGTATGACTCGAAAATTGATACACATACTCTTCAATTAAAATTATGAGACATGTGTATCACAGTTTCCAAAATAATCCCCCTACAGAGTCAAATAGGACTTCGAAAATCCTACATGGCATGGCGCCTTGCGAATGTATTTCACGTGTACACGATCGCGTTGCGAATGTATTTCATGTGTACGGTCGAATGGCGCGCAGGGTGTTTCTGTATTAATTACTTTTAACATAAAGCTGAAGAAATTGTTTTTTTTTTGTAGAAGCCGCGGGTTCTGCTAGTTTATAGTAGTAAAATATTTTAAAGGCGTATAATGTACAAGCGAAAGTATTCTTAAAATTTTGCAAAGAAGATAATCCAATTAAATTATACTTTTAGAAGAATCGATATTTTTGATGATTGATTATTAGAGAGATAATTTACAACTTAACACGTCGCGGTTAAATTCTAAGTAATTAACTGTTAACCGAGCCGCCTGTGGCTCCGCGTGATTTGAAAGGTTAACATAATTTTGTATATGTGTTGGTTTACGAATTCTTAATTTCTTGCATTTTCTGGCGTTAAATAGCAGTTATCTATTATACTATTAGATTTCTTTCAATCTCCCAATGTTTTCCTTTATTTATATTTAACACAATGGACAAATAAGGATATAGTAACTATCTTATATACTTTTTTAAAATTTATTTTAAAATGCTATGTATGTATTTTATAATAAATGCCAGTCAGCAAGACAATCAGCTATTGCTTATCGAAGTTTTTTTTAACAATTGCGAATGTATTTTACGTGTATGCGATCGTATTGCGAATGTATTTTACGTGTACGAGATCGCATTGCGAATGTATTTCACGTGTACACGATCGCATTGTGAATGTATGTATTTTGTGAATACGCTATCGCATTGCAAATGTATTTCATGTGTAAGCGATTTCATTGCGAATGTATTTCATGTGTGCGCGATCGCTTTGCGAATGTATTTCTCGTGTACACGGTGGCATTGCGAATGTATTTCATGTGTACGCGACTGCATTGCGAATGTATTTCACGTGTACACGATCGCATTGCGAATGTATTCCATGTGTACGAGATCGCATTGCGAATGTATTTCACGTGTACACGATCGCATTGCGAATGTATTTCACGTGTACACGGTGGCATTGCGAATGTATTTCATGTCTACGCGATCGCTTTGCGAATGTATTTCACGTGTACACGATTGCATTGCGAATGTATTTCATGTGTACGCGATTGCATTGCGAATGTTTTATAATTGGATAGTTGACTTCATTTATCAAAATTTCATGATGACACAACTTGTTTAAAAAACACTTTATTTTAAATTAAGAATGTGCATATAGTAATTTTGTACCTAGACATCGTTATTTATCACAGTATCTGTGAAAGCTACAACTGTGTTATTTAGGGAAATGATACCTCGGACTTTTATTTTGAATTGCCAAATTTGAAAACACGATTGGTGAACATTTTCTCGATAATATAATTTTTTGATAAATACATGTTTTGCACACATTGTTAATTGTCTCAGAAATAGCTCACTATTTTTGTAGGGTATTGTCAGAAAGCCTAGAAATACTAGGGTAAGGTGAAAAGTTCTCAAGCTGACAGAGACGACTTTCTAATCATCAAAAATTTATGTTTCCCGCTTAGGTGCATGTGTCATTAGATCGTACGATATGTTTCAACTTTTCTCTCGAGTAGTTTCATTACACAAATTTAATTTATATTTTTACTTTACTTAACGAACTTAATTAGTATTTTTGGATAAAATGGATAAATTTGAATATCGTGCGGTCATAAAATTCTTTGTTTTGAATGAATTAATCCCTTAGGAAATTCATTTGAAGTGGATAAAAGTTTAAGGCGACTCTGCTCCTTTAAAAAGTGGGCAGCGAATTTAAACGTGGTCGCACGTCCTTCGAATATGACCCACGTCAAGGACATCCAAAAACTGCAACCACACCGGAAACCATCGAAAAGATGCACGACATCGTGTTGGACGATAGGCGAATAAAGATGAGAGAGATAGTGGAAAAAAGTTGGTCCAAGATGCCGATGCGTGCCGCATTTGCTAAATGCTGATCAAAAGCTAACGCACAAACGACATTCGCAGCAATGTTTGGATCGATTCAATGGGGAGCTAATCGATTTTGTACGGTGATTTGCCACTATGAATGAGACGTGGGTTCACTACTATACGGACCGGAAACTAAACAGCTGTCAAAGCAATGGGTGGAAGCCGATGGTTCAGCGCCAAAGAGAGCGAAGTCGATCGTATCTGCCGGAAAGGTCTTGGCCAGTGTGTTTTGGCATGCGAAAGGGATCCTGTTAATTGATTATCGTGAAAGAGGGAGAACAATTACAGGCGAATACTATAATAATAATACTCCACCCTTCTTTACCAGTTGGATGCTAAAATTCGTGAGAGGAGGCCTGGCTTGAAGAAGAAAAAAATCACCTTTCACCAGGTCAACGCACCGGCTCACAAAGGTTGGCGATGGGAAAACTGCGAGATTTTGGGTTTGCCCGGCCATCTCACCTATCATCCTCAGCCTTCCATCTGTTCCCAAACTTTAAAAAAAAATTGTTTCTGGGAAGCTCTTCGCACCCAATCAAGAAGTTGAGAGAATTTGTTCACTGACGTCCAAACTCTGAACTTTCATGAAGGAATACTGATGGTTGAAAAACACGGGAAAGTGTGTTGAAGTCAAGGGAGATTATGTAGAAAAAGAATATCATTCTTTAATTAAAAATCATATTTTTTCAATTGTCCGGCCGAGAACTTTTTACCTTACCCACGTATTTCTTCAGTTACCGAATTTCATTTTTCGATTGGTTGTTTAATTATTTTATAGTGAACGGGTTTGTCCCTACATTTTAACGGTTAGCATAGATATCTCCGAGAGGAGATATTTTCCCACAGTAAAAGTATACTATATATTGGCCCGGATACCCAGGTATCATCATACCAAATTTCATCAAAATCTGTTCAGTGGTTGTTTTCTCGTGATGCATTCCCAGACAGACGATTCTAAAAATATATTCGGCCTCTGTTTCGATAATAATGACTATTTCAATAAGATTATCCAAAATATATTCAATGTACAGATTCGACTTAGTTAAAATTTTATTATATGTACAGATTATTAACTGTTTTAGCGCTTAAATACGTTGAGCATCTATTGATCTGTACTTCTCACTCACGATAGAACATTACCGTGTCATTCCACTCCTCCGAATCCGAATCGTAGCGGTGTCATGGCGCACTCTTAATTAACTATAAAATGATATTTTGAATTGCTTTTATATTAATAAATAACTATTGAGTTGGGAAGTAAGTGACTTCACAGGTTGCTTTTTCCGTACAAAATATTTGCGTTTTAACAGCTCGTAAAAACTATGACAATTAATTGACGTCAATTATCCAATTGTGTTCACTCAACTAAAAGAATAATAAGGACAGACAGTCATAGAACTAAACTTGAAGTCAAACAAAAATATCGGTACATTTTGGTACATACGTGCTTCTCTTTTATGTTGTTAGTTTGCTTAGTAAAGTTGGCAGCGTTTTGGTATAATCTCCTGTCAGATTAATCTTGCAATAATAATTTTATTACTCGGACAACGTAATTAAATCGGGAGTTATATCATAAGCAGGCTGACTTTTGATTTCGTCTATATAATTCTTTTATGTGAGTATGCATAGCGTTTCAAGTTTTCGAAAGCAATGAAGTATCATTGATATATAAAAATAAATTGGATATTTAAAATCTATTATTATAATTATTTAATAAAAGTTTTGTGCTCAAAAATAAGATATAAGAATCATTATAAACATATTGTTATTTTGACGACACGTTTGGCTCAGTTTTTAGTGTACCTACTTGCTGTGCCATCGATCGCAGGTTCAAGTCCTGCTAGGGACATTCATTTGGGTGTTTATATTTATAATGTGTATACATATAAAGCCATAACACAAGCCTCGTAGCTTACCATGGAACTAGATGGTTATATGTGCTAATGTCCCAACATATTTATTTATTATTTGTGTTTGATGGCGCGTACACCATAAGAACTGAACTGAACAGATATCATCATTTTTTGGGATTGATTAAAACAAAACTAAGTTTCATTAAAACCGGTATATCAAATTCAAAAAAGGCTATTAAATGATCTTATACAATAATAATATAATTTAGCTAGCGAATGTAATGTAAATTAAAATATTCAACTTTAAAATATTAATGTCTTCCATAGCGAAAAAATCGTACGTATATCAGATGCAGCGAAGTAAGTACATAATTTTTTTTTATTAATAAACGCATTGCATTAGAAAGACAAGTTTTAAAGTTTAAACCTGCACGTATATTGCAAGCGATGTTGCTGAAAGTGTTTTAAATATATTTTTATTTACAAACGTACTGTAATTAATAAAATTTGACAAAGTTATTGTGTGTATTAAATGCGATATATTTAAAAGTGGTTAAAATTATGATAGTGCTAGTGAAAGTTCTAACTATAAAGTGCAAAATTTTTATGTACCGCAAACGATATACTATATATAGGCAAATACTGCATTAAATGCGAGTTATAAGTGAAATGTGAGTGTTAATTAAATATAATCTGACATTGCGGTTTTATAGTGCAAAAAGTGACAGTGTGCAAATTAACTTTATGGCGATTATTTACGAACATATTTAATGTTGATTTTTGAGATAATATCTAACTGTTATTTTATTTTAAAACAGTTTCGAGTCGACAAAATCGACGACAGCTGGGATGGAAGCCTCTCTATCGGCGGTGTTCCGTGTCTTCCTACTGAAGGCGTGCCGGAGTGCGCTATGCGTCTCGACCCACCTGCTTGGATTCTTTCCAGTGACTTGCAATATAATGGTACTAACGTAAGTGTCAAACGTGTTAAAAAACATATTTTTGAACAAAAACATAGAATTTTTCCTTTTTTGTAGTGTTATATTTTAAGTTTTTGACCTTTCGTACTGGTGTAAATTGTTATTTATTTATTTAAGAGACTAAAGTAATTTTGATAATTTAAATAAAAAATATAGCAACTGTATTATTTATATATTCAGAGAACAAAATACAAATAAACCTTTGTTGTTTTAGTTAATACCCCACGTGGCGTCCGAACTAGACGAAGTTGTCGAACAGTCAGTGTTGACTTTGTATTTCCGGTTTAACAGCGAGTTAGTGGTAGACATCGATGGGAATGTCTTAGGGGTCATCGGTTCGGTTCCAAGGACATACAGCCATGTCTATCCATTGGTTGATCTTTATGGAAGAGTCTCTCAGGTTAGTATAGTGTTTATATTGTTTGAATTAAACGTGATAAAAATTGTAATTAATTTTAAGTATATATTTTAGATCTCAGTTCTACTCCACCCATACTCAGTGGTGACTGGCACATCGCTCGACTTGCCGGTGATAGTTGAAAGTCGTCGAGAAGAAGAATCACTTACAGAAGTAAATGTAGACACCGCAGAAGATGAAGAGCCACCGATAACGGAGAGAGTCGACGTGCGAAGGAAACGGAAAGCCAAAGCGCACAGCCAAGACAATCTTATTGAAACCTACGATCCTATAATTGAACCGGGGCCTAGTTCTACTTCCAAACCGCACGTGCCAATAACCGATAATGAAATCAGGAATAAAGAGATTAAAAATCAAACACCGAGTCGCGTTATGCATCATAGCCTCATACTGAATGTAAACGATAATAAAGAAACAACGTTCCGAAGCGTTCAAAGGAGTCACTCTACACACGACTTCTGTCGTGTTTCAGAGCCAATACCCATTCGGGAGACGCTCCGTCTTACGTACAGTCCCGGAGGTCCCGACGATAACCAAATAAACCATCAGTTTTGTGACACTAATATTCGACACAACGATCGCTATCCCGAAGCCAATGACGTGGACAATTTGGATAATGAAATAATGGATGCGTTGACTTTGGAAACGGGAAATTTGCCAGATTTAACAGAGGAACAGTCGTCGTCCATTGACGAGTCGACGCGTCGTGACGATTTGTGTTCAGAACCTTTGGCTATTGAAAATTTGGTCTATCTAAATAGAATACTAAGTTTGGATCAGGAAGGTGTGGAGGGTCAGAGCTTAGAGGCAGAGTGGGAAGCGTTTGGGGAAGGCTGTGAACATTTGCACCTCGTGTTGAAGTACTGGAACTATTTAGTGTTGCCGTATCCAGAGTTGCGACAGGCGGTGTCTTGGGGCCAGGTCAGGTGCTACTGTAATAACTGCCAACCTGATGCGGAAGAAGCTTTGGCTGGTAATCATTGTTTTTCTGATATAAATTTTATTAATATTTTTTTCCTTTTTACACTTTTGAATTGATACATTAGATTAATATACATTTGATTATAAACAACAAACAAATAAATACAGGAAGAAATTGCTCTTAAAATTATATCTTTATATTAAAATATTAAAAATGATAATACATTAAAATAAAATACTAGCGACTCACTCTCACTTCGCTAGGGTGCATCCATAGATGCTTAACAGTGAGACTATGAACTGGAATAAGACATATAATGTTACTGCGGTTCATAATCTATCTGTAAATTTCATCCAACTCTGTTATGAAACCATACTTCATCCGGTCCGGGACCCGAACCTAGGACCTCCAGATTCACAGCCGTACATGCTAGACCAACATAAACTACTAGTGACTCACCCTCGCTACGCTCAGGTTCGTCTCTAGGTACGTTATATTTTTTGAGCGATCCCTAATTCTTTTTCTAAAATAAAAGTAGTCTATGTTACTACATATAACATCAGCTATCTTCCAGTGAAAGTCCCGTCAAAATCAGCACAATTTTTAAAATTGTATTTTCCTTCTAAGTACCGTATATAATAATTTCATATGCATTTAATAAAACGCTGGTTATTTTAACATTACAAACAGACACTTCAATTTTATTTATCTGTATAGATGTATAGATAACATTATTTTTCCATTCGTACAGGTTGGGTGCGTATAGAGAGGATAGACGGTGTGGGCGCGGCGTCCCGCGGCTTCTGGCACATCACGCGGTCGACGCTGGGCGCGGCGCAGACGGCGAGCGCCGAGACGGGCCCTGCAAAGCGACCGCGATCTCTAGCCTCGTCACCTTCCAACGCGATAACACTAGGCGATATGTTAGTATTCGTTTTTTTCTTTATTAATGTTTCACTATAATATTCTTATACATATGACTAGGGGACGAAACCGAGCGGAGCGATGGTGAGTCGCTAGTTACGTTTTAATGTTTAGTACTTATAGATTTCTCAAAGATGAGATATTTTCTCGCAGTAAAAAGTATTCTATATATTGATCCGGGTAACCAGCTATCATCATACCAATTTCATCAAAATCTGTCCAGTAGTTTACTCGTGATGTGGTAACAGACAGAAAGACACAAAAATTCTAAAATATTGAGTATTGATATTGATGACTATTTCAATAAGATTTTCAAAAAAACTATTTAATGTACAGATTTGACTTAGTTACAATTTTATTATATGTATAGATGTCAAATATTCAAATATCATCAATGTGAAATATAATGAGCGTAGCATTGATTTAGATTAGAATATAGATTAAATAAACATATTGCAAACTCGCTTACTGCGTGACGTCTTTGCGTATGGTAGGAAATGCAAAAGTCGTTGGACATTTTTATTTATTTGTGCTTTTAAAGTGAGTGAGAAATTGTCCAATAATTTGAGGATTAAATTGAATATTTAACATAAGAATTTACCAAAGCTCATTCATGTACGCACCAAAAAGTGGGCACATCCGCATCTCCTTTTCTACACTTTTAGCGACACGTTTGCTCATGTCATAATAACTCTGCCTCCCTTCAATGTCCGGGGGATCAGGTCGTAGTCCAAATAGCTTTAAAACAACTCAATCTACTTATTGTACTGTTATATAACGTAAAAATAATTAGTTACAGTGTTTTATCACCAGATAAATTTCTAAAAAATTAATTAAATTTCTAAGAAATTAATAAAATTTCTAAGAAATCTATTGTTAACTGTAACGCCGGCGTGTTCGCGGTCGTGGAGCGATTAATTTTTATATAGTTGTTAATCACATTTAACTGGTTCATTCTTTTTCAGATGGTTGGATGAAGAAGGAAAACCGCATCACACCATACTGGCTATTGAAATTGATATCGAGTGAGTTCCTATTTTATTATATTTTCTAAAATTTCCTTTGTGACAAGACAGTTAAAAAATGTAACCTTCTAGCCGTTCCAAAATTTGCTTTCTTATTTCTAAAAAAGGGCTGAATGAATGAATGAAAACCAAATTTGTGTGTTTCAGAGGAAATGAAGCGGAGAAAGACCGACTTCTAGCGTTCTTGATCCATATGAAATCTCATCAGGTGTTCGTCGACGACCCGCTCAGCTTGGACGAATAAGCATCAGTCTTAAATAACATCTAAGATCAGTATTTTAGTATGATAGTTTGAAAAATGTTGTCTCGTATATATTGAATTGATATTACTACTTGTATATTCGCATTGCTAATCTAAAAATCAATGAATCTATTTAAGTTAAATATATTTATTTCGTGTAATATATGTGGAGAGTAGCGGCGTATTTATTTTTAAATGTGAGACGTTAACATAAATGGTTGATGTTTTAAAGATATTTGTCACAAATAGGTACATAAAATAACTTCTTTTGTAAAGGTTCACTTCTGTAGTTTTGACCCTATCTATAACCTAGAGTCAGTGTTTAGTTTTAGTGTCTATAATGAATGATGCCACTGTTCCTGGTTACTCTATACCAGACCATCATAATAAAAGTCTTTTAAATTAAATCACAATTAACTGTTCTTTAAACGTTCTTCAAACAATTATTATTTACTTCTTTCACGAAATGACAGAATTCTTAAAACTATATTTGAAATGGTAAATTTGTCTTTCGTTTTTATTAAATCTTTCACAAGTGACAGCGTACGGGATGTGTGTATGCTATAATATTTTTAAATTAAAAGACTTTTGAAACTGACTTTTGGACAAATCTCTGAAAATCGTGAATAATTCTTACTTTAAATTGGCTCTTAATATGAGCGATTATCATCGTATAAGATCATGCATAATATTAATGTATCTTACATAATAAAATAAATAAAAAATCGGTCAAGTGCGAGTCGAATTCGCAAACGTAGGTAGGTATTTTTATTTTTATTGATTTTTTTGTTATAGAGGTAATAGAAATATATACTCTGTGAATATTTCAACTCTCTACCTATTATAAATCATGAGATACACACCTCCGACAGATTAACGGACGGACAGCGGAGGTTTAGTAATAGGATTCCGTTAGCACCTTTCGGGCACGGAACCCTAAAAATGGAATCTACATATTGGCCATAACACGATTTAAACTTGATGTGTGGATTGAAATAATATTTATTCCATTTTCATGTGTAGATTGAAATAATACTTACTCCATTTTCAACATTACAAAAATTATTCAGCAATATTTAATTTGCCGTTGCCTTTAAATACGTACATAGGTATGTGTCAAAGTTTAACGTTTTTAAAACGTATGAAATTGTTGATCACACTGTATTACTTTATAAGTCTTACCTAGACGTTGGAAAGACACGCTAGGGTAGGCCAAATGTTCATTGTAGTCTTTTAGGCTTTATAAGTCGACTATAGTTAGTTTTTACTTATTTATTTTTTAGGTTTCGTTATATTTTGTTCACCACCGAAAATAAAATTTTCATATACAAAGACGTCATGCCCCATTGCTGCTGCTTACAGATAAAGCTAACATTCTATCAAATATTTATAATAATACATATTATGTCAGATAGTTATTTGTAAGTAGTTTTACTGACAATTAATCGTGTATCGTAACGGACAATAGCATGCCGTTGTTTTACAGATCTCATATTATTCGAGTGTGTAGCACCGTTTAAAATTCTGTGACTAGATCTCCTTAATTACAGTATTCGTAAATATAATCGATGTAATTCGATTAATTCGATTAATTCGATTAATCGTATATTTAAATTATATTTTGATTATAAGTTTGTTACTTTAATAAAGGGTTGGGGGGCATCACTATAAGCTCAATGAGTGTAAAGTTTTTTTTAAATATTTAATAATTTAATTACATGCTGAATAGTTGATTAGTGTGGAATATTATGTTTTTGTGAGGTTTTCTTGTATATAGTGACCGATGGCAGTAAAGACATGAGCGTAAACTCTAAAGCTATAGTGACCTTTAATCCCTTTTACATGATTTATTGAGAATTATTATCCCTGTGATCAGTCGGTGTTTTCATCGATACGTTTATATGAAATGGTAGTGCCTCACTGTGATTAGAGCGTAGGTATTTTTAAATAATAAACATCTTCCAACATTATAAAAGATTTTTCAAATATTTAATAGTTCGACACCGAATTTTATTAACGCGTGAATTAATAAATAGTTTTCGTGAATGAATTCTGCCGGACAATTTGAGCGGACTGAACCCAGCTTGCCTAGTTACATTGTTTTAATTATTATTATTCCTACATTTATTATTAAAAATATACCTTAGTGGGCACTTATTTTTATCTTCGTGCTATTCAGTTCGTTCAAAATGTTTATTATAGGTAGACGTAGATAGAAATCTAAGGAGGTGTAATGAAAGGTCTGTAAATATTGTATCGCGCTATATGACATGTAGACAACGAATATTCGCATATTTCTCTTATCCTCGCAATAGAACTAGATATAGTCCCACAATTGAGCTTATTCGCTTTTACAGAACGATATTTGCTCAGCAGTAGTAAGCTTCCATGGGCCAGGTATCCATTTTATATGTCGTTGATGATAGATATGTATGTACATTGTACGTAGAGAAATGGATTGAAAGCTTATAGTTTTCGGAGGATAGTGTGAGAGAGTTAGAGTGATAAAACGGCCAATAGTTGTTTCGCTTATCTTGATTTTTTAGTCATTAGATAGCCCATGTTTGGTTTAATCGATGTTAGATTATTACAGGCCAATAGAATTAGGATACATTTGGCTACACTATTACTGCTTTGCCTTCCTAATAACGGTCAGTTTTGGTAGATCAGTCCATTTGTCTATGTTTACCCAATAATAAGCTACGTATATTCGTATAAGTTTCTTTATTATACTAACGTCTCTAAGCTTGGATGGTTTAGGAACTGATAAAAGACAAACATAGAAAGAAAAATCTTTTTTTATATTTCACAGGCGTAAACTGTGTATCCCACCAAAGTTTCATCACAATCGGATCAATGGTTTAGGAACCCATAAACGACATATACGTGTTTTTTATTTATATAAAATATATACTGTGTCCGGGAATGGCTATTGTAAATAAGTTGGAACTTTCGTTGTTTTCGATTCAATAACTTGAATATAAAGTTGGGTTAGTTGTCAATAATATGCAAATTATAATCGTATAAAAAATTATATGTAAATCTCTGTGTGATAGTCATTAATTCGTATTTTTATTTAATAAGTCAAAATAATACACGGCTCATCGATAAAATATGGAAACGATGAAAACTAATAATTCTATTAAATCTCAGCGACTCACTGCTCCTATAGGTATTATACAATGTTTTGAAAATGTTTTTCAATATATTAAAATAGCGCAATTTAAATTCTAGACTCTTATTGTATCGTTGCAGCTGCTTGTAAGTATTAGACAGCTTGATATTTAAGAAATGGCTTCTTTATTATTTATGTAACTTGTGTTACGATTCAATGTCGCGATATATTATGTAATATTTGTGAAATTAGGTTGTTAAATCGCATTTTATAGATATTAGTCGATTCGAAATACCTTTGTGAGTATTTAACTAAATATTGTCATTAATGAATTCTTACTACGTAGGTGAATTGCAGACGAATATGTTAAATTACTTATATAGAGTAACTAACAAATATTTATGAAACTTTAAATATATGTTTAAAAACAAAAAAAAATGTGTCTTTTTTCGAATAATTTTTGTGCATTTTATGTATATACTCGACTTTTTTTGCACATAACAAGCTTTTGGAGAAAGAATTTTATAAATACTTATTGCTTCAAGACTCTTTTGAATAATAGTAAAAGTAGTAGTTTTGGGAAAAGATTGAAAATGTCGGTACTGATTAGTTACCAAATAAAATTTGTCGGATAATATCTTACAACAAAAGGAATACAATAAATGGAATATCTTAAAGTATTTTCTTCTTTTATTTTCTTACTTACCTTGACTCGTCATTTACATATAAGCCGCAATTTAATTTCATTTTTATTGTGCTACTAAAGAAAGTAGCGTCTAAGTTGTAAGAATTTACACTATAATATACTAGCAGAACCCGCGGCTCCGCTCGCGCCAAAACTACAAAAAAAACTAATAATAATAATTTTCACACAAACTTCATCCAACATTTTACCTCCCTATGGGACGAATTTCGAAAAATGCTTAAACATTTATTTAATTTTATTGAAAAGCATTATTACTAAGTTTGTGTTCGTGTTTTCCCGTGGGAATTAGATAATCTTCCGCGGTAAAAAGTAGTCTATGTCACTCTCCAGCCTATCAACTACCTGCACAAAAAAAATGCCTATCCGTCTCTCCATTTTGACATGAAAGAAGGACAAACATACACTTTCACATTTATAATATTATAAGTATGGATATATACATAGGTATGATGAGTTTTATATCCCTTACTTGAGAAATGATTTGATTCCCTATACAAAGTTCCACCACCCTTTGCACCTCCTTAAGGGGCGATTTCCGGTGTAAAAATTATTCTTCCCAGGGGTTCAAACTATCTCCATACCAAATTTCGTCTAAATCGGCTCAGCGGATTAAGCGTGATAAGGTAACAGACAGATAGTTACTTATGCTTATATTAGTATGGATTATTAATATTATGAATTATGCATGATTTTTCTTGATAGTTAATTATTGTTAATTTAATCATAAGAGTGTCTGGTATACGGTGAGTTCATCTATACATATAATAAAATTATAACTAAGCCAAATCTGTACATTAAATATTTTTTGGAAAATCTTATTGAAATAGACATTATTACCGATACAGAGGCCGAATCTATAGTTTTTAGAATTTTTGTCTGTCTGTTACCGCATCACGGAAAAACTACTGGAGGGATTTTGATGAAATTTGGTATGATGATAGCTGGTTGTCCGGGTCAACATATAGGATACTTTTTACTGCGGGAAAATATATCTAAGAAATCTATATACTAAACGTGAAAACGTAAGTAGGGACGAACCCTAGCGGAGCGAGGGTGAGTCGCTAGTAAACTATAAAGATTATTTACATAATTATTGTATGCAGTTTGAATAAAACCGGATTGAGTTTTCAAACATGTGTCAAAAAAAATGTAATTTAAATCAAAAGGAGTAAGGAATATTGATATCAACTTCGAAGCAAATCACCCCCAAAATAACTTTCTACCCTTTTTAACCCCGTTAGAGGATGAATTTCAATAACATTTTCATTAATTCTGTTAAAGAATGTTTATGCAAAATTTGAAGTAGATTGGACTAAGGAATCACGTAGTCCCATACAAACTTTTCCTCCCTTTTTACCCCCTAAGGAGTAGAATTTCGAAAAAGCCTTTATCGGATGCCTGCGTCATACAAAGAAAACACCCTCCTAGTTTCAGGTCTCTACGATCAGCGATTTAGGCTGTGCGTTGATCAGTCAGTCACTCAGGACAAAGATTTTTATATGTATAGATTACTTAATGAATATTTATTAGTACCTAATGATTTTATAAAAAAATATTATATATATTTATATTTTGATTTGCTTTAAATTTCTATTTAATTGTGATATCTACGACAGCGCCAAAGAAGTTTTACTTCAACCGCGCATAAAAGTTACAGTTTCAGAATAATTAAAATTATACACCATTTATTTCTAATGCTTACTCAGCAGACTGCAGGTTATGTTGTTTTTGTATTTAGGGAATAAATAAAAAAAGAGATTCGATAAAAATCGTCTTATAATTGGTGTTCCAATGTTTACAACAATAAGATTGTATCCAAAAGTGTTACTTAACTATTCTTATACTAAAATTAAATTATCACTGTTCTAAAATAGCTGTAACACCGTGCGTGGCTCGTGCGCGGCTGTAGACTTGAACGAATCGTGTATTGGGCACACATTTTTCGTGTCAAATTATTCGCGAATAAAAATTGCACTATTAAGATTTGTAACTACACAAAAATTTATTGAGAAAAGCACATACATATTGGGTGTTCTTCTCATACTGATAATTAGATATAAAAATCTTTCAAGACTAATAAATTATTATAATTACTATTTGTTGATTGTTTAATGACATACAAAAGTTGTTTGTCTGGCAGACAGACATGAGATTGATAAATAAATAAGTATATTTACTTATAATAAAGATAATTTGTATATAGACTCATCGAATAATTGTCTCACACGAAAAGTTAGTTTATTTAAAAATACGTGTCCGACTCATCGATTTTTAATCTATATACAAAATCTTTGACCATGTATCTCCTTAATTAAGTAACTCCAATTAAACAGCGGTGAAAAAATTGGTTCGTTTGCACTTTTGTACAATTTGTTCAATACAATTACTTTTGCAACAGCATTGTTAGTCGTAAGTCTATGCGTTAAGACAATCAAATACTCTGCGCAAATTGATTTTTGTTTGGTATTTTCAACCCACCTATAATCTTTGAAAGTATTATTTAAATATTTGACATATAACATTAATCACTCTACATAGCAATAAGAGTGCTGGACCCGTCGACTTTTTCGGAAAACTTCTAAGTGCGGAGGAAACTGCCGAATCTCAGTTCAGTGCGGGAGGGACATGAGTTGATCGAAAGGGTCCAATTTTTTCGGCTGTACACCGAGAGAGTATTTTCTAGGCTCGACTACTTGGATTACCACACTTTACATTTTTTGACAGGGTTCATTGGAGAACCGAGCGGACATTTGAAGTCCGACGCGAATTCCTCCATGTTAGACATCGGTCCTACGACGCGGAAACGTCCAGGCGCGTGGAAGCCGGTAGTGATGCGGAGCTTGATAGCTTCATTGCGATACACCGAACACCAGGTGTTAGCAGCACTCATCCAGAAAAGCTGCAAAAGTTACAGTTAAAATCAAATGTCCAGTACGCTCAAAAATAATAACATTAATAAAATAAAAACTTAAAAAAAAAAACGACTTCCAGGTACTAAAATGTAAAAAAAAAACAACTAAACGGGGGGTTTCATTTAGTATATATATCTAATCAGATATTTTCGAAGTTGGTGCCAGCCGATGCAAAGCAAATCTAATATATTTCAATACCTAAAATTCATATTTACCTATTAGACATCCATATCTTAAAATATTGTCAACTTTTTTTTTAAGTTTTTATTTTTCCACATTTAGTGTAGACGTAATAAGCAGGTAATTTGTAAAAAGAAAGTTTTTTTATAACAATATTCAATTAAACAATTATATTTAAAAAAATATATTTATATTTGTTTTTTTAAACCCCTAGACCGATTTCGATAAAATTTATATGGGACCACCTGGTAAGCACAACCCTTTGAAACAAAATAAAAAAATTTCAAATCTGTTCAGACGTCCTCGAGTAATCTGTGAACATACATAAAAAAAAGATTCCGACGAATTGAGAACCTCCTCCATTTTGGAAGTCGGTTAATGATTGTGTTAAGTGGTTATGACATATAAGTAGGTATAAGTATATAACCTGTCTTGGACTGTATTTTTCAAGCCCCGGAAGTCGTGCTTCCTCGCCGTGCCGTTGAGTCCAAGCTTGATATGCGTAGTACGCTTCTTTGATACCGCCGTTGTCAGCTATATTTTCACCTTGTGTGTTCACTCCGTTGAGCTAAAAAATATCCATATTAAAAAGTCTGCTACAAATTAAATTTAAAGTATGATTTTAAAACAGTCGAATACCTTCATGTTGACTTCTTTAACTGTATAGTTTGAATACTGATCAATTATACATTTTGCTTTTTCCAGGTATTTTTGCTTAGTCATCTCTTGCCACCAGTCAACTAAATTACCATTTTTGTCGAATTGGCGACCCTATAATATAAATAGGTTATAAAATTATTTTTATTAATCTTAAGCTTTCATAATTTGGTATAAACGATTTCATTTATTGTTATAAATACAACATATACCTGATCGTCGAATCCGTGTGTAATTTCATGCCCAATTACGAAGCCGATGGCACCATAATTCATGTAAGCTGGACGTTTAGCCGAAAAGAAGGCGCCTTGTAGGATACCAGCAGGAAACTCTGTAACATTTTGTTATATAAAAAATATATTTATGCATAAGTTTAATAATACACAAAACTTAATATACCTAACTATTGAGTATTATTTAACTAAGATGATTGCTTTTAAATGGGCGTGAATAGCTAAAAGTGCTCAAAGTTTTCTCCTTCGTTATGTACATTTTAAAAATTCGAACTTTTAAGGTAACAAGACTAATACCATCTTATATTACCAACATCCCATAAGCTACCACCTACGTATGGGATCCCTAGCTTAAAAGTTCCCCTAAACTAGCCCCTAAATTAAATTTCGTTTTATCATCGTCAGAGCCAGTATTTCTAGTAGGTACCTATATTTAGGTGGCATTTTAACATTTAGATGACACCTAACTGTCGGTGAAACAGAAACTGTTCCCTAACAGCCCCCTAACCATGCTTAGGGGATCCGTTAAACTTAGGTGACATTGGTGAAATCGGCTATAAGTTTGATAAAAACAAAACATGTTATGTTATATTTTCAAAAAATGTATTTTTTTTAATCTGTGATCGAACCATTAAATAGATAGCACGCTATATTATAACGTTTTTAGATCTAATATTATAATTTTTTTTTGAGGCTGTAACAGAGTTTGTTATAGTCTCAATGGTATGTTTTCGTCTCGTTATGAACTTGAGCGTCGTAATAGGTATATCTTAAATAAAGTTTGAAGCTTACGTATGCTATTTTCAATAGAGGAGTAGAAAGCGTTGACAATTGCTGGTCTACCGTGAGTGACCCAGTCAGTTTTGTTGACGGGCTCCCGGAGCTTGCCAAAGAGATACTCTGTCCCGAATAGAGTAAGATTTAGAACGGATTCCATCAGTTTGTCAGATGACATCTCCAGCTGTAAAATTAATTTTGCCTCGTAAATTAAACAGGTAACAAATGTCAAAGAATTTTGTAAGAAAACCGTCTAAAGAAAGTCTATCTAAATTACTTACGTCAGCATAAAATTCGGTTAGTTTGTCGTCGTCAAGCATTTCATTAGGGTAAGCGATGTGAGAGGCCATTGCATCAGCCTTCTCTAAAGCTTCTTTACGAGTATGTTCATCCATCCAATCTACTTCAGTTAATGTTTTACGGAATTGTTGCCTATAAAAATAAATTAATAAAAACAAATTATTAACAATATGTAATTAATAAATATAATAATTATGAAACTTTGCCTACCTTATATCATTAACCATTTCCAAGGCATTTGCTTTAGAATTTTCGTTGAAATATTTTCTGATGTATAGTGCACCAACGGCGATTGACATGCTGTTAAAAGTAAAAAAATGTTTAATTCAGTAAATATTTTAGAGGTTTTATTATTTAATAATTAATTCGTTTGAAAAAATATCAAACTACCTGACACTAGTAGTATCAGCACATTCTTTCCAACGGCTCTCGCGCTCTGTCTTTCCGGAAAGCGCAGTCACATAGGCCAGTTGACGTCTTCGCAAGTCGTCAGTCAAATAAGAAATAGACGCGCCCGCTACACGCCACATTACATAATTTGCTTGAACACGTTTTGGGGTTTTCTCTAGAAGATCCTTGAAATAGGAAACATGGTCGTTGTTGGAAAGTGAAACCCATATAGTACATGTACAACCACCAAAGTGTTTTATTAAATTGGAATATTTTTCGTTTAAAACAAAATTTTATGAATACATTCTACATGTTTATTCAGATAGGTACTGTTTATCACACCATTTAGAAGGAATTTAATAACTATTCATATATAATTATAATTATATATTGTATAATTTATTTATATACTAGCATTGCCCGCGACTCCGCCCGCTTTCAGATGACCAAGAACCAAATTCTTGGTTTGTAACAGATAACAAGCTATCACCATACTAAATTTCATCAAATTCCCTCCTGTGCTTTTTCTGTGATGCGGTAACAGACGGATAAAATTCTAAAAACTGTAGATTCGGCCTCTGTATCGATAATAATGTTTATTTCAATAAGATTTTCCAAAATACATTTTATGTACATATCGCCTCTGTATCGATAATAATGTTTATTTCAATAAGATTTTCCAAAATACATTTTATGTACATATTCGGCTTAGTTACAATTTTATTATATGTATAGATGATTAAAAACAAATGACATACCTCGAGATCACTGATGTATTTAGGCACATTAACAATCGCTATTTCGTCAAGTCCAATTTGTACATGAGGCGACAATAAACGGTTGATGTAAGTGAGCCATGGAATTCTGTGATAAAAGAAGGATGCCAATGATCAAATATTGATTACATTCCTTTATAATTTTTAAGGAAACATTAAGAATTTGTCTGTACCTTGGGAATTTTTGTTGCAGTTCGCCAATTGTCATAGGGTTGTACAAGCTAGTCGCATTACGACGTTTTTCTAATGGCAAGGAAATCTGAAAGCAAGAGAAAAAAATTAGTTATACCTATTCGCAGCATAAAATGTTTCCAAATACCTACATAACTTTAACCATGTGTGTACAATGCCCAAATATTGCGAATGTGTAATAAATTCTAACGTGTATGAAATTAATATCAGGTACAAATCTTTATGTTTTATTAGGTACATATAGAAAAGTGAAATAAATATAAACATGCTCTCTGCCAATTACAAAATTATCTTAAGAACTTATACAGTTAGTTACACAACGATAAAATTGTGTAATAAACTTGTGAAATTTGCTATTACATAAAATTAGATTGGTATATAATATGTAAAAAATAGAATAAACTAAGCCATAAGACAATGAAAGCGAAAATTTACTGCATGCCACATCAATTGTAACCTGTCACCGCGCAATTAAGCCAATCTGCCGAAACCTTGGAGGAAATTTTACTACACGACACATTAAGATGTAAAAATTGGCGGTGATTCATTTGAGTGTAGTAACAAAATTATCGTTTTGTTCAGTTAGGAACTGAGCTTGTCATAAATACTCAATAAATAATTTCAGGTGGGCTGTTCCATTTTTCAGGCAGATCAAAGGATTGATGTGATTTTTTGTATAGATATGATGATGATGATGTTCTCCTAGCCGATTCCGGCCACGGCGGCCAATCTCAATGAGATTAGCCAACTGCGCAGGAGATATTATAGTGCTCAAGTGTACGCGCAGACACAAGTGCACTCTCTATTCCTATCACTCTCATACTCCGGTGGGACGACCACTCGACACGACCGGTGAGAGTTAAGGCGCAGGACCGACGGCTTTACGTGCTCTCCGAGGCACGGGGGTGAAACACCGCCAACTTCCCAACTCCGGGCTGTTACTGAGACTTACTATACAGGAAGACTCAATAACTAAACTTGGCCCGACCCGGGACTCGAACCCAGGACCTCCGGGTGTGCAACCGTACATGCTAGCCACTACACCACCGAGGCAGTTGTATAGATATAATAGTTCTTTGAGTAGAATGATCAGTAAAGAAATTTTTAAAAATATAAAATGCAAGTGTTGCGGCAAGTAATACTTAGTAAAGCTATAAATGTAAGTATAAGTACCTACTTAAAGCGTAAAAGCGTTGCTATACACAGGGTATTTCTAGTTTGATGAACCATGTGTAACATTTTTCACTCCAAATCTCGATTTGTCTAGTTCAACATAAAAGTCAAGAGTGATCGTAAATAAACTTCTTTGTGGGCACATTAAAAGGAGCAGTTCCTACTGGGGCCCCTTTATTGTTCTATTACGACAAGTTTACAAATAACGTTCCATTGCAGATCATTTGGTCTATTGAGTTCATTAGTGTGTCAATATTTATTGCTCTTCAAATATTATTTATAAGTAATATTTACCTGTAGGTATAATGTGCTGCGTCGCAAACAATCTTCATTCAAGAAAATGTTTTATAGGTTATTGACGTCATGTTTTATATAAGTATTTTTCCATAAATTGGAACAGAATTACAAGTACCAGTCAGTGTAAGGTACCATCAGAGGTCATTTAAATATATGATATTGATGATGGCACACGTTGACTCTCAGTCTTAGTAGTAAGTAGGTACGTAATATTTTCAATTAACATCTAATAATACATAAGAGATGACGTCAAACCTATGTGATTTCCACTTTAAATGAGACTTATTTTATTGGCAGTTAATCAAGTACATAAATGAAATAAGTCGTTTCACCACGATGCTTATAAATGAAATAAGTCACACTATACAGAAAAAGAACTTAGGTATACAATTATCAATTGATGAAAATGGAATAGTATAAAAAGTTTCTAACATAAAGGGAAAACAAAGTTTTCAGGTATTTATAATATCCCTCCCTCTAATCCCTCTACGACCCCGGACACGCCGGCGTGTCAGTATAGATTTCTTAAAATTTTAATTAACTTCTTAGAAATTTACTTGGAGGAGTTAAGATGGTCAGGTTAAAATTTTGAGGAACATCCCACGTGTACGATGAACTATGAAGAGATTACATTCGGTATAGTGAAAGATGTAGGTACATGTGTAGAGATCATAGTACTTACCAATCTATTTCATTTATCTACCATACTAGAGGTACCTATAGCGCAAAGGTAGCGTCATAGTATGATGTAGCTATTAACTACTTAATATTTCAAATTTTTAAATTTACTTGTTGTGATGAATTTGAATGCTGCACTATATATTGCAAAATACAAATATGTATGAACACAGATGTAATATAAATATGTAATTTGCTTACATTGGCAAGTTTCATTTCGAATTGGAGAGAATCTTTGAGTTCCACTTCAGCTCGAGCACGATCAGCTCCGAGGAGAGTGGCGATGTCTACCATGTAATCGTAATAGGCAAGTACTAGCTTGTCGCTAAATCCACGGTTTAAATATTCACGACTTAACCCCAGTGATGCTTGGTCCAACTGAAACACACAATGTTATATAGACAAGTATAAAATTAAAACTTTCCGTGGCACAAGTTAAAACTTTGCATTGCATTATAATATCAGAAAGCAATATTATGTTATAATTTATTCTATCCATTTTTATATACATGAAAACACGTGTTTTATGGCTGTATGAGCGTAAAATTTACAGCATTGATTCCTGCTAGAGATTGCAGTACAATGTTAATGTTTGCCTTGCCTTTTGGCGATGTAGTCATTAATCTTAAAGTTCTCATAAAATCTGTTTATTTATTATTGAATATACTCGCGGCCAGTCACGCGTTGCCGTGGATCTGGTGAAATGTAGTGCTGGGATACGTCCTACTTAATGAGTTACGCGAAAAATTTCTCCATGCTCAAATGCCTATGATTATCAACTTTCATGACGTTCAGTTGAACGGTCTAAAAGTTAATGCACCAACGCAATTTATCTAATAAAGAGTTACAGCACAATTGTAACCATATATTTGGGATCCACCACCTTCAGGCAAGTCAGTTGGCAAGTTGGTCTACGTTGGTCACCCGTTAAGATGAAACACGCGATGCAAAGCTAAGTTTAATCACAGTAGTAATAATAAAAATAAAAAACCTACTCAAACGATTTAAAACATACATATATGCTTCAATATTCTTCAATAAAAAACTTTCGGAAATTTGCAGTTTGAAAAAAATAAATATTTACACTTTTATTTATATAGATTATATTGAAAGAATAAGAAATCAACAATATTATGTAATATTATCTTATTGTATAAGTGGAACTTTATTTACACGGATTAGTACTTACATCTATGATTCGTTTGGTAGAATTTTTTACATCGACGCTAATAGAGAAGTCGAGGAAGTAGTCCACAGAATAACCTGCTTGGCGGAATCGATACACGGATTCTACCCAGGAAAAGGAGCTCTCATCCCATGAATTCCCTTGCAACACTGGCCAGCCGCCCAAGCGCTCCAGCATGTCGAGCAGTGGTCGAACTCCACGACTTTCGATAGCAGCTACAAAAATATAGCTTGGCTTAATACATAATAATATTTCTCACTAGATTTTATGATTTTTTTTAAATACATTTAGTAAATACCAATTATTTTATTACACGTAGGTAATTATTTGTCAATTAAAAAGAACCTAAAAATATGATATATCATTAATCATTCTGAAGGAATATAACAACATATAATAATTGCTATTTTATAGCAAAGCAAAACAGGAACGAATTATTTTTTAAGTCCTTTATTACAGTCAGACTGTCAGTTAAGTTACTTATGTCATATGTTATGCAAGCAGTGCGGCGGAAAATACGTCATTGGGTTACTTTCACTTGCGTTTTACTAGTATGAAATAAATACTCATTGAATAAAAGAGCGTGAATTACTGCTATCGCTAACGTATAGGTATCCAGTAATGGATTTGCACCTATATTTTTGAGGAGAATGAACAAAATAAAGTTCGTAAATTTAAATACTTAATATATAACGGTATTTTATTGGCACGATTGAAACACAAAATATTGATACTTTAATAGACTGTATATGTACATTGTACGTACTACATATGTATATGAAATTTGTTATACTTGGATGATTATTATATCATTGGTGATGTAATTTATCACTTAACAATATTTTTAAAACAAACTTAGCCTTCCTAGTCTCTGTAACAGTCTATGTATCTATTTTTGACGCATAGTCGGGGTTTGAAAAATTTATTACTTACTTCTATTCATACAGGCTTGGTATAATGTCTTCGCCAGAGCAAAGGGACGAGGTTCATTTTCAGCAATTGGTTCGTCTAACAATGCACGAATTTGCTCCTGTAATTGGTCTGTGATGATGGAGAAAGTATTAACCGACGTTTTGTCGTCGGGTATCCGCGTGTTCTTCAGGAACGAACCACAAGCAAAATCGTAGAAGTCATCGCAGGGATCAACTTTCTCATCCATATTCATCAGCAATTTCGATGCTGGTAAAATAAATTTTATTAAAATAATAAGTGTAACAAAGACTATTAGGTCGATACATTATTGTAAAGTACTTACTAGAGATGGGCCGAATTTCAGTAAGCGTTCAGTTTAACTTTAGTTCGGCCGAATTCAAAATTCGATTGCTTTTGATAATTTAATCTGAACTTCTTTCGTTACGATATCTACTGAAGAAGTTACAACAAAATTGGCGCAATAAATATACTAGTGAAAATAGACAAATCTGGGGATTTATTAATGAATTTACTAGATTACGTTCAAAAACTGTGAAATTCTAATCAAGTTTTAATCATACTAAAATACCTAAATAGTAGGTACTTGATACACAAGAATACTTAACAAGAATTGAGCACGCTATCTTCTTACAAGTAGTACGAGTAGTTCCTATCATTGTGATTAAGTAGATACAACTTATTCAAATTAATCATCATCTAATTTATTTAATTAAATAAGAGATATAAGCGGTTGAAATGGATGGTGAAATTAATCTAAATCCTGATATTATGTCATTATCAGCATTGACACATTTCTAACGCCTTAGTTGAACTTCAGTTCGGTCGAACTTCGAATTTGCTGTGGTGGTGGAAGTTCGGCTTTAGACAAACACAATTGACCAATCTCTAGTATTTACCAATATAATAGTAGTTTACCAACTAGCACGAGACACAATTACACTTGGTCAGTTTGTATTATTTGTTGCAGAGTTAGCAGAGTTGGCCCTGTAGTTACACTAATTTTAATTCTTGTATATACTAACGAAAGATTACAAATGAAGGACAAAAAGAACCCGGAAAACTTGTTTCTTATTTTAAAGACGACCAAATACTTATGACGCTTCAAAAAATAGAGCTTTTGAAAGGTTATATAGATGGGCGAACAGACGCAGTCTTAGAGTAAATAGATGTTGTTGTAATGTATGTAATATAATTTCCAATTGTTTACACTTCCATAAAAATAAAATCATAAACAAAAGTTTATTTATTACACATAGTAAAATTCATTTGTGATTAAAATATTTAATTACCGTTATCAACATTATACGTTTGTATACACATACACACATAAACTTTACGTCGAAGTAAGAAAACCTATTGTAATGAGGGCGTGGGATAAATCCCTGCCTATAGGTGTATATAGAAAGAATAGACCTTTGTTTCTCTGAGAATCAAATACTGGCCCCAGCATACTGAATGCCACGGAGAGTTATTATTATAGCGCTATTTTCATTGTAATAATGATATAATGACATGATTGTATACTACATCCAAATAATTTAAAGGTTAAACATTCCGATATTATTTAGCATATTGATAGAATTTTAATGTATTAACAGTATGAACAATATCTATACCTATAGTAATATTTAACTATAATAATTTATAATTCTTTTTCGAAATCTATAAACTCATAAGTACCTACTTACTTGTTAGTTGAATATACTTATATGGGCCAAACAAATAATTTGATCATCCCAACTTTTGAATGTGTAGGTAATAAATTAATCTGCTAGAAGTGTTTAGCATTTTATCGAAATAAGACTTATGTATATATGAAAAATAGAATGAATTTCTGTTCTGAAGTCGATATATCGATAAGATTATATACTTATGTATAATTTTATCATTAGAATAATTTAGAATTTTTTGATAAATAACTAATCGTTAGGCTTAGATTACATTTTTAGGCTGCCAGAAAACTTGAAACTCAGAGTTTGTATTGCTCGTACGATTGTATTCGAAAATCAATTATAATAGCTATATAAATAAATTAAATCATTTATCTGGTCCACCTTTACCAAAATAAACTAATTATATAGGGGAACAATTGCTATACGTATTTATGTACGTAAACACATGTTCATTGCATTCATGTGCTTCTGAGCGCCCCTGAAGTTATTTAAGGTAGCATTTGAAGAAATTTGTTAATTTTTCATTCCATTTTCATTCGGTTATCGTAACGTGATTGACATGCATACATTCCATGTTGTTTTTAATTTTTATTATAGCTTATTCTAAGAATTGCGATGTAACATAAAAATTCATATATTACCTGTATGGATACATCCAGGCAGGTTGCATATTTTGGAGTCATACTCGTTCTTGGAGATGACTGCTGGCGGCATGGACGGAGAAAGTCTTAGTTCGCTAGTCTGGGGCATGTCTAGAAGGCGGACGGACAAGCATGAGTGTGATGAGACATCCACAAGACGGTAACAATGGTATCAATTCATAGGCTGAGTGCAACCAGTTCTAATAGTTCAACAACCACTTTCACGTCTCCTTTAAAAAAGGTTTTTTGGACACTATTGTAACATATTCAAAGTATGTTGTTAAACTATAAAACTTTCTTTAAGCATTATATTATATAGTGCGTTGTTAATAACAATTACAGCTTTTGTTATAATGCATTTTTTTTTAAATATTTTAGAGTGCTAATAATTATGCGTGAACATGAACAATATCAATTTCAAATTCATGCGTTAGATGATAAGTAGAAAAATGTTTAGTCCACTTGAATATATCATCGTTACAACGTGTTATTTATTTTTGAAAGAAATATTTTAATGTAAGTTTCATTTTACTGCGAATGTAATTATGATTAAGGCGATATCTACACGTAAACTCCATATAAGAGTTTATCAAGAAAAACGTAAATATTTGTTCTACACAAGTTTTCCTCTTCTAAAATTTTTTCATTTAATTCGAAATCGTAAAGAGAGAATGATAATGAAAAAAACACATTATTCTAAATAAACCTACTACCTTATAAATTAACATTCATACATTCTTGACCTAAACGAATTTTCGTTATCATAAAATCTATTATCAACAGGTTTAAACTTACTAATTTTTGAGCTTGGCCGACCGTGAACGACATTCAATCTTTACATAATACTGCTCATTAAGTGCACTTGGTACTAACTAAATAGACATAAACCTGTTCGTAATCATTTTCATAGGTATACGTTAATATTTATGAAGATAAAATGGGGTTGAAACAAACACAATACAAACACTCGCCGCAGGGTCCAAAAAAGAATAAATATTTAATTTTTAAGTTAACGAGAACTCCATCGTAGAGGAAAATATAGGTAATTGATTAAAATAAAATGTAAAAGTTGTAAGTGCAGTTCTTCTGGGGCAAATTTACATTAGCGCTTTTATAGCTCACTGAACTGTGGAGTCCTGATTAAATTATTCGGAAACAGGTAAAGTTAGGTCGTTTTACCATATTTATACATATAATAAAATTGTAACTAAGCCGAATCTGTACATGAAATATTTTTTTGGAAAATCTTATTGAAATAGACATTATTATCGATACATAGGACGAATCTACAGTTTTTAGAATTTTTGTCTGTCTGTCTGTTACCGCATCACGGAAAGACCACTGGACGGATTATGATGAAATTTAGTATGATAATAGCTGGTTATCCGGGTCAACATATAGGATACTTTTTGTTGCGGGAAAATATCTCATTTCTGAGTAATCTATACTAAAAGTTAAAACGTAATTAGGGTCGAACCCGAGCGGAGCGAGGGTGAGCCGCCAGTACGAAATAAAATTATATATAAAAATATATTATGTATAAAAGAATTACTCATGTAATATAATAAGAATAAAATAAACACTTCTGACCTTCAGCGTAGTAGGCCAACGCTTTAACCATTACACTATTCAGACGTCGCGTCGGTGGTGGCGGCGAAATTACGAACCATATTTCGCGGGCAAATCTTTTTGCGTGAAAATACGAAGAAAACTATTTTTCCCACATATCCGACCTAGCTAGATAAATTTTTCGCCCCCATAAACCCTATATTTCAAATTTCATCGAAATTATCAGAGCCGTTTCGAGAACGTGATTACGAATATAGTATATCAAAAAAATATTGCTCATTAATAGTATATAGGATTCGTCTTAGGTTCGATATCATATCTAATATTCACAAACGACAGAGACAACCTACACGTATTTTTTGTATAATTGAACGTAACTGTAGCCTTGTGAATCTCTCAAAGTAAAAGCTTCGTGTAAGACTCGTATTGATGCAGGCGAAAGTAGAGTACAGAACGTAGGTAATGATGTCGTGTTGTATATTAATTATTGTGGCTGTGGTAAATATCGGAAACTTCTCTTATTAATGGCTAAAAATAATAAATTGTAAAATTTAAAATATTTTTACGAGTGAAATATTATTATTAATATTAATAAAGTAAAGAAATCTTCATATTTTTTTACAAATTGCCATATGTTTATAGATATAATCCATATTAGTCATAGTCATAATATGTCATTTAATGCACAAACATACTTTCACATTTATAATATTAGTATGGATAAGTATTTTGATATAATTTAATTTACAATTAAAACTCATTTTTTTACTACATATTGAATTGACCAGCGGGTGACGTCTTTAGTAGCTTCATGAAATGAATAAGTACCACTTATCGGTTTAATTCTAAAAAAAAAATAGTCTCAAGTACCTACCTATGCGTATGTTTCAGTTATAAACGAGCAGGCATGTAGCAGCCAAGCATCCATGAAAACAAAATTATATTTGATATTTATTGTTATTACTTATTTATAAGAAACATTTCGTGTGTTATTTACTGACCGGTTAGTATTGACCTCAATTTATATTTTGAACTTGACAGTATTACATAAAATCTTTTTCCTGCTAAAAATATAATAAACTATGCAACCAACGGTTTTTGCACACTTACATGGCGTACATTTGCATTCTGTGTACATAACACACTGCATCCTACACGTACTTAATTTATAAAATTATCGCTATAGAAACTGCAAGGAGAAAACACATTCGTATTATTATATAAGTAGCCTCTATCTAGTTGCTACCAACTTCTATTACTTATAAAATACTAGTGATTCACCCTCGCTCCGCTCGGCTTCACCCCTAGGTACGTTTTAACGGTTAGTATAGCTTTCACAGAGATGAGATATTTTCCCGTAGTAAAAAGTCCTATATGTTACCCGGATAGCCAGCTATCTTCCGCCTATTTCAATCTACGAATAAATAGACTTATTATTTATTCGTAGACTTCAATAAGATTTTCCAAAAAAATAGGTAAGTATGTAGGTACAGATCGACTCAGAATTTTGTTATATGTATAGAAGATATGTATATATATATACTATAATACATACAACGAAAACGAAGAAAAAACAAAACAAAATATGAAAAATAAACTTTTATCAATGAATTACGGCACATTATAAAAATATTTAGGCATAAATAGCAGGAACTAGGTATAAGGACTAATCCGTTTGTCAATAACTTCATATCAAGTGAAACTGAAAATAGGTTATATTGCATTGTGTTTTCATTGTTTATTCATTTGTGTCACCACGAGTCGTGCCGACACGACGTTACAAAATTCTACGTGATCGAATATTGAACGTTCAAGATTTAAATAAGATCAGGTAGTTACCAAAATATTTGCGTCATGAATCTATCGCCCATTACCGAATGGGGCAACCCGCAAGTTTTTTTACATTATCTACTGAATAGCCGGCATTTTAAAATTCAATATTACGTACAAACGTTGTTGGAAGGTTAGAAAGTCAATTTATATGATCAATTGAGTAATTATCATATTTTTACATTTACAGCACTAATCAAAATGCGACGGTTTCAAATCAAATAAAATCAAATTGTCGGTTGAATATATTAATATCAAAATTTCATATTTATTCATTCCTTAAATGTTAAATCCTTCCCTAAATGTTATTAGAGTTGTAAAGTCGATCATAATTAAAAGAAACAAAATAGAAATGTACGTTGAAAATAAATAATTTTAAGTAATAATAACGAGGATGACAATGTTGTAAAATGATGTGCATCTCGTAAGAGTCACGAAGGTGTTTAATTAATTGATTATTAAAATTACACATAAGTTGACGTCAAAGCTTTGAAGGAATAATACATATTTATGTTATATACACAGTGCAATTTGTAAAATCATTTTTATTGATGATTGGTTTTCTTTGAAATGTAAATATATATTTTTTTTAAATAGTAGCTACCAGACCCAACTAATTATACGACTTGTATTAAGTATAAAATTTCAATCAACATGAATTAAACGCTATTGTTTATGTAATTAGTATTATGGAGTGGCACTTTTGTTTCAATATCTGCCATATCGGTTATTGGCACAGATACATCAGTAATGATGTGATTCACAAACTTTTCTCTCTCTTTGTATTCCTTTCATGAACCGAAAATTTGAATACAAGTCAACGCGGCCAACACTAAATCCGTTGTGTGACAAATTAAAATTGTGTTATTTATTCAATAAGTTAACATTTTACCTATAAATACATAATATATTTAAAATTAAAGATAATATCATTTAAAACGTAAATATTTGTTGGGAAAAGTATCTAAAATGATTATTGTAATTTATGTTAATTTAATTGGCATGTTATGTTCACACTTACTGTACACCCAAGTCGGATACCCAAAATGATATTATGAACGTAAGTGATTTTGTATTTACAAATTATGAAACAAATATTAGGAAGTATAGATAAAAATGGAAAAAAATTAACATAAGTAGATTGAGTGAGTGATATGAAAAAATAATGGCTTTATTTTATAATGACATACAATAGAGCATGATTAATTTATAAATAGGTATATTTGGTTGACTAAAATCCAATTTTAATAAATACTATGATTCTTGTTCTGCTAAATTTTTTATTTAATTTAGTTTATTTATATTTTAGAAAAAAAAATATCTTTTAAATATCTGATTAAAATACATATTACATTATTTCTTCCTTTTATTTTACATCAATCAATTTTATATTTACCATTAATGTCAGCTGAAGTTTTCACGAGTACGGTGGCGAGGAAAGCAGCCAGAAAGGCGACGGCGATCACAGACAGCACCCCCACGGCCAGTAGCAATCTCTTCTCCATCCGAGTCCTTTGCGCCCAGAAGGACGGCCTAGATACAAAATATTACTTAGTTAAATTGTATAAACAAAACTATCTCATATCTATCTGCCGCAATAATTTTGGAATATATATATATATATATATATATATATATATATATATATATATATATATATATTCCATTTAAATAGAAATGTTAATGTAAGGAAAAAACCGCCATCGATTGGAATCAAATTGAAACAAATATTGCCACTTATTGCTTTTGTTTAAAATATTAATTGATACCGAGTTAGGAATCTAGAGAACTATTATTGTAATTAATGGCGCGGCCGCAAAGCCGAGTGACACATAATGCTTTTGTGGGGAAGTGGAAAATTCTAAGTGGTTATTCTTTGAAGGAGAAAATTGCTACGAAATTTTCAATTTGTTTTACTAACCCAATTTACTTGGCCGCAATTTTCCTTGGTGTTAAACGAAGGGAGCCCGGGGGATACCAGATCCCTTCTTATGGCTTCTTAAAGGAAACTTATTTCGGTGTCTCGCGTAAAGCGGCTTAAAAATTATAAATAATTTAAAAAAAGTCGTCTGTCGCCGTCGATAGGAGGCGGAGTGAAATATTTAAACAAAGCCTTCTATTGTTTTTTTGGCGTAGATTAAAATGCGAAGACACGTTACAGACGTTTAAACTGCTTGAGTATATAGAATAACAATTTGTGTTGTTTTTATGAAAGTGTAGTTGTGTTCCTTTATTAAATTAATATTTAAATATTTATTTACAAAGGGCAGGTATTGAGGGTAATTTGGTTTCAAATATTTGTTTAAATCATGATGACATATAGAGATGGCTGATTTAAAACTACTTTATCATTCTTTAAGTGATATTTGGATTTGTTGTACCTACTTTAAAGATAGTACATAATACGAGTAAAATATATATTTTTTTGTTTGTAGACAGCTAGAGTTAAATGTCCGTAATAAGAGTAAATCTGTAATCTGTGATCTCTTATAGCCTAATAGGTACAAGGCAAGCCATCGCGCGCCACACACACTTTATGAGTTTTTTTATTATCTCCCGTACACCGAAACCTTTTTATGGACACTTTAGTCTCACAGACTGATTTCTATACAACTTTATAATTGAAGTCTTCGATTATTAATATAACATCATGAAAAAAATTACATTATGTAGATATTTATTCTGCGAGCAATATAAGTCACTTCACAAAATATCGTAACTTATAAGGCGGTTAATATCAGATGAATATTTTATATTTTTGTCTGTCTGTGCATCATTTGGCTGCAATCAATTCAATAGTAACCTATGTAACTAATAATAATCCCTCCACGATCGCGGACACGCGGGCGTTACAGTTAACAATATATTTCTTAGAAATTTAATTAATTTATTAGAAATTCACCTTTAATTTCTAAGAAATAAACTACTATATAAGATAAAAACTACTATAAATGCTATAATTTAATTCATTACAAAATTTTAAGATAGGTACCTACTACTTTCTACAGACACAATTTAAAGGCGAAAAATTGCATTGTTTCTAATATACGCTGTTGCTTATCGATACACTACCTATTTTATATCAAAAAGTATCTACCCCCAATATTTCAGTAAAACGAAAATACTTCTCTCAATTTGTATCCAAAGTCGACACATCACATTCTACAACGAATAAAGTATATTCGTTGCGGATATTGCTTGTTTGGTAGCTCTTCTGATCTAGGTGTAACAAGATTTTAACGTGAAGGTATGAAGGGTGAACTGACTGTACTATCTCAATAAAAATATACTTGACTAGCGACTCATCCTCGCCCCGCTCGGGTTCGTCCCTAGGTACGTTTTTACATTTAGTATAGATTTCTCAGAGATAACATATTTTCCCGCAATAAAAAATATCCTATATGTTGACCCGGACAACCAACTATCATCCTACCAAATTTCATCAAAATCTGTACAGTGATTCTCGTGATGCGTTCCCAGACAGACAGACCGACAAAAATTCTAAAAGCTATAGACTCAACCTCTGTAATAACTATTTCAATAAGGTCTTCCAAATAATATTTAATATACAAATTTTTATGAGTGATTTTTCTTTGACGACCTGATAATAAATAGTTGCCTTCAACTATTATACTTTGCAAAGAAGTTATAATGATGAAGTATTATGGATCGGTGTACTAAGCTACTGTAAAACGATAAAAAATTAAAGAAAACGTAACTGTGCGACAGAGGTATTTGATAATTTGCGTAGTATATTTTTTATGGACTCGGCAACAATAATAAAATATTTATATTACTTTATTTCCATACGTAGTTAAGATTATAAAAATATATACCTATAAAAGTACTTCAAAAAAGGTTTCACAATATATATGTATAAACAATTTTAAATGGATACAGAGTTTGTACCTTAAATATTGAAACTTACCTATTAAGTTGTTTACAAATAAAAAGTTCGATTAGAGTAAATTTTTGGAAGGATTTCCTCAGAGTACGCTTTCTATTAACAAAAAAGAAAGGTCTGTGAGTAATTTACAAATCTCAATAGGAAACCGATGAGGCCCCGAAAGATCAAATTGTTTCGCGCAAACTTCATGTATGCACTTTTTTAACTAACTTAAAGAAAAAGGAGGAGGTTCTCAAGGAGGACTGATGAAACTGTCAAATAACACTGTACCTGTACCTGTTTACGAGGTTTTCATCGCGGATCTTCACTAATTAATATTTATAATATTTAAATAATTATTGTAAACATTTTGCCAATCCTGATTTATTATGGCAGACATGGTACAGCTCAACGAATATTATTGCTTTAAAAGAATAGTTAAGAATCTGTATAAATATTATAAATGTGAAAGTTTGAGTATGTATGGATGTGTGTTACTCTTTCACGCCAAAACGGCTTAACGGAACGGATGAAATTTGGCACAGAGATAGATTATAGTCTGGAATAACACATAGGCTACTTTTTATCCCGGCAAAATATACGGTTCCCGAGGGATAGATTTGTTCTTCTTTTTCTAGATGCGAAACGAGGGCGAGCCGCTATAAGTCAATATTTTATCTATTTGAGTATTATATATGAATTATGTAAAACAAAATCCTGATAAACTGGTGCCGCGTTAACAATTATTGTTATATTAAATTTATGGCCCTGCCGCACTAACAAATACTTTTTAACGACAGCAATAGGACCTTACTCGCAATGGCGCCATCTGGTGCCACCAGAAACGATAATCCTCATTCGGATGTTTTTTATATTCTTGTGATAACTACTCGCCTATAGAGAACTGGTTTTAAATTTTAATTATTAATATTAAATTAATATTAAACAAAAGAATGATATTATTGATCTTTCAAAATATGTATAATTGTAATAATTGATATAGTTTTTGTATATCAATGCATCACTCTCGAGCATGAGTTCATGCTGTGACGCTGTCTGTACATAACGTTTGTCCGCGGCATCGCCTCCTATTTTACTTAAATTTAAATATATAAAAATTCTTTTGTAGCGGATGTCTAATACCTACCTATGACGAAAGTATCTGTCAAATTTCAGTTTGTATCATTTTTACTTTCTGAGATTTAGTGATTAATCAGTGAGTGAGTGGTATTTTAAATTCGATTTTTCTTTGAGATACCTACATAGATAAATATATGCAACAACGATTTCACTTCAGTCACGTATTAGGTGCCTATTAAGATTTTATTTATTACAATAAAGATAATTATTAATTATATAATCTTGGATCATCCAAATGTATTAAATTATTATAAACTAACGACTCATCCGCGCTTCGCTCGGGTTCGTCCCTAGGTTGATTCACCATACAAACTTTCATCCCCATTTCACCCCATTAAGGGATGATTTCCGGGATAAAAAATATCCTATGTTCTCAGGGTCTCAAACTATCTTCTTACCAAATTTCATCTATATCGGTTTAGTACATCCAGAGATTACCCCCTACAACGTCACAAACTCACAAACTTTACCTCTTTATAATATAAGTACAGATTAAATGTTATTATTTTAACCTTGGCCTCTCCATTTCTTCCAGGAACTTATTAACATATATAAATTATTCTGTCACGTGGGGAAACTGCTTTAATTTCCATATTAAATATTATGCATTTTATATCATCATATCGCATTTTATATTATACTAGCGACTCACCCTCGCTTCGCTCGGGTTCGTCCCTAGCTTGATTCTCCATACAGACTTTCATCCCCATTTTCACCCACCTAAGGGATGAATTCCGGGATTAAAACTATCCTATGTCCTTCTTAGGGTCTCAAACTATTATCTTACCAAATTTCATCTAAATCGGTTTAGTAGATCTAGAGATTACCCCCTACAACGTCACAAACATTTCACAAACTCATAAACTTTACCTCTTTATAATATTAGTATAGATAGATTGACGTATTATATATGAAAAAAACCATCTTATAGAAATATCACTCAATAGGAGACGATAAATTTACTTATTTGATAAGAATTCATAATTGTTCATAATATGATCAATTCTAAATAGGTAGATTCATACAAACTTTCATCCCCTTTTTTACCCTGTTATATGAGGAATTTCGAAAAATACGAAAATACGTATGTATTTAATTTTATTGAAGAGCATTAATAGCTAGTTTCAAGTAATTCTGATCATAAATATTTTTTGGATTGTATTATGACGTGTTTTCCCGTGGGAATGATATAATCTCCCGCGGTAAAAAGTAGCCTATGTCACTGTCCAGCCCTCAAACTATCTTCACACAAAAATTCATGCCAATCCGTCATTCTGTTTCGACGTGAAAGAAGGACAAATAAACAAACAAACATACTTTCACATTTATAATATTAGTATGGATTATGCGTTATATAGACATCGAATATTTCTATCATTACTTCCTACTACTATTCTTGAACACCTCAAATTTTATCTCCGGATTCAGACCGGTCTGACCTACGGGCACCTAAGGTGAATAAACCCTTTTATTAAGTGAAAAAGTATACATTCATAATTATAATTTT